TGAAGATCTTAGACCGTGCGGGCATTACTGTCAAGGTGCGTGACAACAGATTAGAAATGTGTCACTGTGATTTATCGTACTTCAAGGCCGGTCACTGGACACTTGATGACGCTGAGAACAATCAGACGTTCATGCGCGAGCTTGAGAGATTGCTCAAGGAGCGCGATATAAACTTTGATGCAGTTGACCAACGTATCATGTGCTTTCCTCACATCATCAACATCTCCTCGCAACACGTCATCGAAGAATTCACCAATCTTGATCTTGCTGATTTTGCACACGAGTTTCTAAGTGCTGTTCCCGCCGATGATCCAGAGAGACAAAAGTACGAAGATCTTTGTTCTGGAGACCCCATTGCTCTCGGACGCGATATCGTACGGGTTCTGCGGGCTTCTGGACAGCGTCGTGACGACTTTGATGAGATCATTCGCCTTGGCAACAAAAGGGACTGGTTTGGCAAAGACACAAACGGGGACCCCATCCGCTTACGCCACCTTCAGCTCCTGCGCGATGTCAAGACTCGTTGGGATTCTGTCTTCTATATGATTCGCCGTCTCCGTGAACTTCGACCGGTAAGCACCCCGGTTGTGGTAACCAAATAGATGACTTATGCACACAACAGGCTATAGATTACTTTCTATCCACGCCGACCAACAAGGACATTGCTGATTACAAACTTGACAACGCACAATGGAAATCTCTCCAAGATTTTGAAATTATCCTTTCGGTGATTGTCAATCACAATGATTATCTGCACCGCAACTGAACGGTCTGAACTTAGATACCACATCGCGTCCAACAAGTCATGTCCAGAGAACGCAATCCTGTGTTAGCTGGGGCCCTTCCGGCGTTCGAAATCTTCATTACGACGTGGGAGTTGCTTGGTCAAAAGAATCCACACCTCAAACACTGGACAGATGTCGGATTGAAATGGGCTAATAAATACTACAGCCGCATGGATCTTACGAAGGCATACATTGTCGCCATGTGTACGTGATGCTTGGCTTCCAGTGTTAATACACTAACAACTAATTGGAAGTCCTCAACCCGACCATCCGGATGAGCTGGATGCGAGCTCATTGGACATCAACATATGTGCAAAAGGCAACTAAAATCATCAAGACACTTGTGAGTACTCGTAGCTCTGGTTTTCCTATATGCATCATTCATTCTTGTCTCTATGGCACCAGATGAAGGCATACCGGGACAAAAGACCCTCAAGGGATGCTTCCGGATCGCAGTCAGCTGCCCAATTGTCGCACGCTGCGGCACGGCCCGAATTTGGCTTCGACACTCTTGCACAACAGTACGGTCTTGATGATATGAACATAGGCCCATCGGAATCGGGGAGCGATCAAAGTGTCAATGATGAATTCAGGGCATATGCCAACGGCATGCTCTCGCCTAAGGGAACTGACAGTCTCAAGTTCTGGGAGGTACGCACAGCCGCATCTAATCCGACAAGAACCATAGCCAACACACTGGTCTAATTATAGATTAATACTGATACCCACCGCACCCTGTTCGACATTGCAATGGACTACCTCCCCATACAGGCCTCGGCAGTTCCCTGTGAACGTGTCTTCTCGTCAAGCGCCGAGACAGATACCAAACGACGGAATCGCATCAAGCCCGAACTGATGGAGGCCCTTCAGATGCTGAAGTTCGCGCTGAAGAAGGAACGGCTTGATTTTATGAGCGGGTGGGAAACTCCAGAGAGCCTGATGTGCGATTCCGACTACAACGGTGGGGACCTTCTTTCTGAGCTTCTCAAGCCCGATTCAGGGTCGTTGCTCGAAGCCCTTTGTGCAGATGACTTAGAGACAGAACCAGAGGATCAGTGTACAGGAGAGCCCTAGGCATAGTATACTGTACGAAATGTTTTTCTCTGTTACATCCTTTCATGCAGCTGTAGTTCCTTCCATACATATCTTTGCAGTATCTAATAGAAAACTGATGAGCCGACGTACAGCGGCTCGAGCTGCGGCTCAAGCCCAAGCTGCGGCTCGAGCCGTGCCCTGGGAGTTTAAGCCAAGCCGAAGCCGAGCCAGCCGAGTGAAGCCGTGGCTTCAACCGGCTCGGCTCAGGCTTGCCGAGCCACGGCAACACTAATTGAAGTCATCCTCTTCGTTTAGGAACACAGTCGTGTCATCGGCGAACAGGTTCGCTACGAGTTTTTCTTCGGTGCCCGGGACATCGATCCCTCTGATGTTCGAGTTTCTTATTGCGTTGCTTAAGGGTTCTATCCCGAGATCGAATAGAAGGCACGACAGGGGGTCCCCCTGCCGTACTCCTCTTGTTACTTTGAAGGGGCTGCTTAGACATCCATTGATCATTACTGAGGTGTGTGCGTTGTTGTATAGTTTGCTTATCGTTCTAATGAAACGTTCGGGTATCTTAAACGCTCGGAGTACTTGCCAGAGGTAGTCATGCTCTAGTTTATCGTACGCTTTTTCTTGGTCTAGGGCTACTATTATCCCGTTCTCCTCTGCTAGGTCCGCGTAGTTCACTAGTGTTTTCAGGAGTTGGGTTTGGTCGTGGATGCGTCTCCCTGGTACGAAACCTGCTTGGCTCTTGTGGAGTAGGTCTGGTGCAGAAGTTGCTAGCCTTACGGTGAGTGCCTTCGTCATTAGTTTGTAGTCCGTGTTGAGCAGTGTTATAGGCCTGTAGTTTTCGATTTCCTCCTTGCAGTTTTTCTTGTATATGGGGCACATCCATCCCTCAGCGAAATTGGAGTCTTTCGTTAGTCCGTGTTCTTCTATGTCGTTGAACGCTGCCTCCATCATGTTGAGTATGTTTTCGTTCTGCCCGTCTGTCTTGGCTTCGCGTGCGGTTAGTTTTTTCCATAGTTCGTATGTGGCTCCATCGAGTCCTGCTGCTTTATGGTTGCTCGAGATTTTCAGCGCATTCCTTATTTCTTCTTTGGTTATTGGTTTATCCATTGCGTTCTTACCTTCCGTGCTGGGTTCTACTTGGATCCCTCTTAGCATGTTCCTTGTTTCTCTCATTCTTGTTATCTCATCTCTCGTTTCGCGTCCGTCGTTTTGGAGGTTGTTGTGGTAGTCTCTCGCTAGCTCTGCCATCTTTCGTGAGTTTTTCTCGTATTCCGTTGTTGGTCCGTTCTGATCTGGTTTCTTTAGCATATACATGACGTCCCTTGGTTTGATCGTTCGGTTTGTCTGGATCCACGATCTCGTCATCTTCTCTCCTTCTAGTCTGTCCATCATTTGGACTCTTTTCCTAGCTTTGATGTGTCTTCTTCTCTCCATCGTGGTGAGCTCTCTGGTTTTGCTTATCATTTCTTTCATCGTCTCACCATTTTGTTCTTTTTTGGCGAGTTCACTGAGTTCGTTTTGTAGTTGTTCCATCTTTTGCTTAATTTGTGGGACCAGGGTTTTGTCTCTTTCTCTGGCGAGCGTTAGCATCTCTTTCTTATATTTCATGTAAAGTTCTTGGGGGTTCGTTTCCTCGGTCCTTTCAGCGTTCCTCCCTGTGGCTATGTCTGCCCATTTCTGGGCTATTTGGGCCGCATCGTTCAGGAATTTTTTGTCGTTTAGTACTCGTTCTGTTATTGTCCAGCGGTCCCTTCCGACTTCGGGGGCGCCTTCCGTCGACACTTGGACTGATACCATCCAGTGGTCGGCGCTGTGTAGCCCCGATGGCTTCATGTCCCACTCCCTTGCCTTTTCTAGTAGTCTGTTTGTGATGTATATTCTATCGATGCACGACATTGCGGGGGGTTCATCTTCTCTTATTCTTGTTTGCGTGAACGTGAATCTTGCGCTGTCCGGGTAGGTTGCTCTCCACCCGTCGCGTAGTCTCAGTTCTAGTTTAAGTTTGTCGAGAGCTTCTGTAGCTGCATTTCTTTCTACCCGCGCCGGTAGTCTGTCTATTGCTTCCTCTGTGACGTTGAAGTCTCCCACTAACATGTCGGGGCGTCTTTCGTTGGGTCTCTCTTTGAAGTATATTCTTAACTGGTCCCAGAAACTTGCATTTTCCGCCGTACTGCTGGGGGCGTATATCCCCAGGACTGACAGTTTTTTCCCCCCGTGTATTCGTGCCTTGATCATGATTGCGCGACCTGGGATTATTTCTATGCACTTGGCGTTTTCGGCGTCGAATTCGCCTCTGTTTAGTACTGCGGCTATACCTGCGCGTTGTGTTGGCTTTTTGGGGTCTGCTGATGCCTTGATTTTGAGTCTTCTGCCGAAGAGGTTTTGTATGGTTTGCTCTCTCTCATCGTCCATGTGCGTTTCTTGTAGAATGAGTATACCGTATTTGTTTTCTCTCACTATCTGGTTTATTCTTAGCCACTTCGCCATTGGGCCTCCCTCGTCTTGTGTGGTGGAATATCCTTTCATGTTGAAGGACGCGACTTTGATCGTTGCTCGGTTACTCCTCCCTTTTTTCCCCTTTTTTCGTGTTGTTTCTGCGTTTTCACTGGACGCAGGCGGGGGGGCATTCCTCGTTTGCCTATGATCACTGGGGGGCCCTTCGTCTTGGGCTGGATGCGAGTTCGCGGCGTGCTGGCTCGATCCCCTGAGGCCCGGCATGGGCACGTTTGGAGCGGCTTGCTCTTCTGAATCACTAATGCCTGTTGTGTTTCCCCGTGCGGCTTCCCTGGGTTGGTAGCCGGCTGTGGAGCTACCTTCCCCTCTGCTTGCACGGTTGTGTATGCCTATGGCTGCTTGCGCGCGTATGTTTTGGTTGTTCGTAGCAGGGTGTGGTTCGACTAGGGGGGTCTGCTAGCCCCTCTGGCCTTTAGGGGTGGTGTCACTCTTCCCTGCGTTCGGGCGCAGGTACTGTGCTTCCACCTTTGGCGATCTGGTCCGCCTGGCCTCCCCCCCGGCCCAAATCCGGTTGAGGCTTACCTGTCCGGTTTCCCGTCAGTAAATCCAGCCTTCAACCTTCATTTGCGCTGCTCAAGAGTGTTCTATGTCTGGCCCCGAAGCCGTGCAGCGTGTCGTCTCATTGTGATCATTTATTTGTGCGTGCCATAATTACTCGACAGGTTTATGTAGTCTAGCTCTATCTTTGGTCCCGTTCTCTTTGTTCTTTCTGCCCTTTTTGGTGTCCTTCGCTTTTCGGGCTCCGGCGTCCGGCTTGTAGGGGGGTTCGGGTCTCACGTATTCCTCAGCGTTGGGCATCGGACCTTTCCAGTCTTTAATCTTGGGGAAGGGGCAGTATTCGCTGCTGTGCGTTTCTGCTTTGCACCACACGCACCCTATTACGTCGGCCGTCGATGATATCGACTGCATGTCGTCGAGCTCAAAGGTGAGGCGTCGTATTGCCTTAAGCCACGTTCGATGGCCTTTGTGATTGTTGTGTATGGGTTGTCCGGCCAGCTGCCATGCGGGTGAGTCCTCGCCGAGCTCGTTCTTTCGTGGTATGTGGGTTAGGCTCATTGTGGATAGTGCGATGGCTTTCCTTTCCAGCACGGAGCCACCTATGCCCTCTTCTGCTAGTGCCTTGTTGGCTTCTCGTGCTATGTCGGTGTCGTCGAACAGCGTGTTTATTATTGCCTCGAGGGCCCTTGCCATTTTGTCTGGGTTGTTCGTTACGCATTCCCCGGTGAAGTTTGCTATTACCCACGATGTTGGGGTTTCCCCAGGGACTTCAATCGCGGTGAATGCGTGCTTCCTCCCGTCGACTTGGAATGCGAATGTTTGCTGTTCGATCAGCAGGTCTTTGACTTCTTTGGGGATGTTGGTCGCTACATATGCAAAGGGCATGGCGAACCTCGCCCTGGGGGGTGGGGTGAATTGGGGGGATGGGGCTACCACTGTGATTTGGTTGGCTTCGGCTCCCTTAAGGCTATTGAGGAAGGCGGCGGCTTGTTCAGCGTATTTTGGGTTGTCCCTCACGAACCTGTTCCCCGCGCCGAAGGGGATTAGTAGTGCTGATATGGCTTTCTTGTCGTTCAGCCGCCTCCTCAGGCCCTCCCTCATGTTTCCTAGGCCGACGGAGGTCTTGTGTGCAATTTTGGGAAGGGCTGTTGTTGTGAATGGTATCGTCGTCGCGTTCATTTGGGTTTCTTCGGGTATTTGTCCCCAGTGCGGGTTTGCCTTTGTCATGTGTGGGGGGAGGGGCGTGCTGGTGTGCCCAATCAGCTGGGCTTCTATTCTTGTTGTTGTGAGTCCGCCCTGCGTCGTCGTTGCTTCCTGGAGGCCTATGTGTTGGGTGGCGGCGATGCTGCTGGTTCCGCTTGGGCCGAGGCACTCGAAGTTGGGCGGCGTGTATGGCCTGTATCTCGCTCTTTGTCTCGGGAGTTTTTTGGTTGTCCTTTGGCCGTTCGTGTCTAGGTCGGCTGCTGTGTCTACCTGCATGCGCATCCTCACCGCTTCGGGGATCTTGCGTTTGGGGGGTTCGTCGTGTGGTGGTTGTGGGTCCCTCGGTATGGGTGCATTTTCCCTGGCCGTCTTGGGCCTCTTCATTGTTGCGGCGGGGTCGGGACGCTTCCTGGCTACGGGGGTGTTTCTCCCTGGCTCGTCGTTTTGCGCATTTATTTTGTTTTGGAGCTGTCTTGTTGTGTGTTCGACCCGATCTTGCGGCTCGGCATCTTATGTTCTGGCCCTGGTGTAGTCGTTAGCGTAGGCGGTATGATATATTGTGTGGCAGTGGGATATTTTACTCGATCGGGAGCTAGGGTCTTTGGTTAGCCACTTAATGTTTGTGTCTTAATTTGGTTGTGAGTGGGGAGTATATTGGGTACGTTCGTGCATCTGGTATGGACTAGTATGGACGTGCGCGGGACATGTTCGAACTACTGCCTCTGGCGGGCCTGCTGCCTCGGCTCTCCCTGCCGTTGCCCCAATCCCTGTTGCTGCCTCTCGCTGCTGCCGCTTCCTCTTTGAGTTTAGCCCGTTCGGCTCTTACATCTTTGGGGATTGGTCCTTTCCAGTCGGCGACTAGCGGGAAAGGGCACTGTTCCTCAGGGTGGGCTTCACTTTTGCAGAAGGCGCACGAGTCGTAGGGTTTCAGGTTCTTGTAGCGTACGAACATTTCGTCTATTTCGTCGATAATATAGTGTCGGGACGTGATGATCTTGAGCCATTCTTTGTACTCGAGCCCATTGTTGGCGATCGGGTTCGCATAGAGCTGCCACACGGTGATGTCCTTTTTTTCCTTGTTCGTTACTCGCATGGCGTGAATCTCGAAGCTCTGAAGGGTATCCCGGACTCTTTCGTCGATGGACCTGGGGTTTTCCACTTTTGCGAGGCACACGTCGACGTGGTTTCTGAAGTCCGTGTCTTTGGCGAGGGCGTGGGTGATGGTTGCTAACCCTTCTCGTATGGCGTTGGGGTCGTCGCAGATTGCCCGCCCGACTATGTCGGTTATGAACCAGGGTCTCACGTTGGCGTCGAAACGGAGCGCGGAGAAAGCAATCTTCCTTCCTTCAATTTGGAAGGCGAAGGTCTGGTGCCATAGCAGGTATGCTCTGAGTTCGGGGGAGCCGTGTTGGAGGAGGAGGATGTGGGGCTTCGCAAACTCGCCTCGTTTGTCGGTGTCTCTTTTGGGGGGGTCAACCACGCGTAGCCTCTCGCTGCCGGCGATTGTGAGTCCTTGGAGGAAGGTCTCGATGTCGTTCGTGAGTTCAGGGTTTTCTTCCTTCACCTTATTCCCTCCCCCGTAGATGAGGAGGGCCATGTATTTGCCCGGGTTCGCTTTTACTGCCTCTGCGGTCGCCTCCATTATTTCCGCGAGGAGGCTGTCAAGGGATTTGATGACCCTCGGGTAGACGGCCTTGGTGTACGCGATCCTCGACTGAGTCGGTTCGAGGGGTGGGAGGCCTCTTTGGCTCGACTGGGCATGGGGGTTGTCTAGTGAGCCTCCGCTTAGGAGCTGGGGGTTGGCTTGGGCGGGGGTGCCGCCTGTTGGGTTTGGGGGGCGGGCATCTCCCTGCGTTCCTTCGTCGTGGGCTCTGCCTTCGTCGTCGAGTTCCCCATCCTCTCTTTCGAGGCCGTTTGGCCGTTTCCGCTTGGTGGCTTTGGCGGCGGCATGTGGGTCGAGGGGGCCTGGGCCTGCTAGGCCGCTCATGTTCGTGGCTTCGGTGGTGTTCGTCATGGACTTCGTTTTCCTGCTGTTATGGTCGTGGTTATCGTGGGGTTTTTCTTGGGGGGTTTGTTTCGGCTGGGTTTTATATGATGTGGTTACCCTGACTTTTTGCTTCGCGTGGCGTGATGCGGCCTGTCCTCGTGTGGTGTACGGCTCTGTTCCCCAGTGGTTTGTCTGTTGGTGGTGGTAACAGTTGGTTAGGGCGTTGTCTTGTGCATTTCCCATGGGTGTTGGTTTTTGTCGTGGGGTAGGGGGGTGGTTGGTCACTCCGGCCGGCCCTGTTCCCGCTTGTTTTGTGTAGGCAGTGGTTGTCGATGGGCCCGGTGGTGGGCATTATGTCTCTGGTTTGGCAGCCTCTTCCGCTCATGTGCGTTGTGGCTGGTAGTGGTCTCAGGTTTTTCCTCGGGGTCGGCGCCCCTTGGTGGCCCCACTCATCTTATACGAGTGGTCCCTCCCTCCCAGTGATCAATCCGCTGGTCGGGGGCCTCGCGGCGTGTTTTAGAACCTCTGCTGCGTTCAGCCAGAGGACGTCCTGTTGGTTCTCGCTGCCATAGGCAGCGATTAATCCCTTGCGCCACGGAAAGGCCAGGACGCACTCCACCACGTGGTGGTTGCAGTGCAAGGGAACAGGGGCACTCCTCATTGCCATATGAAGTATAGGAGGATGTACTCTGGCAGCTCCCTTCCAAGGACGCGCTACAAGCAACGGTACTCAATCGCACCACGTACAACATTGTACTTGATAAGCTGTATCGAGTGATCCACTGGCGATGCCTCGATGAAGCCATGATCAAATCAACTGATAATGTTTGAGGTTTGAGTCCCTTGTTCATTCGGAAGACCAGATTACTCAATCAGAGTTACTCTCAGAGACTCCAGCATCGCCGCACGGGCTCGTATTCTCACTCTAGAGACCTAGAACATACTGGCCGAACAAAGACGACTATGGTTGAGACTCAAGGCCTCACAAGTCGCACTGAAGCTTAGCCAAACATTTAGGGTGATACGTAGAGGGACCATCAGCATTCGTTCCGAGATACAAGCACTCAAACAGACCTTAAGCAAGGCGAACTATGTTGTCAAGGCGATTCGCCAGGTTCTTGTCAAAATGAGTCGTCTTGAAGAATTCATCATTGACGCCAGGGTCCGCCTCTCAGGTCTTTCTTGCTGACGGTAGGCTCGGTAATTGGGAGCAACCTCCGATCACCTACTCTTCACGGCTGCTATCCACCTGTGTTGCTTCCCCACGGATGGAAAGATTGAAAGAACTCCAGTCGTTGATGTTGATCTACCACACTTGATTTTGAGCATCTAGTCAAGATCAACAGTTTCTCTCATCGCATCTGGCGCCATTTATCCGCGTCTCTCTTGCGACTTCTTTGCTTGTATTGGATTATTCACGGAAGTGCAGCTTCGTGAAGCAGTGCGAGGATGCCTCTGCGACACATATGGAATTAAATATCTTCTACCACAGGGAATATATCAACTTCGACGTTATCACGACGTTGTCCCAACATTTGGGGGACAGGCTTGGGAAGGTCTACCTTTTCCATTATTCTCCAAGTGTTCCTCAATTCAAACCCCTGGCTACGATGATGTCAAAGTCGAATAGCAATACCACTACGCTCCATTTCCAAGTGCAGACGCTCAGCCCTGCCATCCTCGATTTCTTATGCCTTGACATGCCGAAGCTCGTGTCGCTCGGCCTAGTCTATGAGAAGCTTGGTGCAGCCGGTAGCGATGGTGGTGGGTCTGATAGCGACCCTGTGAGCATCCTCCTTAATGCTCACCGCTTCCAAGTATTCCCAACCGTTGGGAATTGCTTGACCGCCTCCCACGTGCAATAGTCCATGGGCGCCACCACAATTAGGACTCTGAGCGTCGGTATGAGACGGAGAGTAGGGTTGGCAGAGTCGATCTGTCCATCACGCTGCGCCGCGCGTAGCTACCGTTGACGGGTGCATGTCGTCTGCGCTACACAAACCTGAGGTCGAGCAGAATTACGGAATGAATATTGTATTGAGTGTTTTGATTTCTTTTAAGACGGTCAAGACTCACTCGAAACCCGGTCCAACCCCAGCCATGATTAGCTGGATAGGACCAGATAGAGAATGTTCATGGCCATTGAAAGCATAAGGGAAGTCGAAGGCAAAGAGACCCTCGCAGGCCCTATTTGGCGCCTGAGTTACCCATTACATTCAGGCGGAAGTTTTTGTTCATTCATGAATATCGAGTAGCGCAAGGGCGCGAAGTACGTGGGTCAACGAACTTCCTTACCCTCAACCGCGATATCGGACGGGATGCGCCTGGCTTCGAGGGACGATTATCATTCTTGGGCAACATCGGCTTGTAATTTAAACCTTGGTCTACAGGGTGGCCGCGAATATGAGAAGGGCGCAGGTCTAGAGTACATGGTCCCAGCAGCAAGTCACTGTGTGGCCGTAGGATAATCCGATATGCTAACTCTGGATGTTATGGATGTTACTCGAGGGTAAAGAACAGAGGTATGATGACCTATTTGTGAACCTCCTCGGCGGTAGGTTGCGCGTTCGCTGGTAACCACTTGACTGGATGTGACCTGTATGCCGGCCAAGGGGGAATAATGGCCTGTGAAGTCGTTAGCACGATTATTGTCGCTAAATGGCAAGCTCCGTACAACCGCGAGCACCACCACCGAAAGCCCCATAGTGCCAAAAGTCAAGCTCAACGACTGAAGGGCAAAGCCCGTGATAAACGAGGCTATCTGAGGGACATACTATCAGTACGTTGCTACTATACTACTGTTCGAGATACTACTCACCGTCGAAGCAATTAGTACGTAGTACATCAACTTCTCTACCAGTTTTTGGCCTTCAAAGTCCTGTTCGTTGGGTCAGCAGCTAGCTCATTGAAGAGGGAGAAAGCTCAACAATCTTCCCCTCCAACATTCCGTTGAGATAATCGCTCATGTCGGCCAGAGGATCGTAGTAAGTCGAAACAGCGTGCTCACTGCTCGAATGCCACGGATGCTGGGGATGGTCGTGGGAATATGCCACTTGGAAGGTAGGAACCGTCTTAGACATGTGACCTGAGAGCAGAAATACTCATATTTGAGAGTTGATGTGCGCCAGAGGAAGTCTTCACAAATTCGGCCCGCAGAGGATGGTGTGGGTTTGAGTGTTTTATAGGAGCATACCACCCAAGTAGTACGCAAGCGAGACAAGTTGTAAGTCTGCTGTAGACTTTTTCGCCCGAAATTATGGTACAGGGGCTGGCAGCAATTCTCAGCAGGAAATTGATAGCGGTTCCATTTCATACTATCACCACTCAGGAATTATGATGTTTACTGCTGGTATACTAACAATCTGTTGCGAGCCGAGTTCGAAAAAGGCTGCTCCAGGATACATAAATTATGGATTACTGCCATTTTGATGATTTCTGCGCAAGTCCCAGGTCCAAGACCGTTCTTACTTAAGGTCAAATCAAAGTGTGCGACGCACATTTCGATTGAGTCAGGAGGTTTGCTCGTCACATGAGGCAGGACCATCTCAAGGTACAGAGTACTCTCTGAGAAACTGAGTGAATCGGCGGCTGAACGGCGGCTCTTTCAGTATGTTATTGTTCTTCTTCTTTGTGGCATAGTGCGATTGTCTTCCTGCGCCGCCGTTATTCCTGTGCCTGGGCTACTAGTCGTGAATCTGTTGGAAAGCGCTGCTTGAGGTCGGGCTTAAGTATTGAAATAGTGATATTTGAGTTCGTGAATGAATTAATGAACCGCCCCGAACCAGTGGTAATTTTCCCACAACCTCCACTCTCCTTCTTACCTCGAGCAGCTGCAGAATCTGCAGCTGCGAATTATCATCGTAACGGCCTAAGACGCTTTGAGGGACACACGGGCGCCCGTATTGCTTTGTCTTGCACCTTTTTGTCACGATTTCCAGGGCACAAACCAACTGTTTCATGGCCACATACCCGACTTCTCTCGCTCCGCAGTTGAATCAAGTCCCAGAAGATCATCTATTAGCAGACGAACAAGCCCTTGGAACAGTCACACCCTCGCACGGAGGCACAGTGAACGCAGGGCACGAGTTTGATATGCCAATTCAGCCACGCCAGGATCTCCAACAACCTCCATCACCAGCCCCGGTTCCAAGATCGACCAACGGTTCACAAAGGCCAAGGCCTATGTCAATGCCTCCTCAATCTTATAACACTTCTGCCGTGGACCGAGATGGGAAGAATGGCACAGGCAATGACAGTGGCAGAAGTACGCCGGCGGGTAATGCGCGACGGTCGCATCGAGAGCGGGAGACCAACGGGTCGTCGAACAAACCACGCAGCTCGGGGAGGATACTGGGGGACTACACATTGAGCAAGACGTTGGGCGCGGGGAGCATGGGCAAGGTCAAGCTTGCGACACATAACATAACGGGCGAAAAGGTCCGTTTCACTGCTTCATTCTCGTATATCTCATCGTTATATCGTGACCTAGCTTGCGGTAAAAATCCTTCCTCGGATACAACCACCACCTTCAAGTGGCTCAGTGCCGCCCGGGTCGACGCCCGAAGCGGTGGCGAAGCAGGCATCGAAAGACGCATCAAAGGAAATCCGTACGCTACGAGAGGCCGCGCTGTCCATGCTCCTTCATCATCCCTACATCTGTGGAATGCGAGAGATGATAGTCCACCAGTACCACTACTACATGGTCTTTGAGTACGTCAATGGAGGCCAGATGCTCGACTACATCATCAGTCACGGCCGACTACGGGAGCGAGTTGCCCGCAAGTTTGCGAGGCAGATCGGGAGTGCGCTGGACTACTGCCACCAGAACAGCGTCGTCCATCGAGACCTCAAAATCGAGAACATTTTGATATCGCAAACTGGGAACATCAAAATTATAGACTTTGGCCTATCAAATCTTTACGACCCAATGTCACGGCTTTCGACGTTCTGCGGTTCACTCTACTTCGCTGCACCAGAGCTACTCAATGCTCGCGTCTACACGGGTCCGGAGGTTGATGTGTGGAGCTTTGGAGTCGTGCTGTATGTTTTGGTATGCGGGAAGGTTCCGTTTGACGACCAGAGCATGCCAGCGCTGCACGCCAAGATCAAGCGTGGTCTGGTCGAGTATCCCGTTTGGCTGAGCGCAGGTACGTTGCTATACGCATTGATAGCGTCTGGTTACTTACCCGATAACAGAATGCAAACATCTCCTTTCACGTATGCTTGTGACGAATCCTCCCCAACGCGCAACGTTATCCGAAGTCCTATCACATCCATGGATGACACGGGGATTCACTGGTCCCCCTGACGCACATCTCGTCCATAGGGAGCCTCTTCGTTCGGACGAACTCGATCGCCAGGTCATAAAGCAGATGAAGGGCTTCGAGTTCGGAACTGAAGAAGAGATCGAAGGGAAACTTATTCGCGTCTTGGAGTCGGAGCCATACATTCGTGCTGTTCAAGCTTGGGAGCGCCGCCGGCACGGCAGTCTCGGCAACCTCAATGGATACAACGGTAGCGGGAACATGGGCGGTCGGTGGGGTGAAGGATTGTCTAGTTCAACATTAGCTGTCTCTTTCGACCATAGCAAGAACGACGCTCCCCCCACTCCGAAGAAGTCTAAACGGTTTTCCGGCTTTGATTACTATCGTCGAAAACTTTTTTCTTCACCCTCTACCTCTCCACCCGGTTCACCTCTTGGCACTTCCCCGCCTAGTTCATCCAGTCACCTTGCTACGATACATGGCAGCGACTCACCAGATCCTACCCGTGCTTTCCATCCCCTTATCTCTATATACTACCTCGCGCGCGAGAAGATGGAGAGAGAAAAGGTGTACGGTCCGGGTCACTTTGCTTCATCGCAACTATCCATTCAAGAACCCAATCCCAGTACCAGCGGCCAGCCCAGCTCAGCGACACCCGCTGTCCCCGACGAGGTCCCTACGTCTGCTCCTAATGGTACTGCTAGAGCTCCAGGATATTCGACTCCCACTGCTGCCCTAAGCAACGGCAAGGCTGAAATCGGCGCCAAGGCCGACTATAGCATGCCTCTTCCCCGACTTCCCGCTCCGGAGACATCACATTATTCCGGCATGTCGTATGATGCTACCTCCGGTCAACCCGTGCCGTCGCCCACATCACCTACCTTCCAAACTCATCCTCAACCAAGGGCGAGAGATGCTGGCCTCCCGGTACCCTTGAGTCCCGCTACGATGCCTAGCTCGCCTACCCAGCCTATGTCTCCAGTTGCTTCTGCGGCTACTGCAACTATCAAACCGAAACAGGTCCAGATGCAGGAGGTTGGCGTGCGGCCGCCTACTGGGGCTACCAACGCTGGCGGAACAAAGACGATGCCACGAGCGCCTCCGGCAAGCACCCATAGGCGGAGTCACAGTTTGAGCCAGCGCCCAACGGTTCTGAGAGGTTGGAGTAACATGTTTGGGGGAGGTGAACATGGGGAAGAAGGGCGCAACATTCCTGATGGTCCGCGGACGGCTGGTCCCGAGGCGGTAACCTTCGTGGAGAAGATCGAGGAGGTGGGCGAGGGCGAGGAAGAAAGGGAGAAGGCTAAGTCAGATGAGGCAGACGATGAGAACCATGGATCCCCTCACCATCACTCAAGATTACCAACATCGCCGCTTTCGACGGGTGCTACGTTAGTCAGGAAGTTCGGCAGCATGCTTGTGGGTAGAGGAGATGAGACTCGAAGACATATTTCCGATCGGAGAAGGGGTGGTATCCCAGATGATCTGGCGCCTTCCCCTAGACCATCTGCCGACGCAGGTAATCAAGAGGAGGATGAGGCTGAGACACCTAAGAACGAGGAGGCACCTATGACTGGATCAATTCGCAAGAAGACTCTTCCGAAAACGGTCGTGCACAGTTTCAGCGGACAGCCGGTGGGAAGCGGAGCCATGGCTGGCGGCCATCGACGAGCAGCCACAATTTTGGATACGCAGGGACGCGCTACACGACACGAGCGAAGGAGTAGTACAGGCGCAGCCCTCCTCAACCAAAATACTTTGGGCCGGCATCGAAGGCCGTCAACAGGGTATGGGGGAGGTGTGCGCCCAATAGCGGAAAAGTTGTTTACTCGTCATACCGACGAACCCGAAGCTGATGTCGCTGAGGGGAGGGAAGATGAAGAGGGCGCCGAAGGCCTCGCTCCTGAGGATCACTATAAGGATGAGGATGACCCCTCAGCTCACGAGAAAGACTTCAAGCCGGTGTTCCTGAAGGGATTGTTCAGGTGCGTTGATCATATCCACGTCTCAGATTATATCTTATAATTATCTCGCCCGCAGCGTGGCTACCACTACCACGAAGTCACCGCAGTTGATCAAGGAAGATCTTCGTCGCGTCTTGGATAGGATGCAAGTCCAGTATCGGGAGAACAAAACTGGCTTTGAGTGCATCCATCTCCCTTCCATCGATATCTCTTCTGTTGTAGAGTCTCCCCGTCCTTCGCATCACCATCACCATCCGTCTACAGGATCCGGGGACACCGGGCGCACCACCCCCACTATGAGCCGCCCCTCAATGACTAGAAAATCTTCTAAATTATCGTTCGGACTCAGACGGGATAAGGCAAAGGAGCGGGAACAGAATGAGAACGAGAAGGACAAAGATCTTCCAGGGCGGCCGTCAGGGGCAACCGCTCTTTCTGCTACGGCCAGTAGCGGCTCTTCCTCCTTCTTCAATGTCTCGTCAGCGCAGCCCGTGGCCGCACCGGATATCAACGTCAACGGTGTCACAGTGGGTGCCGATGATCAGACCAATCGTGCTGCCTCTCCTGTGTTATCGAGCTCTCCATCCGGCACGGCATCATCAATCAAGGGCAAAATTCTACCTCCAATACCCCGCGACTTCGCAGGTACACCCACAATCCCCCCACGAAGCCCAAGCCCAATGCCCACGGGTGAAGTCGACCGAGATGTCTTCGATAGTATGGGCAACAACTCCCTTTCTGTTCGCTTTGACATTACTATAGTAAAAGTGCGTTGTCCATTCTCACCGTCACAAACTATACTGATCGTACTTTTGAAGGTACCTTTCCTTCCTTTGCATGGAATACAGTTCCGCCGGGCCGGGGGTGATGGCTGGCAATACCAGATGCTCGCGAGACGAGTATTGACAGAACTTAAACTATGACATTGGCTGGATTCCCCATAGCACCAACTCTTTATTTCCCTCTCCTCTACATTACTTCTGCTTTCCTTCTATTGTCACCCCCATCCCTCATGCTTTCAGCTCTACGTTATGACCTCTCGTTCTTTGTCATGGCTTTCATTGGTTTTATACGACGTTCACCGATAGGTTTGTTTTCGCTGACGTCTTCGCTGTTAGATTTTTTGGTCATTGGAACAACCAACCGAATAGTTTTCTGAAAGAGGATTGTGGTTTAATTTATGCATATGCAATTTACGTTCCATCAATCTCAATACGAGTACGACTGCATGAATCCTACGATCTCTCTTTGTTCGCGAAACACTGGCGCAAATGATCACAGTTGCTCGAACCTTGCCGTTCAATTGTCCGCGATTGCAATCATCACCGACGTATGTGTCTTTATACAATTCTACCCCAACAATCCTATTCAATTCCGAGTTTGACCTTGGTCAACAGAGTAGATAAGTTGCACCCCGGAAGGATGATTGTAGAGTACGGCGCAGCTTCACGCGTCATCGGCACGACGGATATATCTTTTGCATGGATGATGAACTCTGCCTGGGGCTGAAGCTCACAGAATCTGATGTTCCGAAGTGGCCAGCCACCGCCCGAGTGCCTTGGGGCGATCGCCCGTACTAGGAATGTAGACCGACCCTTCTCAAAGGGTTATCAATGTAGAACGACGGGAAGCTATATTGAGATTAACCCACATAATCGTCATAAAGACCGTCTCCATTGCTATAAATCTCTTCATAGACTAGGCCGAGCGTCATGAAGCATGACACCTGAAGGGACAGAAAATGGAAGAAGGCAGCCTTGAGTGAGTGTCTGGACTCGGAGATGGTGAAGCAACGTACTATTGGTCTTCATCGTGGCCAAGGCCTCAAATTGAGGAATGCTCAAGGAATACTGGTAAAGATGGATACTCTCTAGTCTGTCCCCTAAATGTTTCGTCAACGTCGCGATGATGTCGATATCCATTTCTTGGCTGCGGTACAAAGTATTCACTGGCAGTCTTGAATGCGCGGAGGACGCCGTGTCCTCGAACCCCCGTGGATGATCCATTGGGTCAGACTGAAAGATCCCAACAAGATGAACCCGGCAGCGCGGAGGAACCTTTTCGGCCAAGAACTCGCAGAGAGCGTTGGGGTTGGATTGGAAGGTGGGATATAAGGATGCTTGGAGAAGGAGGTGGCACAGATGTGGGATGTCGATGAGCGCTCTCAAAAAGTCCGAGAGATCGAGTTCATAGGAAAAGGAAAGCTGAAGGTTCAAGAGCGAGGGAGACACCGAATTGATGAACGGTGCGAGGCGAGACGCAATGAATCTCTGATCTTCACTATGCTCAGAACCAGAGCCAAAATGAGCGGGGAAGGCCAACACGATCACTACGAGCTCTTCGAGTCTCTCCATCCGCGCCGAAGTGACCCATGCTGATAAATGGTGTACGGTTCCTTGGAGAACAAGGAATCGGAGATTTCTTTCGACGACCAAACTTATCGTCAACAACAACGACATGGCGGGAGGTTCCATCGACTTGGGATGAAGTTTGTTCCCGGCATCAATGATGCAGCATTCGAGACAAGTCATCTTGACGAAAGCCTGATGCATCGCTTCGAGGACGTCTTTCATTTGTCTCAAGGTCGCCTTGAATGCTCGCACCTCGGAACGAATGCTGACACTTCGGCTACGCCGTATGGATTTTTGGCTCAGCTTCAATGCTTGTGTGGCCTTGGCCCTGAGCTATGATTGCCGTTCTCTCTCTAAGAACATGTGCTCTGTCTCTGGAGCAAGACTACGAACGCGGGCAGGAATACTTGGGTCTCTGAGAGGAACTCTGGCTGAGTGATATGACATTATAAATGAACAAGGAACTTTCAAACCTCAACTTGAAGCACAGTAACGATTTGATCAAATTTTCATCGAGACAACGCCAGTGGATTGCTCGATACAGCTTGTCGAGCACAATATTGTACGTGGCGCGTCGTTGGAAGGAAAATACCGGAGTACCTCCTCCTATACTTCATATGGCATGCGATCCATTGTGGAAGTTGTGGTCATCGTCTTTGCAAGCGAGGGTCACAGAGTCACAAGTTCAAGACACAAGGCGCCAGGCAGGAATCTATTATACATTCAAGCAATGCTCTACTTTTTACACCACAAATAGAGTCGAAATTCAGTTGATCGAGCACTACCAAATATACTCCAGCTCGTCAGAGGGCTTACGTTTAGAGTACCTTTTCTCTAAATTAGCTTCAAATTCTGTAATGTCTTCTATCCCTGCCTTGTACTTCATAGCGAGTAACTCGTCGAGTTTCTTGATGTCTTCTTCTCGAGGAGGTGGGCGACCCTCTGCTGTCATGGACTCCATACATCCACGTACGTCCGTGACAAGAAGGCTGGCTTCAATACCCCCGGGTCGACGGCAGAAAGCGTAGTAATCCCGTGTCGAAACGAAAAACCACCCCGGTCCCTTTAATCGAGTTGGGTTATTCACAATCGGGAAGATAGGCACGGCCCTAGCTCCCCAACCTTGACCTGGCGTTCGCAGCTCAGAAGACAAGCAAACGGTCGCCATGCTGCCGTAATCATATTTTGCTCCATCCGTTCCATTAAATTCGAGGAAGTCGATAACTGCCTGGACGATCTTTGCGGGAGTTGTGTATGGTAATGCTGGACAACCGACTGAGTACCTGTCCGTATGCGGAATGGTGAAAAAGAGATCGTTGGCGGGTTCTGACCATTTGCTCGTTAGGAACACTGGATGGAGGAGGGTTTCCACATGGTAGAATAGTCGAGGCTCAGTGGCGAGGAGTTGAGCGATTTCAGAGGGTAGCACAGGAGTGTCCAGAATGTTGAGGTACGAAGTACGAGGCGATATTTTAAGTAGCTGTTTCACAGAGTCGATGGTGACTAGTTCCATACCCGCTAGACTGAGCTTCGTGATTGAATGGTGTTGTGAAACGAACTGTACAACTTGGCTGGATGTCAAGGAGAACCGAGAAAGGTCAATGATGTCGTTGGGTGCGAATTCTAGGATTCCATCGAGCAACGGCAGGGCGAGATTAGGAAACGGATTGAGTTCTTGTAGGACGCGCGTGACGGCGGGCTTCTTGTCGGGCATCCACAGGAAGGGTTCGATGGCGCTGAGGTCGCCATCAGCTATACATCGGAGAAGTGCTGGATGGATTATCAGGTCGGTTAATCGTGGAACACCCCCGTTTAGGTCTGTCAGCGAGTCATCTCTGGAGACACCAACGGGGTCGCTACCATGCCTCCGCTCATAGTAGCGTTTGTACTCGTGGGGCCATGCTTCCGCCAATGTTTTGAAGGAGATCAACGGCGCCTGCTGCATTGACTCGAGGAGAGCAGGAAGATTATCAGGCTCGTCCATGTAAGCGTCAAAGTAGGATCGCATGTATTGCTCGGAAGATACGGGTCCTTCAGACTCGGAGATGACGTGACAATATGTACAATTCGAGGGATCAGTCACGTCAAATATGGTAATGCCATCGTTGTTATCTACAACAAGTAATCAGCAACACTTTAGGCATGGTTGCGTGATACATACCGCCTCCAAAACTATCCATAGTCACACTCTCAAACAAAGTCGATGAGGCATACCCCAGTTGGAGATCGGACGAAAAAGCAATGGCGAGGATATAGAGAAGATAGGGAGATGGCGAATGTCTACCCCTGATACCCTTGTTTTCGTCAAAATGGCGCAGCTCGAATCGAATGAGTTCTGCGTTAGTGGGCACTTTTGCTAGGTCAAGGAAACGTCGTGCTGCACGAGGGGGCGCAGTGGCATAACACCATTGATGATGAATTGCGGCTACACATTGGTATTCATAGCTTGTGTGCCCTTTGTAAGAACGAGGAAATTTGGCGATGAGGAAGGCTTGATGTCGTTGCCCCATTATTTTCAGCTTCGATAGGCGGTACTGTATGTGTCGCGGAGCACGATGGTCACAGATGCCAGTGGCTGGGTCAAAACCAAAGACTGAAAAGCTAGTTCGATCGGAGTGTCAACTATCTTACGAATATTCCCTGAAATGGTTATTATCTTAGCTTTGTTCTTTTTAGGCAATCGTCGGCAAGTCCCTATGCAATTATTTCAGCCGAAATCGAAGTCGATAAGTGCGCTCGTAGTCTTGAAAAGCCTCGACGTCTCTGATCTTTCGTCTCATACGGTGACGAGTCAACTTCAATTTACGGGCTTGATGTTTCCGCATTCATCGAATGTAGGCTTGCCTTGTAGAAGCTGAATGACAATAAGACGCAGTGTTTTGGCTAATTTGGACACTCAAGCTAGTCGCAGCTTTGGTTGAATGTCAGAGGTATGCATTGTGCCCACTACCTAGTATGTCGCTTTCTCCCATGCCCGTGAGTTCCTCCTAGGTCTTGATCCCGAAGCCTCCACAAGTGAGATACAACGACCGTGTGTGCCTTTCGGCGCACCATATATTTCGAGCGCAGGGAGAAGTCCATGATTCCGATAGCAAATATACATCATTAATGAAGCCGGATCAGTAGCCAGATGTATGGATTCTCGAACCCGGCGGGTGCATGGCACCCGTCGAAATACCTCGATTTATGTCAGAAGGCACGTCCTAAAATATCCATGGGAGAAATGCCGAGTCTATAAATAGACGGCTTGATGTGCAGACCATGAAAGGTATATTTAGGTCAAACCTCGCAGCCGGGAGAGACACCAATATTGGGCCGTGCGTCATGTGGGCGAGTTCTTTGAGAACAACGGCACTGCATCTTAGTCCTTGGAACACATTGATCATCATTCAGACACACACAGATATGAACGGGCATCCCTCTCTCCGCCCGAGTCCAATATGCCGCGCCGCCAGGCCATACATGTGTGGGTCGACGGAGGGCAATAATGGATTTGGTGGGAGTAAATCGCATAGCCACATACCCATAAAAACATCATCAAGCGTCCAGCAACAATGCGAGAAAAATGCTCATCTCATTTACAGTAATTTCAGCCATATTCCATACCTCGGCCCTCGCTGCTCGGCGCTGGAACAACACTGGCGTCGGGACCATCATCTTCGAAGAAGCATGGACGCCCACTGCGCTCGGTGTCCCAGTTAGGTGGGTCACACTTCTGGAAATTCCTAGTGACTATAGAGCCTCTTGCTGACCATAAGCATGAACACCGAAAGCAACACAGCGCCCCCTGTTGGTAAGCTAGACGAGTCCAGGTCGGCACGACCATATAATTTGATCTAACACCTCACGCAGGACAATCGGCTGACGAGTTGAACGCGAACCTGCTCGATGTACACAACCAACGGTTGGCTAGGATGGATGCCAATGGCGTAGACTTCGTGAGCCTGTCACCAACACAGAGCATGACACCCGATCAATGGATTTCCCGTTGTCAATAGATGATTCTGTCGTGCACTTCGCCTTGTATACAGGGGATCGCTGACCCTGTGGAAGCAGCCTCGGTGGCTAGACAAGTCAACGACGAACTGGCGGACACCATTTCGAACAATACCCTTCGTTTCGGCGGGTTCGCCGCTTTGGCGATGCAGAACGCTACAGAGGCGGCCCAGGAGCTGAAGAGGGCCGTGCAAGAGCTAGGATTCTTCGGGGCATTGGTCAACGATTATCAAGAAACCAACGCCAATGGAAATAGTATGTAGTCGTTTTTCAACTTTGCGAGTTGGCGCAGCGGCGTTTGCTAACGGTGACAAATGTTGAATCAGCGACCTTGTTGTTTTATGATACCCCAGAGTTCGACCCATTCTGGCAGATGGTAACGGATTTAGACGTACCGGTGTATTTCCATCCGCGAGCCAACATTCCTACAATCGCGAATTTGGAGTTTTCACACTCGCGGTTCTTGCTCGGCCCGTCACAAGAGTTCGCCGTCACCTTATCAACCCACATCATGGGTCTGTGCACGAACGGTGTCTTCGAGTAAGTCGTCCGATAACCGTTTCCACAGGCGTCTAACTGAGGAAACGGGGAAATAGCCGCTTCCCAAAACTGAACATACTTGTTGGACACATGGGAGAACGGGTTCCTTCGGATTTCTGGCGCATCGACGATCGTAAGTTCCCAGTACGGTTAGCGTAAGCAATTCGCAGCCTTCTGACTTCATCGATCACCCCGAATAGAGCTGGCTCGTCAGGTCCCGCAAGGCATGCCCATGCAGAGGAACCTCTCCTCGTACTGGCGAACCAATCTCCTCGAGACCACCTCAGGCAACTTCGGCACTGACCTCCTCAAATTCCACATCTCCCAAATCGGATTAGACAGAATCCTATATTCCGTCGACTATCCTTTCGTTGCGATCGAACAAGGCGCGTCATTCATTAACGGACTGCCGCAGACCACAGGATTGAGCGAGGAAGAGATCACGGCATTGAAGCGAGGGAGGGCGATCGAGTTGTTGAAGTTGGATCAGTGAAGAGTAGGGCATTCCACAAACAAAGCTTGTATATTCAATACAGGTATTACTCTACCTTCATTACAGAGTCGATTCTCATTTGCTGTATCCGCCTTCGGAGTTCTACCCAAACGGTGAAACCAAAGACGAACGTAGAGAGCACATATCCGGTCTGTCCTTAATTAGTTGCCGTATCATCATAAGCAGTAGCCAAAGACTCACTCCGACGAGCAACCCCGTTCGGTGTCTCCTACAAAGAGAGTACGTATAGAGACTTTCGAGGGCGTGCGTGACGCCGAGGGCGATCCACGCTACTTGGAGGGGGAAATCCCCTCCTATCAATGTATGGGCGGTTCGAGCGGGATAGAAGAAGGGCGACGCGCTCCCTCGAGGGAAGAAAGTGAGGTAACACAGAAGTGCGATAGCAGCACCGGTCTTTATTGTCGCAACGGTGTTTAATTTGAAAGTCGACAACTGGGGGGCTTTGATCTGCGTGATATCAGCGGTGAACCTACACACAAGATAACGTACTCACCATTCCCAAACCCTCTTGCGCCTTGGCTTTCATCTCGAGCAGCCTCGGTTTGACCTCTTCGTACCCTGACAAGGGAGGTTCCAGCGGTACTGTTGCGACTTTCTTCGCCCCGTCCTTCATGGAACAGGTCAGAGTCATACTCTGGAACCGAAAGGTCAGCATGTCTGCTACCTACGCCGATGTGGGTTGAACTTACCCGCGAGTCTATGGCGGTCATCTCTGCACTTGCAATCGGTTCTGTAACCTTGCCATACCACTTTGCGTAGGCAACGAGGGTATCAGGATGGCTGCTCATGTACATGCGCAGGAATCCTGACTTGTCTGCCACTGGGTCCGCCATCGTCGTCGTTCGGTAGAAACAGGTTTCGATTTCTCATCGGCTCGGTATTGAGTATGGAAAGGGACAGGCTCGCACATTATTACGTCTAATCGGAAAAACACCCGAAACTCCCACTATCACAATAACTTCAACTCTGAGTTACCTGAAACGCTAACTGCCATAATGTCCGACGATCTTGATTCGCTATGTCAAAGGACCACTTCTGTGCGACATTTGGAACAACATAGCTAGAGAGGTTCGCTGGAACCGCCTTGATTATGACTTGGTCAAATCGTTGAAAAGTCTGCAGTCAGCACTTTCCCCAATTATTCTACTTAATATCGTACCCTCTAGGTTCTGATGCAGAGGCCCACGCATTGCGAAACGAGTACACATACTCGATGTTCGACTGTGGTTCCTAAATTTCCAGCTCAACAAGTCACTGCAAGGGTATTCAGAACGAGACCCCAACTCAAGGTGCGATGCTCTTCACCTCACTTTGTTCTAGGCGCTGGAATTGGTTTTCGACAGCTCCAGATTGCGACAATCAGAGCTATGGAATCCGTCATGAACAATCTACAAGAATTGTACGAATGCCGCCTTGATACGCGATGGCTCCCGTCAGAGGCCCTACCATTTATATGCCAAGCGTTTTCTCAGAACGAACTAGAACTACGATGCCAGGATATCAGGGAACTAGGGAATCTGGCTACAATGGCTCATCTCAGTAATCTCCAAGAACTAGAAAGTTGGCCCGCCCAAGACTCCCCCAGCGAGACGATTCAAATAGCGGAGTTCTTGAGCAAATTGGACGTCTCCTCTTTTTCCGTCCACCTCGCCACACCCCGATTACCCCGCCTTTTTTTGTGGCACTCGGGCCATTTCCTCGCCTCCGCAAACTAGTCTTAGGCGTAGATCTCAGCGAGAAGTCGCTATCTGATCCATTCACTCTCCTACGCTTCCTTATCGTGTATCTCCCCTTATCCGAGATTCTCAGGCCGCAACGACGTTTCCCTATTCCCATCCCTTGCACAAGCTCTAGATATTCTGTCGGACCTCCGAGCTCTGACTATACCCGATGTCCCTGACTTCGATCTCGTCCTCTCTTCTTCGACACTCCCAAGAGACCGTTGTTGACGTAACAATTCAAGACACATTGGAGTTCCAACGACTGCAGGAAATTGTTCATGCTTTGACACACAAAGGAAAGGGTGTTCTGGAGATGCTTTGCATTGAGATCTAGGTGCTAAACCCGCGGTCTTCGATCTACTTTTGCGAAGTCTTCCCAATCTTCACGCCCTACACATTGTCTACACAGTGATCAGTGGACATTATTTGGACGATGATGGACACGAAGTACATCACTCTGATTGACGATGCAGTACGTTGTTTAGCTTCTACATCTAATCACGGCCTTTTTCTAACCTGTGCATCCTCTGTGGGCTCGCTAGACTCCGCTCGAGATATTCAATGTCGGGACGTCAGGAGCTCCGCCTCGATATCAACCTGGGCAAACCAAGTTCACGAGGCGTTGTCCGACGAAGAGGAAGGATTATGTTTTCAATCATATTCGCTACGCCGTGAATTACGACAATACGAGACGAAACAGTGCGTTGATGATGCAGGGTTGAAAGCTTACTTTGTCCGCTACCTGACGCCAATTGTTGACATCTGCTAGTGTTCAGAGATGATTCAAGCAGAACAACGCCAAGGTACACCTCTCAGAAGGCGTTGGCACAGGTCTTTGACCTGATACACGTCTTGAGGACTTTCTTTTCCAAAGTATGATTAATACTTCCCAGCATGAGGCGTACATTTGACAGGGTGTGGCTAGATAACTCAAATTACAAAGGGCCAGGATTTCATGACCGCGAATGGCGGGCCCATCAGCAACTCGGGTTAGCAGAGATTATCGATTAACGCCTAATCAACCAGCCGCATCGCTTTTACCAAATATTGCAACTGCCTTTCTTCGCGGTGCCAAAAGTGACGACATACATATGAGCGTGAAGATAGGGTGGGCATGGGGCACGATGCCTTGAGGTTTATGTGGATATGGACGGTCCCCCAGCTCTCATTGAGGCATCAACAGCTACCCACGATGCTTAAATCATCGCGCGACACAAAAGCCAGGATCTCCACTTGGGGTTTCAATGTTTACGCTAAGAACTGGGGGAAGAGGTTAGTAATCCTTACGAGTTGAGATTTGTAAATTAACCTTTGTTTTGGTCGCGGAATCCATTGAATCTACTGGATTTATACATTCTCTTCCGTGACGCACTTGGGTTTGGGCGTCTTAATTCTGCTTAACTTGTCCGAGACATCAGCACGAGTTCGAGAGCGCTAGAGATGTACCATCATTGCACGGCCTCGCGATTCCAACGTTGTTGACAGGGCTCCTCTTATCGATTAGCTCGCTTCCCCCATGTCCACATTCTTCTATCGCCATGAAAGTTACGTTGGACGACATTGAGCCAGGGGATACAGTCATCGCGTATGTCTATTTTTCGCTTGGGCATCAGGATCGATGTCTTACGATCACCTTTTACAGTGTTTTGGGCGCCGTTGGGTCCGGAAAGAGTACCGTAGGAGCCTTCTCTCATCGGAGCGATGTTTGAGTTAACGCACCATCAGTTCATTAATGCCGCCACAGAGTCAGACGTTGGCGGCGCGCCTAATGACAGTTTCGGAGAAGTTCAAGTATCTAAATGCCTCATATCCGGAACGTCAACCGTATTTCTTGAAGTACCCAGCTGTGAAGAACTGGGGAAATTCCTGGTATTCGTGTCCAAGTGGCTTGAAAAGGCGTACGTCCATCCTTCTCCTTCCAATCATACTGATTAGTGAAGGAGCTTCCAGATCGGAGATGAACCTCAAAATCTCAGGCGTCATCTACGTCCATTCAATAAACAATATAAACTACGCCCTTGATAGCCTACCTTTCCTCGATAGCTTAGATGCTAGCTGTGCTTCAAGTTTCCGCAGCATAGTTCTCGTCACGTCCATGTGGGGAACTGGGACCAACGACATCCATTCTCAGAGGGAACGCCAACTCATAACTGATAACTGGAAGCCTATTTTGGACCGTGGTTCTACAGCTGTGAGGTTTCTCAACACGAGTCCTTCCGCCTTGTATATCTTGAGCAACATTCTACCTCGCTGCAGAGGAGGAACGCCCGCGTCGTCAATCGACCCACGGTACATCCAGCGTATCGACGCACAACCAGAAGACGGGCACTATCCGCACGTTTCTCTGCTTGCTGCGCTGATCCAAGCAAGTAGTTTCTCCGTGTTCGTTGACTCTGGGGTCGATGTTTGGAACGAAGCCGTCCGTGCCACTCTCGCAATCATGAATACACCCGAGGTGCGCCTCAACCCCAGCGCCCCCGTTATCATGTTTACCAAACAGCTTCAGACATCTCAGGGCCATCGTCGCCTATTTTGCTACATTGCGTCGTATGCTGCTGAATTGTTATTCGCTATCTCCGAGCAAGTTAAGGCAGGGATGCCGTATGCGGAGGTCGCAGATACGGTGTACAATTTGAACCAGTACGTCCGTCCGTTCCGCCATCAGTAGACTGGTTGTTAACATATCCCAGACGACTTAGACGGTTGCTACCACTAAGGAAGGGACCGTTGCCTGTAAGGGCGCGAAGGTGGCCCCGCTCGCCCCAACTAGCCCTATTAAAAGATTGCAAACTACATATAGAGGCCACACGTCAGTTCTTCGAGGTAATACCCGACCCTTTAATCACACACCTTTGTTTATCATGTCCATGTCCACATTCAGGAAGCAACCCTTCTGGGACTGCAGGGTGTCATCGATCGCATCGAGGCTCGCTTAGCTGGACGGTCTTTGAACGAATACGAGCCTTCACTCACAGAAAGTCAATTCAGTTCCCTTGAAAGCTTTACCTCTGAGTATAGTCGAGCCAGTGTCCCGCATCAAGACGATGGGCGATCCATACCAGACCTTCAGCATGCAGATAGGTTCCTTGAGGTGATATAACCCTTTCTTCAAGCTTACGAGCGTTAACAGAGTGAATTATAGGTCAAATACATGGCCCAAACAAAAGGAACCCTAGAACGGCTGGAGGCACTGGCCATTTCTGCCCGGCTTAGCATCCCTTTTCAATCGGGCCCTCAGACGGAGGGTAGTATACCACAAAAAATGACTGTACTTCAAGCGCACGGGGTGTGTTACCACTACATGTCATGATTTATATCTGACGCACGCCTATAGTTCGACCGTATAGCCCACTTGCAGCAATCTATCAACCGCGTTGAATCCTTCGTCAAGGTAGGCTTGGCTAACTGTGCTGCCGCACGGGAACCAGGCTCCCCTAAAGATACCATGTCGGTGGTTGCACCAATCACTGCTGAACTCGCTTCTTCGAATCTTCGCAGTAGTGAGAAGCCACCATACCCTGCCCTTCCCAAACTTGTTTTCGACGCCCGGCTCCTTTCGCACTCTTCGAAGAACTCACCTGCAACACCCATACGCCGGAAGCCAAACCATACAAAAATTGATCAAGGATCGAGTCGTGGTTCGCCCGTAATGCACGTTGACTGTACAGCTTATTCCCCTTCTCTCAGGACTTCCTTTCTCAAAGAGGATGTGTCGCCGCTAATTCAGAGACAATTCATACCTTCTTTCTCGAGCTTAGCCCCCTTCATCCCCGAAGATTCGTTTACCCCTACGCCCACACGTTGGAATCCCAATCTCCCTCCCGTCGACGCGACATTAGTCAACACTTCAAACCCATCATTGACCAGCTATACGTCACAGTCTCACTCAAATTCGATAACTACCCATGATAAGAGCGAAAAGCTGGACGTCCCGCGGCCATTCCCGAGCCTTGGAACGCCAGTCTCTACTTCGGCTTCCGACCTCGTGGTTAACGACGCGAACCAACCACACATCCGAACCACTCCTGACGGAGGTTCTTCGCCTTTTAGCTCCCTGATTGGCCTCTATGTCGACCAACTAGCAGAGACTAAAGAGCATTTCTGGCACAGCTGTCGTGAGACCGCCACAGTCACCATCTACGTCAATCAACTATTGCTGGTTGAAGGCGACCACTTCCATGGCGCTATCAATGGGAGCAGTAGTGTCGGTGGTTTAGGTAATGTTTACTATGGTATGTGCCATCTTCGTTAGTATACCCTGTCCGAACTGAAGTTACAGGCGGCGATGTATTCAACGGATCCATCCATGGATGTAATGTTGGTGGTCGAAATAACAGCAACGATGGTGAGAAGTTGTCCCGTTCAAACCTATTCATTGCACTTCTGAGGCATTGCGCAAAGTGAAAAATAGTCTGAACGAGGCTGTAAGACTTGTAGCCGATTACAAGCCCAGGACATCGTGATGCTCGATTCTCATTGATGGGTCTGAAGGATTCATACTCTACGAGACGATTATCTTGTGTGGCGAAAATATTATCTCAAGAAACATATCCATCTCCGTCTCGGAAGAAGCCAGAGGTTCCCATGGAAGACTTAAGTTATCGAGGCTTTGTTCTTTCATTCCCTTTCACCGTATACACTATTTTACCCTCATCCGATAATGTTTGGGCAGAGACCGTCTTCTTGTTCTTTGAGCCTTTTGGCCGTCCACGCGCGCGTTTCACTGGTGGTTGCTCAGTAGACCTAGGCTGCTGACCTTCGGGCGAATTATCCTCTCGCTTTCGTTTTCTCGCGTTTTCTGACGGTGCTTTATGACTGGCGTTGCTAGGGTCGGTTTTAATCCGAATTCAGTGTTAGTATTGTGACGCCGCGTCTACTTGGGACGACTTGGGCAGGCTCACAATTCGTCTCCATGCTCATGCACATGAGCTAAGTGCTTTGGGATTGTATCAAAGTCCTTGTTGTCCGGCACTTCATGCTGACCAAGCGGGATCCCATGCAATAGCTCAGTTACTCGACTCATATTGGACAAACGCCTAGCGAATACAAAGATACTTGTCGGCTTTCTTGTGGTTCGTCTGGAAGTAATATCATGGTATAGATGCCGTCGCCTCATTGGATCGTTGAAGCAGTAGCCGAATTAGACTGTGGAACCCCCCCGGAAAGCCAGCGAAGTAACTGCCAGCGTTGTGGAATGTTGCTCTCACGATACCGCTCCTTTGAAGAACAAAGGACAAATAGCGCTGAAAGGTCTCATAATCCTAGCTGTGATTGACATACATTGAAAGCTTTATACAATGGTCCATGGGCTACATAGTTTCCCCTTCAACTTCAAGCAGAGATTGGAGCTTGGGAGTGAGGAGCAGGAGAGGCAACGCCAATAGCGAACTTAGTCTTCAAAGCCGTGATGGACGGCGAGAAGAAATACTCTCCACCCCTTGGGACAACGAAGTCTTGGTCCGGAAGCGTGATGTTCGTAGTGGGATCGTTGGGGTTGGTACCACTAATCTGCCTGATACCTCCACCGACCTTCTGTCCGATGATAGCATCGAAACCGGGAACGACTCCATCCAAAGGTGGGATGGGGCCAGCCGAAGTCACAGCATTAACTGGGAAGTTCGGGGCATTGGCCCAAGCTAAAAACAAGCCGCCAGTGAATAGGGTGGTAAAGGTGTGGTGAATAGGGAGGACGTACATTCCTGAATGAAGTGGAAGCCATCATCGATACTGCTGGAGTAGCAGACAAATAGAAGGCCACGTCCGTGGTGCGTCTTCTTGTCGTGGTGCTCCTGGCTTGTGACCTCAGGACCGAATTGAATACCGCGGCGGATGATTCGACTATGAACACGGAGTAGTCAGGAAATGTTTTCTTTTGGTAAGACAAGCACAGCGTACCGGTTGTCGATATCAGCGTTCAAAGGGGGGCCCTCCAAGTCGTTGCGGGGGTATGTCTTTCGGATGTGAGCAGCAAAAGGGCACTTCGTCTGATCGCCTCGAACTAAGGAATCACCGAAGTCGAAATTGTTGTTCCTAACGCGGGGTTTCAGTCAAATGCGTTCTCCCGCATCGCAGAGTTGCAAAGGTTCACCTTTGAGCGTCGGCCGCCAGCTTCGGGTCGTCTTTAAGGGGAGTTATCTCAATGGGCGCACCTATTGAGAGCCCAGTGGTGAGTGGTGTAGGCGAAACAAAGATAATAATGTGCATACCGCTCTTCCATCGGCCTACAATCCTGGCGCCAAGGAGCTCGCTACCTTCCTTCCTCGATAAACCAGGTAGAACAATGGGGTTGCTTTCGAGGAAGTCGTCAAACTCAGGGACCATCTGGAACAGGTATCTGAAGGTTAAGAAACTTCCATCTTTAGCCCAATCAGGTCTGGCAGCGGCGCGACTATCTCCATTTTCCTTCGCTAGGATGAACCCCGGTCTGATCGAATCTTGACCTGGGAACGGGTTCTGGTCGAATTGGTCGACAGCAGGGTTGGAGATACCGTCGAGGAAGCCGAAGCTGAGGAAATGTCAGCCATAAGTCGAGGTGTATGTAAATAACACAAAGACACACTGTTCATGGGCGTGGACATCGCCCGGACGGACATCTCCGCGAACGTGGGTTACCTCGGAGATTGAAGCATGGGAGGTGCCGACACCGAAGATGTGCTTGATCTCGTCGAGTTTCTTGTTCACTGATCCATGGCAATCTCCAGCAACAAAGATGACACCGTGGATATCCTTGAGGAAGGGGGCCTCCCATGCTGGGGTGAAAGCGTCACCATTCTTACTACCAGGATCACCAAGAATTTCAGCATCCTTGCGCTGGCCAGTCGTAAAGGCATTATCGCTCAGGTCATCCGTGATCCCAAGCTAAGGCGAGATATTAATGATTGATTTCATAGACGGTGACGGGAAATAGTTTGCATACCTTCTGAAGACCGAGATGAGAGAAGGAAACGTTGACAGCGGCCATGGGGACCAAGCCTGGCCTCTTCTGACGTTTGTGCTCCTTGATCGCTTCGCGGTCCTTGATGATTCCTGCAGACGTCTTTACGTGAGGAATGAATTGGGCCATGTTGGCCTTGAATTGGTCGACGTTGGTGACATCGAAGAAGAAGTAGGTCTCGGTCCTCTTTGGTAATCCGCCGCTGCAATATGCATGCAGTCAGGAACTGCAAATACGATCCTGGAGGAGGACAAGACGTACAGGATATCACCTTGAATGTTGTTGAGGTCGAGGGGTGGTACAGGTGTAGTCATGTTGAGTTTTGCTGCTTGGAGGGCTTAGGTGAGTAAGATGTGGGCTTGGAGGGTATGAGAGCGTACCAGATAACAGATGGTTGGAACTGAGGACGAGAGAGACTTTATATACTCGAGACAATGGCTCCAAGCGGTGGAGATCAGTCACCGATGGACATGGAGGTATGTAGCTGGTCGAGTCAGGGCCGGGAAGGATATACGAGGATATGGCCTGCGGCGCGCAGGTCCAGGTCAAGTGGACAAGGTTTCAATTCAATGAAGGTACCAAGAATGGCAGGAAATCTCGCCCAAGGCATCTAGATGTGATAAGTACAAATCAGAGACCTTCTGAAGTTTGGCGTATGTACGTGCGGGAAGGCACTTGTCGGCGGTAATAGCGATGATGCCATTGGCTAACGGCATAGCGATAGCATGATCTGAGGACTGCTAAGGGCGCTGCTCTGAGATCCTAACGTACCAAAGTCGAGTGGAGATACTTACCATGGCGGTGCGCCACCTGTGGTGCTACTTATGAGTGAAGATGGGCGCGATCAACAATGCAAGGCGTAAGTATGCCGGAGCCCACCAGGATCGCCACATTGGAGTCTCCTCCACCTTCGGCAAAGAAATAGCGGTGCTTCTCGAGTGATCCGTTCTTTGTGGCATGGGTACCTACAAGGTTACAATTAATGACCGCTCGGCGGTTGCTAAATATAGTAGACGTTGGCTTCGGAACTCGAAAGTGCCAGTGTAGAGAATGAGGAACCAGGGAGTTCATCGTGTAGGTGTACGGGCGTCCTGACGGAGTGGAAAAGCGTCGCACAATACTGAATCTGGGCTAGTTCGCAAGAAATTCGAGAAGGAACTCGCATTCGGTTTAACATCATCAGCAATGTGTAAAACGCATAGAACCGTTCGGTCGGATAGATGTATTGAAGGAGCTACGACTACCCCAGGGCGATAGACAAGGAAAACGATTATGGAGCTGGAAGAATGATGCCAGTTCTGACTTCTATCCGTCGAGTAAAGAACGGGGAACTTACGTACATCATCGTGTTATCTCTCACTCATCGAGAAGCCTCCTTTCGCATAGTACTAAGGCGGTGGGCGGCGGTGGTGGCGGCAAGTTTTTATCCCAAACGTTGATAAGTGGGACCGCTCGAGCAGTCGCCCTTATCCTACTGGACCCAAAGGGCGGACTGCGGGGGAAAGACGGCATCAAGACTGATGCACATTGAATGGCTAGATTATGCCGTCCATCTGACGATGCTGTTATGTACTGCAGACCAAGGAGAAGCGACGCGTGTAGCGAAGAAGGACGAAAGAACTTGATGGAGATGTCTCTATGAAACGAGTGGTGAAACGGTAGTAGGACCTGGTCCAGTGTACCATCTGACTGGTAAGTATTAACAAACACAACAACGGCCATATCATACAGAAAAGAAGCCCTTTACCGATTGCTTCTGCTTCGAACTTCTGAGCACGGCATCGTTCTTGACTAACACCATTCCCTGTCTCGGCTTTGATGTTTTGCTGGTCACCTGAATTTTGTTTGACTACTTCTGCGAACTCCCAGAGTTTTCTGAGGCCAGTTAGGGTTCCAGGATGAAAACACAAAGAGGAAATGCATATATGCGTTAATACCCTTACGGCCTTTCTCCTTCCAAGCCACGATTCCAGAGTATAGTCATAAAGCGATGTAGACGGCCGCATACATGCATAATTTGATAATCACCTTTCTCCGGAAAGAGCAGGTGCAAAAGCATCTTGTATGCGCTCTAATACTCGGTTCATCATCTGGTGGCGAGGGTCAATAGGAACGATGCTCCACTTTGAGTACTTTCATCCAATGCACTCACCGTAGCAGACGCACCTCAGATACTGGATTGGATGAGCATACAAGGGCAGGAACATCATGGTCGACACTGAACCAACGAGACCCGGTGCCGAAGCCGGGAAAGGATATACACGTGATCGTGGTCTACAGTGATAGGAGCTATTCGACCCATAATTATCTTGTATCTTGCCCCGAAATTCAGAGCTCTAGCCGGAGAAGGGCGGGAAATGCGCAAATAAATCGCGCGCGATCCACAAACGATACAGTGGCATTGTCTCAATGGGAATCTAGTGTACATTACAGTTCATCATCAGTCTACAAGACATGCTGCGACTCAAATATATATCGGCAGTGTTGGGTTGATCCCCGTCCATTCCGGCCCTTGAATAAACTCCTTCTCGTCGATAAGGAAGTCCTATTTACGATGGCGCTTAGCAGCAATACACGTTTACACCCTGTTTGTTACAACTCACCAAAGGACATTCTACCAGCGCGCCTCTAACTTCATTCAAGCGCGCTTTGACACGTTCAAGGGGAATTCCAGGGACGACGTGTCCGGTTTTGACTTTCGGTAGATAATTCTAGTTAAATCGAGTCAATGTCAATGTCATGTCGCATAAACTGTAGATCAGAGCGCCCACCTCGTAAGCCTTCCAACTCCTTACGAGGTTCGAAGGGACAGGTCTAAAGATTTCCGTGAAAATCTCTCGATTCTTGCGCGCCGTAGTGTTCCATAAGATATCAGTATTATCCGACAGCGGATCAGCAACGGCGATGTCGTCTTGGCTATCGAAGTCGTAGTCGATGGGGATCGGTGCGGGTCGCATTTGCCTAGTCACAGTAGTTTGTCTGTCGCCGCATTCCTGGGGCTTGATGAGTCCGAGGTGTTCTCTGAACAGCTGGCGGCGCAGGGTCGATGCAAACCGAGCTGCTTTGTACGGTCGGCCATTCATAGTTGTGTCAATTTCGTCGTTGTCTTCGATCACCACGGCGATTTCCGAATCGCCGTCGCCCTAACAGAGGAACACATGTAAGGATGCAACGGGGTTTTTGATAGAGCGCTCAACCATACCTTCTGACTGCGATCATTGATATTGGCCGAACCCATCTAGAAAGTGTCCGTAAGTAGATAGCCCAAGACTATTGAAACGCAGTAACTTACAATAACGCGCCTGTCATCTACGATCATCAGCTTGGAATGAATATACAAGAGCTCGGAAACATATCTGCAGCACATATTAGCACGCCGAATATTTCCCTTCAAAGAGTTATGATACTCACGCTTGAAGCTCTTCTTCTTCACTGCCAAGCCACTTCTCCTCCAAAAGACTAGTCCTGTCGTGCAACATATGCTGAGCAACGCTATCTGCGACATCCTCGTCTCCGCGAAGCGTATCAGCGCCATGCTCAAACCTCTTCACAATCTGCCTTGCTTCCTCTTCAGTGGGCGGAATCCGAATGGACTCAATCTTTGCGGGAGTCTTCTCGCTGAGGACAACTCCCTCCTTGTTTGGCTCGGGAATCTGAAACTTGGCTTCCGTTTGCACATTTTCGTCAAATTCGTTGCCAATCCACTCCCGAGCAAGAGCGACTTGAGCCTCAAGGAATCGAACGCCCGAGTTCCTTTCGATCTGCGATATGTATGATTCTGGAAGGAAGTGAGTAGACGCCCATTCGGTGCCAATAGAAATGCTGACCGTATGGCGCGTTGATCCTGTCGTAAGAACGAAGGTGGTAGAATCGAATGTAGTCCAATCTGACAGGAGCGAAATATCAGACGGAAAAGTTGGGTTGGTATGTATGACGACTCACGGTTCAATACCAGCATCTCTGAGCTCCTCGTAAATGCTGCTACCGCCCCGGTTGATGGATCTGTACTGTGCAGCCATGATAATCTTCAGTGAGCCCTCGGTCTTGATATCGCCAGCGAAACCTGGGACTTCGGGAATGCATACGATGACCTGCAATGTAGTCAGCAAACCTGCTTGGCAGCTTATGAGGGAGACATGACTAGCCTTGAACCGCGCACCCTCTTGGAATGCGCGTTTGATCCTGCGGACCAAAGCCGCACCAATTTGATTCACGATTGGCCCGCAACCAGTTTTGGTGGCGGTGATGCTAAGGAACTTTCGCCTCAGCTTCAAACCCGTCCGAGAACAGACGAACATACAAGAATTGATTCTCTGCGCGAGGTCGTTAGTACGAAAGGTACTGCCAGCAGACACGAGAGCTCACCAATGTAAATAAAATGTTCGGCTTCGTCTATCAATTGAATATCTGAAGGAAACTAATCTATAGTTGCTCTAAATCTGATAGAGAAGTCACTCACAAGCGTTCTGGATGCTCGTCTCGTTCAAGACACCTGTGAACGCCGCCTTAAGTGTGAGCACGCTATCCGCTGTGGTGTGTGCATTACGAACCGTGAGACCAATCAGACACACTGCGCACGACTTGGATATTGCAGTTCGTCGACCCCGGGTGTTGGTATTGCTGCTTGTCGTCCTCATCCGCTTCATTCGCGTCATCCTCGCCTCCAGACCTATGCCAACGGTTCTTGAATCTCCGCCCCATCTCGTGCCACTGCTCTCTGTGAGGGTGGCCTGTATTCAACCTCTTTCAATACGGAGACAAGCAGTCGATTGAGGGAGTACTAACGGGCAACGGGTTCATGTGGTGCGGTCTCTACGTTATGAGGCAAGGCCAACCAATCGTACCGTCTGTATACGATGGGATGAGGTAGATTCTCCAGTTAACAGTGAAGAACTCACGAGTCATTGCGATACTGGCAAGATTATGTTAGGTGAAGGCAAAGCAGCGTTAGCTCAAATGTCGTACCTTGCGCTTCTTGATCTCATTCCATCTTTCAACAAAGTGTTGTACAACGTCAAGGACAGCAGGTCCCGTCATAGTCATATGAACCTACGAGCCGTGTGATTAGTTAATTTTATGATAGCTTCCGAGACGGACACATAAGAACATACGTCGTGCCATGGCATTCTGGCGCTTTCTAGGATAGACAAGGTGTTGCTTGCGTACTCATACACATTCTGGAAATCCTGGATTCTGGCGTTGTTGTAATCCTGACCAGGGAAAAGCGTCCTTGAAAAATCTGCCGGGTGCACATCAGCAAGGGGATGATTGCTGGTATCCCAGCGACCAAAGCAGAGATCGAGGCCGCCGATAGCGACATAGTGGTTGTCCACAGCTACGACCTTCTCATGGTGAGACCAAAACTGTACGTTATCTATTGCCGTAGGTGAGTTAAAGGGTGCTATGTGCGCAACAAGTATCTCACCTTTGGACCCAATGTGGTCTGGGTGACGGATACATAGGACATTGGGATGCAAGCTCGAAAGGACTCTCTACAGAGGGTAATCAGCTTTGAATATCCAAGCACATGAGACAACTTACCTTGGTGTGCTTCGAACTCATTGACATCGTTTGCGTCACCTTTCGATCAGGGCGTTTCATATCTTGATCCGGAGCAATCGGGCATCGTGACACATACCTCTTTGTACACAATGACATAGATTTTAACCCCCTGCTCGGCCTTGCGCTTCAGTAGTCTATCAAGCCTCCATTCGGGATAGTACGCAGGCGGTCGGCGAAGGTAGAGCTCGGGTGTCAACCACCAGTCCTATTCGTCGATGAAACATTGCCGGAAAGCGGAGGGGTAGTTCTTACCATGATGAAGATGACATCCCGGGCGCTGTCTATCATTTCAGAAACGGCCCACATGTAGTCATGGCCGTCGACGTGCCTACCAAGGAGTCAGTGGGCGGCGCAGGCGTAAGGAAACACTGCTGACGCACCATTTCGCGGTGTTATCTGATCTCTTGTGTGCAAAACTGTTGAACCGATGCTCAGCCATGATTTCTGCACGAACGGCGTCTTGTGCCTTCTCCTCCGGGTCATCATGGCGCCCTAGCGGATAACCAGGTCAATCTAACACCTAGTCGTTCTCTTTGATTCACGCACGATTGGGATTGATGATTCCTGCCCGAGACTTTAGACCTCCCCCATCGAGAAGAAACAGGGAGCGCACCTATTGCCTGAGCTCTGGCACGCTCAAAGCCATCAGGCAATTTCGCAACCAGATCCTTGAGGAACGACATGGTCAAGCAGTAGTGAGATGGTGGTCCTTGGTGAAAGAAAGTTAGTGCTCTCAGGGGGACAGGATTGATGTTGATGAGGCAATGCCGGTGTGGCGACCCCTGTTTTTGGGACTATCTTTAGACAAAGACAAGCGTATGCTGCGCACCGGAGTGCCAAGGAAACGGGAATGCAGTTCTTCACCCCGTGATCATGAGAAAAGTTTTTGCCTTGGTCTTTGCGGAATCTTGGTGTGGGTGATGGCCTTCCTATCGCGTGAACACAAGTGGATTGGCATCGAGGAATTGCAAAGATATCGATGTATGATAAGATGGGTGGGGCACTGGGCAGAAACGAAGCTTGGGGCTGGGGCTCTAGCTTGAGCTCTAGCCTCCAGTGTCTTCCATTCCTTCATGCATCAGCGTCAGCCTTGTGGGCGTCATTCTTAGCTTCATCCAGAAAGGACTGCTACTACAGTAACGGTATCGGAGTGGGAACGGCACGAGGTGATGGTACCGGTGCATTAGCAAGGCACGAGCTATATTATAGTGGACATGTCGGTGACGCTTGAAATTGTGTTGATATAATTGGCGATGGTACTAACGCCCTTTTCCAGAGTCCATGTAGTATGACTCTGGTGGTGAATCAGTGAAGCATGGCATCTCGAACAAGTCAACCCCAGGTCCCCGTCTGCGAGAAGAAAGCTCGATCCGGTCCAGCAAGAGCGACGGCGTGAGGGTGGGACGCGTTGCCTGAGAAGAGGAAGTTTCCTAAAGAATCGATAGGGGAACTCGCCGGCGTCGTACAGGAAGGTACTTAGGTCGTGCTGAGCTCTGAGCGCAAGTCTCTCGGAGAAGATTGGAGAAGCGCGTCGCATTACGTAGATACACGGAATCGCGAGCTGCGTAACTGAGCACTGAGCGATCGATATGATTCGAGAAAAATGCGGCCCTAAGTCAGAGGTTTGCCCTCCGAAGGCACATTAAATGCACGTACATTCCAGCCTTGACATGAGGATAGTTATCGTAAAGTCCCACCAAAAAAAAACCGAATGTGAGGGGTGGTAACAAAAATCATCTATCAGTGTCCGAGTGCATGATTCACCTTACAAGTAAGTATACATAGTACATACAGAAGAAACGACAACGGCAGAGAAATATAGATCAAGGAATATATACACATATACCCACCTAACCAACGGACGCGTTGGTGTAATTACGCCTGTCCATCAAAACATAGGAGGAAAACACTCGTTGAACCACAATCGACGCCAGGAAACCATAGAACCAAAACAGAGTCAAGGAGAAAGAATACAAGATGCCATCATATGCATATTGGAGGTCGGCGTAGTAGAAGGTGCTGCCGCTTGGCTGCATTGCGTTCCCCAGCCAGTTTGTTTATGGCGTTCAGTAGATCACCGCGGCGCAAGGGTTCTATAAGAAGTGTTAGATAGTGATTGAGCCACGCGACGTTTCGGGAACTCACTTGTGATGTGGTCGTCCTGAGTGAGTTATGTCAGCAAAGGAAGAGTACGTAGAAATGAGAGAAACTCACCATGCCAGCTTGTAGGCAGCGCTCCCTATCACCAATCACTAACAGAAGATGAGACAGAGCTGGACCGGGAGAGATATAGGAAGCACGCACTAGCATGGGCAGTGAGAGCGATGATAGGAGTAGGGGATAGACCGGTGTGCATCTCATAAGATCGGATTAATTCCGTGGCCTCCATGCCCCCCATGAAGGGCATTGACACATCCATCTACACAGTCTATCAGCAACACACGGATAACGAGTAGACAGGAACTTACGAGAATGATGTCAAATGGTCTATTTTGAGTGACCCTACTCTTGAACGCGTCAACAGCGAGGCTGCCGTTCTCTGCTATCTCCACATTATGCCCGTACTTCTCCAAGATTTTAACCGCCAGCTTCTGATTGACCAGATTATCTTCAGCCAGTAAGATGTCGAAAACAACGTCATTTGGGGCAGAGACTGGGCTGACGGTATTGGATTCAAGAGCTGATATGAGAGCTGAAGCGAGATCTTGAGCGGTGGCGGGAGTAGTGACATGGGAACTGATGCTGTTGTCGAGACACCATTTCACTGGATAATAGAAATTAGCGTTATCGAGTGGGTATGCGGAAGACATGAAGAACGGCGAAGCAAGATAAGTGGAAGAAGATACAAAAATCGAATGAAACCCAGCCTCTACTCACGATTCAAGCGGGGAATTGAAGGCGCTAGGAGGACAATAGGGATGTAACGTAGGTGTTCGAACTCGCGAATGGATTCAGTCTACAGACAGAAGCGCCAGGATGAATAGCTAATCGGAAGGGGAGGGCTCTGTCTCACCATGCTTAGCGAATCCACGATGATGGTGTCTATATGTGGGCATTTGTCCTTGTCGGCGACCTCGGAAAGTTGGTGGACAACAAACGGACGGAGCCCGAGCTCCGGGATCCTGTCTACGACACCTGTCTTGTCGCACAGCGTATCCATAAACATGATCGTGCGTTTAGCAAATGGCGCCATCTTCGCCATCGTAGACTCCACGGAGCTGTAGCTGATCTGCGAGGTAATAGTGAAGTAGAACTTGCTGCCTTTCGACACTTCACTTTCTACCCACATATTACCCTGCATCAGTGATACCAGACGTTTGGAGATCGATAGACCAAGGCCAGTGCCACCGTACTCCTAATTAGACCAGTCAGAACCGATAGAAATGTCATGGTGTCAGTGACGTACCCTAGTTGTAGAACCATCAGCCTGACAGAAAGTGTCGAATATGAGGTTCAATTTGTCCTTCGCTATACCAATACCCGTATCCATTACGCAGAACTCGAGGGTAACATGTTGGTCGTCGAGTGCCAGTAAGCGAGTGCTCAAGGCGACGTGCCCTTTGCGGGAAGCTTTGCTAGGGGTGAACTTGATAGCATTGCCGACGAGGTTGGTGATAACCTGACGAAGACGCAGGGAATCGCCAATGAGTTGATCAGGGATATCCGGCTCAACATCATACGTCAGATCAAGCTTGTTTTGCGAGGCGCGGACGACGAGGGTCTTCAAGATTCCAAAGACAGTTTGGCGGAGGGAGTAAGAAACAGCTTCCATGGTCATACGGCCGGCTTCGACTAAAGGACTTAGTTAGCGACGGAAGAGTCGTGAGCGAGCTGACAATACGCACTCTTTGAGATATCCAAGATGTCGTCGATGATCAACAGAAGCGACCTAGCCAAAGAGTGCACCAGCAGCAAGCTCTCTCGTTGTGATCTGTTCAAGTCGCTGTCCAGGGTCAACTCCGTCATACCAATGATGCCGTTCATTGGGGTCCTAAAGGCGCCAAAGGTGTTGAGCCACGAATGCCTGATATAAACATAACTTACCTGATTTCGTGACTCATGTTCGCCAGGAACTCACTCTTACTCCTGTTCGCCAGCTCAGCAGCCTCCCTTGCAGCGGTGTTCTTTTGGATACTGTCGCGTAGATTGAATACCATTTGATTGATCTGGGTCTTAAGCGAATCCATTTCTCCATTGGCCTCGACGGTGATGAAACGGGTGAAGTCGCCGTCCATGGCCGCAGCGCTGATCTGGGCGAAGCCTCGCACTTGAGTCGTAAGGTTGCTAGCCATGGTATTGACGGACAGACTAATCATCCCAACATTATCATCAGTATATGTCGAGTTGAGATGAGACGAAGAGGAAGAACGCACGTAATTTCTTGCCAAATTCCCTGGACATTGCCAACCTCGGCTTGGACACCGAGCTTGCCTTCTGTGCCAACTTCCCTTGCAACCTTCTTCACCTCAGAAGCGAAGATGGCTAATTGATCAATCATATCGTTGATAGTATTCACCAAGTTCAGCATCTCGCCGGAGACCGACACGCCAGTGATCTTCTGCGTCAAGTCGCCCCGAGCTACGGCAGTCTAACAGACAACTCTGAGCAAGGACGTAGCCAGGATATCAACCCTCACCTACCGTTGCAACAGCGATATTTCGCACCTGGAGCGTCAGCTACGGTGGAATATTTGGATGAGCTACATCTGCAAAGCGTGCTGAGGAAACTCACATTATTGGCCATGACGTTGACATTGTCAGTCAAATCCTTCCACGTTCCACCGACGTTGGCTACTCTGGCCTGCCCGCCAAGTTTGCCTTCCGTGCCGACTTCTCTAGCCACTCTATTTGAAAGCTCAGTTCCGATGCATCTCGCGGCATTTGTAAGAAATGAAGCGCTACCTTGTAACTTCGTCCGCGAACACGCTCAAACTCTCCGTCATCCCGTTCACCGTCTCCTTCAAATCCAAAATCTCACCACGCACATCCACTTCGATCTTCTTAGTCAAGTCGCCGCCTGCAACGGCCTTGGTGACTTCGGCGATGGAGCGTACTTGATTCGTCAAATTCATGGCCATCAAATTGACGTTCGACGTTAGAACCTAGACATCGCCAATAATCGGTCATGGGAGCAATCCCTACGCAATGATACGGACCTTCCACATGCCCTTCACCTCGGGTACTGAGGCTTGTCCGCCGAGTATGCCTTCCGTGCCTACTTCCAAACTCACCCTGGTCACTTCCCTCGCAAGCGTGCTTAGTTGCTTAACCATCTGATTGACCTACAGTACCGAGTTCAAGACATCTATGTAAACCCACTCTAATGGTTACGCACCGTTTGCTTCAAATCCAGCATTTCGCCTTGCACATCAACCTCCACAAACTTGCTCAGATCGCCAGCAGCCACAGCTTTCGTAACGTCCGAAATTGAGCGCACTTGGTCAGTCAGATTAGAGGCCATTTTCTAATCAGTAGGCGGGTCAGTGCTGACTTTGGAGACCAATGCCGTTGGGAATAAGGCCCGAGCTATGTTTCGCAGACACAAGAGCCACGAGGATTGAAGTTGAAAAGACGTACGTTGACATTCCTCGTCAAATCAGCCCATGTTCCCTGAACTCCTTCGACCTTGGCTTGGCCACCCAGAATACCTTGAGTCCCGACTTCCAAAGCGACGCGAGTGACTTCGCTGGCAAATGCACTGAGTTGATCTACCATTGAGTTGACCGTACCTACGACGTCACAGCATCAGCGATGGAGAATTAGCACTGCTTGTATAGATATAGAGAATAGACACACCCTTAAGCGTGCTCATCTCGCCCTCGACTTGGATCTCAATCTTCTGCGTCAAATCCCCCTTGGCCACGGCTGTCGTCACATTTGCAATGGATCGCACTTGGTCCGTGAGTGATGAACACATCCTATTGACCTGCGTATCCCCAAGCGAAACATCCCGCCGTATTGTCAGACCACAATCTGTCACAAGGGCACATATACTTGTGAACTTACATTTCGAACCAGCTCGTACCAGACTCCTTCAACGTCGGGAACGTGTGCTTGTCCGCCTAGTTTACCTTGGGAACCGACTTCTAATGTTACGCGGGTGACCTCTGCTGCTAAAGCGCGGAGTCTGTTCGAGATAGGTCAGTGTCTTCGATAGGGTTCTATGAGTGGAGTGGGAAGAGCGAAACTTTGAAAGAGCATGCTTTTAGTGATAAGAAGCACGGGGTGGGAGTTGACGTGGGTGAGGGAGGGAGGCCGTTCAAATAAGGATAAAATGGCGGAGTCCACACCTAATGACCATGCCGTTAACGGTATTCTTCAAGTCCAAGATTTCACCGCGCGCATCAACGTCAATTTGCTTGGATAAATCACCTAGTGCGACAGCTTTCGTGACCTGCAATCAGACGATATTATGCTGAAAATACGTGTGGGGATCAAGTATGAGCTAGAGGCTAACCGTTGCGATTGATCGGACCTGACTTGTGAGATTTGCTGCGAGCTTGTTTACAACGCCAGTCAGTTCCCTCCAAGTGCCCTCGACGTCCAGAACCAGGGCTTGGCCACCGAGTTTGCTATGCCGTGTAAAAGGACATGACTGCAATAAGAAGACATGGACTCACCCTTCCGTACCCACTTCTTGACTGACACGAGTGACTTCTTTGGCGAATTGTCCGAGTTTATCGACCATACCGTTAATAACGTCCTTAAGTTGAACCATAACGACACCTTGTACCGGAACCGTGATCTTCTGGCTCAAATCACCTCGCGCCACAGCGTTGCAAACTCTGGCGACGTCCTGAACCTGAGCCTTGAGTAACCTCAACTCCTCTACAGCACTCATCCCACTTTCAAATGCTGCGTGCACGAGTGGGCCCATGGGCACGACCAATGGGGAACCGGAGGATGGCGCGGATGCTGGGAAAGAAAGGGTCGATAAGGAGGCAATTTTGGATACCATGATGGCGTCAGTAACGATCCTGCTACACGTTGGGCACTTTATGTTGTCATGTACGATGGTGGGGGGAGCCGACGACGACGTGAGCACGGGCAGACCACTACCGACGTATGTTGGGGGTTCCTTGGTGAATACCTCCTCCTCTTTCGGCGAGTACTCGGGGGAGGCATGGAGGGAACTTGCAAATGGGTTGTCGTTATCTCTCAAACCTTCCAAAGATATTGTCATAGGCGTAGAATGAGCGGGGGTCGATGATCGCAGAGAATGATTTCCTATTTGCTGCCTTGGCAGGTCCCCCGGTGTCTCTGGCTCGGGGGAGGATGCGGGGGTCGAATCGTTCTGAAAGTCATATAGATTCGGCTGAAATTGCCAACAACTCGTGTGCTTACAACTGACGAACCCCTGCTCTTGTTTGATTCTGCGTCGTACATCCTCTTCGCAAAGTTGCTCAAGGAGTTGAGGATTGTGTCCGTCGTCCAATCCGATGGGCCATCATACCTTGGCAATGGTGCCGTAGCTGGGCCAACTTCGTAAAGGGAGAGCAGAGCAATGAGATGGGCTCTGAAGGGGTCAATATTTGAGGACGGTGACGAGAACGGCGTGGAGACCGACGAGCTGAGCATCGCCATCGTGGCGAATGGCGACAAGACGGGTCTGCGAGAGAGCTGCAGAAGTTTAGGAATGAGGAGGAGCAGTGGGTTGCAGGGGAGCTTACACCGTGGTAACCAGTTACCATATTTAGCATTGCGGACTAGGAGCTTTCGTCCTGCTGTCCCCTCGCTGAGAGCTGAATCTTATACTTGTCCTTCTAATGGACCATCCCATTGACACGCTTTCCAATTCAGGGTTCCTATCCTTAATTTATCAGAGCTGATCTTACTAGGGTCCACCACGCTCCAGACCACTACATCTTGATATCGGGGACGTCCTGGCTGTTTCACTGCTGTTCAATGTCGCTGCGGGGAAGGACCACAATATGGCCCGGCGGGTTCATCGATATGCCAAATAGCCTCAACTCGCATGACCAATTGGCCTGATGAGCCTACGAGAAGCACACTCGGATTCTGACCAAGACTGCTAGCTCAGTGTCAGGTTTCTCGGCAGAATGGTTTGTGTCACTTGCCCAGGTCTAGAGGCACAACACGAGGGGGTGTGCTTTACCACTAGCCATCGTGTGGCCATGTCCTTTAGGAAGTCGGGGTCCTGATGTGATGTGTGACGGTGATAGTATAATAGATATCTCATCGAGGCAGTCCCACAGACGATCCCTCGAAAATACATAGGCAATAAGCTTCAAACATGTTGTCTTTTAAGCCCTACTTGCTAGAACGTTTTAGCGACAGGAAGGTGTCGGCTAAGTCGTCGTTTTGGAGCGCCCCGGTCTGCGATTCATGCAATTGTACTTCATAAATTTAATGTCGCGTGCCGCATTGGTCGGCGGTATCCGCCATGCATCTTCGCCGAGCTATTTTCGCGTTTGATGAGTGGTTGGCGTGTCCTGACCGGAGTACCAGTAATGGCGTTTACATTGCGACGAGCCCCTGTGAGCAGGAAGAACCAGGCAAAGTGGGGCCACAACATTACAGAGACGGATTGCGTTAATCTAATCGCGAGAGGTGATGGAGATGACAGAAGCCTTCGACGGCTCGTGTCTGACATCCTGACCTCTGGGAAGTTTCAACTTCGTAGTTGCAGAGAATAGCAACAGGCCTTCGGCGACCGTCAACGATATTCCACATTGTCGCGCCCGCCAGCGATGTATTCTTAAGTGGCTGGTATTGAGCAAACCATTTCAGATTACGTCTTGCGACAGTGTCATTGAGATTGGGACAAAATATGGAAGTAGACGTAGGCTCGAATCTAGCATTCTGGGAGTAACCACGACCGCGTGGGGGTAATACTTATGGGTAGTATTGCACCCCACTCTACGAAATCCCCCCTGGCGCCCTTGTACGAAGCATACTGGATACGAGTCTCAAGTCGGCGGCCAATGCTTGCCTCGGAGAATGTCGTGAAAGTTGCGCACGAGAGTTGTAGTTCCGAAACGAGCCTTGAGTTAATCGTTCTAACACGGGGGCGTGCACCAAGGCACCTCAGGCATTGACTGAGGGCAAGGAACTGAGGGCAAGATCGATGTATTGTGCGTTGAGCGGTATATCCGCCGACCCCCAAGTAGTTAGAATGAGGGATATCATGTCAAATTTTGATCAGGTAGTGTGTCTTGAGAGCGTAGTTGTCATACTTTTGGTATATCAGCTAACGAGCCGTGTCGCGATCCTCCAAAGACAGTGGATGAGCCCCTTTCCTCCCCTTTTGGTACAGGCGCAGAATGAGATACTCTGCATGGTAACAAGTTGTTGGTTTGCGGCATAAATTGGTAGCCTTTGTACTCGCTATTGGCTGGAACGAAGTATAATACATGATCAACTGCAACGTCTTTGCGGACACTCAGCGTCTGATACTTGCAGTGTTGAGTTAGCGCATCCCTGCCTCGCGGTCAGCGGCGGAAGTGTATTGTAGAGCTGGTGTGACAGTGACTGACAGAGCAAGGGTGCCAGGACCCCCCAAGACCGCAATGGAAGCCATCAATTACCAAACACAGGCCTGAGGGGACATCATCAATATCGGGGAAACCACGAGGCGCTATGGGAGAGCACGTTTAACAATAACTGACTGCCAGCGCCCAGGTGACCGAAGCTTAACACTGCAGCAGTAAAGGGTACGAGGACCACCGCATCCTGTAGAATCTGGGCGTGGACAAAGCTCAGACAAATAGGTCTGAAGTTGCTTTGCGCGATAGTTATCGGTGCCTAAGTAATCTACTTAATAGATGGGGTGGCTATTTCAGGGTGGGTGCAGTTATGACACCGGGGATAAATTGTTATGTTTCAATAAGAACGACGTGAGGATGGAAGTAAGTACCTTCTTTCTCCGCTAGACCGACGCCGCTGACCTTAACGAGGTGCACGGAGGTGCACGCCTGGTCTACACGCAGAATAACACCTCAAAACGAGTTGATTGGTAGTTCAAATGAGTGAATGTTAGGACCCACGCATTACCAGCAGCGAGAAGTTGATGTGCTCAGTCATGAGTGGTACCAAGCCATTTCTGGTCGCGACGATCATTTGACATGGGCTTTGTTTTCATTGATGCGCCTGTGCATTCTGCACGCCCTACTGCCCCTCGCTGTGAGAGAAGCGAGGAAGCATGTTATGTCCTGGGAGAGCAGCAGGGAGGTGTATCCGAGCCCATACCCGCAAAGCGGTACATAGGAAGGCAGTTTGACCGATGACCAGCCTGGGCACGAAAGACTGCAAAAGTTTACGTCAAAATACCCAATCGGCCGGGTGTACTTGTGAATAGAAGTCGAAGACACGCAGTGCACTCATCTTCGGGCGCTCACGGCAGACTTCCTCGCTGTTAGCCAACAGCGCAGTACTTGAAGTCGAAGTCGATAACGGGGGGGCATCTGACCTCCTCCCTGACGATGTTAGCGTACTATGTACGTCAAAATCTCCGACTTTTGAGGATGAAGCAGCCGCTCACCATTAACTTCCAGCCATGCTCGTGGGCTGCACGCCGTCGCATCCCCTTCTAGATGCGGTGGTCGGTATCACAGGGATCATATTGTGGGGTGATGATCGCTTCAGGGTAATAAGGACACCAAGAAAGGTTTACGTCGAACTTAAAAAGCTCTGAGGATCCAATGGGACGCCTTGAGGGTGGGTGCAAGCAAGATTTAGGGCGAGAACACCTTTTGTCATGTCACCCTAAAGCTGTCGTGTGCCGTCAATCGGTGTGACACACGGACATAGGACGGTTCCTCCTGCTGCTGTCCTGAACTTCCCTGCAAAATAAGATTTGTCATTAGAAACATAAAGTAGAAGGAAGCGAAGGGTGATTAAAAGCACACGTACTAGCCACCAACGGATCCTGACGGCCGTTCATCAGTCAGTTATTTCAACGCGTTGACTTTGCACGAGCAGGGTCATTTGCTTAGGAATAGACAGATCGCGCTGATGAATGATTGTTATTGAATGCATGCCCTTGTATCCTATCCTCAAGCCGGGGGTCCGATCGGAGTAGGTACCGATGCGTCTATATCTCCATCCCTCGCTCCCAACAACTCCATCAAGTCCTGGCGACCAAACATATGGGCTGTCTGGATGGCATTGGGTTTTCCCAGACGGACATCCGCGCCACGCTCAACTAGCAGGCGAACAACATCATCGTGGCCCTTGAAGACGCACCCCGCGACAATCGACTGCCCGTTATCGTTCAATCTGTTGGGATCTGCTTTACGCTCGAGAAGCTGCTTCGTGAGTTCCAGATGCCCGCTGTACGCGGTCAGCATGAGGAGGGTGTTGCCTATTATTAATGTTATGGCGAGAGAAGGCGGTATTTCCGAGCGCGTGCGTACCTTTTTCATTGGTTAGATTAACTGGAAGCCCTGCATCGACAGCCGCTAGGAGAAGTTCGGACTGATCGTTGCGGGCAGCATCGAATATGCGGTGGGCAAAATCAACGGTTTCTTGCGGTAGAGCTGTGGCATCAGAGCCAGCCTACCCAGTTAATTTCACTGGTCAAGGCAGGTTTCTGGACAATGGCACACCGTAGATGTGTTCGAGGCGTCGGTCATGGTGTACACGCGAAGCAAGTAGTAGCTGCGAAAGTTGACTCAAACTCCGCGTAAGGTCCCTGATTTATATAAAGTCCCATGACCGCTTATTCGGGTTTGGGTTTGAACTTGTACCTAGACTTTACTCATACATGTCTTCGTCCTTCTCCACTTTGATCCCAAAGAAAGGCCATATAGCGGCAGCTTGCAGGTCGTCTACCCCATCATCTTTAGTTCCCACAACACCTTGCACTTGATAGACTGAATGTTTCTACGGAGCAGTCTCGCGTCAAACGCGTGCCTCAGACCATGAAAGCCACTCACAAGACCAAGCGACACCTTGATACCAGGAGGTCCCGGCTTGTATGATTCTAATTCATGATCCTTTCCGTCGATCAGTTGCAGAATGTTCTTCCCCGCTAATTCGGCCTACAATCGGTTGCTCAATGCTCAGTTCGAAAGGGAGGCGTCCGTAGTGAGTCTTACCTGCGCGTATGCTGTGTGCCCAGCTTGAATAGCACCGAACGCATCAGCAGCATCGCCAACGGCGAATATGTGCGGGTAAGGCGTATTTTCGACGGTGCCTTCAGGATTCTTATCCCCTTCCGGCTTCAGAACACCCACCTGCAACGTCCGAAGGACGTGGACGAGGTGAGTGCCTGGGTCAACGGTGGCTGGATCCATCTTTCCCATGATTTCGGTGTTCGCTCGCTGACCAGTGCAAAGCATCTAGGAATAGCATGAGAACGTCAATATACCCTGCAAAATGTGTCTCTTACCAATAAATCTGCGGCCAGCTCTCTACCTTTTACGGTCCGGACAACACGCTGGCCGGCCTCGTTCCGTTTAGGCGGAACCTCTTCGACCGACTTGAGGTCCAGCCGTTCGCCTAGTATCACATCTACGCCTAGCTTTACCGTGGATGCGAGGACTATTTTAACTTTAGCCAAAGGTTCGATCGTTCCGAAGGCGCGCTACATACTCTCAGTGTGCATTTCTTCATTAAACCTCGGTAGCAGGCGTTCTCGGGAATGCAAAAGGGTTACCTTCTTGTTCGGATGGACAGCGGCAATGTCGGTTGCGAATTCTAGTGACACTTTTGAGAGTTACGGCGCGGAATAGAAATAACACGGACTTACGAACACCCAAGGCGCCGCCACCAACGACCAGAACGCTAGGTGCGTCCTCGATGACCTTCTGGTTCTTCTTCAGCCACTCAATACCTTGCGTCTTCTCACCTTGATATATCAACTCCTCCTTGCACTTCTCTGGACTTGCGACAACCCCGCAGACGTTGCTACCCCATAGGTCGGATGGACCAGGCAAAACACTTCCAAGGGCGTACACCAGGTAGTCGAAATCAAGGGCACCATCATTTATACCATGTTCCGGGAAGGACTTCGATAGTTTGACCGAATGTGGCGCGAGGGAGACGACATGACACTGGAGGAACAGATGTGGATGCGGGCCGTCGAGTAAGAAGACCCTGCGGTAAGGGATAACTGCGAGAATGAGGCCTGGGATCGCCATCAAACGAAGTCACTTACAGGCTTTGTGCTCGTGGCTAGGGAGAACAGTGAGCCTAGGGAGAATATAAACGTCTGCCGTTCCGTCGGTTAATCTACTCTATATTTCGGATTTAAGCTGCGTACGGTTGGCATGTCTATTAATGACATGAATGCACGGTCAAAGTGAGACGGTAGGGGCTAAGCGTACGAGTTTCGATCAATGAGAACGACTTTCCAACCTTCGGGAAGACCTTGCGCGAGGACTTGTGCAGCGTGAGCACCTAGAAGCATATGATTTTAGCTTTCGGAAAATTTGCACATCGAGACAAACAAGACCTCCGTATGCAGCGCCGAGAACTACGACGGTCTTCGTTGATTGGGGGACGGCCATCTTTCTAAGTGGTAAACGAGGGGGAGAGAAGAGCTTCGATGTAGTTAGATTCTCGGAGCAGTTCTTATCTGATAATTTTTATCATTGTGGGAACATCTTAGATCAGGGGGACCATGCGCTTATCTCGGTCGTTATCAGCTTCGGATTGGCGTGGCTCGCGAAATCATACGGCGACTTTGTCCAGACACGCCTGGACTTGCGGGGGAATATATATTACAGCGAGTACGCCCCTCAATCGCTGTTCACGCTCACTAACACTGACGAAGCACTGTAAGTATTACGCGATTCCCTATGCACACCCATGTAACCTCCTATCCAGCCCAACATGTCCGAAATATCGACCCTCACTGCTGCACGCTACGGAAAGGATAAAGTTAGGGTGCTCCGCGTCGTGAGGGATGGGAGCTGGCACAATATCGTCGAGTACTACGTGACGACGCTCCTGGAAGGCGACATAGACGTTAGCTACACGGCAGCAGACAACTCCGTGATCGTTGCCACCGACTCCATCAAGAACATAACATACTATCTGGCAAAGGTTTCCCCCCATGTCCTCAACCCAGAACGATTCGCACTTCACATCGGCACTCATATTCTCTCTAAATACTCACATATCCACAAGGCCTTCGTAACGGTGCAGCAAGTTAGGTGGACCAGGATTCCAGTGGATGGAACTGACGCGGGGCATGCTCATTCGTTCTTCCGCGATGGGGACGATAAGCGGTTCGTAAAGGTGGAGGTGGACGCAACCAAGGGGAAGGACAAACTTACCGCCACCGTTACCTCCGGTATCACCGATCTCCTCATTCTCAAGTCCTCGGGCTCGTCGTTCACCAACTTCATCCGAGACGGCTACACCACTCTCCAGGAGGTCGATGATCGCATCTTCTCGACCTCTGTCGACCTCTCTTACACCTTCTCGACCATCAGCATACCCTCCCCAAGCGACGAAGCCAAACTTGAGTTCGTCATCCCTCAGGGCTCTGGAGGGGACGTATGGGATGAAGGAGTGTCCAGTAGGGCGAGGAAGATCACGTTGGACGTGTTCGCAGCGGACTCAAGCGCCAGTGTGCAAGCAACCCTTTACAAGATGGCGCAGCAGATTGTTACCGAGCACGCCGGAATCGACTCAGTATCATACTCCCTTCCGAACAAGCACTATATTGCGGTAGACATGAAGTATATCGGCCTCGATAACACGACCCCGTCCCAAGCGGAGGTGTTCATGCCTATCGAAACTCCAAGCGGTCTGATTTCCGCCACAGTTAGCCGCAAGAAGTAGCCTCTCAATGTACGTATAAATGTATTAACTACGCGAGAGTAAAGATGGACTTTGGAATCATCATGCCAACCTGTGAACTGGTCAGTCATTGCTGGACGTAGCATAAATATATGGATGCTCACAACGTAGTTGGGCATATCAACCTAGACATCGTTGCGTGAGTGTGAGGGAGTGTAGGAGGTAAACGTCGCGTCTCACCACTTCGTGTAGTTTAAGATCTCCTGCAACGCCGCAAAGCATGTAGGCCTCCGTTCGGCCTAGCTGGTGTTCGGCGACAAGATAGTCTATCATGTACCGCACTGCGGCTCTGATAGCTGTTTTGATGTCTGTGCAAGATTAGCAGCGTGAACGATGCAAGGGCATGCGTACCGTACCCGAATCAATTCCAGTAGTACAGTAATAGTCTTCACGAGAAACCGCTTCGGTGGTGGTGTAGTGTGGCGTCTTGGTATACGCTTTGTCTTTGCGTATTGTGAGCCGTACCTTTACGTGTATCGGCGTCTCGAGAGCACAACCTACAGATACAAGTTAACCTAGCCTTGGAGCAAAGCCAGGGAGTCTCCTTACCACACACCTCTAATCCGAGTTAAGCGAGATACTCTTTAGGCAATAAGGCGGTAACACTTACCTCCGTCACCTTGGGCTGCGTGACCGTCCTTAAAGTCGCTCTATTGTCAACACCACCAAGACGGTCGGTGAATAACGTCTTACCCCAATTGAAAACAACGCTCCTTCCGCTTCTATGGGTAAGTACAGCGTGGACCCCGCGTGGAGATACTTTGTATCCAGATTACCTCCGGTATTGTACGGAGGAATGGTCGAGAATGCCCCTTCCTTGCCTGGCGCAACGCCCATCTCGCCAGGAAATGGTCGCAAGGGGATCTTTATCCCCTTCTCGCGATCGAACCAGGCGAACCCGTTCTCCTTATCCAGCTCCCAGATCTTCAATGCCGGCGTAGGGAACTCGTCAAGCAGGACCCCGAATCCAGGAATGAGTCCAGTCCAACCCCAATCAGCCGTCTCGATCTCCAGGACGTCGACCTGCAGCGTATCTCCGGGTAGTGCGCCCTCTATGTGAACAGGGCCACTGACTTGGTCAAGCTCTGCAACCACGAGGGAAGAGAGCGTTGATGCAGTGGAGGCTGGTGTGATCTGGCCATTGGACGAATCCAGGCAATCAAAGGCGATCGTATCGCCTGACTGGGCATAGACCACGGGCCGGATACTAAGAAAGTAAGAGTTGGAACTGAACACATCACAGTGAAAACTCCAAAAGCGCACCTCTTGTCCCAGGCTAGATGGTTCTGGGATCGTCTCACTGAATGGATTGACATTTTATGAAGATAGTCGCTGTGGAAGGAGGGGTCTTTACAATCAGAATCTTACCTTCCTGCCTTAAGTGAAATCTACAGTATTGCCGGGCCCCGCTGCGTGCATATGGAAGATTTACAGTGTATTTGAAAAGATAGGAGGATTGTAATACCGATTCGGTTCCTGATCGATCTTATGCGTTGTAAGCCAAAACGCATCAACGATGAGGCATTGGATATGTAGTATAGATGATAGAAGATAGACGTTATGAAAAAGAGGAGGACGCCTCACATCCGTTCCAGCCTTGACCAGTCAATAGGACGGAAGGCAGGTGGTTTCAAATGTTCTTGCGTAGAAGATATATCTGACAAATGGCGCATGGTTGGGCGCCCGTGGGGACAGTTCCATGGCAAGTCCATCGTTCCCATGTGATGGATAACCTATTACGAAGAATAGTAAATACCGATGAAGTAAAGAAACAGGATGCCACGTACAGTAGTCATTTGCCTCCTGGTCAAGGGCATACCGACCATCACACTTTTACGACAAGCACGCATAGCAAACATGGCACGGGTTTTGGAGGGTCTCACCATTTGACCGGCATGGTGATCGTGCATCAATTGGATGAGCTCCTCGAGGTCTGCCCAGGTGCTTTGTGTCAGCACTACTAGACTATTGAAGCGAGATAGTATACCTTTGACTCCGAAGATAGTGTCTTTGCTTACTGGCTGCGCAATAAGCTGGAGACGCCGTCGGGTTGGGCAAGAACTAGAGTCGCTTGCATTCTCCTCGTCATCCTGAGTCGTGACAACATCGAAACCATTATTCCGAAGAACTTCGATATTTTCCAGAGCGACAATTTCGTCTGCAGCAGTCAACTCAAGGTTCAGTGGCCTTTTCGGAACGTTATCAACCATCTTTTAATCAGAGAAAGGGCACTCACTTGATCAGCCGCTGGGACTTGATTTTAGTGGTCTCCTGAAGTTGCTCGAAATTGTATTTTTCATCCGCAGCATGTTGATCAACGATGAACAAGTCGTCCAGGGTACCGGAGGAATCTGCATCGAGGTTGGTATCCACATCGACGCCCACCTGCTGAGACCTCGATTTCCGCCGGCGTACGATGATGAACCCTAAATTAAACTGGCCCACTATTTGCATTTTGACAAAATCTTGTTTCTCAATGACTCTTGTTAGCGTCTGAATCGCTTTGTCTTCATCACTGACGTTTGTAATCCCCGCGTCACCCATTTCTACACTATTCGAAGCCGTGCCAGGGGACTCGACGGACGCGTCCCGTAGCCGGTCTTGCAAGTCAAGCCACACTTGACTGATGTGAGTGAAGTCGAAGCGCACTGTGACGTCTCCGCTCTCATTAGTGCTATTGCTGCGGATGACTTCTGGACGTAGAATGGGAGCAGAGCTAGTCTGTGACGGAGTGAGAATGGAAGAGTCAGGTTCATCGAGCGTAGATATATCGTCTTCGAATAGGGAGTCGTCGGTGAGGTCGACGAAGTCTGGCTTCGGGCTATCCAGAAATAGTGGATCATGATGTGATGCTATCTTCTCCTCTCCTAGAGCATCCATGTCCATAGCGTCGGCGGTATCGGTAACGTCATGTCGTGGAGATGGTGACATAAGTTCGTCAACGTCCGCTACTTGTTCTTCGTCTGCGGCATTGTCATCAACTCCTTCGTTCACGCCAACATTTCCTGAAGAGTCGGCAAGCGCTTGGCTACCTGGCATCATATAATCTCGCAGATGAGAGCGTCGATTGACTAGAGTGAGAGATTTCGCAACGACATCCCGCTGGGCGACGTCTTGAGCACCACCCCCGTTCGCGGTATTCGTCTTTACGACATTATTTCTCGCTGAAACCAAGCTGGCAGGATTGCAAACATCGGCGGGTTGACGAAACATGTCTTTGATCTTCCTCTGGACAAGAGCAGGGGACGAAGATGCCGCACGCCTTTGTTTCTTCCGGGGCGGTTCCTGTACTTCTTCATCGACAGCGCTTAGAGCATCAACGGCATCTTCCTTGTCGCAATCGTCGGCGCCGTCTTGTGAAGGGGTAAATTGTCTTGGCGAGCGTGGCGCGCCTTGACTCCAAACCGCCTTTGTGGTGTCTAAGACGATCACGGTAGGTTCGGGATCATCTTCGAGGACGTTGATCGGCGGTAAAGAGGCGGACGGCGATGAAGGGAGTGAAGAGAGAGCTTGCTGACAATGAGTTCGGCTCGGGGTGGGTGGCGAAGGCGTCGGGAGTTTGTCGTTGGGCATCATCGTCTCTTCACAGACATTCGATTCGAGCCCGCCATCCTCGTTGTCTCCTCCCTCATCTTCCCTCTCTGGTGTCGTTCTCTTTGACGAGCCTGGACGCTCATTCGCGGCGGCTTGAGTTCTCTTCTTCGTCGGTGATGGAGTAATTGCTATTTGTGGAGATACGGGCGCGGCTAGATTGTTGTTCATATCATAAGTAGATCTGGAGGGTGAAAACGTCTTTTCCAGCGCCTTGCGTAGAGCTGCTATCAAGTTGGCTTCGTTATGTAGGAAAATCGTACGCTTGTCGGGGGAGACGTTGACATCGTAAGAATCTACGTCATATTTAGGCGAGCAGAGGGAACAAGGTTGGGAATACGCACCAGTAGGGATGAGAAAGTCAGCGATGATGAATGGTGATTGTGTAGCGTTGAACGATCGGTAAACTTCATTGAAAGCTTTCTGGACCTGGATGCGATGTGAATAGGATAACCGTAGAAAGCGGAGCTGCTTGCCTTAGATAGATTACAAGGTCGCCCGTTGATGTAGAAGAATTGACGGTCCGTTCCAGATCTGCCCTGGTTGACGGAGAACTTGGATATCAAGCCCTTTACGAAAACGCTCAAAGACGCTGCTGAGGCCATATCGGCATTATCTTGATCAGGTTGCAGGGCAGCTAGCCGCTTCGTGGCATGTTTATCTCGCTCTACGTCAAGTGAGAGATCTAGGTCGACAATGTTATCAAGCGCCTTGTTTCCCCACAGAGCTGTAACTGCTGCCCGAACCGATGATGCTGCATTTGTGCGCAACTGCACAGACTTGTTGCTGAGAATAAGTAGGTGAGAGTAGTTGATGGAGGCATGCTGAGCATCTTACCCAGAGTCAAGTTGATTGGTCACGGAGAGTCTGATTGATGCACATGGAACCAGTGCGTATGCCGTCAACAACGTTATTGCCTTTCCGAATTCTCGCTTCAGATTTCTCTCGAATTCTTTGCGTCGAACAGGCAGCGGCAAGAAGAGGTTCACGATGTTGATGGTTGTGCCTCGCTAGACATACGGATGAATGACACTGCTGAGAATGTGAGGCGACATACCTGACGAGCAACCTTCGATTTCTTCTTTACTTTCCCACTTGGCGCCATGTCTAAACTCGTCCCCATTGGTGCCTTCGTGCTCGTAGTGACAGTGACCGATTCCGAAAGGGCGCACAGGGATGATAGAGCTTCTCCTCGAAAGCCAAATGTATGGACTGCCGTCAAGTCAGAGAAGGAAGATAGTTTCGAGGTGCAGTGCTTCAATGCTTGGTAACAAGTCAACGACTATATACCCTCTGGATCGATGTTCAGCTCACCAATACTCTCATGGTCCTCCTCGTTGATGCCACATCCATTGTCGACAACCTCGATTGCCCTAAGTCCATAGTGCTTGAACCGTATGTCTTTGGCATATTAGCACTAGCTAGCACGTTAGCGTATGAGCGTACCTATGCTTGTCGCTCCAGCGTCGATACTGTTCTCCACAAGTTCCTTAACAGCAGTCTGTAAGTCAATGACAACCTGACCGGAGGTGATTCGATGGATTGAGCTGCTATCGATAGCTTTGATGGTGGCCCCTGACATGAAATGGGAGAAGGAGCGGGAAGATGAGTGGTCGGAGTTTGCTGACCACGCGTTGTTTGGCCGTATGGACGCGTTGCTTGCCCTATCCACCCCTATCCACTCCTACACACCAATCGCCAGAAAGATCGCAAGGTCTCAAAGCCCTGGTCTATAAACGGAGTGAAAGCAGGCCTACACGGGGAAGGACAGCGCTGGTGAGGTGATCTAACTTAAATCCACCAAATATATGCGGCTAATTCTTACTCTACTGTGCAATGAATGAGCAATCTTGCTGTCAGAAGTGAGAATACAGCATCATGAAATAATGATACGGCCCCGCGCAAATGGTGAGTGTAAGGAAGAAAATCTGCTACAAAAGACATGACATTCGCGCCGACGAGATATATGTAAGGCAGTACGTGCATGTTCTTCAAACATTTCCGATATATGTGCCCAATCTCATCTGGATCAAGTCCAATTTCTAGGCTGTCTACCTAGGCCGCACGAAATATTAGAAAGTGTGGGACGCCCTGCTGCATACCTTCAAGGCATTGACTCCAGGCGTGTGTCGTTTGCGTGTCGATTCGGCTGCGTGTATCTTGTCATCCAGCCTCGATGTTTGTCCTGTCTGCAGATCACTCCTTGGCCTCGCGTCACATCAAGTATGGAGGCGTATACATATAGAACTGCCCCTGGAGTAGGGAACCTGTCTTACAAACGGTGAGAATGTTTCGGCATACTGTATGTATAACTTTGCATGAGGTATGGCATTTATCTCCAGGAACCAGTGGACCTGCAGAGATGAATGTTGGATGGCCGGCGATGCAAACCGCGGGTGATCCTGCTGTAATCGGCCGTTTCGGTGGCGGACACCGCAGTAACTCGCATTGCACCTACCGAAATATTTTGCAGCACAGAATAGACCTCGTGCGCGTCCGCGAGCCAATTTTTTCCCTCACACGAGTGGGAACTTCTGAACTCACCGTTTATTCCTCGTTATTGGGGACGCTTTGACCTCGGAAGCTCAAACGGGGCGAAGGCCTCTGACTAGTGCAAGTCAAACGAAAGGTCACGACAGTCGCTAAAGTAGCAAATAAGCTGAAGAAGTAATAAGTATCGATACATCCGTTTGTTCATGCGGTTATTCAAAGATTTGGTCGTCGAGGTACTGATATGGAGCTTAGATGATCATCTCGAACGTGTAAACCGCCGACCCGAATGCTCTCGCGTCCTCAGCGAAGCTAATTCACAGCGGGCGATCCAGGCCACGATGTCACTGAATGTCGTGATTATGAATGATTGACCGTGGAAGTACAGAGTAAACGGCCCATAGCCGTCCATAGCAACGCGCCCGGGTCACCGCGATCGATGCACAAGGTGATGACAAGCCTTGTCAACAACTTCATTCCATACCACCACCATCATCATCACCATCGCCTCGTCGTCTCTTCATCGTCGTTGGAGGCGAGCGCTGGGTACGCTCCTTCACTCCTGTAGTTCGTGATCGCCACACTTCACCTTCGTTTTGATTCCGTCAACGGCGTCACCGTTCACACGTTCTTTCAACATTCCATTTTCGATCTGGAATTTCCATTATTTTATATTTTCTCCTATTTGAGCCTAGTCGCCCCTTGTTTGCCGCGCATTGCTAGGTCCAGTTTGGTAAGTCACTCCTTCTATGGCCGTCTTCCCACAAGGGCTCGTTGGATCAGGCACGAGGTTAAAAAAGTGGAAGAATGGGAAAGTTGGTTCGAGTTGAGGACGTTGTGTTTTCAGTCGCGAACACGAGGCTACGACGAGGCGTTGAAGTGAACACGAGGCTTTCGCGCGTTGAGCCATCTGTTTGCTGCTATCTAATCATCAACCTCTCCTCCTCCTCCTATTCTATTCGACCATTGCGCTAACTTTCTTCTATTCGCCTCGCGCCGACTCGACTCGCTCCTCCTTCGTCGTTGGACGCGATTCTTTCAACTTCGACGTTCCTATATTATCCGACCACGACCTACGACGGACTTTACGACCACGAATCTGATTTAACTTAACGCTAACGACCGCTCTCTTCCGTCCAACCATGGCTCGACGACAACGTTCTCAACAACCCCATTCTGCTACTTTTGACTTTCCAGACGTACCTCCTGTTCCACCTATTCCTCTAGAAATCCTCTCCATGGTTCCGTCTTCCGGCTCCTCGAATTCCACGGGTTCGAATTCAAAGTCAAAGTCGGGCTCTCCGACATCACCTTCTCGACGAGGAGAACAAGCACGGGCTAGCACCTCCCCAGTATCTCCTACGTCACCCATGTCTCAACCTCAGCCTTCCTCTTCCCCCGTATCACCAACTTCTCCGCAGTCAGGACCTTCACCATCCAATCTCAACACTTCACATTCTACCGGAAGCGGAAATAACGACGTTCTCGCGAGGGAAGACTCTGCCCGGGCACATGCACGAACTCCGTCTTCGGACTACTATCCATCCTGGTTACCGAGGCGGCCTTTGGCCCCACCCCCGCCTGCTTCGACTACCACAACCCTTGCTTTGCGGCGAACACCTCTTCCATTTCAAGACTCAGAAGACGGCGAAGTGGGTCCCTACGGCGAAGTTACTGATGCCGAAATGGAGGGCGGTGCACACAGAGGTGAGTTGCCAAGTCGGCTGAGCAGCGCCTACATTTTAAAAAAACTCAACTCCAATTTTAGATGATGAAGGTGATATTGAAGAAGTTGGGCGAACAAATGGAGAGGGCGAACCCTCCTCCTCTCCAAGCGAGACGGAATCGGCGTTTGTTCGAAACCTCAGCGGGAGGCGGCCGACTCCTCGTTCCGTAAGAATCGTTTCACTCCCACATTCCCCCGCGGGCGCGTCGCCGAGAAATCCGTCTGCTCTCCAACCCTCTCCCATCATCCCTCGAGGAGCTCCTGTCATCCCCGCCGAATCCGCTCATCGTCTACCCTTCCACAAACGTGTCTGGTCACGGGCGACGGGCGCGTTCTCTCATCGTAGGCAAACCTCGCGACCTGGTCTACCTACAGAGTTCTCCCCTCCACTTCCCGCAATCCCCTCCGCCCCTGTAACCCCTTCAAAACCAAGACCGGCGTCAGTCCCAACATCACCGCGACATGCACCTCCTCAGCCTTTGTCACGTCCTCCCACCCGTACAGGCATAACTCCAACATTTACCCATCCGGCTCTTGACCTCAAACTTCTCCGCTCACCTTCACTGTGGTTCAAGCTCTTCTATCGTCTTTGGCCATTTCTCGTTCTAGCTCATGTGCCCATACAAATATGGTTGGATTATACGGCTATTTGGGTGCTGATAAGGTATGTTTCATCGGCTAGTCGAGGCCCTAGTGCTTATGCACCACATCAGCGTATCGCGGCATCCGTCCGAACCTATATCCGGTATCAGTACAAACTCTTCACGGTCATGGTCTCTCGCGACCGCAGCGTATCTCTTTTGCTCGGTCGTATGGTTGTTCGGCATCGTCATGATGTATGAGGGTATATACTGCTTCGTTCGACGCTGGAGAATCAGTGAGTTCTTGGCGCCCATTATCCGTCTCTTACCATGTAAAATGCTCATCTATTAATTACGTTTAGAACGACCTCTTGTGCTGCCTATCTATCTCTCTTCCCCTGCTTTCAACTACGCCGTGATGACTTCGTATAGCACGTTCTGCTTTCTGATGCAAATCCGATGGGGTACTATCGCCCCAGCTGCTTCGCCGCAACCTGCCTCGCCCTCTCGCAGTGCCCAATCAACAAGCTCGAGGCACCCGAATGATCCTTCGGACCCGACAACTATTGTCCCGGAAAAGGAGTTAGTCGCTGTGTCGGCCCTTCCTTCCAGTTCTGAGTATGGTGGCTGGAAACAGTTCATAGCTGAGTCGTGCTGGTTTTACTCGCAGAATCTACCGACAGTTTCTATGTTGGTCCCTCGTGCCGGCTTGGTCCTGGCGCTTTTGTTCACTTTCTCGAGCGTTCAGTCTGTGGTGAGTTCGACGCTGTTCTTACCCTTTTTGTTGCATTTTGTCATTCCCTTATTCTTGGCGTATATTGATGCTGGTTTAGACCATGGGCACGGCGTCTGATCCTGCTACTCCCCGCGATCCCACGTACTTCCGCGTTCAAGATGGATCGTTGACGGCTTACGCTCGTGGTGTATTGATGGCGAATGGCATATGGGCTGCGTGGCGGATCCTTCTCGTCCTTCTCAGTTGGTGAGCCTCCCCAGATTCGCCGTGGCGGATCCCGCCGTATCCGTACCATATTCATCCGTTCATCTTTTCGCAGGATCGGGCTATGGTTCCTCAGCGGACATCTATGTGGTGGCATTTGCGGTCCCCGGTATCGTTGGGAAGAAGAGGAATATGGCTATGGAAGTGAGAAAACATTTCTGGACGAGAAGTCTGCCTACCCATATTCATTCCACCTGGAAACTCCCACCGGTCTTTCACCGTACGCGCAAACTGGACACGCTAGCCCTTACGCCAGACGCTCGTACCCTATGCCTCAAACACCGACGGGACACATGAACATGAATGTCCCTTCTTCACCAGTCGTGCCATCCAGGATCTCCGCTGCTCGGGATGCCTATGCATTTCACGACGACGGTTTCGACTCCGCAGCGCGAAAAAGACAGGAACGCGGCCCTGGTCTCCCGTGGAAATGGCGTGAGTTGACGAAGCTAAGAGTGGCGGAGACATGGGACTTTTGCTTTGTCGCCGTTGCTCCGTTGGCGAAGCAGAGGGGGGTTATCGGCAAGGAGAGACAGAGGGCGGACGTCGAACGCGGCGTTGAGAGTGGTGAAGGAGGCTTTGACGGGATTGAACGCGTCCTGGCCGCCGTTGGATTTCCTAGCTCTCCGGCACCGGCAAGACGAGGAGTGCTGAGGGATGATCTGTTCATAACGCCAGAAGTAGAACAAGATCAGGGTGTCTCCGGACAGGTTGTGTTGGTAGGTCTTGAGGTTGAGGACACAGACAAAGGCAGGCGAAGCGCCAAGGGAAGCGCTGTAGAGGAAGCTGAGAAGACTACGAGCACAAGCCAAGGAAGTAGTTCGAGAAAAAAGAAAGGTAGAGGGAAGAGGAGGGAATTACAGGTGTCGCCGTATCCTTTCGCTGGAGCAGGTGCCCACATATCATCCGAAGATGAGCCGGTGCCATTCCCGCCTTCTCCTGGTCTCTCTCATTCTACGACAGAGGAAGATGACGAAGTCAAATCGAGTGAAGTTGATGATCCGTCCTCGCCATCAAGTAGTTCGCGTGTCGTTTCCTCTAGCTCTGATGCGCGGACTTCTTCCTCTGCCCGAAGACAAACGCTGTCATCAGAAAGAGCTTCAGAGAGCATGTCGTCACTCGGCCAACCAGTGAACTCGCGCTATCCTTTCCAATTCCGCAGCCCACATCCCCCGCGTCATGCAACTGCGCACCACTCCCATTCGGAATCACAATCCACAGGGCCAAGCAGTAATGCTCGTTCGGGTCGTTCCTATATGTCGGCCAGCACTGGCAATCGCGAATCCACCGATTCTTCGAGGCCCAGGTACAGCTTGAGCGATGCTAGCGCTAGTGCTAGCGTCAGTTTGGCGAGCCCATTGGGTAGCCCCACTGGAGCCGCAGCGGGTAGAAGGAACAGGCAGAGTTTGGGCACAGAGAGTGCGATGAGCGGCAGTGGGGTAATACCGATGCCACCAAGACATCCAAGAGGCAGAGGAGGCAGAGGGAGATCTGGCAGTATCCCTTCGAACTTGGGAGAGGCTCAAGTATTGAGCTATTATAGTTCAGCGCTCGGATCCCCCGTAAGCCCAGATATGGAGAATCCCCCGCCATCACCTACGCATTCTCTATCTTCCCCGGGCGACGACGAAGAAAAAGATCCACAAGGTGCCGCTGACCTAAGTAAAGAGGACATTCACGAAGTCGAGGACGAGGGCGCACATGGTGCTGAGAGTGAGGATGTCGTTGGACTTCTTGGACAACCTACTGCTGGTGGTCTGAGTCCAAAGTCTTCCTTCACGGCGCTGCGTCACCGAGGCAGCAGTACGCTGTCTTTGACTGCGCAACTTCAGCAACATCGGTCGAGGCGGTCCGGCAGCAGGTCGGCGACAAATTCGAGTAAGTAAAATCGTGTTTTAGCGATTGTGAAGATTTATTGACGTTCCTCGGCCAGTTTCCGGACAATCTTCATCTGGGTCATCACCCCGCTCGAGAGCCGGGTCAAGTTCAAGATCGAGAGCCGGGTCGATGATATCCGTCCATGTACGCTCGCGGACCCAGAGCTTGTTGCACGGTCTTGGGGCCGCTTCACATTCCTCATTGGAATTGGTGCATGCCACTTTCGGCGGTCGCTCCAGAGCAAATTCTTCCATGGCTAGACTCGAAGAAGATGCAGGAGGTGAATCAGATGACATCCAATCTGGTCGTCCGTCAATGACAAGAGAGCGGGGATGGGCGGAACGCGCTCAACGAGAGGATGCTCAAACCCATTCCAGGAGTGGCAGTGGCAATATCAGCGATGCCGTGATGAGTAGTGTTAGCGGAAGCACAAGCGCTGGAACCAGCGGGGGAGAGAATTATACATTTGGACATCCTCTGAGGACCCAGTGGCACGATCCCGAACATCCCGAATCGCCAGCCGGCCATGGCCAACCATCTCCGATCCCGGAATCGCCTCGTGCTGAAAGTCCGACAACATCAGCAGGTGCATTGAATGTACCGCATCAAGTCGAAGCCAGGTCTTCGCACACCAGTCTGATGACTGCGACTTCCCCGCCTTCGCTCGACGAAGGAACCGTGTCGTATTTGACTCCACGCCAGCACTCGGAGGAACCCGATGATCATCCACGGTCGAGGAACCTGTCCATGAGCCTTCCAATCCCTATTCCTGGGCGTCGCGTTGCAGAGCATGAGCAGATCCCCGGTTCGGTGGATATGATTAGCACGGCAGATCAGAGCTTTGTCACGGCTCCAGCGACTATAACGGGCCACACGACTGACTCTGGGGAGGCGAGGACGGTGTCGAGTTGGGGTGGAGGAGGCGCGGCAGGTCATGGTCCTCGCGATTTGAGCCAGCCAGGTGCATGGGGCCCAGCATGAGGAATCCTCGAGGCAAGCTGCACCAATGCTGCGTTTCCTTCATCTCATTTCTTTGGACATCAAAAGTATCTGCTTGACCTTGTTGTTTCTATCTTTCGACTTCGTATTCGCATTACCCCCTTCCCACCGACCTTTCATAATTTCCTTGTACCGTCATCCCGTTCCCACCCATCCTTCATCTACCATCCTGTGACTGTCTTCATTTTGCACTCCCATCCTATCATCAATCAGCCTCATTCACATACTTATTTAGATTATCAAATGTATGTATTCGCTTTGACCCTTCCACGAGTTTTTGGTTATCCTCCGCCGCGACACCCCCATCCCCCTACCCGCACACCCTATCCATTCTTGACAATCCTCCTAGCATCTATTCCATCTGTATCTACTCGGTTACATTAACCCTACTTACGCACTTCATGATTCGTATCTTCACATATAATGCTCTTGGAAATTCAACTTGTTTGATGTCGCCATGACAGCATACTTAGATCTTACATCTTTAAGCGAACAAGACCACGTATTATGCCCGTTCTTGGGCAGAACCACCTTTTGCTAGCCCCGCCTCCGTAAGCTGCCCTCTGCTCATCCATCCTGCTGCTGATGGCCTGTTTACTCAGAAAAGGTAGTCGTCAGCCATGGGCTAGGCGCTCAAGCGCTCAACAGTTGAAGCAGGCTTTTGATAGAAGAAAGATATTATTACAGAACAAGCAGGACAAACTCATACAGAAGACATACGCGAGCCTCGAATTTCAGTCTAAGTCGAACTGCTTCAGGACACGCCTGAAGCACCGAAGTACTTCAAGGTATCTTCTCCGCATCGCTGATGAACCCTCTCAATGCGCTTGCACTCTCCGCCAAAGACGCCTGTTCCTCTTCATTCAGTGGCATCCTCAATGTACGCAGAACCCCTTTGCGTCCCAGCACAACCGGAAGGCTCAAACAGCACTCCATCTCTTCGATCCAGTGGGAGATCGGCCGAACGTTGCGCTGGTCGAACAGGATCGATTTGCAAATACTTCCAGTGAGAGCGCCGATGCCGTACGCGGTTGCGCCCTTTGCTTGGATAATTTTGCCTGCCTTTTCTCGCGTTTCCTTCGCAATAGCCTTCCGGTCGAGCACTGTGTTCGGTAGGAGACATTGCTCCAAGGGAACGGCACCGATTGTCACGCAAGACCAAGCCACCTTCGCGGATGCATCGTTAATACGAAATCGGGCACAGGATGAACGGATATTTCTCACCATTTGAGTTTCACCGTGCTCGCCCAGCACGTACCCGTCGACGCTCCCGGCATCGACATCAAGTTTTTCGGCCAAGATACCTCTGAGACGGGCGCTGTCCAGGAAGGTCCCGCTGCCCAGTACCTGTCCTTCAGGCAAGCCGGAGAACTTTCTGGCGAAGTAAGTGAGGACGTCGACGGGGTTTGCGACGATGAGAATGACGGCATCTTCTCGGAAAGGCTTCATGTCGTTAATGGCGGAACGAAGGATATGGAGATTGCGACCTAGAAGGTCGGTACGTGATTCCCCTGAGGTCGATTAGGGATCAGACAGCGTGTACCGTATAAAAATTGAAAGGGGGAACACACCGTGCCTCTGCTTTGCGCCCGCGCTGATTACAATGACATCGCATTGACCAGCATCTTTGTGAGTTCCGCTGCGAATCTTGACACCTCCGCCACTACAATACTATTAATCCCGGGCGTCTTCGAAATCGCACAAAGGGATGCCCACCCAACAGCGCCGTGGTAAGTCGTGGCATCGCCCAGATCCTTGACCTGAGCGTCTCGTAGTTCGACTTTGGGATCTACTAAGATGACTTCACTCGCGACAGGATTCAGAATAAGGCATAGCGCGATGGAGGAGCCGACAGATCCTGCACCCAGGATCGCAATTCGCGACCTTGAGGACAAAACATTGGGGTCCATAGCTGGGGGATCCATTATCCAGCGATTTGAGCGAGATAGATGGAGGCAAGCGTCAAGGTTCAGGGGATCATTGAGCCCAGCCTTCTGGCCAGTGCTCGACGCAGAAAGGGGTCACTCCTGTTCCATGCCCCGATAACGCGGCGATCAACGTGCCACCGTTACCATAGAACAGATGTTCATCGAGTGAGTCAATATACTTCTACCCTGCTGCAAAGGAAGTAGAACTCATCCAATTCTTCCTAGAATATGTCCGTTGCCCCATCTACTAACTCACTTCCGATTCTTCATCACCTTGCGTTCCATCGAGGGGAAATACCACTCGCTGATCTTATTTCGCCTTACGCCTACCAGTGATGACAATGTGCAGGCTAACAACCACATCTATGTGATGGAATCTACATGTCCCCATCTCGGCGCAGAGATGTCTCACGCGGAAATCGAGGAATGCGAAACAAGCGTCGTAGCGGTTTGTCCGTGGCATGGGTGAGCCCGCATTCCCTCCCCACGATGGTAGGCCATGAAGCGACTGACAGTTTATTTGGAGAGATATGATTTCGATCTCAAGACAGGCAAAAGCGAGACTGGATTACAGACATGTACATACGACGTGGAGGTGCGCGGCGATGCGGTTTGGGTAGAGACGCCTACAGATGGAAGTGAATGGAGGCTCGTTGAGCTACGCCATGTTTCTGAAGGTCTGCCTACGCGATAATGCTTTTGCATACGGCTGACGGCTTTTCGTAGACTTCGCAGACCCCCCTCCCGCACATAGCGAAACTACGCTACCCGAACAGCAAACGACTTCGAACCCTGACGAACCTGTGGTCCCGCTCGACAACCCCCCAAGGACTCTCATGGAGTGGGCGGTATTGATCCTCAACACACCGCATCCCGCATTGAAAGTCGAGCGCACGAGAGAAGCGGTGCATCTGTTCCGTACAGGGAAGCTGACGTCCATAGGAAACAAATCCAAGAATGCGCCTAAGCCTCCTGACGTCCCTCTTCGAGACGAGAATTTCTTGAAGCAGACGGTTGACCCCGCCAAGGTGAAAAGTAGGAAGAATAGGGCCGTCATGCTTCATGCTCTAGCGAATATCGAGCAGTGGGCGTGAGTGGATCAATACTATTTTACGGCCATGTACTCAAACCTCTTGCTTGCATAGCATCGACTTAGCGTACGTGCCTGCTTTACTCTCATTTATCACCAGCAAAACAACAATCTCGCAGCTGGGACATCATGGCACGATTCGGTTCAAAGCACCCCAACCTCCCTCCCGCTTTCTTCTCCGATTTCACCAAGATGGCTCTCGACGAATCCAAGCACTTCAGTCTCCTCACGTCGCGGTTGTCAGCCATGTCGCCGAGCACGCCTTACGGAAGCATGCCCGTCCACGCCTCGCTCTGGGAATCCGCGTCAATCACGTCAAATTCCCTGCGCTCCCGCCTAGCCATCATCCACCTCGTCCACGAAGCGCGTGGGCTTGACGTCAACCCCGCCACGATTGAACGTTTCAGACGGGCAGGTGATGCAGAGAGTGTGAAAGTGATGGAGGTGATCCATGCTGACGAAGTGACACATGTTACTTCGGGACATAGGTGGTTTACGTGGGCTTGTGAGCAGGAGGGAGGCATAGATCCGGTAGAGGCGTTCCGGGACGAAGTGAAGAGGGGATGGAGGGGAGATCTGAAGGGGCCTTTTAACAAAGAAGATAGAGAAAGAGCGGGGTTGAAGCCCGAGTTCTACGAAAACCTGAAGGGAGAGTTGGGTTATGAAGATCCCAAGGAGAAGGCTGTGCCTGCTAAAATCGTAGTAGGGTATGGTATGTAAGGATTGCACATTCCCGAAGCTCTTTATGCAGTATATATTCTACAAACCGTTCGACTCGTTTGGGAGTGAAGATGGCGCGGTGAGAAAGGGGAAGGAGAGGGGCCAGGAGTTTGGTATGTCGTCTCTCAAAGTTTGTAGCTTGAGTTTTCCGGGTCGAGCGAGTAACGGAGATATAAGACTCTCCAAAAAATGTATGACAAAATGCAGCTGACTCGCTCACAGTGCACAAGGTGGATGCACTTTTCCTGCTGCCTGAACATTATGAGCCTCCTGGTACCCCTATCGGACATGAGTTCGTGTCGAATCCGCCAACGCAGTTTCCCGATAGTTTCCACTATCCACGACAATTTCTCTGGCCCTCTGGCCTACATTATTATTTGTGGAGATCTGAGTGTATAGATCAGCTAGGTCTTATTTCGTCGCCTCTATCGTGATCTTTCCAAGAATCTTAACCGGATCCTGGAGTAAATCGCCCTCAGGCTGTGGTCGTGATGCGACACTATCTATACCATGCCCACAAGCACACTATTTTCCGTTAGATCTCTCGAGTTTTGTCCTCATCCTGGTCACCGCTGGTAAGTGCTACGAAGGGCGGAGAAGGGGAATCGGGGTCGCCCACGTGTCGACATAGCGTTGCCGTACTGGACTCCCAGGCCGAGTCAGAAAGCAGTAGACGAAGCGTACTACAGTCGGCAACTGCACTGTGTAGAGCGCTCAGACATTCGTTAGAGCCGGTCATCTAGCCTTCCGCTGGGAGTAACGCTGCCCGCAGATATGAATACTGACGGCATTTCCACCCATCAGCATGTCGTTATCAATTTCGCGAGTGCACGTCTTTCGCTACCGCTTAGCTCAAGAAGCAGGTCGAATATCATATACTTATTCTGTTACGTATCTAAGTTCGCGTGAATGGGCAAGCTGGGTACTGAAGCCGTGAGTTCGAGCTTCCTTTACATCTTTAAGCTTCGGGTTTCTGGTTGTCTCTGGCCGTCTATACGAGATAGGACACTATCTCTATATCAGCAATACTGCAATGACAGCCTCTGTCAGCACAGAACTAGAAATTGGGAGTCACCAAAGATTTCGTTGGACATCCAGGGTACAGTCATTGTGCAAGACTTATGACCTGAATACGTACGTATTTAATGCACCGTTCACTTTGCTGTTAGAAAATGCACCAGATTCGCTGTGCAATGTCGATGGAAGCGAAAGTGGATAGGGGTTGACTTGTCCTCATGCAGGGCCATCAACGTTTCGTCGTACACACGACCACATAAGGCTCAGTTTCATAGTCCTTTTCCTCTTCGTCTGCATCGATTCAGTCTTCCTTGTCCTCAAATTTCCTACTGGCGCACTTGCGCATAATTTCGCTCGTTACCAGAACCAGGATCCTTGGATCGATAAACCATGACCGACCTCACAGTCCTCCTAGCGCCCAATAACCTTTACCCTGTGTCGAAGTCAGCATTTGCTTTTGGGCTCTCGGCGGGGAGGGGGAGGAAGAGTCCTGGGCCAATGCCTCGACCGGTGATGGTGACACTGGAGTCCGACATTGAGTCGCCTCCGGGTTACGGAGAGACAAATTCTGGTCAGCCACAAATTGCGGCACCGGTACCAAGAGGTTTGCCTCAGGACACAACTCTACTATCACCACCCATCAACACTTTCAAGGCTCCTCGACCCCGACCGCGACATAGGCCTACAAGATCACGTAGTGCGCCGCCTGGCTTCTCGATATCGTCAGAGCAACCAGTTGCTGACACTGGGCAGCGAGCACTAGACGATCTCTCACCGCCGCCGTTGACTGCACCGTTTCTGCCTCGCCCACGGCGACAATCGACATTTACGAGACCTCGAGCCGGAGAGCTAGTGAAGCCACCGCCGCCTTTATGTGAGTTTGCTTGACGTGCTCGTCGCAGATCGTCGCTGACGATATTACGGCTAGTACGCCCGACAACATTTTGGCGCAAGACAAGGCGTTCGGGCGTTACTGGCGCATCCTACTCGCCTGCTTCACATCTCGTTCGGCGATCAACTTTTATCGCAGCAGGCCTTGATTTCGACGCGCCAGGTCACGATCTCTCCGCCTTCGGTGTCGAAAGCCGTGTTGGCTTTATCCTACTCCCGCCTAATCACATCTTCTAAGCGACTTTCATTTTCATTCACTGTAAATTATCGCTCTATATATTTGAAGCACACAGGTCATGACGCCGGCAATCAGTTTTGCGGTCGTCCTTGTATTTTCGGCTACATTCGTAACAGCAACGTCGGCTCTGGCACTCAATGAAGCCGAGAAGCAGAGCGACTCCCCCAGCTCGCCGAAGGCATCTACCATGCGCCAAATGGAACGCCAGCTTGAGGCACCCTTTGCCCCGCCCCCGCCGCTAGCCGTGACTACATCTTCATTCAATTGGTGGCCATATCCATTGGCAACATCCACGCCCGTCGCCCAACCCATATATACCATGAATCCGGGGATTCCTCCACCGCCACCGCCACTACCGACACCCCCATCACCAATTATAGTGTCTTTTCCGCTAGCGTCCACTTTGGCGACCGACACTACCACGACGTCTTCATCCCCTTTTACTTCTTCAATCACCACCCAGTCGACATCTTCATCTTCAACACCGATGTCTTCATCAGTTGCTTGCACTACGTCGGATTGTCCATCCTCTGAGACATCTACTCTTGTTCACATCAGTGCCCAGCCTCCCCTCCCCAGTGCCTCTTCGACGGCCAAAACGTTCCCCAAGCTCAAGCCAACTGCCCTCAGCGCAAAAGCCGCTCGTACGAAAGTGGTGATAATATGTGCTTGCGCGGCCGTTGGCTTGATCGCAGGTTCTGTATTAGCGTGGTTCTGCTTCGGTTGCTGCATGGCGCGCCGACGTCGTATGGGAGGATTCTTCCGGACAAGACGCAGGGATGCTCTCCAAGCCGGCCCAGCTTACGCCTGGGATGCCGCCTCCGTAGATATCATGACAGCAGACCAAGAAAAGCGCGGTGTCCCCGAGGTCCACGAAGCTAACAACCTCTCGCGCGGACCATCATCGTTTAGCTGGGACATTCCTACGCGCGCGCCGTTTATGGAGGAACGACGAGAAGAAGGGCAGTCTTTCCTTGCTCCAGCGCTCCCAATCAAGGATCGGCCATCTCGTACACAAACGCGCAAGTCCACCCGTTCGGCGATGCGCAGGAACACTACAAAATCAGTGTATAGCACATTGACGGGCTACGAGGCGTCGCCAGACCCTATGTCTCTCCTGTCGGATCCGGAGGACGATGAGGAAGTGCTTATGGTTAGGAAGACGAAGCCTTACGAGAGTTTGAGGAAGGGGAGCAAGACTATCCGCAGGGAGCTGCTGGAACGAGTTAGGCAGACGTCTGGCTCGTCATCATTACCCAGGGCAGCAGGGGCTCATAGTGCGAGAAGACGTGTTAGTCGTGGGCACACTAGGTTAAATTCTGATATGATAGTTGACGGTGGGCTGGCGAAGGAGTTGAGCGTGGGCGAGGCGGTGGATGAGACCCAGTGGGTCGAGGGAAGCGGATTCCGTATCGTCGAAGAAGAGTTCAAGTCGGCGTGGGATGCGGTGGGGCAATGGGCGAATAAAAGTCGCAGCGGGAGTGGAACGAGTAGCCCAACCCAAGACAATGATCGGAAAGGTATCTTCAGCAGCTGGGTGGGATCTGCCCGTGCCGAAGAAGATCGATACACACCGATTCCCACTCGGTCGAGCCCCTCGAAGTCTAGCACGAGGTCAAATCGACCGACTCGATTCCAACCACGCGAAACGCGAGGCGCGCACGGGGAGAGGAAGGAGCGACCTGGCGTGCCGCGCGTTGATTCCTCGGTTTTGCCGAGAAGTCCGCCGCAGATTATGTCCCCGCCATTGGCAAGTCAGCTGTTCTTCACGCCGCAAATCCCGCAGGAGCCTTCGGGCGACCCCAATCATGCTCATTGGAGGAGATGAACTGTAAGAGACATTGCATATGCTAAAGGTAGCATAATGTGTCGCTAAATTTGTGCATTGTGCATTGTGTATCAGGAAGTGATTATCTTGTGTTTACGAGCTGTTCATTTGGTTCGAGGCTGCTTACTAGATACAACCAAGATACAGCATGCATCGCCGATGAATAAGAATCCGCAACGCATCGCTTGAAACCCCGACTAATTCTACGACCTTCTTACGTTTACTATTTCAGAAGCAAAGGATCGTCTGCAAAGAGTTCTAGGACATGGTGCAGGGGTCGTGACGGTGTTAAAGGCAATATGTACGCACCGACATCTTGAAAATGCTGCACAGGATAATCAATTCGTCGGCATGAGTTGTTGTAAACGAAGTAATTTCATACAGAGGTGTAGGAGGGGTGGCACCTTAAAGGAGTTCAAATCCTCAAAAAAGTATGCTTATTATGGTAATGCATATCATTCTGTTATTACAAATTATGTGTTGACTTCTCTCTCCCAGCGTAATTCAATGTCTGCTCAGATATTGGTGTCGATTTCGGTACAAGAGAGGTTCACCAAGAAAGATCCTCCCGACTGAATGAAAGGCATATTCAGTTCCGTGTGCAGTGGAAGTCAATTCTGGAACTCACCGCCAAATTCAACTGACAGCAGAGTGGTTGAACCGCGCATGGCGTATCAGAACCAATGCGCTCGCAAGAGTCTGCAACGAAGTGTCGGTTAACTTCATGCAGCGTGGGGTACCTTGAACTCACCAATAGCTCCCCCGGTCAGGAGAGCCCCCAGTACAGACTGGAGGGTGCCATCGACGCCGGCCAATAAGTCATCGGTCTACGGCGCAATGCGGTCAGTGTGCTACTTGTGATCGGGTGGGCGATTAACTTACAGTTTGAGAGGAGCAGCAGAGAGTGGAACCCGTCGAGCACTGCTGATTGGAACCGCCGCTGCTGCCACCGTCACTGTTACTTCCAGTGCGGGGGAGGACAGTGCAGCTGGCGAGCATAGCGCTGGCGAGAAGGATCGATGTGCGAATGGCGAACATGATGAATAAAAAGAGATAGGTTTGAGTGTGGTAGGTGTTTCTTGCGGTGTAATAAGTTTGAAGTGCAGACTGATGAAAATATGGGGGATTGCCTTTCTCTATTTATACGTTTTTCACGGTAAGACCAATTCTCGTACTCTTCATTTTTTGGCGTATCTTGGCCAAGTGTTCTACGCAATGACTGCTTAGGGCGTTCGGGATGTGCGTCATCTGAGGCGCTGTTGCCTATTAGGGAAGCTTTTCCCGCCAAGATATGATGTCGAAGAAGGACCATTGCCCCTCGTCAATCTTAAATCCCGGATCCGCCCATTCAACGCTCCTTGAGCTCCAATATGAAAGAGATCGTTGGCGTCTCTGCGGCTCTTGTAGGGTATGGCTTGGTGTGGCAGCATCTGGCAGCGTCCACTCACCAGGTAAGGACCGAACATTTAATTATGAATTGCTCTCAATTAATTAACAAAACCCTGTGCGCATCCCCACAAAGTGATGTCCATCGAGCGACAGCGAACTATTGGTAAGCTCGTACCACCCGCTAGTTGTGCTTGTGTATGTATCCACTTAGCCCGTCGAAATCTCCTTAACTCCCCAGCTCCTTTGGAGACGAGCTCGCCTTGGAAGTACAAGTTCCTGCGTCAAGACCCTTCCGCATGATTCAATGCTCTGATCATGTTTGCCTAGTTTCTCGGATATGCTAGCGAGAGCCACTTTCTCCACTTCAGCACGGAATTATAGGAGATGAAGCCTGAAAGAAAGGAGGAGAATAGGAGATAAGTCCTGCACGTGACTCGGAAGTCCAGAGATCGTCGACTTCGGCTCTACTTTTCTCCGTCAATGTTAGATGTTAAGCCCGAAACTGCGACGCCGTCGACATTCAAGATTCTGACGCTGCACGCCCATGCCAATCTCTACTAAGGTAAGGCTTCATTGAACGATCGAACGAGCTGCTAGTGGAATAATTGAACTGCTGAGCGGACAAAATCAAGCACATTTACTATGCCCTGCGCACTACTTCGCCTGCTCAATCATGCGCTGTAAAACCTCTGTTGGATGACTGAGACGTTCTTTTTTCAGGTGAGGTTTAGCGACGTGGAGATAGATGCATGCCCTTGCGTTCCAAGATGATAAAATCGCGCTCAGGAAGACTTTGTGGTACTGTTTGCATCCGGAAGGATGGTTACACTCGAAGCGCAGTCCAGTTGGCGAAGATGGCCCAGCGGCAGATGTGCGAATAGCAAACATGATGTGTAGAAAAGACAAGTTTGATTGGGGTAAGCATTTCTGGCACTGTAATACAATGGAAGTCCAGCTGATGACCATCTAGGCGGCTGCGTTCCTCTATAATTAGAGGACCAAGGTACAAGCTCAAAAGCAAGATGTTCAGCTTGAGAGTTGTTGATCGCCCCTCGTAATGGTCATGATCTAGGCTCGTGACCAGCCGCCTAAGGGATCGCTCGAAAGGCCGAGAGTTTGGTCAAATTCAGGTGATGCGGCCGGTTGTTGTGCCATTAGTGTACAATTCGACGAAGGCAAGTGGCAAATTTCCTTTAGATTCCATCGTGGTAAGTTCCTGGTATGCGGCGGTATTCAATCGTCAGTCTAACATTACGACATCAGACCACTTGTTGTTGGGAAACCTGTTACCAACAGTTTGTTCTATCTGCATCAAAGATGTCGCCTGTTGAAGATCACCCCGCGTAGAATTTCTCCCACCACGTCAACCCTTTACCCGACCGTACACCACACGGACGCGGAGATCAGCAAAGACATGCAGCGCAGGCTTGACGTATAGCTATGCTATAGACATCCATCACGCTTTTACAGCAGGCTCGTTGCCCACCACATTCTTTTCTTCCTCCTCCGTCCTCTCCGTCCTCTCCATTCCCCGTTCCTTGGTTCCTTGATCCCCCGCCGTACGCACCCTATCTCTCCATATCGTTTGATAGGAAGTTGTTTGCGTGCAAAAATTGTGGACCATGCATTATTCGGATCGCCGAGATCAGGATGCTGTCTGGCGTGCAGAAAGAGGTCCCCAGGGCAGTCGGCTACCCACCCACCCCTTCTCAAGACCCTCCCCAACCAGGACTTCCTTACTCCCCCAACCGTCTTTGGAGGAGTCACCATCCACTTCGACCTCACCTCTATCAACAAACAATCGACCGCTCCTTAATCCGCTCAACAACCCACTAAACAACCCAGTCTCTCGATTTTCCGTCGACACGCAGACCGTGTTCGCTTCGCAATTGCTACCACGAATATACACCGCCAGCCCCCTCAACCCCAACACCCAATCTTCCCTTACCCACGCCCAGTCCACGCGTTCAAAGTCTCATTTGTTGCTTTCCAGGTATTGGAGATATGTGTTCATCATACTCCTGGATGTTTTAATAGCAGTCACCGTTGTCTGCGTGGCGAGCCTCTTGTCGATGGCCGTTGGCCATCTTATCTTGCGCGCAGCTTCGCGGCGTGACACTCCTGGGCCGTTTGATGCAGCAATTACAACGACGATCCAGGCCGGCGTCCTCGGCGGCGCCATCATCGCTCTTCCTCTTGCAATCACAATCAAAATACTATTCCCACCTCGTGACACCTCTCTTAACACCCCCTCCCGTTCCCAATCGCGAGTCGACCAAGAGGATTTCCTCTCCTTCGATAGCCACGAGGACGGGCGGGGACGAAACAGTCGTACCAGCTATGAGCAGGGTGGCATTCGGGAGACGACACTTACTCGCTACCATGCTCACAGAATATTCGCTTTCATGTTCTGTGAGTGCGTTGGCATAACGAGCGGGCCCCTCGGTGTTGTGCTTTTGAGGGTGTGTTACGCAGGGAGGGGTGGGTGGACCCCAGATGCGGATATTCGCCTGTTGGATCCGACTCACGCTGTTGAAGCAGGCGCGGTGGGCGGCGCTATAGTTGGACCAGGTATTTTGATTCTGATATGGGCTATATGGAAGTTATGGACCAAGATTTTCACACCCCAAGACAATCACGAAAGCAGTCCGAGAGTATCATGGTACTACTAGTGGACCACATATTGAGTATGGCACTCGGGACTAGTATATTTATCACATCAATGTGTACACTACTGGAGCAGCACTGTAGGACCATGCCCAATGACGCGACCGAACGTTCGGTGCCTATATATACAAGCGACGGAAATAGACATTCAAGTAGACTTGATTTCCTCAGTATCTTCTTCTTGTAGCTTCTCTCTTTTTATGTCTCGTTCTTGGTATGGTGGAGGCGCTTGACTCTCTGCGCGGCCCCGCTGCCTTGCAGAAAGCCAGCGCCATGCTGGGAGAGCGCCTAGCACGACAACGAAAAACCCTAAGTTAAGCAGCAGGGGCAGAAAGCCGAACAGTGAAGTGACCGCCCATCTCCAGGGCGTGAAGGATACGTCGAAATCGACCTGATAGAAGTGTATAGATGAGGTACAGCAAAGATTCGCGGAATGATAGCCTACCTCGTTCATGGTCTTAGGGTTGTAATAACATGTTGAAGTCGAGTTCACGGGGTGGTTATCGTAAAACGATTGAGCGCGACCTTGATCTTTGCCAAAATCCTCGTGGTAAGTGGCGGAATGAGGGGTAGACAGCGTACGACCCGAGTAAAAGGTTACGGTGAGATCGACGGAATAGCAACTCGGGCATGTTATTGTGCAGTATCGCCGGCTCGTACTTGAACAGCAACGGCAATTACATCTGTTCCAGGTACTTCAATGAGCACGGTATGCATTATCGGAGACTCAATAAGAACATACGAATGGCTAGAGCAAGATTGGGAACAAGTAGGAGGGCTACTCGTACAGCTGTTCGTACAAGTTTGGCAAGTATCGCAGCAATTTGAGCAACAGTAATACCTGGGAGGAAATGACGATTTGTTAGCCATGAGGTGTGTGGTCAAACAGGGATCGTACCCTCCATCACAAGCCTGCTCCGAAGGGCACGCGGAGGCATCATTCGCACAAGCGCTTGGGTTGAAAACACTGTTCATATAGGATATTTGGGATGAGCAACTGGGGGATCCGACGGGGGCGCTGCTACACCCGGAATTACAACGTCGTTCACAACAGTAACGCGGTTCCAAGCGTGCAGAGAGGATATCGCATTTACTCAATGGCCACCCATGGCGTACGACCTCTGAGACAAGTGGTTAGATAATGTTAAAAATAGGGTAGCCAATATGAAGCCCGCAGATGAGCAGTAACATACCAGGATAAGCGACGCCGAAGAAAAGTCCAAAGAAAAGGCCGAGGGATACTGGGAGAAGCAGCAAACCTATCTTGATGGAGGAACGCATCTCATGCATGTCTTTCACGACTTGCAAACTTCATATACGGCGTCGGATGCTCAAATATCCTCAGCGGATGACATTCGGAGGCTGTGCGTCCTTCCGACCCTGAGTGCTAGGGGCTGGGGCTGAGGAACAAAACCTAGACTCTAAAGGCGGCGGAAGGCAATGAGCAAGGTGAGCATTGGTTCAAGTGGAAGCTTACAAGGTAGTGTGTGGAGATATATACCCGATATGGTGAAGCCGCCTCGTGTGACTTCTTGTGACGCGACACTTCCCCATCAGGTTGTCTCCCGCCATACCTCCCCCGTGGGAAAGCGAAGATCACCTCGGCGGGGCGCTGTCACAACGTAAAAGAATCATTCTACGAAGCGATGCGAGCTCGATTATACTTGAAGACGCCATGAACAGAGGTGCAAGCTATCAGCTTCCAGACCTAACCTCCCTTGTCCGCGACTTTGAGCTGCACACAAATCCTCATTGCCACGCCATTTCACTCACCTCTGGACCAGGGAAGTTAATCAATGAGCGCGATAAAGCGTGTTGGCGTGGAATGAAGGCGGGGTTGCTGGCCTCATTGTGCTTCCCGACATGCGACGCCCCGCAACTGAAAGACCTGGCTGACATCATGTCTGCGTTCATCTGCATCCAAGTGCGCTTAGTGGGTGCATGCGACATGGGAGAATGTGGGTGGACGCCTTCGGAGGGGGAGGGTCAAATGGGGTCGGGAGGCTGGGAGCTTCTTGCGCAGAATGCCCTACTTGCTCGGTGAGTGGTGAGCCTCTATACGTGCTTCCGAAATGACCGTCTTTCAGATTGATCCCACAGGTGAAGCGGCTTGCCTCGCGTGCGCCAGCAGACTGGGCCTCACGGCTGGAGAAAGCATCACACGCTTTCCATGCTGCCCATCTGCAGCTAGTCGCGAAATCCCCGCCACCGGAGAGTATCGAAGCATGCTTGGCTCTCCATACAGACGCCAGTGGCTTCCGTATAATATTCCTCTTAGCGGAGGTCATTAAGGAGCTCCACCTCCCCCCAAACGTCCAATTGCTAGAACAACTCGCAGACAGCGCGCTCAAGATCATCGTTGGATCCCTCGTACGCCCCCCTGAACTACATCTACCGAACCCATCTGACATCTCTTAGCAACTTGTCTCGTACAATCTGCATGCCTCCAAGAAGAGCAGCGGGAACGCCGTGGCCGTCGTCATGTCTCTCAGGGAAATATCCCTGCAGGGGGCGCTCAAAGTCTGCATGGGCGAATGCAGGAAGAATGTCGAGACGTACCGCACGGTCGAGCGCGCGATTCTCGTTGGTCTCTCCGGAGAGGCGCCCCCGCCAATGCCGCCACGTAAGCCCAGGCCGCTTGCAGGTCATACTCGGGCTTCGAGTTCGATCTGGTCCTGGATTCCTTTCGTAGCTCCGCAGGAGGCTCCGGCACCGCCTGCCCCCGAGCCGGCTCCTCTTCTCCCTGTGCTAGAGGTCGAGGAATGGGACGATGATGTTAAGGACGACGTGAGGTCGTATGTAAACGGGCTGAGAGATTGCGTCGTGGGGTATATCCACTGGTTATACGAGACGGAGATATATTTTGGACAGCTTGGGGACGAGGTCAGGGCTACTGGATGGACATTCCTACCCGTAGTTTCATCGTAGGCACCCTCAATTAGAAGTAGACAAAGACAATTGCGGGCAAGGTGCTTGTAATTGTGTCTCGTTTTGCTGCGTGAATAAAGCCATAGAATAACAAGTTCCAAATGAGTCGGGGAGAATCCATTGCCCCGCGGAAGCTCCCTAACTAAGCTGTAAATGAGCTCGATGCAGTCGACATAGCGCTGATCCTATAGCAAGAGGCAGCCTATCATACTCAACTGTCAGGGGTTGATTTGGACACTAAAGACCCAGGCAGCAATCTAGGCGGAAGTGCAAACTTCCTTGTTAGACCTTTTTACAGTAGTTAGGCATTTGACTAGTCGCAGTTTGTCTCCCGAACGGAATCGACGAGTCTCACATCTGGCCCCTCCGCATCAGATTCCTCCTCACCCTCCTCTTCTCCACGCCAACCCCCTCACTTTTGCCCCACTGCAAATACGGCATCTTCTGCTTTTCAAACCCAGGGAGTACGCCCTCTTCCTGCTCCCGGAAGTCCAGCATCCCCCAGATCGGGAGCTCCACCTCGCCCTTCACCAGCACCCTGCATCTCGCAAGCGAAGACGGCGGAAGCGGTGTGAGAACGTGCATTGTTTGTGTGTCGGGCGAGATTGCCCGGATGAGGGCCAGGCCTAAGCATGTCGAAGCGGAAGGCGAGGGCGGGGGGCCGCCTTGGATGTAAGGCACGGAGAAGGGGCTCTTAGATGGCGTTTGGGACGCGAGGTCGAGGAGGGAGTCGAGAGCACCTTCTTCGCAGGCGACGAGAGCGACGAGAGCGCCGTTGAGGACCGTGTGTATCTGTTCGGGCACAACATCTTCTGCACCACATCCTACGAGTACGACGCGCTCGAATGCCGTAGAACAGTCGACCTCGAAAGGAAAGCGGGCGCATAGAGGAGCGCTTGTGTCCCAGAGATCCGGCGTAGTCTGGGTAAACTCGGCACTTGCGCCGCCGGTTCCACTATGGTCTGGGAAAATGGAGTGGAAGTACGAAAGGATGGAGAGCGACCGTTGGTCGGCGGCTGTGTACGCCAGCGACGACGTAAATGGTTCCAGGACTCGATGCCGGGTGGTAGGAGGTGACGCTCTCGAGGTGCTAGACGGAAAGGGTGTTGATGATTGCAGTTCGAATACGTGCGTGGGCTGTACTATCTCCTCGATGCTCTCCAGGAGACTAGCGCCCAGCCCTTTGACCCAGCCCATCGTGTTTACGACGAGCGGGATGTACTCGCATATTCTATTATCCGCGAGGGGTTCGAGACCAGGTGTTTGTACCTCTGTGCGGTAGGTTTGGAATAGAGAATCAACAGAGGCAAGGTAGTGAGAGGGCGACGATCTAGGGGTTGTTGATCCGATGAAATGTGCACGGAAGGGCAAGGAGGGATGCGTGAAAGCAGGACCTGTAGCGTAGCCCCCGATCAGTGGTGAGTATGATAGTCATAAATGCGAGGACTAACCGAGAACAGGCTTGTCTAGGACGTGCAAGGAGACCATCCCGGCAGGACCGAACTCGGATTGCCCGATGTCGCATTCTAGAAAGGCTACTCTTGTATACCTGTAGTTGGTCCGTAAGGCATAGGTGGTATAAGACGCGAAAGACACGAACTGGGAGAGTAGTTTATTCAGCAACGTGACCGCAAATGTACTTTTGCCAGTTTTCTTTGGGCCCTTGACCAGGAATACACCAGCTGCTGAGCTTGAGCTTGGTGAGGGAGGAGGATTGAGGCTTGATAAAGCAGCGTTCCAGGATGGGAGCAGTGTCAAGGGTTGTAACGAGCGAGTTTGCTGTGTGACCTAAGGAGACATCAAGAAAATATCGGATAAATGAAGAGAAATGCCACACCATTTGAACCCCACGCAACCCAATATCCTCCACTTCGCCATTTGTCTTTTCTTGATGTGACTCCCTAAACATACCATCAAATGTCCCCAAAACGCGCTCCAAACCCTCTGCTCCGAGCGAGAGTTCCTGGACGATAACCAGAGCATCAAACTTTGCGCAAACAGATTGGAGGCGAGGAGGGACTGGACACGGGGAAATGGTCGATGTTGAGGATGCCGAGACGCACTCAAAGGTCGGTAGATGTGAACATTTTGGCGCAAAAACGCGGTGTGGACGAGGAACTGTGCTGGGAGCAAAGATCGCGCCACAGGCTTCCAAAGAACCGTGAACTACGACAACGGTATAGGCTCCTAGAAGACAGAACCTTTGGCCCACCGACAACGCCAGTGCAACAGCGTTCCCGCGTGCAGCCTTCAACCCGAGCCCATTAATCTCGTCGGATGTCAGCCTTAGAGTATTGGTACCGGCAGAAGGTTTAAAAGTGGTCGGCGAACGCGTTGGAAGGGTGGAGAGATTCGCTTCGGGCTCCTCGCCATCAGACCCCGAGTCCGCGACGGGTGCGCTAGGCGACCACCTTCGACCGCGAGCTGGTGGTAGGGGATCAACGGAGACTTCGTCGTCGTCGGTACTCAGACCGGAATCAAAGGAATCATTGTCCCCTTCGGACTCCCGCAGCTCACTCGCGACGACAACTGCAACTGCCTTCTTTCCTCTCTTCCCCTCATCTATTTTCGAAGCTGATAATGATTTCTGTCTTTTTGGGGCGCCGACGCGAGGCTCCTCTGCATCCCGCGTGCTGACTTTGCGTTTTGATGATCTTGAAGATTTTGAGGGTCGAAAAGCGGGTACATCTGCAGCCTCAGTTTCGCTGGGCGGTGCTTTGTCTGTTATGGTTGCAGATTTCGCTTTTCGGGCTGCGATGGCGCTGAGCATGGTCACCGGTGAAGCAGACAAATAAGGCAACCCGGGCTCTCGGATTATCCACATGCAGGACTTTCCATTATATATCGCAAGAAATTGCCACTACTAGGACGGTGTTGGGTCGGTTCATGTAGGTAAGATTCCTGTCCAGGCTCGGACCCTTTCCCCCAAGGATGCACCATATCTATAGTTTTAGAACGTTTCAAAACTACGACCATAAACTGTATCATCATACTGACGTTTATCTCTAGATTCAAATCTCTGACTCCTGCCCCGCATCTTCCACCAGAACATGAATTCAGACAAGGACAAAGTCAATGTCATCGCTGATTTCCAACGATGGTGCTCCCAGAACGACATATCGTTAGACAATCGCCTTGAGATTACCTACAATCCAGATTCCGGAATCCATATCCGCACCAAAAGCCAATCTATACCGGCCTCAACAACTGGTATGCACCCCCTCTACACTAAAGCTGCCGTGTGGATGATCTAGCTACATCGCAGTGTCGTATATACCGAAGCGCGCCGTTCTGTCCACCAAGTCGTGTTCTCTTGCGGACAAGCTTCCTCAGGATACCGAGTACACCCACGGCCTTGGGGCGCAGCTGATGTTAGCGCTGGCATTGTACAACGAGCAGTACGTATACTTATCCTGAGATCGTGGCGTTTCTTGAACATAGTCTGGGACAGATAGACTCCGTGGATCGAATTCGCGGTGGTACGGTTATCTGCAGTCTCTCCCCGACTTTGTCGATCTACCGATGCTGTGGCAAGACGGATGCGAAGACGCGAAGGAAGCTGCCCATTGGCTTGTTGGAACAGAGGTTGAGAAGGAAATGGCCGTCAGTGCGCTTTCAGTAAGTTATATTATTCCCCCCCCTGTTCATCTCATGACGTGTTATACGAGGCCCGTATTAGAACGTTCTACGAAGACATTTCGAGACGATTTCTCCCCCAAGGTGCCTCACTAGCTAGCTATACCAAGGCATTCACACTTGTCTCTTCGCGGGCATTCATCGTCGATGCGTACCATGGGCTGTCTATGGTCCCTATAGCGGACGCGTAAGTGCATCTCCCGCACACATCGGTGCTCTTTCTAACGATTCTCCAGATTCAATCACTCACAGGATAATCACGTCCACATCGAGGTAGCTTAAAGTAATATCGATGACCGCAGCATGCTGAAACTCCAGCTAGACCGATTTTGATGTCTGCCCGTCATGCGGTGCTCTCTACGAGTGCCCACACGATGATGAACCCAAACATGAAACACACGTTGGGCAGCATCATTATGATTCTTGCTATGAAATGGTGGCGAACATACCCATACCGCCTCACTCCGAGGTCTTCAATACATACGGCGAGACTCTGAGCAATGCCGCGCTTCTCGCTCGATATGGTTTCGTCCTGGACGTGAACGAGAATGACTGTATAACATGGAGTATGGAGGAATTGATAGATGAAGCGGATCTAGCTGCCTCATTCCGGCTCGCGATCCAGGAATTGGAATCGGATACATCCTTCCGCACCCGCTGCGAATCTTCAAATCTCATCTATTATAGCAACTCGTTCACCGTGGATGGAGATGGGAAGGTGTCCCATCCACTGTGGCTGCTTTGCTCTCTTACGTATCAGCGCCACGCGCCCTCGCCACCGCCTCCCATGAGCGTGCTGGATGTGCAACTAGCTTGTGAAGCTGGCGTAGACGGAGACGCTTCTTTGACCCCTGCAATCTCCGCTACCGCTTCGGCTGTCTCAACGCTCTGCTGTACCCGGAAAGCTAAGATTAAGAAGCTCTCAGACCTTGCCCCGGATGCCGACATCGGCGAGATCTTAGACGTACGTACCTGCTTCTGGTCGTCCGTGTGCGTGTTCGTGTTGACAATAACTAAACTAACTTCCAGGGGTTGTCTGAAGACAGGCCGAGGACCCGCCTTGCAATATCTTACGTATTGACCGAAATATCGATATTGGAATGTTGCCTGGCGTCGTGGTCGGAATTGGTTCTCCCCCATCCTTCCTAGTGTGCAGCCCCGACGAAGACGCGTTCAGTTCTGGCGCGTTCCCCTACTTTACCCCTGAATGTTATTGTTATCTCACGCGATCTCACCATTTTCGCCTGCACCGTTTGTGCGCCCATCATTGCCATCAAGTCTGCGCTATCTTCGTCGGTGAGATTGTGTGTGTTCGCGTACAATCTATTGTATATATGTCGTCAAGAGCCTCCCGACGGAGAGTCTTGAAATATTTCGGCTTCCCATGCCGTCTATGCAGCATGTTTGACAAGTCAAGAAGACAATAGTGATCATCACAATAACGAGGGATCCGGCCATTCCGTATTTGGTACAGTGCATGCCGACGACACATCGATGGCGACCAAGCGCTGAAGCCCGTATTGTCTATGGTCTGAGGCAGGATTATGCTGTGATGGCTAATTGTGGTACGGTGTACGTCGGCCACCGCCTCGTGCGTTAGTATATATACTGGGGTGAAACCTCGTTTTCTATCCAACGGTCTGCAATCCCACTTGTAGAACATAAAGCCTAGTCAGGCCTCCGTCGATACTACACTACCACCACACACTCGACGTCCTTCACCACCACACTTTCATCACCGCTATGGACTTCTTCGTTACCTTCCTCACTAGTGCACCAGCACCAGAAATCACTTCTTCTGCGTCGAACACCACACCACAATCTACATCACCCGATGTCACAGACATCGAACTAGTCGAATTTGAGCGCAACGGCAAGGGAGGCGGCTGCTACTGCATCATATCATGAACTCAACCTCTTCGCTTCCATCCTCTCCTTAATTCACGGCTTGGTTTGTCTGCTTATCATTCTTCTATACTCATTCTCTGATCAAGAGTCTGCATAGCATCACTTGCATCTTCATTACTGCCGCATCGGCACATTATATGACCATCATACAACAGTCATACCATCATCGTTTCCGCCATCTTCCCGGACTGGTGATACCTCTCTTCGCCAGACCTTATCATAGTCGTTTATCATATTCGACCTTCACATTCCTTGATTTATTCCTCCGTATCTTTATTACTTCGTTCCGTTTCGACACTCCTTTAGTCTCCCCCTGAATTCGATCTTGCATACTTCTGTAGTCATACACTCTATACCACACGCCTTGTATTGCTACCACCACCAGCTGGTTCATCCTCTGTAACCTTTCGTCTCGATTCATCTCCTGTGTCAAATATGCATTGATTGCACCGTCGTCCCCTGTCTCCCCTGTCTCCCCACTATCCCCTGTGTTGTGTGTGCTGGCCTCTAGATTGTTCTTCTGATCTCTTAGAAGCTCGCAGAACATCGTACATTCAGGATAGAACATCAGCAACCCTTACCCCCACCACAACGTCAGATAATTAAGGCATCGGAAGCTCGATCCCTCAATGTGTTTCATTAACGGTAGCCAGCTCTCAGCCCCACTCGTGCCATAATTGACCGACCGTAATAATTATGTATCTAGTAATTAAACCCGCCATTAACTTCGAGCATACCATGTGCGGTGGCGAAGGTTATCATGCGTGTTGCTGCCTCCAGCCATCGTTGGGCGGTCTCGAATTCCTCGGAGTTGGGCGAGCTGTAACCACATAAAGCAAACCCGGGGTCTATTAGCCAGACTTGATTACACACTTCTACTACCGACACCACTATGGAGGCGTATTTCGACAATAAGAACAACGTCCTCAACGCACACATACGCACATCCTACGACGACTCTGTCTTGTATACGGTCAAGTCTACATCGGGCTTCCGCGGGCCACGAATTACTATCCTCGAAGACGCCAATCCTGTTCTTGGGCAAGGGAGCAATCGCATCGTCGGGGCGATTCATTGGAAGGAGAAAGTGTTTGAGGTGAATGGTCACCGGAAGCCGCTAGCTGAAATCAAAAGGCGGGAAGGGCGTATCATGCATACGTACGTGAGCATGCCGGATCTCCTAGTTGCCCGCCTTTCGTGATATGGGTACTAAACTCACGGTATTAGCACGCGCTATTGGCGATGGGGCAAAGAGCGGAAAGAGTACGAGATTCGCTTTGACGATGATGAGTGGAAGGTACGGCCTGGGCGTGTCCTTGTGTCCTTCTTCTTTGACCGAGTCTATGTTAATCCCAGGCGACCACTGATCATGGAATGAGTATAAGTGCTAGGTTTGAGGTATCGTTACGCCCGCACCTGTTTGGCAAATCGAAACCTCCCAAATTCCATCTAACGACGGACACGCTCGAAGCGGATGAAGTCTTTATGATCCTTGCTTTTATATACTGCGAAGTCAAGCGGCAGAATAGAACCGTGAGCATGGAACCATAACTCGAACTCGGGTTGAGGTAACTGATTTCTGTAACAATAACAGAATAGCGGACCTACTGAGGGCATTTCCGCTTGGTAACCCCTCTATAAGCCCCTGACTCCTATTGGCGTTCACAGCTCAGGAATTATCTCAGTCCAGAGTTCGAGTACAGAGTCGTACCTTCTATCACTTTTTTGTGGGCACGTATGATATATCACTGTAAAACATAGTTCGTTTTTTGGGCGGTGATGCATTGATGCCTGGGCGGTGATGGGCTGTGCCATAGAGACGCCCAGACGTGACCTACAAGTATCCATGTGACAAGATGAGAATCCGCAGTCGGTGTTCACAGTTGCTTGTTTTTCAACCACCACCACCCTCATCTCGAAAGCTCAATGACTACCATGAACAGCATTAACTACCAGGCTTTCAACAGCCTGGAGCCCTCAAAACAGCAGAACTATGATTTCCTTTCATTCACTGCGCCTTTGGACATTGTCGCACCCTCCCCCGATCTGTTTGAGACTGAACTCGATTTAAACCTCGAGGGACTCGACGACTCGCAGATTCCTTTTTTCACCGTTGATTCCAACGATGCCTTCAGCCAACTGAGGTCAGGCAACCCTACCTGCGGTCCCCCTTCTACGTTCACCATCTCCAGCGAATCGACATATGAATCGACACCATCTGCCTACTCTGCATCGTATTACAATAACTACACCCCCTCAGCTTACGCCACCTCCGCGTACTCACTTGAGTTCAATGAGGTGGACTTGAGGCGTATCGATCTCAATACTTTCGCTGACTCCTTCGGCCCGAGCATTGCCGTTGACACCGTCGATCCCACTACGTTTAATGACAGTCCCTCCCCTTCGTCGACATCCACGCATGCCCTGTCTGCGTACGAGGTAGTTGAGGAGTATGAGAAATATATTCCTCGCAGCTCCTCCGACTACTCGCCCAGCAACCGCGAAGCGGACATTTTCTCCCACCAACCACATACCCATAAGGCAGCTCCGCCTGCTGCTTCAGCAACCAAGCCCTCTAGACGGGTCTCTAGCGCCAGCGATGCGGGCCGTCCTGTCGACCCTCGCCGCAAGTTCAAGTGTACCGTCTGCTGCCACGGTTCGTCTCCTCAACGCACCGTCCGCCACTACCCACTAACCTACTCTGCCTTGTGTAGCCTTTGATCGACGCTGGAATCTGAGCCAGCACATGCTCACCCACGAGCCCAACCGCCCCAAGCCGCATGTTTGCTCTCACCGTGAATGCGGGCGGTCGTTCAGCAGGAAGCATGACTTGACTCGCCACCTCATCAGCGTTCATCGTGAAACCCCATTTGTAGGTCGCGATTCAGCGAAGAAGACAGAGATTGGAGTGGGGAGACGCGCCAGGAGTTGGTGCGATTCCTGCGGGCTGGCCCACTTCGGCAAAGAGTCATCATGCGAATGCCACGATGACACAAAGTGATCTCGTTCACGAGGATTCTTATACTAGTGAGAATCTTTTTTGTCCCATAGATGGGATTCATTGCTGACTTACCTCAAGAGTTACACGCCTTGGCTCAGCATCGCCTTCCGACAAGACGTGTTTCCCGTCGTGGATTTCCCTCCAGGCCTTTTCGTTTGTGTCACGTATCGTACCGCCTTGGGTATCACTTCAAGGCCCCGAGACGAACGTGGTCCCACGAATTGTACCGCTTACCCATGCCTATCGCTTTCCTCATCCCGACTATTCCCCAATATCCTTTTGACTATCTACCGCCTCCGTTGTGTATATATGATTTCACCCTTTCACCTTTGTTCACGATGTTATGATTGTACGTACCTATGCATACCTCTTCGTTTGTTTCAGTTTTACCCATTCCCATAACTATCTTGACTAACTTTTGATTTCGCTGTGACATTCCCGAGTATCTGACACTCACAAGAATTAAAAGGCTTCTTTGAACTTGAACATCGACCTAAGCTGAGCTCGTAGTCTGCATCGCTAAAACTCTGGGATGTATTATTCGGGTTATATGGCGAGAACGTCGCCATGTGGTGGCCGTGGACGATAAAGTAAACAAGGCGTCCACTTTAGTTCGCATCAATCATCCTCCGCCCACATGCACCAACAAAGTTGATCATTCGGCGCTCACAGCGCTGTGTAAGTGTATACGACCTAGCTCAAGGTTCAGGACCTGAGGACCTTTAAAGGGTGACGCCCACGAACGGCGTCGAACTCGACTCTGTGGCCTCCATGATGCAGAACCCCCTCAAATGGAGTCTTTTTGCCTTGCCTGCGTCCCTCGGCCTCTTCTTTGGCCTCTTCTTTGGCCTCTCGTACCCAGGTGAGCCTTAGTGTAGATTGTTTATAGTATGGTAAAGCTCACAAGCGGATACGATGGATAGAAATTGTTCGTAAAGGCTGGCCATTGACCACTTGTCATGTCCTATCATCAAAACTGGACTCGCGCTACTGCTGTGAAAAAGTTTGCACAGCGGGATGCAGCGTGGTGACCATCGGTGCCCCCCTTTGCTCATCTCAGATATCCCTAGTGAATAACGCGTTCAGTCCCTCTCGATGCGCCAGCGATAGATCGACATGCCCACCGCAGATAGGGCAGGTGTGCGACGGAGGGTACGTCCCATTTTCCTTTGCAGAGGGCCAAATCGCTGATCATAGGATGTTGGATGACCAGATTCCACTGTTGTTCTAATTGCTGCGATACGTGTAGATCTTGCAAGATAAAATGCACTGGTCATCCACTAGTCTGTACCCAGTCATGCTCGTCCAGTCCGTGAGTCTGGTCTTCCACCTTTTTCGCCGTCGGCTGGACGGGTTGTATGCTACAGGTGCCGGTGCCGATGCTGCTCGAGTACCCCTCAGCAGTCTTGCACCGTTTCGTGCCCGTCATGCTACTCTGTCGACCTGACTCTGAGGTTTGGCTCTGGTCCTACACGCGGTAAAGCACGGTCTGCTATATATCACCAAGACTTTGGGAAGGACGAAGTCAGCTCGAAGCAGTTCCTTGATAGCCACCCTATCAGCTCCTCTTCCAGGTGTTTCTATAACCCCAAGAATCCCAGCCAGGTGAGTTACTTCGACCTCTCGTTCGATCTTGTTACTTATAATTGGTGGATAGGTATCCTTCGATGTATCCTTTACACCGTGGAAGTGGGCTGTGGTATCGATCTTCGGTATCGTCCCGCTCTTTCTCAACCTAGCCGTGCTGGTGACGATTCTTGGTGTCATTCCCGCGTACCGAGCGATTAACGCGAAGCTCGCCGAAAGGCGACAACGAGACGTGTCAGAGACAGCTTTCCTTGTTTCTAATCAAGGACCTCAAGAGGTTAATGATATCTCCTCGAAGGAAATGGCGGTTGATCTTGAAGGGACTCACGACAAAGGATATTCGAATGCAGATTCCGACGACGAAGTCCCTTTACTTGACGCTAAGGGAGTGCACAAATTCTAACCTCGATCTGTGCATTTTGTAGCAATAATACTTGGAGGATGAACACTTTCCGCATTGAATTTACTGAGAAGGTTAAACCCACCAGGGGGGAACCGTGTCAAGAAGCACGAGATGCTGTGTAGGATACTAGCACAATCAACCCACGGTTAATAACCTTTACCATCGACCATGGACGATGTAAACCTCTTTTCTATCAGGCGTTTTACTTGGCTCAATGGTAAATGAGTGATAACCTCTTCGACACGATCTCTTTACCACAGTCGGTCTCATACGCAAATCAACCTCAACGCCGTTACAGGATGGACAAGTCAAACCGATCCTAATTTGATTCTACCAAACAGCCGTTGCCCATATCTACAGCGTGCTAAAATGCTAAAATATCAGCATCTTCGCAATCACTATCATCCGACAATTCGTCGGACGGTTCCTCCTGACATTTCACAGCAAGTATCAGCGGATGCGCTAGACTTTCTGTGATAGGTAATAGAGCGTACCTTCACCCCTACTATTCTCTCATCGTCAATGAACAATGCTGAATAGGACGAACTTAGTGGGCGAGTTGTACACCATACGGGCAAGCCGTTGTAAACATCATCCTTGAATAACCCAAGCGAGGTCGCCGACTCAATGGAATATGTACGTTGCGTCAATCCATCAGTTGTCGATAAATTGTGTTCTTGGCGTCGATGTGGATTAAAGTCAAGTATGTGTATTGAAGTTGGGTTATCGGGGTCTAGGGAAGAACGGATGACACGAGATGCGTACGAAGAGCTACGGAGCACATGTGTATAGATCAGCTCATCGCCTAGGTAATATATGGGAGTCTCACTTCATATATGTACGGTTCATCTCGATGAGGCGTGTGCTCCCCTGACCCCAGTCTTTCCAGGGAACCTCTCCGACCGGCGGGTTTGAGGCGTAATTCAAGAGGATAGAGTTGGGTACGAAGAGGCAAAGCTCGTGCTCATCGTCGTCCACAGTCAATGCCAACGATACGATGTTGATGTGGGACTCCAGAGGCGGGGCTGTAATCTTGGATGGTGGAACGTAGGCGAGGTCGAGAATAGCCGGTGTTTGAATGGCAGTTACGTCGAAACAAGAACCTGACACAGCTTCTGGGAGATGTAAGTTAGCTTTGTGGGTCGTGGTTGTTTCCGTTGTTTCTGGGTCGTATTCGAATGTGCATACGTTCAATGACGGACTTGTCTCTCCGGCGGATGCGAAAACCACTGCGCGTGGAGAGATGAACGAGCACCAAGTAAATTCAATATACCCACTTATCTATATTTCTTGCATGGTCAACAAAAAGGCGAGAGGCGTTTACATAGGCCGAGACGTACCAACCAACCATGACCGGTCTTCCAGTTCCAAAACTGGAAATGCACGCCTTCTTCCCCTTCATTGGATACGCTGTATTGCATGAGGATGATATCCACTGCGAGTTTGATAGACGAGAACCAAATGTCATTCCTTCCAGATTCGTCGGGGTGGGGTGGAATGTCGAAGGTCAAGATAGGGTTCCGGGCAAGCGGGTGAGGGTCGCCTGTGGATAAAGTTTGGACGTGCAAGCAGACGGAGCGTTGTCCATTATATGACCATGGCCTAGGGAAGAGCATCGTGTTCATCCGTATCAAGACGGCGTTGAAAGCTAGAGCTAACCTTGTATCCTCTTCGAGAAAAATGACCAAGTCTTGCGTGGGGTCCATTACAAATTCCTTCGCAGGGAAGCTCAATCCGCGCTTCATCCAACGGTTATTGGACTCATGCATGGTGGGCAGATGCAGTGTGACGAACATGTAGTGTTCAAGCAGTTTCGCGAAAACTCCTGCTACGAACCCATACAGGTTGGGTTCCTCTATATCTCCTGGTATACGGAGAGAAGATTGGCGCCAGGACAAGGTCGCCCAAGCTTTGCGGTGGCCGATAAGCTCCTTGAGACGATCTTGATACGGCATGGTTGGCGCAGCGCAGTCTACCATCCCTTCCATACCCAGTTCAAATAAGTACTGGAGCTCTGTCGATTGCCGAATTACGTCGTGTAGGCTGCGGCATACCTAAATGTTACTTAGGATGAGCAGTTACTTAGGATGGAATACAATATCCCACCGAGGTACAAGCTATTATGGATCCAGAGTCTAAACACCGTAAAATTCGGTGGATCAACTCGTTTGGAAGGTTAACCAGACCCATGGGAGTAGAGATGAGTACTGCGACGCGGTACGTAGCTTGATGTAAAGGTTGAAGGTTGATATCGAGTAGCGTCGAATATTCGTTGAGGTTAGATGTGCGTCAAGGGTTGGTAATTATGTTCCAAAACAGTCTCAGTCCCACGGAAACGCGGCCTAGCCCATCAAAGATTAATGTATCAAAGTCCATCGCGCATAAGCCATAAGGGTGGCCAGGACCGAATTATTGAGAGTGACCATCGTCTGGAGGAACGACTGTCATACTCTCGAAGAGAGGCTGGTTTCTGTCAGCCTCCATCGCTGGAAGACGCGCTGAGATTCTATTGTCCGCTCATCTGAGTCTCGCTGGCACGTGACTTCAAGCTTCCAGTTGAACGACCATCATCTTGGCCGTCGCCTTTGTGCTCGAGGTCGTCTCAGGCTGGCTCAAAGCATCTCCTTCGTTTATTCGCCGGCGAATATGACAGAAGAGCGGGCGCCCACCAGTTACTCGGATCAGCATACTGATCTATCCTCTCACGAGCACGGTTAATGGTGCTTAGAAGCTGACCGAAGGGGCTACGCTGGGGATATCTTTGCATCATGCTGCACTGGAGCATACGGTCTCTGTCCTTATCATTGGCGCCGCTAATCACAAGCGAGATCAAACAACATACAAGTAACATCTGAGTTGGACGATCGCTGCTGGCCTACCATGTCGCCTTCGAATACCCTCAAAGGTGATGATGATACCATCCCGAGGGGAACTGAGATGGAAGCCGATGAGATCGAGCTTGCGAGAATGGGGTATAAGCAAGAATTGAAGTACGTCGTGCGATGCCGTTCCCGCCAGAAACTGACCTTATCTACTGCAGCCGTGAATTGAGCTTATTACAGGTAAGTGACAATATAAGTTTCCGTCCCAAAACGCTCATAGCATCAACGTAGAACTTCGGCGTGTCATTCTCGATTATCAGTGTCATCACAGGCATACCGTCATTATTTTTATATGGACTGGTGAGTGTAGACGCTCCGTACAGTGTGATTCTCGACTAACGACAACGAAGAATACGGGAGGGCCTGCTGTCATGGTCTGGGGCTGGGTGGTCGTATGTAAGTTGCCCAGAGGATAGCTCGCTTATCGCATTTGCTCACAATCAGCAGCTTGTGCAACCATGTTGGTTGGGTTAGCCATGGCCGGTACGTCGTGCAAGTCCGTCTCTCAGTAAACCTCTGGAATCCTTACGTTTGATAGAGGTTTGCAGGTATGTACCAGTCTTCCAAAACCTATGTATCCAAGCGTAACTTCCTCCAGTGCGCACCCGACTTCCGGCGGTCCCTATTTCTGGGCGGCGATGTTGTCAAAGCCAGAGCAAGCCGCTTTCGCCTCGTGGGTCACTGGATGGTTCAACCTTCTTGGTCAAGTCGCCGTGACCACAGGTATCAGGTGTGTACTCCCTATTCTTCAAGCTTCGACGCTTCGCTTAAATCAATCGTTGACAGCTTCGCATGTGCCACATTCATATCAACTGCTTCCGAATTGAAAACGAGCTTCCAACCTAACGAGAAGACAACGATTGGTATTTACGCTGCTGTATTGATCACTCAAGGTGCGTAGGTCGATTCAGGGCACTTGGTGCGTTTCTCGTGGTTCTATTGACCCACCTTGAAGCTAGGCATCATCAACACCTTTGGTGTGCGACTGCTGAAGTATCTGAATAATATCTCGGTGTGGTGGCACGCGATTGGGACATTCTCACTTGTGGTAGCTATTTTGGCGAAGGCGCCTTCTCACCGGTCAGCCGAGTTCGTTTTCAGGACGATCATAGATGGAACTGGCGCAGATGGCGTTGGGTGGGGCGAACGGGCAAGCAAGGCCTACTTGGTTGTCATCGGAATTCTTATGGCGCAGTATACACTCACCGGTTTCGACGCAAGCGCCCATGTGAGTCTCCTCGCTCCATACATCTCCTTCATCCCCTCACATACTCTATGATATTCTAGATGACCGAAGAAACCCAGAACGCCGCGATGTCGGGGTCTATCGGCATCGTAATGGCAATTGGAGTGTCCGCTCTGCTAGGGTGGTTCCTCCTTCTGGGTCTTCTATTCTCTATACAAGATCTCGACGGAACGCTCAACTCAGCAACGGGCCAGCCGGTAGCCCAGATTTTCTTGGATACAGTTGGTGAAAACGGAGCCATCGTTCTCATGGTAAGTTCAGTCAAAAAAATTTATCGTGACAACTAAATTGGTGCAATCATCTCTAGGTCATCGTGATCGGTGCTATGTTTTTCTGTGGGTATGTTACGTCGTTTCCTCCGTGCAACCACAGTGATTTTGACGGTCGGATTCGTAAAGGACCTTCTCAATCACATCAAACTCACGGATGATGTACGCATTCGCTCGTGACGGAGGTATTCCCGGACACGGCTTCTTTAGCAAGGTCAACACTCGATGGAAGTCTCCCATTCGCGCCGGTACGATTGCCATACAAAGCTCTCGTAAAGTCCTCTATTGACGCTCATTCTTAGTCTGGATGGCATGTACACTCAGCTTTATCCTAGGTCTACCCAGCCTCGGCAGTTCTGTCGCATTTTCAGCAGCCACTAGTATTGCGACAATTGGGCTATATATTTCTTATGGTAAGCCTTCTGATTGGTGCCTTCTTTCCTCAAGACTCTGACCTTTGCGGGGACTTGGTGTATAGGGATTCCAATTGCCTTACGAGTCATATACCGCCGCGATTTCAAGAAAGGCCCTTTCCACCTCGGGGCGTTCTCTTTGCCCGTCTCGATTGCAGCCGTGTTGTGGATTATATTCATCTCTATCGCCTTCATCCTGCCCCAAGTCAACGTATGTTTCTTTTATCACTCGCTATACTTACCCTCCATCACCCACATACATACTCACCTCCGAATCCTTACACTAGCCCGTCAACTCACAAACTCTCAACTACGCCATTGTCGCTGTTGGCATCGTCATCGCGTACTGCATGGGTTTCTGGTTTTTGAGTGCCCGCAAATGGTTCACGGGCCCTGTGAAGCAGATCGCCGGTGAGACCTCTTCTCCAGCTTCTCATGCCCGCTTTTGGTTATTTATCACCATTCATCAGCTGAGGAGATGGGGATCAATGTGATGGAGCCAGGAGTAGCTGAGAAGGAGCTTTGAGACGCGTATTGTAAGATTTTGAGGCCTCAGAAAATACAACTATATGAGCACACTGTGACGAGAGTTTATACTTCCTTCGTGTAATCTGCTGTAAACTACACCTATGGCAGTGTGCTCGATACCGAAAAGCTGACGTTCATCTCTTCCAGTGAAACGACTGCACAATTGCCGGTCATATTCAAGTTGGAAGACCAATGCCAGAGTTTAAGGGGCTTCAGGGGACTTTGGGAGGTTCAGGCAGCTCATGTGGGCTCTGAACTTCAGTTACGCAGGTTTTCGCAGGTGACCGAGTCTTGAGTGAGTCGATCAGGGTGGGAATGTTTCTCAACCCTAATGGCGAGCGCTTGACCACAACTGGGTTCGTTCTCGATCCAGGCACTCTTCAACATCAACTTCGTTAGACGCTGCTATACAACTCGCCCTGCTCTATGCACCAAATCCACAGACTCTGGATTTTTTCCTTCAGTGAGCGTTTGATTGTCACATTCATGGCAATGGCCACTGACTGTCGGCAACCGATAGGTCTGCCATAGATTGTACGACATTGTCTCCTCGAGCGTCGAAGGTCGTGGGCCAACATGTCGTGGCCAGCGATACCAACGTGATATATTTCTCGAGTCTCCGTTACCAGTAGAATCAAGATGGAAGATTCAATCATCGGCCGCTGTGCATGCTTAGGTGCACTATGCTGTGCTATCGCTGGTGTCCATTTCGTTTCTAAGAAGTGCAGCCACCCACTTCCACTTGGTCCTCCCACCGGTTCAATGCTGGTAGGTCACTACGGACAAAGGCCCTGGGGAGGCCCAATAAGCACGTATATTTCACCATTTCTCGTGCGCCGGGCGTACTGCAGATGGTTATCGCATCGCAACGTAAAGGAAGCAGAACGACACTTACAATCAAGCTCCCATGTCCATGCAGACCTATCTTGATTGACGAGGTACAGATATGCCTTCATGAAGTGGGGAAATATGACTCCAGGCAACGCAAAGTAAATAATGTGACTTACTGATGCGATACTCTCCGGGCTGAGTCTAACGTCAGCGTTAGTCTCCCAGTTTGAAGCACCGTCATTGTAGCTCCTGGTTCTGTCCGTGAGGATCTCTGGTACAAAACTGTCACTTTAGACGTTATACATACTACGAAACTGCACTCACGACCATCAATGATTGTCTAAAACCACATTTCGGATGTCAGCAAAACGCCCGGTCGGATATTACAGAGATTACTAACATGAGCGACCTAATGAAGGAAGAGCGTGAACACCACGGCGTGGACGACGAGAACGGGGGAGATTACGTGAATATTGTCTTTGCCAAATTCTTTGGCGAGACTCTGAGACAAGGCTCTCTGACCATGCTTACCCGCTGCGAATACGCTGGTCATAACATTCCCCCGCAGAGCAGCAGTAGCCCCCGTAAATATGATCGTCCCCCTCTTGCCGTCAGCTAAATTCACTTGAGCACGGAACTCAGCGCGTCAGATTTACCTCACAGACCTATATCATTCTTCTTGAAATCCAAAATGGATTCACGGGCAAATGTGAACGCGGTAGTGACGTTCACCTCGAGGGTCTCCCTGACATCTTGGGGTGTAACATCCAAGAAAGGCTTGAACACTCCTTGGGCAGCGTTGAAAATCGCCACACGAAGCGGTCGCCCATTCACGCCCGTGCTTGGGGATGGAAATTTGTTCCGAATGGCCGAAAACGCGTCCGAGATGGCCTCCGGTGAATATTCTGGTATCGGAAATGGCTCAGCCTGTGTCGGCGACGGAACTTCCCTTCATACATGAACGAAGCGGAAGAAAGGAATTGGCGCCCATACCTCTCCTCCTGTGTCCTTGATCTCATCTGCTAGGTCCCTCAACGATCCTGCTCCGCGTGCGATAAGCGCAACACTGTAACCGTGCTTTGAGAGAAGACGGCTACAACAATGCAGCCATAGCCTGTAAGCACGCGAAGGAAGCTTGGAAAGGTCGCGTACGCTGTGGCTGCTCCAGTTCCCGTTGCATTCCCTACACCTGCAATAACCGCCAGCGGACGAAGGATGCCTGAAGTCGCCATTGTGAACAGCTATAGGGTACCGTGAATAATTCGACAGCAAGTTAATAACAATGTTAGTAACTTTGCACCTGTTGGACCGATTGTTAACACCAGTTATTAACTAATTAGTTACATCGGGGTTAATAACATGTTAAATATTGTTAATAACCTATTATTTACATGTTAAAAAATTTTGGCGGTGAAAAACGCGAAAAAAAACGATGCTAGGCATGTCAAAACTTCCACGCCTCCTCTACAGTAATACTAGCACAGGTCTTTGCAGCGGGAGGTTGTGACGCTGACTGTGCAGCAGGGGTTGCTTCACCTCTAAGCAATGCCCGAAGAACGGGGGCGTTAAGGTTAATCTCGCTATCGAGTTCGAAGTCGTCGTCCTCGATCTCAATGGCTAGCTCCCGGAGCATGCCGTTGTCCCCATCGTCGACCGAATTCGTTGATATCTTCGTAATCCGGATTTGTGGACCAAGACAAAAATGTGTACACTTTGCTTGTCCGTCCGGTGTCAGGTAGAGTACGAGGTAGGTACCTGAGAAGTCTCGCGAGGCGAACGAGTTTTTGCTCGGGGGTGTTTTCAGTGATTGCGGACATGGATGTTCAAGAACAGGCTTGAAATTTTGCCAACTCCCTTTCCAGGGTTTGCGACGTCGTATTCTAGGATCATACTGAGGCAACATCGTTCGTTAAGGGCCTTATTCGGGGTGAGGGCAACTTGGCAAGGCACTACTAAACTTCGTTTGGAAAAGAGCCTCATGGGCTGCTGGTCACGTGTATTTCTCACAATTTTTAACACCCGCCAGGAGCTCTACCGATGTTATTAAGTTATTAACCTGTTATTAACCTGTTATTAACACTGTTAATAATCCGTTGTTAAAAAACACCCTATTTTTCACGGTACCCTAAACAGCTATGAATGAACGAGCTGGTCGACCGAGAACGTGGGGAATGCCCGACGACGTGACAAAGCCCGAAAGTGACTCATCAGGTCTGACAAAGCCTTGATGGTATGGCTCTCAAGACACTTGTTGGTAAGTCAAGCTTTTGGTGTTCTACGTATCAATATTGTATAACCTTCGACGATATACAGCCATCCTAATGCATTATTGCGCAAGTTGGTGGCATAGGGCATCACAAAGCAATGTCTGTAAGCAAGTTGCGACATTCATCATAACTTACCTTTTATCGCTTGTCTTGTGACATGTACAAGACTTATAAACGGTAAGGTGCCGTGTAATCTCCAACGCCATTCCCACTCTTATCGAATTGACCACGATGTCCACAGTGTCCAACCGCCGACCGCTTGCTGTAATCGCTGGATTAGGAAATGGCACCGGTACTGGAGCCTCTTCAGCGTGAGCAGGGGTGTTATCCCAATGGTAGACGATGTTAAAGCGTAGACGTTCAACGTTGGATTTACTAGTCGCCTCTTCGCTAAGCACGGTTATACAATTGCCTTGGTAGCTCGGCACAGAGACGACTCCCTGGCAAACCTGGTAAAGGAGATTAAAGGTGCTGGTGGTGATGTAGGCTCTCTCCCTCGGCCATCGATAACCGTCATTGACTGGCTACTTATGTGATAGGCGGCCTACTTCGCGGTCCCCGAATATTCTCGCGACGCCATCTCGTCCGCGTTCGCCGAGATACGCAAACAGTTTCCCTCTGCTACTTATGCCATCCGAGTGGCCATCTTCAATGCTGCGCATGGCGTGTGGAAGCCTTTCTTGGATGTAACTCCCGAAGACATCCAGGAGGCTGTCGATGTCAACATCGTCGCTGCATTTGCATTTTCACGAGAAGCCATAGTCGAGTTCAAGTCCAACGATCTCAACGAGGTCGGGAAGCGCGGCATATTGATCTTTACGGGTGCTACGGCGAGTATCAGGGGGAATGTCGTCACCAGCGCTTTCGCGGCTGGAAAAGCTGGACAGAGATCTCTTTCGCAGAGCTTAGCCAAAGAATTTGGAAAGGACAATATTCAAGTAGGTGTTCAGAAATCTATCTTAAGATGCTCCCTGACCGGCTTGATCTTAGGTCTCGCACGTACGTCCGATCACCGTCTGAAATGTAACACTAACACTAATCTATTCAATCAGGCTATCATTGATGGCGGTCAGTTCAAACAACCTCCTACTACGAACCATGATACTCATTCTATAAGTAAAGGTATTTTGACAGATCGGAGTCGCGCGCGCCAGAACAACAACCCGGAATGGATTAACAATGCTGATGTCCGACTAGATCCCGACAGCATTGCCGCCGTGAGTCTTCTAATTGAATCCATTGATGATTCATTAGGCAATAACGAAATGCCATCTGTGTAGTCGTATCTATATCTTGCTAATCAGGATAGATCGGCTTGGACTTGGGAGCTAGATCGTAAGTATTTAAAATTGACAACCCTGTTTCATGCTAAAACTGGCCATCTTCACAACAGTTCGCCCTGCCCACGAGAAGTGGTAAATGATGATGGGCGATGTAGATAGTTCCAACTTCCAGAGTCCCGGTGAGAGCAACTGTTTTAGTTGAGATTCAGTGCTTTGAAGACTTCTGTGATGAAGAATAACTGTAAATAAATGTATACATTGTGCTGCAGACGTTATTGGCCCTCCAAGTCCAAGTGACGAAAAAAATTAGAAATCTCTACACCCCTCAATTCCCCTATTGAACTTTCCCACAACATCTAAGTCAGTGATCAGTAAGCGCTTGGCTCCAGGAGCCTTATTCCCAAGAATCAACGACATGGCTTTCAATCGCGCTAACTCCTCAAGCCCTGTTTCTAAACGCATCAAACTAGAAGAGCCCCAGGATACTGCCTCTTTTCAGTCAATTCAACAGAATGAGTCTATCGAGGACAACTGTAGCATTTGCCTGCAGTCGATTTCTGATCGAACAGTCGTGCCACTTTGTTCCCATGAATTCTGTTTCGAATGCCTGCTGATCTGGTCGGGTGAGTGATTGCATGTATACTACCATAAACGACGGTGTATAACCCATGAGTAGATCAATCCCGGCGTTGTCCATTATGCTCTCAGCAAATTGGTGAATATCTGATTCACCGTATTCGTTCCAAGTACGATTATGAGAAGTATTTCCTGCCACCTTTGAGATCTTCTCCTGTTCCTCCACAGCACTCGACGCAGAACAGCGCAGTAAGGAATGGCACTGTTCGTCGAGGAAGGCCCCGAGTGCAGAGGGTATGGGGAAGACGGGAACGGCAACAACTAGAAGAAGCAGACAGGCTTGACCGTGCTATTGCAAAGAGACGATGGATTTACCATCACGACTTATACGCAAAGGTTGGTGAAGCCTAATTTTGTAGGTACATGGCGACTAAGACTACGGATGGACAGCATGTTGCATCCAATACACACACACGTTACCGTCCGTATCCCTCCCCAGCACAATTCTCGGCATCACCGGAGTATATCAGCCGGGCGACCGCTTTCCTACGGCGTGAGCTACGCGTTTGGCCTAATCTCGATGTTGAGGTAGGCGCGTTGTTCGACGGGTTGTAGCTTTGCTCATGCCATACAGTAGTTCTTGACGACATTTGTGATCTCACTTATGAAGGCAATTGATATTCGATCTGAGTCCGCAGTCAAGCTACTGGCCGAATTCCTGGATATGGACTCGGAGTATGTGGCAGGCGGTAGATACCGCAACGCTGAGCATTTCGCCCATGGCAAGTTTTTCAACTAGATGATTTCATAATTGCATTCCTGATCGGTGGAGATGCCCATTTGATCTACTCGGACGGCTTGTTTAGAAATTTACGCATTCGTTCGCTCGCCTTACAAGGATTTATTTGTGTATGATACCGTTGTCGAGGTACGTTGTGTTCAGTCACACCTTGCCCGTATTTCCTTGTTCTAAACTTGTGCAATGCGTTATACAGTACGATATCCCGTCAGAAGTGGCCCCACCCCCAGAAGTCACGGCTAGCCGACGGTGGTACGCCTCCCGTTCCCGTTCCCGGTCCACCTCTAGGCCTCGCCATCCTGGCTCTCCCTCGGCATCTCGGCGTTTATCTCGAACACGAAGCTCGCGCTCGACGTCTCCATCTACATCACGATCACGTTCTATATCTTGGTCTCCTTCTGGCAGAAGCCGTCCCAGCTTGAGGTATAGGCAGCAGGAACTTAGTACAGAGGCTGGAACATCCCGGGGTGCTTTCATTTATGCAGACCGCGCCCTTTCCCCCAATCGGCATTCCGTTGCAAAGGACGTGACCCCTGCTTCTTCAGTTGGTAGCCAACGGTACCACGGTGCTTCCCATGATGGTGGCGTCCGAACACATTCTGCCAGTGACGTAGAAGGCAAGGGCAAAGGCAAGGCACCTGCGCGCGATGATGTCCTGATTTCACATGGAATCCAAATACACTCTGTGGACCACGAGGACGACAGGGAGCAATCTCGCGATGCTGCGAATGTGTATAGCCTACAGCACGCAGGCGCTACAGGTGAGGAAGCGAACCGGGCTGACTCCCACATTGTCACGGATGAGGATACCAAAGCAATGTCTGTTGGTGGCAAACGGAAAGATTTAATGGCCGAGTCTTTGATGCAACTTTCGGAGCCTAAAGCGACGGCCTTGACGGCCTCGACCATTCCCTCGGATAGACCACAGGCTCGTCATCACGAACGCACGAGAAGAGCCCCTCGTAATCTCAACCTCTTAGAATCGGTTCAAGCCTACCTTGTCCCCCAGGCGAAATCATCATCGCGCGACCAACGGCCGACAACGTCTACCTCTCGGACATCTCTCTTGGCGCGCCTTTCTGATTCTCAATCCGATCCTTCCAACACGAAGTTTCCTGACACCGTCGCCGATGATGACGAACATTCAATTTATCTAGACGAACACAGCGTACTACCTCGGTCGGCTGGATCCGAGTCTCACGACACGAATATCCCTCTCAGTTCACCGAACCAGTCTCGGACGAATCGTAGTGGAATGTCCGCCGTACAGATCATGGCTCGCACGCGAGCCAGACTAGCCAAATCGGACGCGCGCGCTGCGTCGCAAACGTGTTCAACACAGAATAGCACAATTCTCCCATCATCAATAGAGGCCAAGCCACCATCAACTTCTCATCGCGCGTTGGGTCGTGCCCGGGTTGAGGGACGATCTGATGACAATGACAATCCTCTAATCCCTTGTGAACCCTCTGCCCGTTTTGGGAGCGGTGCTCGGACCTTGGGAGAATCATCTCAGACATCAGGTTTGACGATGAATCATGTTGAAAAGTCTTCCTCGGACTCGGATCGTCCGGTGGAGGAAAATGGGGAAAAGTTGGGTACCTTGCGAGCAAAGTTATTGTCTAAACTTGCGGATGAGAAACATCTCGTTCAGCAAGAGTACAATGCACCGTTCACATCGCCATCTGGTAGTTCCTCTCTGATGGAGCCTCCGTCGACCCCCGGAGCGCAAATTCTACGCGACGATGTATCAGCTAGGGAAGCGGCGCTGCGGAATCGGGCTCGGCTTAATGTTCGGTTGGCTAACGCAAAGAAAGGCATTCAAAAGGACAATGTGCCACCCACCGAGTAACGTAGAACAATGTTATATATAACAGTGGCACAGGTTATTATAGACAGATACACTTTTAGGTAAAGTAAGAGTTAGGATATGGTATGGCGAAGGTAATAGCTCGGTATATGTGGACTAACAAGATACATTTTGTAAGGTAAGGTAAGGGACTGTAAGGAACAACTTCCACACCAGGAATAGTAATGTAGGATGCGAATCTGGTTGAAAACATCTGAACAATAGGATAAAGTGAAAGAGTGGGTGTCAAGAGCGTCAAAAAACGCGTCTACGTTGAAATTCGTAAGGAGCGTCTTGTCTTCGTTAGTAGAGCGGGAGAGATGGAAGCTGGATAGTTCTATGGGGAGAGAAAGAGAGTTTCAGGACTGGTTATCTGCACGGAAAGTCAGTGCGGTGAGAAGGAGCAAAAGCAGATGGGCATACCGCGAATGGGATCATAACGGCCAGAACGGCGACGTGGAGGGGGGTCAAGACCGGGGTCATCATCATCTGGTCGGAGTTGCAGGGGCCTTTGTGGTGACACGTACGGTGGAAGCGTCTCAATAGTACGATTGGCGGGGCGTGACCATGACGAAGTGCTGGGACGGGGAGCCAGAGCCGACGGATCCCACTGAGGCGGAGGTTGCAACGTAAATGGAGGGGGAATGTTCAACCCGACTCGAACCTGGTAGTCCTGGGAGCGGTCGACCACCTGTGGATCGGGAGACACTGAACTCCGATATTCAGAGGCGACCGCCGTTGGCGGTGCTGAGTGGGTCATCGGAGGTAAAACGCTCGTCCTGGCAGAAGGTACATAGCCTGAAGACATCGGGGGAGCCCTGCTGGTTAACGGCGGTAGTGTTCGGGAGAAACCTTGCGACCTCGGGTCGGCGATGGCCGTGCTTGATCTCAGCCGTGAGGTGGAACTCCCTGGTGTGGGAGGACGTGTTCCATGGAGGTGAGGGTAGGGATTATCCATTGAGGGGCGCTGCGTCATTGGCCAGCCATATTCGTGGGGGACGCGAAGTTCTGACTCTCCGAGTGGAACAGGGAGCCCTGAGGAAATCTCAGGCCCGGGCATACCAGGTCCAAGGAGGGGCATACCAGTCTGACTGGCGTGTGTGTCTGAACGGTGTGGGCTCACACCACTAGCCCGTCCCTGCGAGGCAAAAGTAGCTTCTGGATTGTAAAGAAATCGCTCCGGGACGTTGGCATACGGTTCATACTGCGCAGGCTGCGCCGGCGGAGCGTCGCTCTGGCTTCTAGGGCGCCGTGCCTTTTGGCGTTGATTCTGTTTACATTGAATATATATTAGATATGCCAATTCAACATGAATCAGCTCTTCAATCGCACCTGAAACCAAATCTGTGGCGAATCCGGATGGACGTAAGCAAACGTGTATGGTCAGCACTGATGACTCACGTACCTGGACTTTGCGGGCACTCAACCCAATTGCTCGACCGACCTCCTCACGCATTGCTGTCGTCGGGAAGCGGGACTAAACGATCGAGAAGTCATTCGCCACGTGCGATGGACAGATAGGAGCGACATAACATACCTGCGCCAGTAAAGCATGAAGGACGCTTGATTGATGAGGTGTGGTCAGCGTGCGAGTCCTCTTCTTCCTCACTGGAGCTGCGGGTTGGGCTTCTGTGCTTTGCTCATGGGCGGTGGCATCGTGGTCCGCATCGGCGAGTTCATCTTGAGAGTCAGTCGACGGACTCGATCGCGTCGAGGAGGATTTAGCGTCTCTGCTTGTCATTTTCTTTCTTCGTTTGGGACTTGGTTCGTCTGGTGAACTGTCCGCTCGGCGTCTCGTGGAGGTGCTGCTCTGAGCCTCGCGATGCTGTTGAAGGGATGGTGATGGGTATGATGGAGGTGTATATCGTCCTCTGGGGTGTTCTGTAGTTGGTGTAAGGTAGGGAACGGTTTCGTTTGATTCAAGTCGTGAGGTCGAAGGCTTCGGTGTAGGAGGAGTATTAATTGGAAGGTTAGGAACTGGTGTGGCTGACCGTGACTTAGACATGCAACTCCAGCGAATTAGAAGCAGTAATGAAGAGGTGAAAGTAAATGAGCGGGAGTAAGTTATAGGCTATACAATCAGTCTCGACGCATTTGGGGGACCTCAATGCGAAGGAGACGTTGTCGCTGCTCACAAGATGAGCGGGCAGGGAAATTGCATGTGGAAGCCGGAGGACAACTGGTTCCAGGTTCTGGCCTGTAATATTTATCATATCCCAGATGGCTTCATTTAGTATTGACCAGTCCGTACCAAAATTCGCGGTAAGGGTGATCGGTAGATCTGGGTATATTTCTGTGTGTATTTCCATTCGTGGTCGAACATCCAACCCAAATGTGACTATCCCCGGATTTCCCGAGTGCGCTGACGTTATATTCAGGAAGGTTGCAAGGGATTGGACCAGAGATATGACAACCGTTGCACCGTATGTGCCATATGTTTGCAAAGGGATGGATGGTAGTAGTTGACGGGACCACCAGATAGGTGTTCAGGGTCCGTCGCCGCCGCCGAGACCGTCGGGAACCGCCGTAGAAGTGAAACCCTTACAATCTCCCAGTAGTCGATGGATCAACACTCCGGGAGGTGGTCAATATTACAGTGGCAAGTGGTACCATGCATGTAGTAATATCCGCATAATTGACTACATCTCTGATCGACATTCCGTCATGACTGGTATTATATTTCTACCGAATCACTAAAGATAATGGTCTTCGATGTCGAATCCATGGCTTGCTCGATCAAGCCTCCGCAATTCATGATGAATGGTGTGCAGCGGAAGCAAAAGTTGCCAGAGGACCAGCATGTCAGACAATGGCCCTGCGCTTAATTAACGATTCAAAATAGTCAGCCAAAATCAAAGCAGCAACAACGACGGCCAGTTGCTACGCACAAAATGAAAAGTACGGCATGAAGCCACCACTTTGCACTTGTCAGAATTTGCCCGAGGGAGTGTATTCATGTCAATTCGCCTATGCGGTGGCCATGTCGATATACGTAACGCGAATCAGATAGGATCATGACTTTGATGAATGCCTAGGTCTTGCCGTAGTGCAATGAAGCCTTATCGAGGCCAGCGTCTCCAACAAGGATGAAAGATGTGACGAAGATGGCAACGAGGGAAGCTTTGAAACCACTCCAGTACCTCAACAACTGTGCGATGGTCGTCATTTCTGGAAAACATATCGTTACTAGGTAGGCTTGAGTTCGGGATGACTAGTTCCCACCGAATTTTTAGTATCTGGACAACGGGGATGGTTGCGAAGGGAGCGACGTCTCTTGCAGGACAGCAAGAGAGAGGCCGTTGTATTTCTTACCCTTGACGCCGACTACAAGGGACGGCGGCTCTTCAACGCTTTAACCTCTGAGCTGCATAGGGACACGCGCGGTGGGTCCTCGTGAGGCGGCAGAGCATTGCGGGGTTGAAACACGTTGTTCTGATGGCGATCATCAGGGTGCGTCTGTCATTGCCCACGTTAGCGCCGCGTGGGATGCTGTGTCCAGGCGTCTATTTCTATAAATGGTATTGGTGAGTGAAGGGTCACATGGAAGTTGGAAGTTCATACCAACACATATTCACCGTCTTCGGTTTGGTCTCACTTCCCACTCTTTACAGAAAGAAATGATACATCTCGTTTTAATTTCTAATTGTAGATCCTAAAGTCGCTGTGATTAAAGCCAAACTGAACGTAACTCATCCACGTGCCGCTTCCGAAGAGAAGCGTCGAATCCCTCCTGGATGGTCTCCGAGGGTATTTTGGTTAGCATCTTCCAGCATGTGCGCACAAACCTTAATTATTGAAATTCGGCAGCAGAATTTTATGTACACCCATGGCTTCCTTGGCGCGGTCCGTGAGTTCATCACAGAGACGTATAATAGTCTTCAACACAGCGTTATCGTGAAGCCGTCCCTTGAGAGATACCACATGCGCCCTCGTGCGAGAGCCAGGTGATTTGTCAGATGATCCCTACAATCAGATAGCGGCCTATTAGAGGTCATCGGAGGCTTCATCCTTCTATAAACGCCTTCCAGAGAATGGAAAAGTCGTTGACGATTGCATGGATCACCAGCCACTCTATCTTTTGCTTCCCACTGCCTGACGAAATCGACCGGAGGAACATATGAGCGCAACCGGGGAGTTAATAAGTCAAATTGCCGCACAGGACGCTTTCTCGTGAGCAAAATACTGGCTATTGTATATTCTTGTGCCTAGATTGTGAGTGGGGTATCATATCAGCTCCGAGCGGAGACGTACCAGTGACGGCAGAAGGACCAATGGCACCGCTAGAAGACTTCCGTAAATTTGTGAGTATGTTGATCTGGCGTGACTTTCTTGCGCGGATAAGTTGGTGTCCGAGAAGCGAGAGGCACATAAACGAAGTTGTGTCTTCTTCGCTATGCTAATGGTTTAACCCGTGGCAAGGTGCGGCTCGGCGTGTACACGAGGCCGTAGATATGGAGAGATCGGAGGAGCGTCACGGCGTATGAAGCTAGACTTCAGGCTTGATTCAGAAGGCCATATGAAGGCCTAGCACTTGAGAGGCCTCTTGGTGCTGATGACAATGCCGTGGCGTAACAGTAATACCTGAGATTAAAATGTCGACCCTAGTGGGAGAAGGGTTATACCGTCGTACCGAGTGGCTTCGTTCACCTACTTATGTATGTGTCCCCGCTCCACTATTGTTCGGTAAACTTGAACTCGACATTGGTTGGATATCCATCCATCGCAAAACGCCCACCATCACCGCTGTATCAGCGAGATGTGATGTCTGTTCATATCCAAGGGCCGATGAAAAGACATTCGCACAGAGTTTACTGTTGGGCCCTGAAAGCACGTCGGAGATCAGAGTCGAACGAATGTGTAAATACAAAACAAAAGGAATTCAGTGAACACGCCTTCTAATAGTCCTGAACATTAAGTCCTGAGAAGGAAGGATGGGATGACCGCCGTTGATCGGACCGACGAGAAGATAGCCAGTCCGCTCCTCTGGTGTATCAAATGAAGGCCATGAATGTACTTCCACGCCTCGCGGTCAACACGAGACAACGGGTTGGAAGGTCTTAGCCGACGGTGATTGACTGCGGGATCAATGCACCCATCTGGATCCTCGAGACGTCCCACTGCCGAAAACGGGTTTTGCTAGTAACAAACCTTGTTATGCACGGACCACAACGAGAGTCGAGGCGACCATCACAGACAATCCCCATAACGACTTGCGATGTCCCAGTCAGCGCTTGGCACTTGTCACTAATAAGCGAGTGCAACGACATACCATATCTATTGAATATTCTACAAGAGGGATTATAAACCGGTATCCAGCGCGGTCAGACCGAGCAGGGGCCTCGAATAAGAACGACGTGAACACGGGTAATACGACATTTCAGACTTCCCCTCAGCTCGGTAAAGTAGGGACCACGTCCTGAACATCCTTCGGTACAAGGTCCTTTGGCAATGGTGCTATAGTGGCTACTGGGGCTCGCTTCGTAAGAGCCAGCAAGTTTAACCGCAAGTTGCGAAGGACAGGATCCTCTAATGGACTTGGTGGGGAGGACGATGGTCGTGCTTCCGTGCCTGCGGTGAGCTCTGCTTTGACACCATCCTGGGCGGCTTCGCCCTCGGTCTTCATGATAACGTCGTTATCAGTTTTCATGCCGCCGAATCGAGCAAGAGGCGCCCTCCTACCCGTCCGTATTTCCTGATCAATCTGAGCAATAAGCTCTGCGGAGTAGTTGAACGCCTGATTCAATAGATCCGGACCCTCGAGTCCAAGGTGCTCTTCGGCGACATCGGAGCCCCCTTCTTGCCGTCGTGACTGTGCCTTTATCGACTTTCCTATCCACTCTTCCTCGCTCAAAGTGAACTCCGAAGGCTCGCGGATCAGGCAACCCATGTCAATCTCGCTCGAGTAGATTCGCCGCAAGGTCGAGAGTGCCTGGTCTGCGAGGGGATAGGTATAAACGGATAATGCGACTTGATCTGCCACCGATCGCGCATTGCTGAACTCGACGTCAGAGTCAGTCTCCATATTGACGACCGGCGCATCTCCTCCCGCCATTAATTTATGGAGTTGCAGAGCGGTCTGGCGGAGAAGCGTGTGGTGGCCGCCGGTTAACGGATCTACGATATTCTGGGTTACCCAATCAGCGAGTGGCATACCCAAGCTCGATTTCTGTTCTTCAATATCTGATGTTCCACCGTCGATTTGACTTCGCAGGCTAGAGTCCTAGAAGGTTGAGGTAGGAGAAGCGGTCAGGATCCGAGCACTGAATGAACACATATTAGGAAGAAAACCCACGGCTAGAACTTTCGTTGGGGTAGCGAACTCTGCTAAACTATTGACGTATGCAAGGCCATCAACACCGCCATAGACTAAATGCCAGATGTATTCTTCGGCCTCTCTCATGCGTCGGTCCGTCCAATAATTATGCGCCCGAGCATCTGGAACGGGTGAAAGGGGTGAGGGTTCGGTTAAGGTAGTAGAATGGGAGGTCAGAGTGTTTCGAACTTCATCTAATATAATTGCTTCTTCGGGCCTAGGATCAGAAGTGCCGAGGGACCCGCGCTTAGCGAGTTCGTTGGAGAGTTCGCTGGAGAGGATGGCAAGGGAGCCAAAATCAAGTGTATGAGGCTCTCGTGGAAGTTGCCACGCCGGGGCATCACTAGCACCGTCATCGGCGTCGTCCTTCTCTTTGAGCCGATTACGTGCTTGGGCGCTACGAGTAATGTGCCAGTGTCTGAATTTGAGAGGCGACTGATCTACGGAGGGCAGACTATCGGTATAATCGAACGAAAGTGCAGTCGGAGCAGGGTATACAGAAGGTTGAGTGTTAATTTGGTTCGATATGGGCGGATAGAGGGGGGTAAGCTGGGGGCGAGAGGGTAGATCTGGCACCAAGGCGGAAAGTACCGTGAAAGGGTCTTCCACTAAGTAATAATAGGATGAGTGTGTGTAAGCCATGGCCCGGTGCTTTATTACATACTCTGGGAGTAATCAAGGCTGCCATCCGCGGCGTAAGGAGGACCTTCCTTCTCCACTCGGAGTCGTTCTTTCTTTGTCTTGTATTTCTTGCCTATATACGGATATGTGTATAAGATATTTGATCACTAGTGTGAGAAGCAAAGAACCTTTCAGCTTCAGCATCAGCATCGTTTCAGCCCAGTCTGATCCTGGAGGAAAAGCACCCAATCCATCTTTAGAGCCGGGAAGGCGACCGTCGGCGTCTAAGCTCTCTGATATGACGGGGGTGGAGGACGTTGACTTCTTGACTATCGTAGGAGCTCGTAAACTGCGCCTTGTAAGACTGGCGGGTAATTGAGAGGCAACAGAGGGCGAGCGCCCTACACGAGAAATTTCGTCGACATCCATTGGAGTCATGGGATTCGTGTGGGTGACAGCATCGTCATCTTCGTCGACATTCACCTGCTGCGAGTCGTCATCGTTGTCGCCATCGAGGTTCCAGTCTGTTTCGTGTTGCAATACTAAATGTGTGGCCTTTTCGATATGCTCCAAAGCCCAAGACTCTATCCTTTGGGCTTCGGTGTGATATATTGTGCCAGGGGGGTTGAAGCGCATGGCATTGGAAGTAACAAGCTTTATATCGGCCTAGGAACTATTCTAGCCGAGGCATGAGCGGACACAAAATGAGCACACACGGAGAAGTCATCCAAACTGCGGTAGCGGCCTTTATGGACTTTGGTAGTCATCGTACCGAGGTCCATTGGATGAGATATCATTTCCGAGTATCCTGGGACCTTGGATACATCGACTGGCTGTAGGAAGAATGCATAGTCGTCTTTCCTGAGTGAACAGCGTCAGTTGAAATGGCCTCTACCTAATGTAGAGGTTCACTTCTTAATCTGTGATATGAGCTTCGTCAGGACCTCTTTCAGTGGTTTCAATTTCAAAGGTCGAGGGGGCGCCTTCTCCTCCGTAGGATTGACCGCGTCTTGCCCTTTCCGATTCTTCTTCGAGGTCTTGACAATCTTCCCGCCTTTTAGAGGCGGAAGAATGAGCTTGAGTCCTGAGCCTGTAGGTTTAGAGGGCCCCGCCTGCGGCGAAGAAAAGCTGTATGTCGAATTGGGAGTCCTATTGTCGTAATCCATCGACGTCTCGAGTTCACGGTGAGGAGGAAGGTGGAAAGATGACTGACATAATACTTCCTATTTGGTCGACGTCTCATCTTATCTTATCTGCTTCCACTCTTTGATGTATTTAGGGCCTTCGGCCTTCACGTTCATTCGTAATGCCTAGACTACAGTAAATGACCATCTTGTCTCATACTTTTATTATGGAGTGTGCATCCAACGCAGGCATCTGCCGGTGAGTGCTGTGCCGCTACATCAATATTTGAGGTGCTTCTCAGCCTTCAGGTTTTCCGCTATCCCCGTCTCTATTGGTACGCCCTTTCATCATGTCGAACTTGACTACGGTTGTGTTGGTTATCTTAATACTGTTATCGGATCGGTATGAGGCTTTATATGTCCCACGTCCCTTTCCGTCAAAGTCAAGAATACCATCCCCATGCATCACGAGCGTTGTTGACACGTCGATCAGCTGATGCTGACGATATTTATGGCTTCAATTACAAGAACGAGGACGCTGTCCGCGCGTTCTGTGTAGGAACGCTCACAGCCGGTGGTAACACATTCGAGGTGTCTCATTCCATGAAGTTCGGTGTGCTGCGGCTTTGATATACGTATCTCCATGGAAGGTCCAACCTGATACAGGAAGCTCGTTCAAACTTGTGGCTGGATACCGCCGATATCGACACGAGATTCTTTGCTGATACAGGATCAGTGGCAGTAATCTCATTCGCATAAGTAATGGTGAATAGGAACTTGCCTATTTTGTAACGACCGTCGTGTTGCCGCAGGTCCAATATTACAAAGTGGAATGAAACTCGGTGACTATATTATGGTAGATCAAGCCTTCCAGACCTCTTTTTGGCGAAACCGAACGTGTTTTCAATAGCACGAACCGAAACGGAAAGACATTCCTTGACAACGTCGGTCACATTGAGAATCTCGTCTAAAAATATCCTCATTGAATGGAGGCAAATAAGTATCCTCTGCACCCGAACAACCTAACTTTCCTTTCTTCAACTTGGTTCGTTCTGCAAATGTGGCGCACTGGAGGAGAGGTATCTCGATCGGTGAGCCGATTGCGGGCAATCGGCGCCCCTTTTCTTGTTCAGGATTTGATTGATCACATATGCACACGACATGGGCTCTCCGAGTTGTCCAACGTAGGACTGAAACCTCTCCCCGTGCGCACCGAATTCTAGAGCATCATCCTAGAGCGAGACATGGTAAACGGGGAACACATACCCGGACACATGTTCAGTGTAATAAATATCGTTCTTTACCATTGAACCCCGTGAGTGCAACAATTACTATCCTCGATACAGGAGGGGTTTCCATCCGCTCTTCGGACTCGGCATGATGGCTTCATCGGCTGCTGACAGAATCCGCGCCTTGAGCCTGCGTCGACGCAATCTACTCATCTATCCCCGGCGCCAGGTTCGTAGAAAAGGACGGATTTTAAAGTGTCCCATGTGAAACCGAAATCGCCTTGTCCTGTCCTCGGGCGAGTAAATGACTGCAACTGTTAGATCCACTGGAAAGATACTCACTGAGGCTGCTTTCCCCATCCATTCCGTTGATGTCACTTTTCTTTCCCGACAATTGAAGAGAACTCATCTGTAACGGCGTCGATAAATGCATCGGACTCTTCGGCAAGCCTCTTCTATTCTTTGCTAGCGACGAACGACAAGGCTCATTTCGGGCGCGTGATCAACTGGGTCCTTGGCGACGTCTTCGTAATGTATTCTCCGTCTATGAATTCCGCAGCTGAACAAGAAAGGGACGCTCAGCGTCATAGAGAAAGCTCTTCAGCTGCTGCCCATGGAATCGTGGATATAGCCGCTCCTTCTCCTTCATTGACCCAAGTCTTCCATACTTTCGAACGTTCTTTAACAGACGACAGACGATGCAGAGTTTATCAGCTGATGCTGAGTTTGAGTCCCTAAACAACGCCAGACTATAGTCAATTGTCAGCACTCAATCCGTTTCATCCCATTCGCAACGAAGTTGTGCTTACGAATTCAAACGTACCAACTTCCTCTTTCTACTCATTCTACGATTCGCAAATAAACGCCTTGCGCTAATCAGTATCAATCTATAAGATGATTTGAGTGATGTCCGCTACAAAGTCATTTGGACGCCCCACCTCATCAAGTGACTTACAATTATGTACCGTATACAGTACACATATATAGCACTAACGTAGCACAACGGATAATTCCTCTCACCGAGTCAGCAACCGCAAGGGATCAGATCCTCCGCCTTCTAATCCTCCGATGATCGCCTGTCTGACAGCGCCCAGGTATTCGCTCAGCGGTATCCCCCCTTCACCAACAAAGTCATCATAGAGTTTGTATCTCGAGTCCGCGACGATATTGGCCAATTTCAGGGCCAGCTTAGCATTGCTGTGCAAACAAATCAGGGTTAGCTTCGTTGACTTTGTCCATCTACAATCTGGCATAAAAAGACTTACCCAGGTATTTTGTGTCGGGAAGTGACCAAGATGTGGTGGAGACGGATGATGAGTTCTGGAATATACAGTTGCCTTATCCGGACGAGCCCACGGCGACGGCGGTCATCTATCAAAGAACAGCGCCGCAATCAGAGAACGGTTGTTATGTTATCGTCATTGTGGGTGAACCGCTCACTCACTGGTTATAACATCAACATCCGAGACTAGCCATTCCGAGGTTAGCAGCTTGACAATTTTTTCGTGGGCCGTATCGATGAGACCCTGGTAGAAACTCTCCCTGAATACCTGATGATGCAACGGAAGCCAAAAGCAGTAACGTACGGCGTAGTCTCTCAACCAGGCACTCTTTGTTTCCCGATTCATCTGCGGGCTCTCCAAGGATTCGCACTCGACCACCCGTTCCAACGCCTCCCAGATAGCAAAGAACTGTTGATAGTGCAGGTACTCCGTGGCCATTTCTTCAGGTTCGCCTATTGCGGCGAGCTCAGGAGGCAACATTCCAAGAAGCTGCTGAGCAACATTCACCCTGCCAGATCCTATAACACGGAAGCAGATAGCCTCAGTCGTCAGCATGCAAGGATAGCGACAGATATCCAAGATCTCGTACCCAGAAAATATCGGAGAATTACGTTGGCTTGCTCCAGGGCTGTGTGGAAGGTGGCGCTAGAGAACGTCGTCCATTCGATAGAACGAAGGAGCAATTGCTCCGTCTCGGAGGCGGGTGGTTGCATTGCGATGATTGATGGCAAAGGTCCCGCGAGCGGGGGAAGAAGCTGCGAAATGGGGATTAATGACCGCAGTAGGATCGCGATCGCTGAAACACAGAATAAACGCACCTCGAAAGCTTTCTCGATTGTCCGTTCGGCTGTCGCAATAGCTACACGGTCGAGGTCCAAACCATGGTCCATTCCCCTAGTGAGCGCCAGCCGCCTCTCCGAAAGATCGGTGCTCAATTCCAGCGAGGTCAGGAACAACGCATAACGTTCGATGGCGTTATCTCCCAGAGCACCTGCGTACATAGCGATGAGGTCCCTCTGCCCCGCACCTTCCAGCACCCGGATATACGCCTCGAGGATTACTTGTGTAGCTAACGGAGGTACGGGTATCTCGATCATTTGTAGGAACAGGCAGAGATGAGCGAAGAAGCGGCACATGGTTGAATATCTGAAGGCAGATCAGGACGTTCACTTTCGCGATAGATATGTATGTATCTCACTCACTCTGACGAGGTGTCTGCGTATATCCCATCTGTTAGGCCATTAGCAAAGATCTCCAACAGAGTACTTGTTCGATCCAAGATGATGTGCAATTGCGATACGTGGAAGGCATGGTCTGCTGGTTGTCTGTAGAAGAAACGTGTAAAATGTCACGGATCGCTGAAGGGAATACGAGCGTACCCTTCAAAGACAGCCACACTCTTCAAGCCTTCCAAAGTACCAACTACTTCTTTCTCCCATTCTTCCTCTTCTTGTTCCCTGTCGATATCTATCGTCCCGCCAGAGTCGTCAGTGACCTCCCCTCCTTCCCAGAAGCTCTTGTTCGCCAAAAGCGCCATTTCCATACTCTCTTTCTCCTCGCAGACTATGCTCAGCTGCGCCCACAGATGATCCTCCCATGTTCTGCATGCTGATCTAAGAACTGTTGATGTTTGGGGGGAAGGTGCTAATGCCGAAAATAAGACGCGTTCTGATTGAGGGAGGGCAGGCTGGCCCACAGAATGATTAGATATGATCGTGTGCGTAAACTAGAAGGACTTACGTTGAGCGCTGCTCGTACGCACGTGGATTTCCACAGCCTACGCCTACGATTGCCCTGCCATGCATCGGTTTCCTCTACTTCATCGTCATCCTCACTGACTTCGTTCGCTGGGACGAAGTTAATACTGACAAGAAACCGAGACACGAAGCGCGCACCAATAGCCTTCCATTGGAATAGTCGTGATCCACGAATGCTTGCTGCTCTCCATGGTTGGTGAGCTTTTCTGCACAGTTCGATGGCCTCGTCGAGTCGTCCCGCTCGCACGTAAGTATACAACGCATTTGCCAGACTTTTTTCGTAGTTCTATGGGAGTTATAAGTGTCGACAGGGTAATTAGGCATGTAGAACTCACAGCGTCGTCAGAAGCCAACGCCCGTCCATCCCCTTTGTTAACTACATCTGGATCCATCTCCTTCACGAGTCCATCCCTCTGACCTCCTGCCGACCGCAGCGTTTGCATTATACTGTGTTTCGTGAACTTCCAATAGCCGGTTGTAGCTTCAGGGTGTTGAGGAGACGGCGCTATCTCTTGCAGCCATTCGCGAACAACAATGAGTTCTGTCAGCAAAGGCGAAGTATTCATGATCGCTTGCGCGAGTGTAGACGTCGGCGTGAAAGGATTTTGGGCAAGTAGATCTCTCGGGCTGGGCATCGGAAGGGCCTCCACCTTTCGCGGTCTACATACGGTGAGTTTCATTCGTTGCGTTGTAGTTCTGGACGCACGGCATGATAGCTTGGAGAAGACCCCATGTATTTGCTTCGAGTTTGAGCACATCTAGCTCCTCCTGCGACATTCCAGCACTGGCGGGAGTTTGTTCGAATTCTTCTAGCCTAACATCAGTTCAGCCTAATGAGAATACAGCGAGATCGGTGGTTTCACTCACTGCTCGTGGCAAACACGTCGGAGGCGAGGAGCAAAGCCTGTCTCCGGGTCGAGGATAGCAGGAAGGTCGTCTTTCAGTGTCTGACACAGAGACAGAACTTCGGCACAGGAGGCATACAGCGCGTTCGCCATCGTGAATCCCCAGATTCAATCCCCTGTTTCTGGGCAAGCAACTTGCAAGAGGAGGTACAGTGCGGACGCGTGAATCTGAGGATGAACGGGCTCGCACGTGACCTTCGCTGTCGCCCCTTTCTCCTCCTTTCCCTCCTTTTTAGTCCCCTTTCCTTCTTACTCCGATATCTGTGCTACTTAAACGAGTCGGAATAATGGCGCAGTACACGACATACCAATTCAACTAAGATTAATATTTTTAATGTCTTATGTCAGAGTTACCATTTATTTCTTAGTATGTACCCACTACGAAGAGACCTTGACTACCACCTCTTGATTGAGATCTCTAGCCCTATTAGGCCGCCCCACTATATGACAGCGCAACTCCTTGGGGCAGCTATATACAAGCATGCTATATCAATAACTCCTCCGCTTGCCAGTTGCCACATACCTCGTGAAGCCAATATTGAACTCGCCGCTTTGAGTGATTTCACGGCCAGTCTCGTCCCTGGCCTTCTCTATCTGCAATGTGGCGAGGACTGTACTTACGACGGCCCAGAGGTTTGCCAGCGCAAGGTGCTTTCCCGGGCACACCCTTTGAAAATTGGTGTGTAAAACGGTTACTGAACGGGCGAAAGTAGAACCAACCAACCTTCTACCAAAGCCAAAGGCGGGCTCGAACTGAGGTTCTCCCCTCCCGCCTTCGGACGGAGGCAAAAAGCGCGAAGGATCAAATTCGGAAGGATTTTTATACACGGTGTCATCCAGCGACATTGACCTAGAAGACGCTCAGTCTAGCAAGGCAGCAAGTAGAGGTACGAGTCGGCATACTCAGTATTCGGGAACACGTAGGATCCTTTTGGGATCCGCATTCCTTTGTACACGTATTCTTCCGTAGAACAGTGAGGGACCGCTGGATACGAAAGGACGTCTTGATTTGTACTGAGTGAGGGTTAACTACGGAGTACGTACCTAGAGGGGCCACCGGGTGCCATCTACGATTCGATCAGGGGCTTCAGCCAGATCAGGTCAAGAAGCGAGTACCTCAGCAGCTCTTGTATTATGCAGTTCACGAACGGCAGCGAGTCGCGATCTTCAAAGGAGGGGAGCCTGTCCGCCCCAACTACTTGGTCGACTTCGTCTTGTCCTTTTTTCTGTACTTCGGGATAGAGTAACATAGCAAGGAAGAATTTCTGCAGCGTGAAGGAAATCTGGACCAGAGCATTAGAATTAGATACAACGATGACATGTAGAGAATATTGCCTACAGTGTCGGAACCGGCCGAATAAATAACAGCAGCGGCTGTACGTATATCCTCATGCTCATCTGATGTCAGCACATCTTTGCATGCTGCCTCAAGCTGATTGACAACGAAGCATGGCCGAGCGCTTCCTGCGGCCTATAAACAGTTCAGCTAGAAACGACAGACACTTCTCTCGTAGCTTACTTACGATGTTCTTCAGAACCACTTCGTACGGCCATTCTATCATCTTCCGAACCGCCCATTTCCACTCTCGAGCCACATTGACGTAATGTGTCCCAGGAAACCACGAAGGAAAGTATTGTACTGCATACGGCATCGGACAACGTCAGGATATCGATATTAATTAGAGAAGCGTTATCAAATACGCCACGTACGAACTGGGAAGTAGTCGACGAGGGTCCCTGCCGGCATCCCGCCATGGCTCAACGCAGTAGCGCTATCTTGGATTATCTTGATATACTCATCATCCGCCGACATTATCTGGTGACCATACGCGATCCCTATTGCTGCCGCTATGGTAAATCTACAGTCAGAGCGATGTCAGTCCCATATCAGGGCGCGAGCGTGAAGGACAACCCACCTGTTCAACAGTTGCACCGGATCTCCTTGGTTTTCCATTAATCCATGTGCTAAGATATGTGCATTCTGTAGTTGCATGGGCTGAAACTCGACGCAGGCTTGGGGGGAAAAGCTCGTCTGGAATATTTTCCTTTGTTTCCGAAACTGTGGTCCGTACGGGAGAAAGACGACGTCGGGATCCCAACCCATCCTAATCCAATAGGAATTAGGCTTGTCAAGTGGTAAACATTTCGAGCTGCGCCCTTACAGCTTATAGACCATCGTATTTGGCCTGCTACTGAATATTGCGCTTTGCTTCTCCAAGAGCTCAGTAGCCGCTTCAGCACTATCCAGAACGATATACGGCTGGCCGAAGCAACGCACATATACAACATCACCTAGAAAAATCAGAGCTGTCAAGACTAGCTGTATCACGTTGAAAGGCTGTCTCCTACCATATTTCTTAGCCCATTCGCGGAAGACCGTTACTGGGCTACCCCAGGGCATTTGTCCGTAGTGACCTAACAACATTGAACCGGCGGGAGGACCAGGTGGAAGTGGGTGGCTGCGCTTCTTGGAAACGAAATGGACACCAGCGATAGCACAGCAAAGTGCACCTAAGAATGCACAGCGGCCGATGATTGAATCTCCCATCTTGATTCTACTGGTAATGGAGACTCGAGAGATATATCACGTTGCTATCTGGCTGGTCCTTCACTCGAGTGACTGGTCCAGTTTACAACCAGAGTTCGTGGTGGTGGCGACGGGCGTTCGAAGAAACGAGTTGGAGTTGGACCAAGGTTGGTCGGACTTACTACTACCCTGTAATGACATGACTCACTGCCAGAAGCGGAAACGCTCGATTGTATATACTTCTGACATCCGGTACCGATGGTCCTGTGTCCTGCGGTGCACTCAATACGCGCTATAGCCGTAGACAGAGTGAAGGCTCTGAAATACATCGAGCATAGTATGCTACAAGACGAAGATGTCAGCGCCTTCGAAGTTTACCATGCCACTACCGTCGGAATCATGGTTAGGACCCCTACTTTTGAACTCTTGGTTATGTGATGTTAACACGTACCTTCATCCTCTCGTCATCAATAAAAAAGGTCCAATGGGTCCAGCAAGCGGCTAGTGTACCAAACCGGCAAGAGTGAGAACCTCTTCACCTAGCTATAGGCTTTAGAGACGAGCGTTGCGTTGCTCCAAAATCAGGTAATGGGGCTTCATTGTTGTAGCCGTCTTCTCTCAAAGGCTGTCAAAGCACGGTTACAGTGTTGCGCTTATCGCACGCGGAGCACGATCGTTGAGGGACCTAGCAGATGAGATCAAGGACACAGGAGGAGAGGTATGGGCGCCAATTCCTTTCTTCCGCTTCGTTCATGTATGAAGGGAAGTTCCGTCGCCGACACAGGCTGAGCCATTTCCGATACTAGAATACTCACCGGAGGCCATCTCGGACGCGTTTTCGGCCATTCGGAACAAATTTCCATCCCCAAGCGTGGGCGTGAATGGGCGACCGCTTCGTGTGGCGATTTTGCCCAAGGAGTGTTCAAGCCTTTCTTGGATGTTACACCTCAAGATGTCAGGGAGACCCTCGAGGTGAACGTCACTACCGCGTTCACATTTGCCCGTGAATCCATTTTGGATTTCAAGAAGAATGATATAGGTCCGTGAGGTAAATCTGACGCGCTGAGTTCCGTGCTCAAGCGAATTTAGCTGACGGCAAGAGGGGGACGATCATATTCACGGGGGCTACTGCTGCTCTGCGGGGAAATGTTATGACCAGCGTATTTGCAGCGGGTAAGCATGGTCAGAGAGCCTTGTCCCAGAGTCTTGCCAAAGAATTTGGCAAAGACAATATTCACGTAATCTCCTCCGTTCTCGTCGTCCACGCCGTGGTGTTCACGCTCTTCCTTCATTAGGTCGCTCATGTTAGTAATCTCTGTAATATCAGACTCGGCGTTTTGCTGACATCCGAAGTGTGGTCTTAGACAATCATTGATGGTCGTGAGTGCAGGTTCGTAGTATGTATAACGCCTAAAGTGACAAATTTGTACCAGAGATCCTCACGGACAGAACCAGGAGCTACAATGATGGTGCTTCGAACTGGGCGACTAACGCTGACGTTAGACTCAGCCCCGAGAGTATCGCATCAGTAAGTCGCATTATTACTTTGCATTGCCTAGAGTCATATTTCCCCACCTCATGAAGGCGTATCTGTACCTCGTTAATCAAGATAGGTCTGCATGGACATGAGAGCTTGATTGTAAGTGTCGCTTTGCTACACCCTTTACGTTGCGATGCGATAACTATCTGCAGTACGCCCGGCGCACGAGAAATGGTGAAATATACGTGCTTATATGTAGCCACTTTCGCGCCCCTACGTGCTCCTATGAAGATAGCAAGCAACAGAGTACGACCACAGCTCGCTATCTACAGCATGTACAGTCCGTCATGTTATTTGGGAGCAATACCACGCCGCGCCCGCGCGTAGACCACTGATCCGCGTCCTCCTCACGGTCATAGGTACTCCGTTGTGTGCACGGCCCAGAACGGATTAGGTTCGCATGTTGATCTCTGACAGCTGACTGCAAAAAGTTGCCTACAGTGCTATAACCTAGGCTTTGAATTTCCTGCCAATTCGATGACAAGAAGTGGGATCTTGACTTGACGACGCTTGTATGTTCTTAGGGCTCATTCTGGCTCGGTGTCGAGACCTTATTGTCCGGGACAATGGAACTGTCTCACACCCGATTCAGGATTGTGGTCCAGTGGCCGCATACCCAACGCATACCTGCTTTTTGGCCACTTCTCTTGCCACTGGGGGCTTTGGCCACAGTCATGGCCACCATTGTATAAAAGGATGCAGACCGGGTCTTCTTCGTCCCCTCCATGATACCTTGCTTTCTCGGACATCTACTCTCGGGCCTCTGGAACGCGTTGAAGATGTTCTTTGTCCCCTGCACCTCGAATGTTTTCTCGAATCACTCGGATTGCGACTCTGCCTCCCAGCCAAGCGACCCTCCGATCCTGGAAGGTCGTCTCTTTAGCCCGCAGCCTGTCGCTCCTGTGGGATGCCTCTTCCGCCGACTGCTCACCTTGAGGCATACCCCTGTTCCGGCCTTTGTCGACGACCTGGAAGCGCAAATGTCTAGCGAAGAGAGCAGTTTGGAGTTTACCCCCATCGAGTCAATCACCTCGCTGGATTACCGGGACAGTGTCTCCGGACTGGACCCAGACGCTTTGAATGGCTTAGACGTTGATTCCTCGCAGCCGCAGCTCTCTGGCCGTATCAATGTTTCCCCGGCACCCAGTGACTCTGGTGTCATCTTGTCCGACGACTCTGATCCAATGGTTTGTCCATGCTATTGCAATGTGCATGTAGCTTCTGACTCGCGGTTTCTTACCCAGCCTTCAGCTTCTTCGGAAGGTTCTGAGACCCACTACTACGACTTTTCCGACGAACATCGTGAAAGCGACATTTCTACCCCCAATTCAAACAATAGCGACGTTGGCGACGATATATCCTGTTCCGGGCCAGGCGAACCAATGGCCGCCCCCACACCCATCTCTGTAAGTCCCTACCCCCCGTGGCGAAACCTGACTCAATTCGTCTTCAGACGTATGTTCCCCCGCGTAATCGCCGGATCCTCCAGGATTTCACCAAGTTCGAAAACGAGGAAGCAGGGGACATCACCAGAGCCCGTTCATTGAGCCCGCCCCCTTTGCACCATAGAGGCGTGGAGAAGAGCGACCTCCTGAACGAATGGGATGGTGAGCTCTGCTCGTGCGTACTTGTTCCATGTTTTCGCGCACATGCTTATCATTTCTACAGTGCCCACAATGCGTCTCCTTGCAGCATGTGTCGAGATTCTGTGATTGATTTGCCAACAAAGTTCCCATTCTGATATGTTCCCTCTCCTCACCTTGAGTCTCTAACTATTTAAATAACTATTTTGTTGTACTACAGAAATCATAGAAGTAATTTACAGCCTGCTTTGCATCTCAATTCTTCGAGTTGTACCATTTTGGGGTAACCCATGTCTACCACCCCCCGCGTTGATCTACATCTCGATCCGAATTCCACCATTGCTGGGGTACAGGGTCCGTCAAAGTCAATTGCTTATGCGACACCACCAAGTGGTCAAATTGCCGTCTATACATATTCCCTTACTTCGTCTGTAGTTGGCCTGTACATCAGATGCGTTGTCCTGTTGATGGACGTCTGGATCAACTCCATGATCACGATCTTGTTTGCTCTGTCCCTTTATTTAACATCTCCGGGTCGTTGGCCAAGGTAGTTTGCAACAAACTGTCGCACACTTGATCTCTTCCTACTCCAACCCGAGGAGGCGCGCGTCGACCGCTTCCATTTTGATGTCTCGAAGCCACTGTATTGAACCAACGTATCTACCGCTTAGGGGGCTCGCTACATAGCAGTTGCTGTTTTCTGTGCGCACATCGTCTTCACGTCTTCATGTACCGCTCTAAGTCTCGGCGTTCAGATTGTCTTTCCAGCTACATCACGCCGGCTTAAGTACCTAAGCTATGTGTGAGCTGTACTCCCTCTTCCGATATTCATCCAGCGTCGACGGTCTCAAGACCCTGCCTCCGATTTTGCTCAACTTACAGACAGTGCTGTATAACAGGGTCCTTAAGTCCTTTCAGGGGCCTCACTTCGAGAGCTTTACCACGGTTCATCGTCGCCTCGCCTCGAGGTGGCCTCGAGGGCTCGACAGACGCCGATTGTTTGAACGACTCACTCTTGAGCATCGATCGAGCGGGGGCTGATCTATATCGTGCACGATATTTCATTTGTTTCATTTGACACAGCAGACTCATGTCCTTGTAGTCGGCGGACATCCACAATATGGCCATGATGATGGCAAATCCACAGCAGCCTCACACTTCCAGTGGTTTCCAATATGCTCCTCCCGCCCCATCTCCTCAGGAGCCCCAATTACCAGAGAAAAACAATGTCGAGATGACCCGCGACATGCTCATCCAAGTGCTGGAGTACTTCTCTACCATCGTTCCTGCGTATTTCGATAACAGGCCCGTCCGCCTCGTTATTCACGGAGGCGCGTGCATGCTGCTGCATCCTCGTTTGTTCCCCCTCACGCAGTCGCCGATGTCACAAAGCCTCTTTGTGGGAAATGACGGCATGCCCATACCCATCCCGGTGAAACGTACTGCCACGCGGGATGTCGACTACATAAACCGGTCGTTCGCCGCAGAGTGGAAGAGCGTTGGTGTGGTTGATGCGACAGAGCGGCTGAAGAAGTGCATCAGAGCTACGGCAAGGCAGTTTGGGTTGGGCGCTGACTGGATGAACAGCGATGCAGATATCGCACTCCCGATGGCAACCAAGTGAGTCATGAATATCCTTCACGGTGGACGACATGAACACAAGCGCGCTGTCCCTCACACTCGTGAGATCGTCTTGTGTTGACCGACCGAAGGAGGGCGATATCGTGTCTGTTCATTCTCGGCTCCACCAACCTTTGACGGACGATAAGTGACTTACGTTACATTCAGCCCTCAGACTGGCACCGTCTACGATCCTATATACACGGATTCCCTTCGGCCGAACAACCTGCATCTACACACTATATTCACGTCTCAGAATCAAAAACTTGTTCTGATAAGCGTGACTCCGTTTTGGGCCGTTGCCTTGAAGTTGGTGAGGTACTGTAAATGGGATCCGGGAGACATATGTGCACTCCTTCGGTGAGCTACCACGACCTCTTCGAGCGACCTTATTGACTTGTGGTCGCCAGCAACGGGACTATTATGTCCAAAGTAACGTGGAACGCCGAAATCCTTGAAGCATGGCTGCACAAGGAATGTTGGCCCATGGGATACGCATCGTATGACACCGCTAAGGTCATGGAAATGAGGAAACGAATACAACATGCCGTGCAAATGGTGAATGCTTGGAATACCTCAGACCCACCGCCATCGTCATCGCCATATCCCCCGCCGGCCCCTTCGTCGTCGTACGGCCCATCCCCAGCCTCGTCAAGCCGACTCGCACCAGAAGCATGGAGCATGGGCGGCCAGGGCGCAGATCCCGCATCTCCACCTGTTAATGGCGCGTGGTCGAGGTCTCCTCCGTCTTCGGGCTCCGCTGGCCAAATGCCTCCACCGTGGGGCGCAGCGGGCAGCCCGCCGCCCCCGGTCCTATCTCACCAACCTTCTCTCCAATGGAACACGCCGCCATCGACGCTCGGGCGCAGCTCGGCGCGTGACTCGTGGGTCGGTGGCTGGGCATTGCCAGTGCAGAATACGGGCAGTAGCTCGCATAGCAGTCTGCACCTCTCCGCCTCGATGACTTTCCCCGGAGCCCCGCGATCGGGCCAGGAAGCCAATGCTCCCGGCGCAGGCGTCCCAGCCGCTAGCAATAATGGAGCATCTCAGAGCTCGACCCTGGGTCTTACGCTTGGTCGCGAACCGTCGTGGGATCAACGTCGGGCCGTCGATTCAGCAAGCAGCGTAGCTGTTGTCTCCGCCTACGACGCGGCTCGAAGGCGACAATGGGACAACGACGCCCACTCAATGCGGAGCGAGGCCTCTGAGAAATGGCGATATTCCTACAGCCGCGATACCGCCGACGCCTCGATGCTGCAGAGCAGCCAAAGTGCCCCCGTTATCCCAACTTCGTTTGAATACGGCGTAAACGCCTCGAACGATGCCTACAGCCAAAGTTCGCGGCAGATGAAACCGAGGACGAAGTCGGGAGACGATGCTGGGGGCAGATTGGCGACCCATGTCGCCGAGGGGGATGCGCCCTCCTTTTCTGGTTTACCCCTCGGCTTCGTAGCTGATGAGGAGCGCAAGTCGCAATGGGACTGGTATGGGTTGACCGATGCGGAGAAAGAGATGATCATCGCCGAGCGACGACGCAAGGCGGCGGCGTCTGCCTCTTTGCGGGGAGGGGAATATCTGCACCAACAGGAACCTGAGCCAGCACCCGTCATTCCCTTCGATACGCTGCTGGAGAAGCCGTCGCCGCCCCAGGCAAGGGGTTTCCTCAACGTGTCCAGAGAACCGGCGGAGCTGCGGCATCGGAAGAGCATGAGCAGTCTAGGTCAAGAGCCGGACTACGCCGAAGCCTGGCATCCGCTGGCGGCTGAAGTGGGGGCCAGGGCGAGAGAAAGGGCGTTGGCGAAATTGAGGGCGGCTTCACCCTCCTCGAGACCGCAGGCAAACGACGAAGATCTTTGGCGGCCCTTTCATGGACGAGGCGTCGCGGCGGATAATCTTAGACAAAGCCAAAGCTTGGGCATGATCTAACTCAACGTGCCGGGCATCGGACATACCGCTGGCCCCAGGAGCACACGACTTTAAAAGCCAGGAGGCTTGTTCATCAATTATTCTGAATTCGTTCTTGTATATCCTTTTTCTTTGCTCGTCCCATTTGCTATCGTTACTCAGGATGGAGACCGCTAATGTCGATACCGTGATGTGGAAATTGGTTCACCGGAACAGCTCTGTAAATATATGCATCATACTGCTTTTTGTATCGTAAATTATGCACAACGAATATGGCACAACTTCTGTATTGTTCATTCTACTAGCGACGTATATGGATACATTGGAGGAGCCTTGGAGAAAGGCAGTTCATGATGATACGAACTGAAATCGCACAGAGCAGGAAACGACGCTGAAGTCATGGGGTAGCAAACAGTATATTCAGTTAATCCAACCAAGACGAAGAGACATTGGGGTATCGAGGGAAGGGGAGATCATTTCGCTGGAGTAATAGCAGTTGGTCGGTCGACGAGTCGATGATCTGTCGGTGCGGCAGGGTAATCCCGGCATCGCTGCAACTTCGTTCAAGTTCTAAACATAACCAGTGGTTCAGTGAGGGAATCCTGGCGTAAACAGGAAACACACACCATCGACGGACTCCTGCGCCTGCCACAGAACTTCAAGTACCCCGGGCGCGAGTAGAACCATGCATTCCAGGCATTCCACGACGTTGCCTTGATTCGCGCGCGTGCATGCGCATGTTATAGACGAGCCAGTGCATGACTTTGGGGCGTGCAGCATTGCCTCGAGATGAGTAAGGCAAATAGAATTATAGAAGGGGACGTACGTTGATTGCATCCGTCAGAGGACTGCATCGGCTTCGGCATTGGGTGGGAAGGGTATTGACATCGATGGATTCATTTGGGGTGTCGTCCGCGACTGATGGAAGAGGAGTGGGTGCCGTTGAGGTGCTACTCGTCCTTGTGCTTGTTGCAGTAGATGAAGCGGTGGTCGTGCTCCCAAACCCTCCGTCGGTGGTGCTTGTAAGCGTGGACGTAGACGCTGAAGGGAACGTGCTTGCCGACTCTGCCGCTCTTGCCTTGAGACGACATACACCACCCGCTCCGACCACTGATAATAATGAGCCTCATCAGACAAACCCACACCGAAGAAAACTCACCATCAAGGCGTCCCAGCCATAACAAAAGTCCATTTACGAACACCATCTTCCAGGCTCCCGGCCTCCAAGTTAAGCGTGGCCTCGTCAAAAGTCCATCCATGCTGAGGAAGGGCAAAGTTGTGTTGCAGCGAGCTCATAGCCTCATTCTTTTTGTGCAGAAACCTGGAGGCCAAGACCAAGGCGCGGTTTGGGGCGAAAACGTGCCCCCCAGGGCCCAGATGTTGAGGTTGTAGTTGAGTGAGAGGCGCGTATCTTTCCTGGTGCTGTGCAAAGCAAACTCTGCCAAAAGACGAGGACGACTATGAACAAGGCCCAGGTCCTTGCCTTCCCATGCTGTCTGCTGGAGTGCATCTTCGGGTTTGGTTCCCAGCAGAAAGCAGGCGCTTCAAGTTTGCTACGAACTAATGTACATCCATAGATATTGAAATTCCCAATAAAAGTATATTTACAACGCAGGGTTGGTCTCCTGCGAGGTCCCCTGGTTGAGCAGCAACGCGGGAAGCATTTCGATAACAGGCTCCCAGCTGTTCCAGCGTTCTTCCCCAGCGCCGCTCCAGCCATCCCAAAGTCGGGTAAGCCGGCATTCCTCTGGAAGGATCCCTCTCAGGTACGTCGCTACTTCCAAAGGCGAGGAGTCGAGGCAGGATGGCCCAACGTTGAGTTCAGCCAAGCACCTGAAACGTGCGTTGTCGAAGGTCATTGCCAACGCAGAAAGGGATGTATCCAAACAGAGGCATAAAAATGTCAACTGCGGGCGTATCACAGCTAGCTGTGGTAAGACAGAGATAGGGAAGGCAGGGGTACCGTCGGTGGTGGTCGACCGCCGAAGATCGAGGTGCTTCAAAGAGGGAAGGTTCTCGGCGAGGTAAAGCAAGCCTGGCGTGGTCATTGGTAGATCAATGAGGCAGAGCTCCGTCAAGCGGGTGAGGTGGCGGAGGGGCGCAAATGTCTCCCATGCAGCCGGCGCTAGCTTCGAGGGGCGTTCAGAACCATTCCTCCACTTTTCCAGTTGCAGAATCTCGAGCTGTGGGCAGCACGCGCTTATGACCTCGAAGAAGCGCAAGTGCTGTTCTCGGGTCTGCTGAGTGTGCGGCTGAAGCACGAGTTTGCGTAGCGCGTTGAGTTTGTATGGTTCTAGGAACAATGGGACGTTGTCCGTGGATATTTCGAGCAGTCTGAGGGACGTAAATCGTTCGCTGGTGTCAACGGGGGGATGCGGGAGTCGGTTTGGGGTACGGGTATCCCACTGATGGGTGGATCGGATGTGCTCCAGGCTCGGCAGGCAAGCAAGAGCGCGGATGACGCATGGGGTCAGTGTTGCGGGTCCGATTTCAAGCTCGTTCAACCGAGAGAGGGGACTCAGAAACACATCTAAACCTATCTCTGTATATTCATAATCAAAGATTTGGAGCTTGAGGCGGCTGAGCATTGGGGATCTGTCGGGGAGATAAGACAGAAGCGATTTTACTTTTGGCAGGCTCTTCCCAGTGGTGCCTCCAATGGTCAGATCGACGAGACGTCGGTTGAGAAGGAGCGGTATGAAATCGCATAGGCTATAGGGGGTACAAGCGAGGTTGCGTAAGTTGGGGATAAGGTCGCCCTGAGGTTTGCTCAACGCGATTTCGGTGAAAACGGAGTGGGAGTATAGTTCACTACCGATCGAGGAATAAACTATGGTGTACACGCGCCAGGAGTATTTGCGAAAGATGGTCCAATCGTAGGACCAAAGGGGGCGCTCGAATTCCTGTTGTATTTGGATCAGAGGATCGAAATCAGAATCGAAGCCACAAATGGGATACTAACACGTAGCGAGCTGTTATCCTTTGACTTCACCAACGGAGCCAACAGGCTCAACAAGGGATACATCGCGTCCAGATGTTTCCAGAGAGCACTCAGAGCTTCCTCAGACCATTTCTTCGACACAAGCGCGTTATTGAGATTGTCGCGCCGATCGCAATATTGGAATATGTGTCGAAGAAGTTCGTCGATGGCGAGCACGTCCATTCCTACATACAATTCCACAAAAGAATTGCAACAAATCCGAGTGTAAAATTGTTTACATAATATTATGGCTGTCAGGCGCCGAAAGCAATGTTCGTTTCCTTCCGTGTGGTCTCGGACTCGAAGGTAAAGGGTGACCTGCGCGTCGTCCCAGCATCCAAAATCTGCAAGGGGCTGAGAGCGAGAATGAAGGTAGCAATGATGGCGATGGCGAATTAAAGCTGCGGCAAGATACCGCATACGGTGGCTACGTCTAGTACGCTTGCGAGTAGCTTCTGTGCGTGGCCAAGATTCCTCCCACCGCTAGGCCTTCGGAGCATTCAAAGCGATGATGGAATCTTGCGTTTTGTTGGATATCGAAGCTCGTGCCTGGCGGCCCGACGCAGACCAAATTAGGATATCAAGGCGCACGTTTTCCCACACGCGTCCAGTGGAGCCAAGCGGCTGCCGCGCCAACGAACCATCTTTCAACGATGATGTGCCTTTTTTATGTTTCGTTCTTCTTGTTCACCTTTCAAGGTAATAATCGGTCAACTCTGAAGCCCAATTGACGACATTCTTACCGGTTTCCAAAGTCATGGCGCTTGTTCCTCGCTCTCGGTGTGGGCTCGCAGCGCGTCAATTGGAGGCACTCGATCCAAGTATTCTCCCGGCGCAATGCGAGACCCATTGCTCATCTATCGTTGAAACGATCAATGTTGTATCACTTCTTGCTGTGGCTCACCGCAGTCTGCTGATACTTATCCGGGCCATAGACCTCTTGCGCAAGCACTACTTGTCCCTGCACAACAAACACGCAGAATCATCTCGTGGAATGCCTGAATTGCGTCGTTTCTCTAGCGCCAGGAGTCGCAGAAGTCTACACCCAGGCTCAAGCTTCCCTAGATGGTGCGCAACGATACCAATCTATCGCTTCATACAATGACATCCTTGACAGGATTAGAAGAGAGTTGTCGAGGGGCTGGGAGAAATTTGCCTCGTAGAATGATAAGCAACTGTGCGCTTTGTCCTTTCTGCTTCCCCAGCCAGCCAATTTACTCACGTCTTTCTATTATTGTTTTGTCCCACAGTGCAACCGACGCAGATAACCTTGGAATCCCCTCAGCGACGGCGGCGGTGGTATCACGGCCTCCTTGTAACACCACATCACGAGCGATAAGTGACATCCTGGCTATCACTATCTACACATCCACGATGACCATCACGACAATAATGACATAGAGAATTTGATGCTACATCATGGTCAGATAAGGAGTCGTTATGCTCTTTCCATCCAAATATCAAGCTCGACGACCTGTCTTTCGCCCGATTAGCAGACGCTTCGGCGACGCTAGCGCGTTAGGGCGAAGTCTGCTTTGCGAGCAACTGTCAGACTTGAAGCCGGTGCGCAGTCGACAGCCACTACCTGTGCCTTTGACGCCTCCGCCGACTTCTATAAATTCAATGATCGCATTTCGTCTTCATGGGTCTGCTTCCATGTTTCTGTTGGCGCTGCCTTGCGCGCCGCTGATCGCCACCAACCTCCGCCCATATAGCATTGGAGTCGCAGACAAATCGTAGGTATTGGCTGCGCCCACGTGATGGGCACTTGTAGGATTCGGCTTAGCGCCTGGTGATGACCGCAAGCCAACCTTCTAGTGTCCATTGCATTCGACAGTAGCACAAAATTCAGGGTGTCAAGTCAGTTGAGGACCACGTAAATACACAGACCAAAGGGACTAGTGGTGAGCATTCCCTTCCCCCTCTCATTTGGTACCGTCGTGTCCTCCACCCTGACACTGCGACGATGAGATTCACATTTAAGTCGGCAATTTTTGTTGCTCTGGTTGCTTCTGCCGGAGCCAATGGTGCGTTGCATAAATTACTCGGACTCGCAGTGCTGACATCTATAATCGTGTTCAGCTGCGTACACTGAGACGGAAGCGATTGACGCTGTGAAGGGGCTTTTTGTTCGACAAAGTCCTGGAGCTGGTGCCCCGGGGCAGCAAACGCCATCATCGCCGTTTGACCCCAAGTCACCCAATTCTCCTCCACAGTGCAGGAATGATTGCAACACCGCCTTCAATGCCGGTGATGTACGTGTCATTTTGGAATAGTTTTGTTCATCAGCTGACTTCCCTACGTTGTCTAGGTTTGCAAAGATGCGAAGTGCCTGTGCACTGCAGAGCATACCGAGGCTCTGGGTAAATGTGTCAACTGTGTGATTGCAGCAAACGTTGGAAGCCCCATCGAGGCAGCATTCGCGATCTCAATCTTCGAGGAGGTATGCAAAGGAAACGGAATCAGCAACCTCCCTACCCCCACCGTTTCCCTTCCACCACACTTTTCTCTGCCTCCCGGTATGTCGACTGGCGCTCACGGGGAGTTCACAATTGGGACCACAGTCACGGCGGCTATTACGGACTCGTTCGAGACTACTACGGTCACCATTCCGCCACCTTCCGCCACCAGTACCAGCCCACATTCGTCATCGGCATCGCATCAAACTAGCGGTTCACCTACATCAACTGCAAGTCACAGCAACGCCGCTGCGTTTGCCGCTCCAACTGGCCTCGCCGAGTTCGTACCGATGGCTGTCATGGGCGCTATCATGGCTATGGCATGAGAGGTATCCAAATTGCGACGGAACTGGGCTGTTAGATCAATTAGTCGTGTACCAGTAGTGTTCAGCTAATGTTTCCCTTTGTGAATGACTCTTTCGGACATCACGGCGGCGGCTACCCCTCTTCAGCCCCTGTGTGCAGGAATTTGGCCAATCGCTTGTCGCCATCACGAACGTTTGAAACTTGCTATCTGACTCTTGCCACGGGCTGCACTTAGTCAAACACAAAGCTGGCCTGTGACCTCCCTGTAGACGTCCCGGCCGATTGTCGGCTACAATTTCTGCAGGAACGGCTGACGACCGGAGGCCCGCTGCACCCAAAACGCGACAGAAGGTACCATCGGGCTTCTTGCAGGACCTTGAAGGACTTCTGCGCGCGGAATAGCGCACAATACTTGCTAAGATTCATTCTACGGTATGTTAGCAATATGCCGTGTTGCTTTATCTCGCACGAGCGACTTAGAGTGGCAGTCTGGAGCGCAATGTCTTCGGGCCATGGGAATGGGTATTGCTGAATCGGATTGCAGTGTTTACAAGGCTTCTGTAAAAGGTAGTAATTGACGCTGTGCTGTCCCCCGAGACAATAAAGGCAGCCTTACCATCGCATCGTTGCTCCGTCAACATCCTACTACATTTCCCCCCACCATGCAGAAGTCTCTCTCCCCCATTGAACCCAGGTATGCAGAAGTAACGTGTACATATTTCTGAGCTCATACCCCCACTCAGGTTCTCCACGGGCACTGGCTTCTCGTCAGACGATGCTGGCCATCGGCGGTTACTTGTCACTGGTTAGTTCATCATGCATCACAAGACTTCCAACGGCGTTCTAAACGTCCGAATCGTGATAGAGATTAAAGCCACATCTGAAAGCTCTTACAAGTTAACGGAGAGGATTATTGTCAGTTACGCCGAGCAAGGCGTGAAGATGTCGTATCAGGGCCGACGTGAGAAGGCTCATGTATGGAAACCAGAGTCCTCATTGTTCGTTTGGTTTGTCGCTTCCGCGTACCTTCGTATTACAACCTGCATTTTAGATATATATCACCCGGTGACAATCGCATCCTCAAGATCCAACTCTTCCGCAAGCCCTTGCTCATCCCGGTTCAAGCGCTGATAGTGTACGCCCCCAGCATGGATTTATTCAAGGCGCATGATTCGGGGAAGTCAGGTGAGTCTGAGAATCTATCATCGAGTCTTAGTGGTGATGTAGTGTAATCCGCAAGCAGAGTGGACGTATTCACAGCACGACAAGATAGAATTGACGGTCGGACTCAGTAATCCGGTAAGAACGGCTTTGCCTTCGTTTTTATTGACCTCTTGACGACGAGGTCTAGCGTTCGAGTGTCGATAGCCGTGTCGAGTTTAATCCGGAGCCGTCATCATGGGGGTTATTCAAGCCCAGCGAAGTCGAACGGTACTCGAGGAGTTATGAAAGCTCGACTAATGATGATGGGTCACCGAACGAAGTCCCCGTCGATCCGAATGCGGAACTCTCTGCGACTTCAGATGAAGTGCTAAAGGCTTGCCCAAGGTACGTACCTTCTAGTGGCTGGACGTGTCCACCTAGCACCAAGTTAAACGCCACTACCTCTAGATTCAGGATCTTGGTAATAGGAAAGGTAAGTTATGCCATCCCCAACACCCTCTCTAAACCGCCTACATGAGCAACTACCAGAGTGGCGTCGGAAAGTCGTCGTTGATAAATATGACTTTCGGCGTTGACAAAGCGGTGTGTGGCGACTCTAGCAAACCTCTACCATCTAGGCTCCTGAACGACCCTCTAGAGCGTGTCAGAAGATCGGCCAGGCGTGTCCGACATTAACTTCGAGATTACGTCGACAGACAACGACCGCTTCGTCGTACACGATTCCAAAGGATTTGAACACGGGGAAGACAGAAACCTTAATGCCGTAAAGAAGTTTATCGAAGAGCGCAGGCGAATGCCCGAACTCAAGGATAAACTGCACGCTATCTGGTGATTCCCCCTCTGCGCTTGGGCTTGCTTTATATGTGCTGATATATGTCAGGTTGTGTACAGAGATCCCGAGTGCGGGTGGGCGATCATTCGAATATGGCGACGAGGTATTTCTCAGGCAACAGATTGAACATGGTGAGCAACAAACCTTTGACTCTCTAACAAGTATCATTCATCATCCTCTTCCAGTCCCTGTCATCGTGGTCTTCACAAAGTATGACCTACTCGTCAGATCCAAGGACTACGATCTCGATGACAGGGTGGACCCTGAGGAACGGCAGAGTATTATTATGGAGCAAGCAGAGAGTGCATTCCACGAAATGTGTGTACAGCCCCTCCTCGAGATCTCTCCCAATGCACTTTATGTGAAGGTCTCTAGTACGTATCACTATTTGTCCGCGTGTTGCAGCCTGACCCGTGGTTCCTCCTGATAGCGAAGCACAAATACCGGTCTACCCTTGAGGACCTTACCACGCTGACGTTTGACAAAGTCGAGGAGAATGTTCATAGGCTTGCGTCGTTAGCATCGGGCATGGCGCAAAGGGTGAGCGCCGATGTAAAGATCCGTACATGCATTGCGTGAGCTCCTCAGCCTCAAATATGGTGCCCCCCGCCCTTTGCAAGATAAAGCTAACCATTCCATCCAGAATCGGAAAGAAACGTACGTACCTCCACCTCCACCCCTAAGAGACTTGGTGAATCATCGGTATCATTGAATAGGTTACTGGAACGCGATTTCCGCCAGTGCCGACTTTCCCGGAAGAACGCTGAAGGTCTGCCTGGACGTCATCCATAAGGACATCGTGGCTGTATGGAATTTTCAGGATGCTGAAATGGTAAGCAGGCATTTGAGAGCATCGAGAATTGTGGCCTCATCTAAATTATCTGTGCAGTATCTATTAAGCGATACGGTGAAAGGAGACATCATTCAGCTCTTATGCGATATGAGAGACGAGGCGCAGCCCGTGAGCCCCGTAAAGAGCCTGTACGTCGTATTCGCAAGCTGGAACCTTTCCGGACGCTCAGATCATTTCGACAGCACTGCTATTGGCCCTGCCGTGACGGCTTTGGCCTCAGCAACTGCTGCAGTCCCACTTGCGACGCCAATTGTAATACCTATCGCCGTTATCCTCGGATTGGCCGCATGGGTATGGCAGGTCTATCAACGCAGGTATGCCCATCTCCTCCGTCCCGAACTCCAACTAAACATCTGACTTAGCCATGAGTCCATACGGTGCCTGATGTGTTACGTCGTCGACTTGACTATCATCATGCAACTCGTCTTTAAAGGCCACGAACAAAGCGCCAAAATCGACCACGACGTGATCAAAGAAGCGATTGACACATATGCCAATTCTGGGGTACTAAGGAGGAACCACACTATCGTTCGTTCCTTCGTTGGCGACCTAAACATTGGGGATCGCGTCAGCAGCCGGCGGATCATGGAGAAGATAGAGGAATTGATTATGGATCACTGGGATCCCGATAAACCGAATGCTTCATTCACACTCAGTGAAGGCGACGACAAGCACGGCCAAGATACCCTTATAGGCTGAGATATATAGATATTAATGTTGAACAAATAAATACATAGTAAGGAAACCATTGACCATTAATGTAGCTATCAGATGTACTGGAGTAGACCTAATACAGGCATAACTGTAACGAAAACAGCTCCACCAACATGAACCCTTGGGACGAAAGCGCCATTTCCAATGACCGGAAGACCAGAAGGTACATTACTAGGTGAAATGGTATTCTGCGGGGGCGGTGAGCCAGCCGAAGTGGGTGTCTCTCTCGCATCCGAAGTGCCTGGGACCGGAAAAGAAAAACGGGATGACGCAGAACTCGTAGGAAAGACACCAGTGCTACGAATGGACGCGGGGGGTGGACGGACAGTAGCTGGGGCCCCAGTGGTCGGGAAGAATCCGGGAATGGGGAAACCATTTGTGGCACATTCATTCACGAATGCTGGTATTTGAACCAGTTAGTACATTGAAAGCCTTAATAACCATAGCTTACTTTGCACGGAGGCGTCCGCAACCGCCAGAGATCCACCTATATCAAACGCTACACAATAGAGGCAAGACTGGAGATTTAGTGTGTTCGTCGCTGTGCATTCACATCGAAATGTTTGGCAGTTGGGGTTCTAATAGGAGAAATTAGGATGCATGTTAGGGGGGCATCGCGCACAACCAGCGATCACACACAGTGGCTACATTAACAGCAGGGGTGCAGATGGCTTGACACTGAGAGCTCGGTGATTAGTGCATCATTCCCGGAAACTGGCACAAGGTTGCTCACGTCTGGGGGGAAGTCACTCAAGCTCAAGGGACCACCGACCTGGCGCGACTGCAAACGGAGGCGGCCGCTTTGGAGAGCATCAGAAAGACTACTAGCCGTCACTATTTCGCGATAGGCATCAAGTTTAGCTCTTCCTGCGCAAGAGAGACGTACCTTGGGCAATCGCGATGATCATTGTCGTGAACACACCGAGCATCCTTGAGGACTAAAGCAGAAAGTGAATGACGATGAATTCAAATGGTTCCATGCTCCTTTTAAGAGCTTCGTGAGATGACTCACAATGTCCATCTGGACACTAGACAGCGGGTATCAATGATACCATCAACATCTCATCCCACCAGTTCTTAGATACTGAGCCTGCTCCATCTCCAGTTTGCTGAGGAACTCGAGCTAGGTGAGTTAGAATCTTGTATGTTGCATCGAGTTCCGCTTGTCGACATTAGGCAAATGCAGAGTGTTCCTGTCCTAAGATGAATCCGCCTAAGCACATAGAGACGATTGTCGGGGATGTGTAAACGCCTTACGTCCTCTAACAATAAATCAGAATGTTCTGATCAAGAAGGCCCGTTGCATGTGGCTTGTAAGGTAAGGTACAACAGGTGGTATATAAGCAATGTCGGTATTGAAATCGAAGATAAGTACAGTCGCTTACAATCAGCCTTCCATTCCTGAGACGGCTACACAACAAGGAAGACTGCGCCAGCGGCGACACAAGCCAGGACCGCAGAGATGAAGGCTGCGCCTTGACCTGCAGCACCATTGCCGAAGGGGTCATCAGCTCCGCTGCTACCTCCGTTGCCTACGTCTGTGATCGTCTGTTGCGGGGCGGTGGATGTACGGGTAGTTGAAGTAAGCGGAGACGTTACTGACGGAGATGCGATCGGGGCGAATGTGCTGGGGGCTCCGATGGCACTACCGGAAGCTATGGAGCCCACACTAGAGCCGGCAGAGGCGGATGCAGAGGCAGTCGATCCTCCAACGATAGTCAAGGGAGCTACCGTTCCGCCACAGCCGGCGACGAAGTCTGTGGGAACGAGGCGTGGTTAGTATTTTGTAGATCCAGCCGGAATGGCGCTCACTGTCAAGGATGCTTTGACCCTGGGTTTGCATGGAAGGGGTGTTTGCGAGGGACACCAGGCAGTTGACGCATGCTTCGAGCCCTCTGGCATTAGTATTCGTGCAAATGCAGGTAGTACTTGCGCACGACTGTTGCAAATTGATGCGATCAGTTAGAATGCTGGCAGACGCTGACTCAACACTTACATTCAAGGCGCTAACTATTCCCGTGCATTGTGATTGACACTGTTGCGAGTTTTTGGTGAGTTTGTCATGGTACGGCATGTGGGCTCATAGCCTGCTCACAGCGGAGGGAATGTCGGCGGGGTCCAAGATGGTGCTCTGACGGGCGAAGAGCTGGCCCAACTCATCCGCGCTTCGCGCAATCAACTCTACTGCACCAACTATGCAAATTTGACGCTCAGTCAGTCGCTGAGATCGTACAGGGATACACTGCTCACCTGAGGCTGAGGCGACGAGGAGCAAAGAAGCAACGACAGAAAGGCGAGTCATGGTGAACCGGTGAAAAGCGTAAAGTTTCAACGCATGAACCGCCGCCGCATCGAACTATCTTTATAGCAATTTTTACATGCAGGGTCCACAGACACATCGTTTCAGGGACAGTCCATACGATGCAGTGCCTGGCAATCCCCGGCAGTGTTTGAATGGGCTGGGGATTGACCTGTTCCTGCAGATGTCTCAATATGATTCCTGCATGAGACACATATGTCAAGGGCACATGGTGTAGTTGGTTTATCACGCCCGCTTAGCACGACTAAGTGATTGCGGGAGGTGTTGGGTTCAATTCCCAATGTGTCCATCTTTTTGTCGGTTTGCTCCGTAACTAACTTCGGCTTATGGATGGTTCTGTCATTCATGTCTATCCAGGTTGTTAGGCAACGTTTGGTGGGGTTTCATTGCAGAGGAAAGACATAAAAGACTATAAGATAGTCGCCTATCGCTAGAGCAATATATTGCTGCGAAGGGCAGAATAGATAGACGCACAGTATCCTTTCCAAAGTTGCTAGTATCGATAGCGCGTCGAATAATCTATTCAAAAGGTTAGCTCGGGGTGATGGCGAGTTGAAAAGGTATCCAAACCTTTCGGAGAAACGACCAGACCGCGCCCTTTCGATGCCCCCCGATAAACCGTCTCAATGATATCAATAAGCTGTAATGTGGCGATTAAATAAGGGACCTCTAAGTTGATGAGAATACCGACCTCCTGTTTATTATCCATAGCCCAATTGCTAGGGATGGTTTACGATAAGTCGCCAACGAAGTGGAATATGACATCAATGTACTCACATCTTATTGTTATTCCCCGTTCCTAAATCAATCATGATATGCTTGTTGCTAGCGATGTAACATCATGTCAGGCCTACATGCTAAACGGTTTATATTGCATCCAATTACTGACCGATAGAAGAACATGACAGTACATGGGTCGTACAGCTCATACATCTATGGTTCGGGATATCAGTGGGATCCGCTAAGTAATGCACCATACACAGACTCGCCTTGTTGAAGTCCGGTACCTCAGTGATATCAGTGAGGTAGATGACGGCGAAATTCTGGACCTTTTCGGCGACAGCGTAGAGGGTTTCGTCCATGACCATGCATTGCGTGTCCCAGTCGTGGCCAAAGCGAATCACAACTACTCTGTCTTCCTCTGATTTGATGGCTTCGTCGACGTGCCAGCCAGAGGGCAGGTGGGGCAGGAAATACGACATTGTTCACAGGAAGGTGATGACGGTAGAATCAAAATGGGCGCTTGTGCAAAATGAGACTGGGAAGCAGTTAATGTGACTGTGTGAATCTCTGATTGTATCTTATCTGTGCTAACTCCTTGACTGAATAACTCTTGAACTCATACCATCATGTCCTCTAATCGACCAGTTGTATTCATGGACATCAATATAGGTGAAACTCCAGCAGGAAGAATGAAAATGGAGCTATTTAGCGACATCGTTCCCAAGTGAGCCTCCCCTCTACCTCGTAAACGGACCATTCATCGGCAGTCAAGGACCGCTGAGAATTTCCGCCAGCTTTGCACTGGCGAATTTCGGTATGAGCATTACTTGTGAAAGCCATTGAACACCCCTGATTAGATGGTTGGATCTAGCGTGAACTCGCGGCCACAAGGGTACAAGAATGCAACCTTCCACAGGTACATACCGTATTCGGTTTCCATCCAAGCGCAGACGGACTGATGAGCATTGCTTGAAAGAGTGTAAGCAGGGCGTACGCTTGTCTTATGCACTCGTTCATATAACCGATCATTCACACCCAGAGTGCCAAACTTCATGTGCCAAGGTTCGTGTTCACGCTCTCCACGCGTGCTTAACGTTAGAGTACCTGTCTGATTCTGTTGGTCCAATGTTCTAGGCGGTGATTTTATGAAAGGGGACGGGACGGGCTCTTTCTCGATATACGGCGATAAATTTCCAGTGAGTTATCTTCATTGTTGCAGGCTTGTAACTCACGTTTTCTGCAGGACGAAAACTTCATTGAGAAGCATACGGGTCCGGGATTGCTCTCCATGGTGCGTGTATACGTACACCTACCCTTGGAGTAATATAGACCTGAACTTTTCCTGCAGGCAAACTCCGGGCCAAACACGAACGGATGCCAAGTACGCCCGTCCTTTTACTTTCAACATCAAACCCTACTAACCATTAAACTTCGCGCTTCGCTTGCAAGTTCTTCATCACCACCGCAAAATGCGACTTCCTCGACGGGAAACACGTCGTCTTCGGACGCGTCATCGACGGTATGCTCACGCTACGCAAGATCGAGAACGTGCCGACTGGCCCGAATAACCGGCCTAAGTTGGTCGTTAAGATTACTGGTATACGAATTCAGTTGCGCGTTGTGCGTGTGTGCTGACATTCGGCACAGAATGTGGTGAAATGTAATTCAATGTTGGCCACATAGTGCTAATACATACACAATACTCATACAAAACCATCGCGAGACTGTTACAAGGTAAAAGATATGTGATAAATGGAGGATGTTGGGGGGAGAGCGCCCTTGAAGTGTAGTGGATAAGGATTGATGAAACAACCACGAGTTGTTAGGCCGTTCAGCGAACTTGCTGCGTTGCGGGAACACCTGTCGGCACTGGGGCGTGTGGGACCGGTGCATGAGGAGTCCTGACTTTGATGCCTACACAGGATGTTAACTTCCGCCACACGCAGACGCGAACCTTCTGGTGCGCTTACCTAGATCCTCGCACAGCAAATCTGCACCTTTCTCGCCTACAAGCAACGCAGACGAGTATGTGTTCGTGCCGAGGTTATCCTGCCACGAACATGAACATGTCAGTATCGAAACTATTACCATTGCTTCGTGATGTCTGTTCCACTCACAGGGCAGATACTCAAGTCAACACATTTGAGGTTTTCCGTTCCTGGGGGCAAGTTGAATTCGAAGTGACTAGGAGAGTAGGGGTGGGTGCTTACCGTAGACATTGAGGCGGCCATCCACGACACCGCCCTGTTCCCTCGGCTTCATTGCTACGGGCCAACGGGTTTCAGCAATCATTGGAATCATAATCAAAGGCACAAATGTGCATCTTACCGCAGGTGCCTAAGCAACGGGAAACATGGCTGTGAGTCCTTCATCCGCTTCAAGGTTAGTTTTACTCACCGAGACTGTGCCAGGTGGTCTCGACGTGGTCTACGTATTGGAAGTGTTGGTGATCAAGCGCAGAGAAGGTAGGGAATGTCATCTTACCTGAGATCCAGTCATCGATGGCCTTGTCGTCCTCTTCCGTGTACTTTATGTCCTCGTGCACCTTGCTCGCGTCGAATTGTTCGCCGGGACTAAACAACGCCATTCACGCAGATGTGCAATCAACAACGCGGTGGTTGGATCTGAGGTGACCAAATTTCACTTACGCATGCCAGGTGCCTAATGAACACGAACTCATTCAGTGACAATTTTCTGGGTGAGAGGGCGAGGGAGACGTACCCATGTGGATGCCAACAGTGAACCCGTTGGGCATGATCTCTCTGGCGGTCTTGATGTCGATGTCCCTACACGCCGCCGGCGACGCCGGGTGGAACCGGGGGTGGTGCGACGTCAGTTCGCCGCGGAACGCTGGGAGTCGTTTATGAGGAATGGGTATATGCGACTTGGATAGAGACTAGGGGATAGAGGTTGGGGGAGAAAAGGTTAGGGCACGCACCGTCCATGCGCCGAGCGACTTCTCGGGTCTTCTTGTAGCTCCAACGGATGGGCGCGAAGTCGGCCTTGTTGTTCATGAAGCCGCTGTCGAAGAAGGGCGGCTCGTACGGGTTGCTCGACTGGATGTGGATCTGTTGATGTCTTTGTGAGTCCCGAGGCAGTATTTTGCGTATCGTTCTTGGGGAGATGACGTACCTTTCCGCGACTAGCAGGGTATTCCTGGTACGGGGGTTAGTCCAAACTTGTGATATGTGGTATGAATCGGCGAGACATAAGACGTACGAGATATTGGAACCTGGTAAGAAGTAGACGTTCGTTGGGTATGGGCGCGAATGAATGAACATGGAATAAGGAACGTACATTGTAACGTATTTTCCGGGAGGGAGGAGAGTGTGGTCGGCGTAGGCTAGTAAGGGTAAGGTGAGTTGACACCACTTGCGGTGTGCGTGCCTAATTCACCTGCAGACACGATCGAGCCGAACCTACGATTGAAGTCGCCCGCATGAGTAAATACGGCCAGTACTGGCGAATACGGACGCGAAGGGCACTCACATGACGGGCTTGTCGGGCTTGTCTTTGAAGTACTTGTTCCACAACTCGTTGAATTCGGGGCCCATCTCCTTCAGCTCTTCCTCGGTCGGGCGGATCTGTGATCGGGATTTAGCCACCCCTTGCGCGTGTTACGAACATCGTGGAGTGTCAAGCTTACCTTGAAGCCTGCGTCAATGGCGTTCGAGGAAAGGCGCGCTTTCTCGGGGCTGGTTTCCCATTCAGCGAATAACTGTGTGATGGGGGTGTGGGTTAGATAAAGATGGGCAATTATGTCGTAAGCCATAGTTCACCTCTTTCTGAACTTCCTTGTCACCTCGTAGGAAGTCGTCCAGCGTATTCGTTTCGTTCGACACACGGTACACTGGAAGCAATGTCAGCCCCGAAACAATGAAACGACACAAAAGACGACGCACAAGAAAGGGTCGTGTAATGGTCTTGATATTCCTCTCTGCATCATCGCATCCGGGTCAAATGGCAACTGGCTGTACGGAGGAGTCACGACGTACCCAACTCCCGGAAGGTCGCTGACGACCTTGATGTCCATCTTCTGCAGGAGCCGCGAGTTGCCCACGCCTGAGCGTTCGAGGATCTTCTCGCGTGAGCTTCGATTTCTATTGTGCTAAACCGAGCCAACTTACTTGTGGCGTTCCCAAAGTGCCACTGCTCAACACGACGTATTTGCGCGCTCGTACCTGGAAGGTTGGCGGTCAGGTTCCGTGGCGATGACGCAGTGAACACGCCATGCACATGCACTTACAATAGTTTCCTGGACTTTGCCGCCATGGACACGATTCCTGGAAGGCACGTATGCCACGCCGACCGCCTTGTTCCCCTCGAAGATAACTCGAGATACGCGTGCGTTTGTGCGCAGATACAAGTTGTTCTGGACGTCCATGACGCTGTGGACATAGGCTACCGGCGATTTGAGGAATGGATGAATAGCAAATGGAATAAAAGCATACCAGTGGCGGCGTCGCTGCGTCGGCCGGTGTGTCTGTTGATGTATTTAGCCCAGATCTCAGCTGCGAAATCCGTTAGCTGCGTTATAGCTCATTGAAAGATTGCTAACCTCCGTGACTTGTCTGCAGGTCCTGGATATCGTCTACGACAAGGAACACGGTCAGCGTCATGTATCCCGGCTGCGTAAACTCTACGCACCGTTGAAAGGGACACCGACTGCGTCCGATGCGCGCAAAAAGTCCTGTGCGACTTGTGTTATCTGTCCACCATTGCTGATGGCGATTGGTCCATCGTAGCCATGCGTGTCGCTGTTGCTTGGCTTCTGATAGTTCTCCAGCTATATGGCCATATACGCGTCAAAGGCCGGCTGTCATCGCTACGTTGCGGAGACTTACGCGTTTCATGAGGGGAAGTAAGTCTGTCGGACGCATCTTGGGGTCAGTGTTATCTCGAATTGATTTCATGATTGATGACGCACCGTTGGCAGTCCATCCTGGGGTCTTGAAATCATCTTTACGAAAGATTAGTACCCCAGCCTTCCTTGCAGAGTCACGCTTGCTCACCCCAATCGGAAGCCGAAGCCTACAACGGTCGATAGTCAATAATGTGGTAACATAACGAAAGACATGCAAGTACCCTTGTGTACATCTGCCCCACGCCCAAGGATTAGCAGCAACATGGATACGAGCATCCACTGGCCCTACCTGGAAGTTGATACTGAGAGTCTCTTAAGTATCAATTTCGTTCATGAGACTCATTGTATGCTTACCTACTGCCTCCACCTAGGATGTTGGCGCATCTGGCTACCCATCAGTCGCCTTCGCACTTCGCGGTGTAGAATAAACTCACGGTACAATACTCTGCCTGCCCCGGAGATGAGGAGATCGTTCCGTGTCAGTGTAGAACGTTGCTTTGTCGTTGCTGATGATGGGGTTAGCTTGCTGCTACGGTGAGTGATACGGGGCTGAATACGCACATCCCGTCCCTTTGCATGTTCTTTACATAGATACCGGGTCTAAGGGCCTTTCATTTAGCACAGTGTTGAACGACGAAAGGATATGTCGCTGCATCACCTGTATACCCATGGGTCATCGCGGTTGTTGGCACCCCCTGGCGTAATTGGTCACGGCTGTGAGCAGTCATCATCTGTGTCGTGAATGAACAGACATGCCTTCGATGAGCATTACTTTCAACGTCGGGTCTGCGTACGCCAATCGTCCGGCAACGACACATCCTGCACGATGACGCCGTTAGGTCGTAGCTCGGTGAGCCTCTCAACAGCATACCTGCCGGTCCTCCGCTAATCAAATTGGTCAGCGGTGCGTGACGAATGCAGAGCACGTTGTAGAACCCACCCAGCAACGATGATGTCGACTTCTTGTGGATGCATGATAGAAGGTATGAGTTTCGAAAAATAGAGGCTGGGACCTGCTGAGCAGGAAGAAAACACGGGGCCTTATATGCAAATAGACCGTGAGTTCTATGAGAATATGGTCGTCCAACTTTTGGACTAGATACAAGATACTCGTCAGATGATGATGGCCGTGGGGCTGGGGGTCGCCCAGTAGAACTATCCATAGGATTCTCCATTTAGTTGGATATTCTACACGCCGCCGTCTTTGGGAAAGAACACTCCAGTGAACGCAGGGTTTAGAGAGTGAAGGGTAATGGTAATTGACAAAGTCTTTAAGCAAGGCGATCTAATGACCCTCAGCTGATAGGCATGGCCCAAGGACAAGCAAGAAATATTCAAGCTCCAAGAAAGAGCGCTCTCAAGGGCGGCCGTGTTTGCATCACGAGGGGTACGTCAGACGGAAGAATAATCATTATTGGCCTTTCCTGGATGTAGATGACTTAAGCGCAGCTGTCCATCCCCGCCAAATCAGACGCCAAGCCGATGTGGGGAAATGCGGGGTACGAACAGCCGTGTTGAATTAATGTGGGGTAGAATAAGCGATGGCCGATGAGACTGTGGACTTGATTGGTTATTCTCTGCCTGGAACAGTTGGTACACATGCTGGACGCTATCAGAAAATCCCAAGGTGAGACGTTGCTGAGAGGGAAATGACGGCAGAACGATTCATCCAGCCCTATGGCAGCCATTCTTGAGGTCCGAAAGTCTGGTCAGCTGAAGCCCGGGATGGAGAGTCGAAATGTCTCATGATCGTAGCTACACGAGGCTTGGGGGGACTGAAGGGCCTATCCCAACGAGGAGAAGGCCCCAAGATGACTCAACATGTGAACGTAAAGTCAATCCACAGATAACAGATGGGTCTTAGAAGTTGGGAACTTTCGCGCGAATGGACCTATAGCCAGTAACATCGAGAGCAGTCGCCGCCCATTGCTAGAGAATAACGTAAAACGTTCTGTGGCGAACTGTTAGCCCAGTCTACCTGTCCGGATGTCTTAATGACCGTGCACTTCTATAGAAGATAACAACCAGAAATTTGTGTATAAGTATGTGACTTATCTTCTTCCGATATGTCATGGTGCTTCGAAGCTTCCAGTGGGATTGGTCTCTTCTCGTTCCCAGCACGGAAATTGGTGATTGGTGCGCCGAGGAAGACTTGAACCCGCAACTGGTGGCAGTTCCTCTCAATTCGCATAAAGCATTTTAACGTTCGTCCCTTCATAAATTGCTTCCTTGATGGTATGCATGAGGTTCAATAAGGTTTTGCGAACACTATCTATCACGCTCATTTCGCGAAGGTCCAACGAGGGCCAATCTGATTCATTCGATGGAAGAGCGGATATACGAAGCTACTCCGAAAATAAGTGCTCGGCGAAGTCAACTATCATTAGAACCCGGAAGTCCTAGTTCGAGAGTTCGTCATCCTTGATAAGAAGCTCCTCTTCATTTTCCGCCGCTGGGAGAAGTAAACAATGTCGGCACGAACGTGCAGAGGTTACTGGTGATATCAGTTTCTTTTGTATACATAGTCTACGACGAAAAGCTCTAGGCTCTACATACGCTGACGGAACGATCGACAGAGCATAAACCGACGTTGGGATGATAAACTGAAAGCTTATAGCATGCAGATAACAGCAGGTTCACACATCGTTATACTTATTACGTCTCTTATCCAATCCAATCCCTTCCCAGTTTCCCGTTCTCATGCCCCATGCCAGCCCGCGAATTTTGTGTGTGAGATCAAACCAGGCCCTTGATCAGCATTCCTTCCAGACGACAGAACTCCGGGACAATAGATGCATAAGCCAGGAAGGCATCAAGATCAGGTTCGGCGACCTTTGCAAGTCCTACCTGTGCTTCTGAATCCGATGTTTGCAGTGCAGTCACAGGAGTAAGCGGCGTGGGTGTGGTGGGAGTTGAAGCTGTGGCAGTACCAGCTGCACCGGCCGGGCTAGCCCCATTGTTGGGAGGAATATTCAGGCTGGGAGAGGTCAGGCCCATGTTGAGGTCCGGTGTAGTGAAAGCTGTAGAAGTAGACGGCGCGGCACCTGAGCTGAGACTACCCGTCGAAGTTGTGGTATCAACAGTGGACCCGGTGTGTGTTCGCATCCGTGCCTGGCCTAAGGTGCCCTCCAATCCATACAAGCCAGAGCTCATGGTAGCGAGATGACCGCTCAGATCGATCCCTCTCTCCATCGCTGCCACGTCCTCCTCCTCCTCTTCTACAAACACCGTCGCTCCAAGACCGGAGCGGAGATGGCTATAGGGGGTACTGGTACCGCTGTTCGCACCGCTTGTGCCTCCATTCGCAGGGGCGGTGGCTAATTGGCCTCCTACATTCGTGCGTATCGGCGCGCCATTTGAAGCGATCCAGCGCTTCCCGAGTAATCGTCGCATCTCCTCCTCAAACCCAGGCAAACCGCCTGTCCCCCACTCTCTCCCCCACACCCACCTCGCCACATATGCGCTGCCCAGCGCTGCGCGCCCGGGGAACCCAGGCGCCGGCGCATTCCTGTGCGGAACAATCTGCGCGGAGTCGACCTGGGTGGACGGCACGTAGATAGCGGCATTGAATACTTCAGCCACGACGTTCGCAATCGACGGGAAGTTGGCTGCTGCACCGGTGGTGATGATTCGCGTGGGAAGGGGCGTGTGGTCATATGGATCGAAGGTGAGTCCCAGGCTGGGTGGGATGGTGGTTGGGGGGCGGACCGCAGGGGGGGCAGGAGATTGTGAGACTTTGGAACGAGAAGTGCCCAAGAGCCCGGTGGTTATCATGCGGGACCATCTCACGCGAAGGGATATGATTTGGGATTCGACGAGGCAGCGTGGATTGGCGCGGAGATCACGGAATTCATTGACTTTGATACCATTCTCGAAGCGATAAATGCCTTTGACATGGGAATAGGGGTAGGCATCGCCCTGCAGATGCCAGAAACTGAACAGCTTGTCATCGAGGCTGAGAAACGAAGTAAGCTTAGTGTACGATTTCTGATGGGGAGTCCACGCACCCAATGGAGCCGCCAGGGGGTACTATAGCTACCAGCCGATCGAACGCACTCCAACTCTTGGTGTACATATCCCGCACTAGAGCGCGAGGAACGTCAGCGTTGCTAAAGGGGGATCAGTATATGAATAGGAAGCACGTAGAATGCAGCGCACCGGTTGGCCAGGACGGCTATGTACCGTCGCTTCTCGCTTGGATCTTGCGCTGGATGAGGATAGAGATTGTAAAGTCGCGTAGGGAAGTAGTGTTGGGCAGGTGTGAGCAACATGTCCATTGGGCCAAAGGAAAGAACGGCATCCGTCGGGGACGGGCACAGCGAGAGGTAAGAAGAGAGGTAATCGGTAGTAAATGGTGTCACGATGGTTTCTGGGCGCGATATCAGCAACACGATCAGAGAAGATTTGCCTCGATAAACTAACCTGGATCGAACCCGTAGCGGTCTACGAGATACCTCGACACATTGCCTGCTCTCCGTCCACCACCCGAAACGTCGACATCCCCTAGCCATCCCCGCACCCGTCTTCCATCTTCTCGGCTGCCCCCCACTATCTCCAACACCCCCTCGTCCCAATGGCTCGCGTCTCTGCTGTTGCCGCCATGGACCCACATCCCCGTAGCGCTCGCCTCAGCCTCGCCCATGGGCATCCATTTCCCCGCAATTAAACTCGAGATAAACGACGTGGCGAGCTGCACACGTCCTGTACGTGCCCACACCTCCTGGGGCCAGCTCTCCCGTACGCGAAGCAGCTGCGCGGCCATTAGAGAGCCGTTCGCGCATGTGCCAACCCGCGAGGCCATCAAATCCGGCCCTCCTAGGAGAGCCTCGATAGCTAATGCATGTGTGTGTGAAGAGGTATCTTGCGCGATAGGGGTATTGGGTAATGAAAATGACAGAGCAGGGAAATGGGTATGCAGAGGTAAATGAGGGTCCAATGACGACAGCGAGGGCACGGTGGTCGACTTCCACCAGACGAGAGCGTGCTAAGTCCCAACGGTAAGGTAAGTTAACAATCCCGAGGCAACGAAGACAACTCACCTGAGCAGAGCCACCGATTGATTTTATCCTGGTCAGGTCGTAATTTCTATGCAATTTCTCGAGGAGGGTATCTGAGTGATCGGGCGCGCACGTGGCATAACAATAAAATTTGCTTCCGTCGCAAAGGGTAGATTTGGGACCTACGTACCTAGAGACTTTATCCACATGTCCACAGGTGTCGTGTACGCATCTCCAGGCGTCGTGAACATGCCCCCCTGGGTCCTGCGAAGCCACGGGCCGCGAGAAACAAACCGTCAGCACGATCGCCTGGGCGCTGCGGGCGCGGGGGCAGCAGGGGAATCGGGAATCGGCACTCACTGGTACTCTGGGAGTTCAGAATCAAAGTCGACGCATTCGACGCCGACGAGATCGAGACTCTCGTCGACGATCGACGCCCGCAGCTGGTCGGTGGCCAGCTCGAGCCCGAGGAAGAGCGCCCCTCCTGTTTTTGGTGCTGGCATTTTCTATGATACTGCGAGTGTCTTATGTGATGCGCGCGATGGTATGGTTCAAGCCAGACAGCAGGGGGACAGTGGGAAAAGGTAGTGGCACGTTGGGAAGCTCGGTGGATGGTGCAGCGCTGCGGGAACGAGGCGGGTGTCGTGGACTCGGGTCGTATGTTTGATTTTCGTGAACGAATAATGACGGCCGAAAGAAGAGGAAGAGAAGAGAAGGAGAGACGTCGGACAAAAACGCACGCAGCGACTGTTGTTTTCGATGCACACTTGGAATTCTCAGGCCTCAGGATCGTGTCCTCGCGCTCGGCCGGTCGCCGGCCAGGCCCCTGTTTTGATTCTCATGTGCGTTGCGAACTGCATGGCTGCATTGCAAATAAATATTTGGATATTTGACCATGCAGATCCTCCATGTCTAAGGAATAGCAATCATTACAAGCTGCTTTCTCTGTCGCTCAAGCGAACCCAGCAAATCGCGTCTGCTCCCCCGGCGAGGTACTCATTTAGGACGGCTCAACCGTCCAAGTCGCAACGGCCGAGAAATCTTCAATGTCACCCCGATCATCAATGTCACGCCCGCCGACAACGGCTTCCCCGAGCCCGCTGATCTCCACGTCGCAGCACCGCACCCACTATTCACCTAGTGCCTTGCGAAAAGACTCCTGCGAAGGGATCGTACACTTGCAGTTGTCCAGGTAGGTATCAGAGACAGAGTAGCCACCAAGACTTAGCGCTTAGCATTGAATCCACCGACGCCCGACAGGATATCGTTGATGTGTCACGTTAGCGAGTCTAGTGTAGGTAGCGTTTGCGTGATCATTACGAAGTGCTCTTGTACAAGAAGAGCGTAAAGCGTATATATCCGATTCTAGTCGCTGCACCCTGCGCGATGCACCGAATGCATGGTCGAAAACATCCAAGACGAGCTAGACATCTTCGGGACGCAATGTCGAACGAACGTCGTCCAATGGATATATATATATATAGAGAGAGAGAGAGAAAGAGACTGTCGGAGAGCGGTGAACTCTGTATCGCCTGGAGCGACCAAATGGCAAAATAACCGACTCCCCATTATCAATCATTTATTATCATCGACGAAACTCGCGATGAGGCCTGGTGTCCTTCACAATCGTTCCCTATTCTACCTCGCACCCATTCCACCCTGGGTGCGAAGCTATCGTCGAAGGTTCATCTTGCGAGGACAGATGGTGATGGTTGTGCCCGTTGGTGTTCCTGTACGAGTGGGTATAGAACATGTATTCGGCGGCGAACATAATGGCGGAAATGACTTCGTCACCCGTGTCCATCGGTCAAATACGAATCATGCAATGAGCACGTAGACGTGCTGGAGAAGCGCAGCGTACGAAAGAGTCGCACGGCATACTGTCACTGTATAGTAGGACGAGGAGAATTGTGAGCGACCAGCCATTGCAGGCGTGTACTTGTCTGACTCCTGGCGACGATATGGAAAAGCGATATGGAAAGCGCAAGGCTTAGGAGACGACCCCTGAATGCATCGCATCATGTGATCCCCTTTTAAGCATAGGAACCAACAGGAGACGGGGGAGTCGATCGTAACGATCGCAGCTCCAAAAATGTTATGTTATGTACAATCGAAGCAAAGTTAACACCAGTAATATACCCACCATATATCTAAATATTTAATTCCTTCGCCCCTCCGGATGTACGGTATTGAGGGATGTTTAAACTAGACTCCATGATCAGTTTATCGGTATATGGCATCAATCGGGCAGGGGTGATCACCTTTCTGAAGGCGCCAGCATTGGTTGCGCCCAGCATCCCACTTGCCCCAGAGCAGTACTTTAGTCCCAGGTGTCGCGTTCCCATGATCAGAAAGATCCATATTATACTTGGTACCGGGGACCCAGAACCTGCAATGCACAAAGGTCAGATCGAGTTCACCTAGGCCATAGGAAGAGGAGGGGAGCCCACCTCCAGCTCGAGTTGTCCTGGCGATCCTCCTTGACGTCCCATTCGAAGGGGTGGTCGACGACCACGACAGGGGTATTCTCGCCCGGTTCGCCTTCGATTCCGAGGTACTGCCCCGTAGCTACGTTCTTGAAGGTCCACCCTTGTCCGCGCTTCTCTGCGCGCCACTATTGCCCAGCGTGAGCATCACCAACGTCGCAACGCCGCGACGTCTGGGACTCACCTTCTGATTGTCCCCGTTGTGGTTCTCGTATCCGATGACTTTGAAATCACAAATCGTCAGAAACGAGGAGACGGGACTAAGGGGACTTTCGCAGTGCTCACTGGATTTGTTGTCCCCGCCGCTGAGGTCGGCGACTGTGCCGGCCTTTTCGTTGACGAAGATGTACGTGGAACCGGATTGAGGCATGTTAGTGATATGGGATGAGTTGGAACTATGAGTTGGAGTATCTACACGTCAATCCGGGCTCTTATATACGAATCCCTGCTGGTCGCAATTGGCAAAAAGAGGACGAGACCCTCAAACGTCATACGCCATCATTCATGGGGGTAGAGCCTGTCAAATGGAGGGGTATCGATATCATATCGATGGGTCCTTGCGCCATAATTGAGGGCGTGCGTGCTCCCCGAAGTGGACGCCTCTGGGAGCAATTGTTGGCGGTAGCAGTTACATCCGTAAGGGCAGCTACAAATATAATGTGGCGAAAACAGGAGTACGGCCAGAGTATGGTCAGTCATCAGTACTCAGTCTTAAGCAATGCAGTGGCTGGGGCCGCTGCGGTGCATCAAGGGAATGCGAGACGTCGCCTGATGTCGCATTGTTCGCTTCAACTGAGTTCAACGCCTTGTGGCTGCCGCAGGTAATTTGACTCCATTCGTCATGCACATTACAAGTCACAGGGAAGCCCCTGATAAATAAGGAGCGTACTCAGGAGGTAAGGGAGACAACAAGAGCCACCAAGGCGACGGGAAGAGCTGTCCATGAGTATTCAGCAAGGTATTCCTTCAGAGTAGGCGGGCCTCGAGCTCCCTCAGAGGACTAACGTGCATATTAGCGAAATACACTAGACAGCCTGAGAAGACACGCACTGGTGGTTTCGCGGTAACGATATCATCGCTCCTCTTCTTTGTAGGTTCACCTAACGGGGGCGAGTCTGCATCAGTTTCTTCCTCTGATCTCTGGTGTGGAGTCCGGGGCACATCGTAGACGTCGACCGCTGAAAGAGTCCAGAGCTGTGAGGTTTCGAAGAACTTCCGCTCCGTCAGTACGACCTGCACGGTGCCACCGTTAATAACACGAGCTCTAGTATAATATGAAGATATTAAGAGGACCTTCGCGCCTGGCTTACTGCTTCCGTGACCTTCGAGGTCAAGACATAATTTCGACTCTGGCCAGAGGATTCTGCAAGAAGAGTCAGGAAATCGAAATCTCACGCAGGCGCATGGAAACCCACCTCCAGACATGCGCATCCGATTCGTCGGGTTCCACGACCCAGCTAACAGGAAATGGGATGGCAACGACTGGAACATTCTGGTACAGACCCTCAACTGACACGTAGAGGTCCGGGTCGGAGACGCTCTGGATGGAGAATCCGGCTCCAGACGGGTTGAACCTCCACTATACCATGGCACGCAAGTAAGTACTGGAGAAATAGACATCAGTGAAATAAGCAGTACTTGTTGGTTAATGCCGCTGTGCACAGGGAACCCTGTTCGTTGGTGTTATTGTGGTGAGCATACGAGGGAGTCATCAGCGGAAAGGGCGTACCAATCAAGGATCTTCTGTCCCCTCCAGAGAGGTCTGCGGCGGTGCCCCCTTTCTGGTTATTGAGAAGGTATACGCCAGGCTTTAAGGTGCGGGGTTGGGGACCTTGCATTGGGTGCTCCTGGGGGTGGGATGGATGAAAGGCCGCCTAAGCTGCCTACCAGTCGATGAACACGCCAGATAGGCGTGGCTAACAAGCACGCCGAGGCGTTGCTGAGAAGCTATGTACTTTCCGGTGTACACGTGTGGGACAATCTGGGAAGGGGTCGACCGCAGTGACAAACGGCGATTCCGGCGAAGAAGCCCCTCAGGTTGCACTGTCGCGCTGGATGGAGACACAATGCTAGAGTGCTCAAAATGGGGTCAGAAAGCCGCGCAAGTTGAAACTCGATGATGTCGCACATAAAGACAGGGTGCTCATTGATACACTTGTTCCTACATCTTCAAACCCCGGCAAAAGAGAATTCTAACGGAAAGCCAAGAGATGGAGCAGACGCTTTCCTCTATGTAGCTTCAATGCCTCGATATCTTTCATTGCTGCCTCCTTCTGACGTCGAAGTTCATCATACTCCTCCTTCAACGCGTTCAGGATTACTTCGTCGTCATGCTGTCCCATCGACGCTCGAAGCTGATGCAAAGAATCTCGCTGCCACTTAACTAGAGCCTGCAGCTCACCAAATACGTGCTCTCCAGCGCCAGTCTTCAGAAGCCCCTTTCCTTCAGCCACCAGTTCCTTCTGTAAGTCCAGGGTACACTGTCTCTGGCGGCGAGATAGGACATGGTCGATGATGTCCCAAGCCGACTCTTCGGTGTTCCAGTAGCGCATCGTCTTCGCGCCTTGACTCATCATCGACTTCCAGCAACCCTGCACGAGGTTCCTCTCTTCCCTTTCGCCAAATGTTCTGTCTGCCTCGTCCCACATCGTCGTTGTCAAGATCGTATTCCGCAAGGCTTCTGAGCCGCAGAGCTTCTGGAATATCTGAAGATTCTTCATAACGCCCGCCTTCTTACTGTCTGTTATCCGATGGAAGTAGAGGATGCCGGCCAGCTTAACGTTCTGTTCGTACCTGATATCATCAGCACGACCACAAAAGAAACGAAGCCAAGCTCACATTTGCTTCACCCAAACAGCGATCATCTGGAGTATTTCCGTCTCGGATTTGCATATATCGTCGAAGCCTGGAATGTCAACGAAAATGATGTCCTGCGGGCTTTTGCAGATGCACTGGAGCTTGAGAGGTTCAACGTTGTCGACACAGGACTTCAGACCTGGTGCATTCCCCGCTGCCATGTTGATGAACTGTCGTGTAGATCCTGTTTAGGGGACGGAGTACGACGACATGATAAGCCACGTACGGAACTCTTCCCAGTACCAGTAGGGCCCATGACACTGTAATGCATGCATCAGGAATTTTCGTCTTAGAGAAGCGACAGTCCTCACGCAATAACAATGTCCTCCTCTCTAAGATCTTTTGTTGTCACCTCGAAGATCTTCCCGATCTTGTTGGCGGAAATGCCCACGTCTTTGGGCCGCTTTTGGATACTCAGTAACTATTCATTTGACAAGTAAGCGGAAAGGTACTTTGTCTCGGAGGGGATAGAATGCTTTCTCAGGTCTGCCAATTTAAATGGTGAGTGGGATAGAAACGAAGAACACGATGACATACACATCGCTGGTGTCGAGTACTTCTTCTACGACATCAAGGCCTTTGTTTGTATAACTAACGTATTCCGATTTAGGCACGATACTCGCCCCTTGTTCTCCGTCCTCGTCGCCGACATGGGTAGCTACGTTTAACTGTTGCAAAAGCTCAGTAACTTTCCAATTAGTGTACGAATAGAGATTTACTTCGTTTTGCTCGCCCCCTTGGTGGGAGGTAGGCAATATGGTATGGCTTTTATCGCCCGTCTGATTGCTATCTGAGGTTTGGAAGTCGTCTTCATCGGGGATTGACTGGATATCGTCGGAGCCGCTTGGTGGCAGGTCCCTACGAGCCAAAGTTGATTGATCGTGGTTGGCCTGCTGGAGGTTGGCCTGTCCTCTAGCTAGCGGCTCATAGACACTACGGATTATGTTTCGGGCAGATTCAAAGGTAGCGTCGAATCGAGCAACCTGGGCATTCCTATCAATCAGGCCTTTCCAGTGGTCGTTCTTGAGGCTCTCTTCCCTTCGTCCCCCTACATCTGATGGTACGCAGCCCCACATTGTCGTGACGAGGACGAGGCGGTCTGCTTCTCTGGTCCCGCATATCTGAGCAAATGTTTTTGACTTTTTGAATGGGGTGGATTCCGTCATGCGGTTGTCGGAGATACGATGCATGTATATTATTCCAGTTAGCTTGACCTGATTGCTGTATCTATAGGAGAAATAATGAGTGCCTTCCTATACGTGGTCGTGCCAACTCACGTCTCCTGAAGCCAATCAGCGATCATGACTAGGACCCCGGTGTCAGTCACGGAGTCGTCGAATCCAGGCGTGTCGAGCAATGTAATCCGACAACCGTCTATCATGACTTCGATAGGCTGCACCTTCGCCGTGTGTGGCTTGATATGGTGGCTGACAAGGCTCTTTTTGGACTTCCCGTACGCGTGGCTGATAAACTAAGACCCTCGAGGTGAGCTGCGATGGTATGAAGGAATAAACCCAAAGTGGCTCGTACAGTGCTTTTTCCTGCGCCAGTTGGGCCCATAATTCTTTGGGATCGTCAAGACTCGGTTTCTTATATGTGGTGACATGAAGGACAGGGCTACTCACGCAATCACGATGTTTCCTGACTTTGCGCCGACTGTCTTCATTAGGGCCGCCGATACCTGCGAAGGTAGTACTTGTTTGATGAGGCGCCATGCGTCGCACGTTTCTCCACTAAAGCGATCCACCTTCGCTCCTTTGTCCGTGGCCTGCTTCCAGTGTTTTTCCAATAGAAGTTGCGTCGCCTCACCGCCTTTATTGTCTACCTCATGCCACATTGTAGTCGCAAACAACATCTTTCTCTCCCAGTCCTCTCCCGCTAATATCTTGAAGAGCTTTTCGTACATCCTCAGGGGTACTGTTAGGCGAGTGCGGTTAATTGGGTACAGATATATTATCCCGTCGACCAATCTTTCCCTGGATCTATGTTTCCTGAGCTCGAAAAATAGTGAAAGAAGGCGGAAGCGTACAAGTTCAAATGATCTGGTGATAGATCTTCAACGTCTATGCCAGGCGTATCAATAAATACAAAACTTTGATTGTTCTCCTCGTAGTGAACTCGCTGGGGTCTTTTAGTAACAGAGTCTAGCGTACACGCGGAGCCGATGCCCAATCTCGCTCTTCTTGTCATGTTTCCAGAGGTGGCGCATCGTTGACGACTAATTGCTGTATTGATGAACTATCCAAGCCACGGCAATTTGTCAGTACCAAGTCATAACAAGGGTCGCTAGACGTACGGTCGACCTTCCTGAACCTGATGGTCCCAGTAATCTAGAGATTTACACTTAAGTTCGTACCTATACATCAGGGTGGAATCCACGTTTGCACCGACACGATGATGATAGCTTTATCCGGAATCTTCCGCCAGTTGTCTACGATATCCGTCCAAAGGAGGTCGAACCAACTCTCGTCAGGCAAAGGGGGAGGAGAAACAACTTCCATCTTGCGATGCAACTGGTATACCCTTTATCATGAACATATAAGGAGAAGCCCTGGGAAAGACATGAGGTTGCAGTGAGGCTCCATTATCGCGATCCTGGAACTTAGTACAACCATGTTCAAGATTCGACGAGAGGCGCCCGCCACTGAGTACTGACAGCTTGCCTACACGTGTTCTACAAAATGTTGAGTCCGACGCCGGCTTTGTTTGTTATTTTAGTCTGGCACATCGACCGCTCCCGCTTTAATCGACAACTTGGTGACCACGAAAGATGTATTTCTCTGGTCCGACAAGGTACCAAGAACCACTGATGATACAAGACGAATACATGCTCGATGCTAAAAATTAAATATCTTGAGAGGATTCTAAATATTCTTCAATGAGCCATATTCATCGGGGAGAAGAACTCAAAACTTACGGATCTGGCCTTCTTGGAGAAGAAGAACTGCATGATTCGCCGACCAAACGGAATCTTCAAGGATGCTACCTCTTTAAAAGTCACCTCGAGTTGTTGTCGCACTTGCTCGTATTGATTCTTCAAATCCGCCGCCAACGTCGGATTGTCTTGCCTCTCCGCCTCGTCGTACAGCTCCTTCAACAACCTCTTCTCCTCGTCGAGCTGTTTCTGGAGCGTGTTATACAGCGTCTTGCCTGCCCCGGTCTCGCTCAACTTCTTTTGAAGGTCAGCAAGCTCTTCCTGGAGGAGCACTGCTTCCCTTTCTAGTGGCTCGTACACCCTCCCGATAATAGCCCATGCCGAGTCGAAGCTAGCCTCGAAGCGAGCAACCTTGGCCTTCTTGTCGATCATGTCTTTCCAGAACTTGCTCTTGAGCTCGTCTTCTCTTTTGGCCCCGACGTCTTGTTTTACGCGGCCCCACATCGTCGTAACGAGAATGACCCTGTCCGCAGCGGCAGTCCCGCACAACTGAGCAAACATCTTCAGGTTCTTCAGCGGTGTCCCAGCCATACGGTTGTCCGAAATACGATGCATGTAAATGATCCCCGCCAGCTTGACCTGATTGTTGTACCTGAATGGTCGTTTAAGTGACTTCTTACAGTGTAAGGATTCTTGCGTACGTTTCCAGAAGCCAATCAGCTATCATTCCCAGAACCCTAGTATCAGACATGTTTGTATCGTCGAATCCGGGCGTATCGACCAAGATGACGTTGTGCGTGCCTGTTGTGATTCTGATAGGCTGCACCTTCGAAGTGCACGACTCCAGGTTGTGGCCGATGAGGTCCTTGCTAGCTTTCCTGCAGGCGTAGCTGATGAACTGTTATTCTGCGGTGAGCAATATTTCATTCTATCGGAATGAGTCGCCGCTTACTGTACTCTTTCCTGCGCCAGTCGGGCCCATGACGCTGTAAATCATCACCAACGGTCAAAATGTCCATTCACGGAAGATTTATGGGATTTTACTCACGCGATCACAATGTCTTGCGAGTTCACCGACTTTGTTTTGACTTTTTCGGTAGCTACGGATTGCGACATCACGGGTAGCGATTCTGGGCGTGTATGGAACTTGAGATAGGTCAACTTGCAATACTCTTATACACCCCACAAATAGCCCAGCCTCGCGCGGATGACAAGAATGCCTCGATGCCTCTCTCCCGTGAACTATGGGCTCGAGGGTAAGGCATGCTACATGCTGCATCAACATGCACCTCGCTGATCGATATCGCCATCCATCATTAAAAGCGCCGCATAAGCTCCAGCACGAGGATAATGCATGTTTACTGAATCTGTCCCATCTCTAAACATACCCGATTGCACAAACTAGCGCTACTGTTGAAGAATAGTGTCCGAAGCATGTTTTAGACAACCTTCCTTCTCGCCCACGTCCCCTCCTCCCGGCAGTTCCCCCCTTTCTGCTTAATTCCCCCCGGTTCTCCACACATCTGCACATCTTATTCTTTTATCTACGCCTACCATCAACTACGGTCAATGCAGACCCCACGGCGGGTCCGTTCTTTGCCGCCTGGCTGGACAATCGATATCCATCGTAGAACTGAAACTATCTCTGTTGTAACGGAACAGCCTCCAATGCGCCCCATTTCCAAGGACGACATAATCATTGCGTCAGTTCATCGATATCTAGTCATGCAACTTATTAATATATCCTTCTTTTAGCGTTATGGGCCCGACTGGAGCAGGGAAAAGTTCAGTAAGTCCTTCATATGGTGTCGGCGGTCTGTCGAGATTTACGCGACGGGGGCAAGTTCATCAATACAGCCACCAATTCCTCAGAGGCCACGGTAGGCCACAATCTAGAGTCATGCACGCAGGAAGTGCGTGCTATCAGCTGTCCTCATCCCAAGTCCGGTCGCAACGTGGTTCTTGTTGATACACCCGGCTTTGACGATACGGTTCGAACCGACACTGATATCCTGTCAGCAATTGCTGACTGGCTTTCAACTACGTATGTTAGTCTAGCGTTCGTCTAGTAGTCGCACGCTAAACTTTACGATAGCTATAGGGACAAAATAACGTTGTCCGGGATCCTCTATCTTCATCGCATATCTGATAACAGGATGGCGGGTACGCCGATCAAGAATTTGAACATGTTTAAGCAACTTTGTGGCCAGGATGCCCTGGATAACGTCATCCTCATGACGACCATGTGGACCGAGGTTGCGGAGGGTGTTGGGGAGAGTCGAGAGTCAGAGCTTCGAAGGAACTACTGGAAGCCGATGATAGTCGGGGGTTCGAGCACCACTAGGTTCGATGGCACCCATCTGCGGGCTTGGGAGATCATTGACGCCCTTGGCACTGGACCCAAGCCTCTACTTATCCAGACAGAAATGGTCGACGAAGGGAAGACGCTGCCGGAGACATCTGCCGGGGCCGTCCTCCTTCGATGGCTCAGCGAGTTCATCCGAGAAATCCGAGATCTTATTCGTCGCATCGACGCGCAACTACGTGGTATTCCGAAAGAAGATATACAATCCGTAAATACTAAGCAGGAGGAGAAGAATGCTTTGGTGTGCCAGCTTAACGAGGCATCGACAAAGCAGGCCAATCTCGAGAGTAATAGACGTCGCGGGTTAAGGCGTCGCTTCTCTATGGCCATGCATACGATACGAAGTCCGTCTCCTGCCGGCCCTACTCCACGATCTACAATACTCGATGCAAGGTTTTCGAACGCCCAAGAAGACGAAAGTAACGTGTGGCTTCCCGTAGTTTTAGCTGCCCTAAGGCATGCCAGGGATATCGCAGAAATCCCCCCAGTACCATTCTTGAAGGGTGCCTGTCGCATCGCATTCACTATCGCTGAAGCTGTAAATGTACGCCTTCCCTCTCCTTGTGCTGTTTGAAATCCCTCAGACTTTCGTTGCAGTCTCTAAAGAACCACGGAAATGCTTTCCAAGCCATTTTACAGAATTCATCAGAGCTTCTGTCCACAATCGTCAAGCAAGCTGCGGCAGGAGAGCTCCCAGGGGACGCAAAAGATACCGTCGAGAAGCTTACTAGGCAGGGTCACCTCTGTTTTCGTTAACCGTACCGCTAATACCCACTAGGGAGCTAGAGAGGATCCAGCCGATAGTCCACAAGGCCCTCATGCGTAGTTCAGTGCAGCGCTATTTCTTAGATGTCGCCGAAGAACAGTTACTCAAGGAGTGTGAGCAGCGTATACTACAGGCGTATAGATTGTTCCAAGTACGCCTGCCATTACCTTTAATTTTCTCATAATTTCTTAACTTGTAGCTTTAGGTACGATCTATGGTAAACCTCCAGCAAGCCGTTGCACGAATTGAGGCACAGCTCGCCGTGGTTGCCTTCGAGCCTGCTTTCAAGGCCATCTCTCCGGCGTCTCACATTCACCGGTGCTGCTCGCCAGAACCAATATCATCCGCGAACGAGTAACTGCATGTAGCTGACGCTCATCTTTGACCGGTATTGCTGGCATTCACTCTTTCCTGGATTCCATTGGCGTTCTAGCCCAAATCATACCACCATGTACATATTCAACTACGCATTATAACTGTATTTTAGCCCGCCGCCAAACATGCTCACTTATCATTCGACCGTAACCCTTTTCTCGAAGTTCAGTGAGCTTGGTATGAAACTGGGCGCGTAAGAGGTTGTATCGGTCCACTCGGGTCGACCACTCGTCAGGATTTAAACTCAACGTGCGGAGGTCATGCAGAGACTTGGTAAGTTGTTCGGCTAGGGCCTTCAATTGTCGAGCGTCGCTGCCACTCGGGTCGTCTGAACGGAGACGGTGGATGAGCCGTGCAACACCTGCAGCGACTTCCGCAGCGAACTCTACATTCGCTCTGCATATAACATCATCGAGGAGGGCCCAAGCCGGTTCCCGGCAGTCATCGTGGCGGACAATCCGCAACGCTCCAGGGACATGACTCCTTAGAAGGTTAAATTGGTAGTTTCCTTTCTCTTCACCGACATCGTTCCACATCGTTGTCACGAAAAGAGACGGAGGTAAAACGTTTTTGCGGCATAGTGAGGAGGCGCAGATCTTTCGCAAAAGGGTGCTGAGCTGCGTGGGTACCATCCGGTTGACTTCGATACGATGCAGGTAGATGATGCACGACAGGGTATCCTTCTTGACGCTGAATGTACAGTAAAGCTTCAGTTAGTGAAGTGGATCGAGATATATAGTACGTACCTCATCTGCTGCTCCATACCGCGAAAGCCTCCCGGGTCTGGAGAAACGTGATCGTCCAAACCTGGTGTATCGATGAAGACTAGTGGGCGGTCACATCTCTTTGGATCGAATATCTTCACCGTTGTCACGTTGTGGGTGCAAGGATCAAGCCCATGACCGACCTGGCACCCTTCACTCCCAGAAAGAGCGTTTATGAACTTGAACAACCATGATGCGTGAGGATACACGATCCACATGAATTAGGCAGCAAGTAATCACATACAGAGCTCTTGCCACTTCCCGAAAACCCCATGATACTAATGTCGATTATTTATGGCTGAGAGGCGTCATATGAGCTACGCACGCTATGTAAAGGTCGTCTCCTCCCTCTCGAGCCATGTTTGTCTACAGTCATAGACATTGGTGGGCTAAACCAGTAGGAGAAACGAGCTTACTGTTGACCGGCTCCTCGTAAACAGGCTAAGCACTCGCGAGAACCGGTTCCGCTGAAGATGGGAATTCGGGACATCGGGAGAGGCGGGTTTAATTGCGTCCTCGATTATGGACCAAGCTGATTGGTAAGTTCCGTCGAAGCGATGATAGCGGGATCCAGAGTTAAGCCAAGATTGCCATTGCGTGGTTTGCAACTCTTTCTCTCTTTGCTCGGCTTTCGTCAGGGTTGAGAGCGGAGCCCGAGCCCACATTGTAGTGGCGAGATGAACCTTTTGGTTGAAATTCTTACCCAAAACACGCTCGAGCATGCCTAGATGTACGAAGGGGGAGATGGTAATCCTGGGGTCGGAGATCTTCCCGAGGTAAAGAACCCGTACCGCGTCACGCTGGAAAGAATAGCTGTAGAAGGAATGAAGATGATAAAGGAGTCAAAAGAAGATTTCCACGCACGACGTATCATCAAGCCAGCGCACAAGTAGGCGTTCGGAATTGCGAATGGTTTGTATTTCGTAGTTGAACGCGGGAGCTTCAACTAGAAGAATCTTCCCCGAGCCGTTCCTCGGATCGATGATGGTGGCAGCGAGGACCTCGCGAGTAGTAGACTCTAGACCATGCCCAACGGGTATCGCGTTGACATCTTGGGCGGCCGCGTTGATGAACTGGTTCTCAGGTGAATCATAGGACTGTCAATACTCTATATGGTCCTCCTACCGTGCTTTTGCCCGAACCAGTCAGACCCATAACTCTGAGAACTGAGGATGAGCCAGAGCTTCCTAATCATTCAGGAAAGGCTTACATGACGACAGCTTCCACGGCGCAGGATGTGGCAGCTATATCACCGGGCAATTTGCTATTGTTTCTGAGAATTGGTAGCCTCATCGAGTGCTCAATAGATGGGGATGATGAGTGAGATGAATATATCGTAACCAGCTAGGCCATACGAATGAAGGAGACGAAAACGCGGTGTGCAATGATGCCAACACGTGGCTTGAGATTCGATCGTGGACCAGTGCAGCATGCTGTAGAGCGTCTGTCAATGCGTCTGTCGCGCTCCAGATAACACACAGAAAACATGGAGGAGGTGTGTATTTGTGATGATACGCGTGTATGGATACTATATCATACACGACCGGAGGCTGTCTAATAAGAATGATGTTGTCAATCAAGGTCGCATCACTCACCCAGGCCGTTTCTACTGCTGATACTGTCCCCGATGGGAAACAAACATTCCAAAGTCAAAGCAGATATCAAAATAATAGTGTACGCACCCTTTGCCTCTATTAAGTGAAGGAGTCCTCATGTTGCAAGATAGGCTGCTAGGACCCAGTGGCTCTGGTAAAAGCACGGTACGTCAACGTGTAATCGCAAAAGGGCGCAACATCAATCAATCACTAGTTCATCAACCTAGCTATGGGGAGGCCCGTTGTAGCAGTTGGCTCTGGTCTTGCTTGTTGCACTAAAAAAGTGCAAAGAGTCTCGTGTACCATGCGAGGAGACTCGAACAAAGATGTCTTGCTGGTGGATACGCCGGCGTTTGATCATGATAAACTCGATCTCCCCCAAATTGAGGACATGATACGCAAGCAGCTAAAAGATATGTACGCCTCTGTTCATGTTCCTAATCATAAGTTCTATTAAGTAACTGACGATCATTCCAGGACAAAAAGAAAGATCGATATAACCGGCATAATATATTTTCATCCGATTACTGCTAATAGGTTGACGGAAGTCCCCAAAGACCACATAGGTGTCTTCGAGCGCCTGGTGGGCAAATACCCTGCTCGAAGAGTACTTCTCGCAACTTCGGGATGGAAAGATCTGAGGGACCCACAGAATCTTGGGAGCCAACGAGAGCTTCAACTACATCAGGACTACTGGAAGGAGATGCTGGATGGCGGTTCGAGGATTCTACGTTTCGAAGGCACGGAGGATTCCGCGTGGCATTTAATACGAGCTGTATTAGCCTAGACGCTGTACTTGCCTTCTTTCGTTTTGGAAGAAGGAAGGGAAAGCAGATGCAAGAAGGGGCGAGACGTTTTGAGACCGTCGGCAAGAATGGCATCGTGGGACAATCATGACTCTAGTTGGTACCCAGCGTGGCTAGTTGTGGCTGTTGCCGTCCTGTTCTGCCTTGCCTTTACAACGTTGTCAAAATTAAATTTGAACGTAGTATTAAAATGCTTCGACTCATGTTGAATTTATCTTTTAATTCGCGTCAAACTCGTCGTTTTCTCATTCCGCTCAACCATGTTCAAGTTTGGGGTAAGCATCAACGACATCAAGAGTGGCGACAAGATTATAGCGTGCGTACGCTGCAATGTCACCGTTTCTTGAAGTTCTTCGCAGCTGACTACATAATTTAGTGTAATGGGTCCCACTGGCGCAGGCAAAAGCACGGTTGGTACATCCGCTAGCCTCCATTCGGCTGCACCGAATGAGTCTACCCTCCCAATTAGTTCATCGACACCGCCGTGCGACAGAACGGACGGCGTGTTGGACACGATTTGAAATCATATACCGCAGACATAGAGACAGTAAGGTACAATGACGGGAAGGAGGACATTGTTTTCGTCGACACACCAGGTTTCGACGACACGACGAGGTCCGATACCGATATCTTGAAACTGATTGCCAGCTGGCTGGAAAAGACGTAAGAGATGTACACGGCATCTTGCGAATAGCGACGGAACACTAACCCGGCGTCAGGTACAAAAAGCGCATTCTCCTCACAGGCATCATCTACGTCCATCGAATAACGGACAACCGAATGTCTGGAGCTCCTCTGAAAAATCTTCATCTGTTCGGCAGTCTTTGTGGCGAGGCCGCAAGCCCAAACGTCATTCTCATAACGACAATGTGGTCAGACAAGGTACCCGCAGACGTCGGTGAACGAAGGGAAAAAGAGCTCGTCGAAAAGTTCTGGAAACCGATGCTCGATCTAGGGTCTGACCACATGCGATTCATGGGTTCATACGAATCCGCTTGGAACATCATCCGTGCTGTCATCGCAAGGGCCGAGGCACGGCCCGTTCTCCTACAACATGAACTCGTCGATCTCCACAAAGTCCTCAGGTATGCTTCTCCACCCAATATCTCCTGCCACCGCTTACAGACGCGGATATGTTAGGGAGACAGAAGCGGGAAAGACGCTCTATGGTGAACTACTGCGCCTCCTCGAGGAACAAAAACGTATCGCCCAGCAACTGCGGGAGGAGGTTTCGAAGCAGAATCATACGAACCCTGCACTGAAAGCGGAGCTCGACAACCAATTCAAGCAGATTGAAGGGCTTCTGAATGCGACCGTGAAGCAGATACAGGAGATGAAGATCCCTTTCGCCAGCCGAATCAAGTCATTTTTTTCTTGGAAGAAGGCGGCAATCGTAAGTCACAGTCTACAAATACCGTGTACCTTTCAGTGACACTAAGTATATCAGCATCCCGTCCGTGTATAGAGAAAGACGACTCCAACTGGATGCCTTCCATATTATTGCTATTATGCCTGTGCTTTCCTCCGTTTATGTACCTTTAGACATTATTCTATACATTTATGTGATATTTTGCGCAGTGCGGCGTTTGATGCCCCCGTGTGTGGTCTAGGCGTTGGGTTCATGGCTTCACGCAGAGTTCCCGATTGGACCTCGAGGCTCTCGCGAGGCTATGAAACAATATCGAGGTGTCTTGCTCAAGGCTACATTGTGGCTAGAGTACGTACGGAGTCCCCTCTTCTTCTGCAACTTCTCGCCGCTGGTATCATGTTACCGCTCAACTGGAAAGTAGGTCAGAGACTTAGTGAGGGAGATACTATCATTGCGTGAGTGAAGTCTTTGTAAAACTGGACACGTCCTCTCAATCGTTATCCATCTTTTAGCGTCATGGGACCGACGGGCGTTGGGAAGAGCACCGTACGTCGACGCGACTCGAAGGCTGAATTGATTTGTTCGGCTCAAGGAGTCACAGTTCATCAAATATGCCGCTGGGGAGAAGAACGCCGTCGTCGTCGGCCACAATCTCGAGTCATGCACCTCCGAGGTTCAACCTATCAAAGTAAAACGCCGAGAAGGTGGAAATCCCGTCATACTGGTCGATACTCCGGGTTTTGACGATACAAAATTGCCTGACACCGAAATATTGAGAAGAATTGCCGTATGGCTTCAGCAAACGTGAGTGCTTGCAATCGCGAGTCAACAAGGGGCCTGAAGGTGTTTTTTGAAATCAGCTACCAAGATAAGGTCAGGTTAGCGGGGATCATCTACATGCATAGGATATCGGATAATCGCATGGCCGGCGCACCTCTGAAAAACCTCGCGATGTTCAGTCAACTGTGTGGTACCGCTGCCGCCGAAGGTGTAGTGCTTTCCACAACAATGTGGGGTTCAATCAAGGACGGCACTGGTGAGCCTCGAGAGGAAGAGCTGAAGGCAAAATTCTGGAAGGGGATGCTTGATTGCGGTGCGAAGGTATCACGTTTCGAACTCACCCAGGAATCGGCCTGGGAGACCATCGACGAGGTGCGGAAGTCGGCAAATAAAGCAGCGTTATTGCTTCAAGAAGAGATGGTAGAGCTAGAGAGAAGGCTCAGCGAAACACAAGCGGGAAAAACTTTATACAACGATCTGCTGAAGCGACTCGACGAGCAGCGGAAGATACTGCGGGACCTCCTGATTGAAGCGCAACGCGACCATTCGGCCAACCCACAACTAGCAAGGGATTTGCAGCTCCAACACGATGCGACGAGGAAGCAGATTGATGATATATTTAGCCAAGTACGGGAGTTGAAAATTCCGTTGACCAGGCGTATCGCGCAGCTGTTCAATTTCCGGAAAGCCCGTGCGGTAAGCCTCACAGTTCCTTGTGTCGATGTCTATCCGAAACCTCTTTTCAGGCTCCAGTGAAGACAAAGCAGTGAATATGACATACTGAAGGAGGGCTGTCACAACTATGCATACTTATGAACAGTATCGAATTTTAAATCTTGATGTCATACCATTTTGTTTGCAACGAACCTCTTCTAGTGCATTACCTTCACTCAGTCAAACAGAATCGAAGCGAAGGGAGGAGTGGTATTTTAAGCGCTGCCAGCGCTTACAACTCGTCACTCCGAATTAATCACCATGTCGACGATCCGCCATGCATCCTCCTTCGTTCCGAAGAATCTATCCAAGCGCGTTCCACCCGCTATCATGTTCTTCAACAAATTGTCCCGTAGCTGTACTTCCCTCTCGGTTGCCGTTTCCTCATCCACCATCGCCGACATAGTAGTGGCGACGATAGTCCTTTTTGGCCACCCGCTCCCTCCTAGCAGCTTGAGGATCCGGACGTATTCCTCCGGACGTACCGTGACACGGGGGTCACTCAAACGGTGCAAGTATACCAGGACATCCGCTTGCTTTGGGGCTCTGCAGCGAAGGAATCGTCAGTTCACCGACCAATCACAGTCGCATGGTGTGCAATTACATCTTGTACGCTTTGTCTATCAGCTCCGCCGTGTTTTCTTGAAGGTCTAGGCCAGGCGTGTCGATAAAGATGTACTCCTTCCGACCCCTCATAAAATGGACAGACTCGACGTCGGTCGTTACTGGAGCCAGTGAATTGTCGGGCATCCCCACGCATTTTAGCCTGTCTTCGCCTATCGCCGCGTTTATAAACTAGATACACCTCATCAATTCTGCGTTTACACCTACTGGAGCTCGATGACCTTACCGATGACCTGCCCGATCCTGTTGGACCAAGCAATCTTTCCGACCATCAAACACTGTCAACGCTGGAATCTCTCCACGTACATGATGACGGTGGCGTCGTTCTGTTTACCACGTAGAACCTTTTGCACACTCTTAACCCATTTCCAGTTCATGGTGAATGTCTAGGATATGACGGTTTGTAGCTCAAAGCTCTTGCGCATCGTAGTTATTATCTTGCACACGCGGGCAATGCGAGGCAATGGCGAATAACGATCAAGGCTGAATGGGTATCTGCAGATTATCTGATCCAGCGTGTTTTACATGAACGTGAACGAATCCACCCTCATCTCGGCTTCTACCACCACGCTGCAATGTTCGATGGTCAACGCCGATGCCCCCTCGTGCCTTCTCGAAGCCTGTCATAGTACCTGATGGTGCCGGCGCGGACGGAGTCCCTGATCATATTCTATCCAACGAGGGTACGTATTATATCCCTGGCGGATTCAGACGTATCGTGATAGCGCATGACTCGAGAACCTTGCGAGGCCATTGGCTTCCAACAGCCATCCTTCAATTCTCGCTCCCTCTTTCCACCCGTTTCTTCATCTATATTCGCCCACATAGTCGTTGTGAGGATAACCTTATGTGCAGGCTGGTTGCCGCCGCAAAGTTCATGGAAGGTGTCGAGGTGCCGAATCGGATTCTCTGTCATCCGTACGTCGGTAATGCGATGGACGTACAATATTCCTGCAACTTTGATTTGGCGTTTATACCTGCTCTTTGTCAACGCGCCGCGGTAATAATTGCCGACATTATTCACATACATCTCCTTCAGGCCCTTCTTGATCATCTTCTCAATGTCGGCAATCTTGACGTTGCCATGATTGAACGCGGGCGTATCGACAAGGGCGACCTGCCGACGAGCACCAGGAATAGGGCATTTCACGATTTGAACCTCGCTTGTGCAACTGCTCAGAGTTGTCCCTACGCGAGCGACGTCTTCTCCCAATGCGGAGTTAAGAAACTCAGAGTATGGTCAGTGACGTTCAGCCCGCACAGTTGACCGACTAACTGTACTCTTTCCCGCCCCGGTAGGCCCAAGCAACCTTGTCCATCTTCAGTCACCGACATTTTGACAACAATGAAGGACACATACACAATCACGTCGTCATCTTTTGTCACTCCCTTCCCGAAAATATTTCCCATAGCCTCTAGTGGATCGTTATATACAGAAGAGTTGAACTTCTCCTTGATGTAGCCTGCTCGTATATAAAGCATCACTCGAGCCTCGAGGAGGCCTACTGCGCAGCTCGTTGCTCAGACGTGGCGCACCAACATATCCCGGAATATCGTTTCAGCACCCTCGCCTCGCTTGGTTTCCGCGAGTTGCCAGCCTTCTTATCAAAGAACTACGAGCGCCGCACAAAATGCCAAAATTGCAGTGAATGATTCCAAGGGTTCTATGTGTGGTGTATCATCTGGACTCGGATTGACGCGCATGCCCCTGGCCTCGAGGATTCCATGTGTCTCAGCGTTCCGCAACCTCATATACAGGAGTCGATGCGTATAAGCGGGCACCCCGTCATTCTTTGACAATATGCTCTGGTTCCATAGCTCAAATTCCGAACAAACCTATGTTATTTTGTGAGTAACATTCCCCCTTCTTGACATATTTCTTCTCTGGCTTACTTTTCTTCGTGATACGTGATGCAAAGGATCCTGGGTCTAGCAGGTGATGGGAAATCCAGCGTGAGTTGCCTACATTTATCGCGTGATCGGAGCAGCTAACTGATTAATCCACTCAGTTTATCAACGCTGCCACCGGGAAGCAACAGGCCGCAACGTCCAAGAGCCTTCAGCCTTGCACAACCGCGGTGAAGGACTTCGTCTGCAAGCGCTCTGGCTCCAAATTCGTCTTCATCGATACGCCAGGGTTGGACCTAGACGAAGGGAAAGATGTTGATGCTAGCGTCGGACGCATTCTTGCAAGGTATTTCCTCGCCATATGCACTGGGCACCAACTTAAACCTTCCCCCACCAAGATACAAACGCTCCTATGTGGATGCGATAATATACCTCCATCATTCAACTCGGAAGGTCATCACGCGGCCACCTGAGCCAAGCAGCGTAGTGACTAAATTTCAAACCCTGTGTGGCCCCGCCTGGCGATCACGTACGATCCTCGCCGTGATGGGGGACACTGCCGACACTGTTCGGCTGGAAGGCGCTCTTCAGGCCATCTACTTTTCGGGTATAAAGGTTGCACCATTTACCATCAACGTTCAGGGCGGTGGAGATGCGTGGAATGTCCTTGACCAAGTTATTACTGTGAAGTAGACTATATAGTGCCACGGTTATAGCTGGATTATGCATTATGTCTGACCTGAGATGTAAATAGAGAATAGGATCGCTTGCATGAGATTGCAAAGTGAATAAGATACTGAACTACATGAAATATGGTGTCTCCTTGTAAACCGCTACTATCGCCTCTTGAATGTCAGGAAACCCAGTCGAGAAGTAAGGAATCGAAGGAGACGTTTCCCGATTGGGATCCTCAACGCTTCCATGTCGCGGATAGTCACCTCACCCTGCTTGCGAAGATCCTCGTACTCCTCCCTCAACGCGTTGAGAACCGTTTCATCGTCGTGACGTTTCATCGACGCCCGTATCTTCTGTAGCGTATCGTGCTGGCGGGTGACGAGCGCCTGAAGCTTGCCATAGAGCTCTTGTCCGGCTTTTGTCTCCGGAAGGCCCTGCTTCATGTCCACTAGCTCTTCCTGCAGCTCGACGGCGTATCGTTCGTTATGAGTGTTTACAATAGCATCGATGATGTTCCAAGCTGACTGCTCAGTATTTTCGAACCGCATCGCCGTGGAGCCCTGGCTAATCATGGACTTCCAGTAATGCTTCTTTAGCTCCTCCTCCCGTTGCTCGCCCGTCTTTCCTTCGACTTCGTCCCACATCGTCGTTGTTAGGATGATGTTTTTGAGGGCGTTCTTCCCACAGAGCTTCTCAAACATATGGAGATTTTTGAGAGGGGTTCCTGCCATCCGGTTGTCGGAAATGCGATGGAAGTAAAGGATACCTGCTAGCTTGACGTTGCGTTCGTATCTGTTGAGTTAGTGTCGGCATTCCGTCAATGAGATATGAATCTGATCGCATACGTGATTTTCAACCAATCGGCAACCATTGTGAGTATTTCGATGTCTGATTTGTGGGTATCGTCGAAGCCCGGCGTGTCAACGAAGATAATGTCCTGCATACTGATTTCGAGGGATCGGAACTTTATGATCTGGATACTCGAGGTATATGACTCAAGTTCGTGACCCACACCCGTCTTGTTTCCAGTCGCAGTGTTGATGAACTAGTCAATACTCAGTAAGTAACGGACGGGTGCTTCTTGCGCGGATCGGCAACTTACCGAACTCTTCCCCGCCCCCGTTGGGCCCATCACCCTAAGTATAGATTTGAATAGCATCAGGTGGACGACTACGTTTGACTTACGCGATAATGATATCTTTCTGGTCAAGCTCGTCGGTGGTCACTGGGAGGACATTACCGTGACCCATTTTTCGTGCCTTGTAGTTGTCTGATCAGGGGAGTCTATTTCGTAAAATGACCACGCACCTTTATCCGACTGAGCAAGCCTTTGGGACGGTGGTCTGCCCGAGCACTACGAGTTACATCAACAATGTGCTGGTCAAGCCAAGGGCTAAGAATCCCATACTCATGACTTATCCACGTTAGTGAGCGCGTACATCTCATCGTGTCAAGTCGAACTTACTTATTGTCGTGGTCCATTCGGACGTATGAGTCGTGGGCTAGCGCAAAAGTACTTAGCACGAGTAAGATCGCGAAAGGGATGGCACGCCCTCTCTCTGATGAATCCTAAATACCTGGCACGAGGTCCCCAGGCGCCGGGCCTTCTCCTCGAGGCGCGTTTCCTTGCCTGATTGTTGCGCGGTGTTTGCATCCAAGTTTGATAGAAGTAAGATATTCAGCATGTTCGACTGGGCGATGCAAGCAGTTGCATGTTGAAATGCTGGTAAGATCTCGAGAGTCAGCCCCACCGACTCGACGGAGGCACTATATGTGATAGGGGTAAGCCCTATCGATCGTTCCTCCGAGCTCTAACTTTAGTTTTTAAACTTGGATCTTGATAGTAAAACCTCGTCTCCTCCTCATGTCCGCACGGACTCGAGGGGTATGTATGGATATAATCACTAGGTGACATGAGCATTGCCTCTCGTTCCATCCTACACAACATGAACTGGCTCAACCTCATCAAGGATATTGTAGACAACTGGAGGACTATCCCAGACGAAGCTATTGTCATCGTGTAGGCTGTTCTACCCATCCAGCTATCTTACCCAAGCAAACTTCGATTTCGTTGAACAGATTGCTGGGGCCAACGGGTTCGGGAAGGTCAACCGTACGTCTCATGTGTCCTGCCACATTAATGTCGATATATAGTATCTGCTGATTTTCTAATGGTTCGTTGAATCAGTTCATAAATGCAGCAATTGGCGAGGAGCATTGCGAGGCCTCTGGAAGCACGACACGCACTGCAAGACTGAGCAATGACTCTCCGTCTTCGTTGGACCCTATAACGAAAGTCGTTCAGAGAGTTCATTACAAGACCTCGGATCGTAAATTCGTGTTCATTGATACGCCCGGGTTAGACTTGGAGGAATTCGCCCCAGCGAAGTCCGCCCTCAGGCTGTGCGTCTTGTCCCACTCACTTAGGCTCCCGTTCATTCGCTGATATATTTTCGTCGACATATAGGCCGAATGGCAGATTAGTAGACGGAATAATATATCTGCATCGTGTCAACACTCCCCGTGTCACGACATCACCTCAGACGTACGAAAAAGTCTTTCAGGGGCTAGTGGGGAACGAATGGGAGAAGAAAACCTTGTTTGCGACGACAATGTGGAAAGAAGTGGACAACGCAAGAGGCGAGGATAGGCAGCAGAAATTGGAGGAGACCTACTGGCAGCAAGCCAAACAGCGAGGGGCTAAAGTGGATCGGTTCTTAGGGGAGCGAGACGACGCGTGGCGCCTGATCAACCGCCTTACTTCCTAGCTTAGCGCTTAAAGTTCTGAGGCCGCATGTATTTTGCTCCTCGTTGTTCTCTGTTGCTCTTCATGCCTGGTTTCGTGTAACATGATAGGCGTATCTTGATCTCGGATTGGACGTAGTTCCGTTGTTTGCACTTTTCCTTGATGAAGCATTGATGTGGATTCAATTGTCGTTATCTTCGGTATCTGATCGCTCTTAACGCTTGTTCGACACGAGGACGAGTGCCCTTGCCCTCATCCTCGTGTGACTAGCATGGGGGCTCGACATTCTGCTCAACACGTTTTCAAGGTGCACAGTACTTCAAATGTCATAGCGGCACGACCGCAACGACCCTCTCCCCATTTCTTAACTTGCATCAACTGCTTGCTCATTCCAAGTTCGAAACCTTCGTTTCTGGACCAGAGATGTGAGTGTCGCTTCGTTCACCAATACCTCGACGCTCACCGGTTTCTCAGATGTCGATGTCTTTCTTACGCCGCAAACAACCTGCTGAGAACCCGTTGGTGGACCTTACTTTCTGCCTTGCCGCTATTCTAACCGCCTCTCAGGAAAGAGAGACGCTTGTCGACTTTAATACAGGAAACTCCCGAACAGTACGCCTACTCTTTGACTTTTTATCCCTTCGAAGTTTTGTAATTCTATTCAAGCGCACGACCACCCCGTCCTACTTCCAGGGGTGGGCAAGTTTCGGGCTCAACACCTGGAATCATTCTGCATGCTGAGGGAGCGAAGGGTTACTCCACGCCGAACGCAAATGATGCCCATTCCTCTCCAGTCCCTGATCAACCATCAAGAGACCGTAAGCGATCCCGCGACGATTTGCAAACACGAGGCTCGGCGGGCGTCCGACGGTATACTGCCGAACCCACATCTATAGACGAGCCTTCACCGGAGATAATCCACAGTACTGCAGAGCTTGCGCAGCTCGGTGGGACCGACATTAGTAGCCTGCAAGAAATTCCCGATGAGGACGACTCCCAAGCCCCAGAAGGTGCGGATCACAATGCAAGCGATACTATATCACCCATTGGCCTCCAAGTCGACGATAAACCTCATAACCTGCGCAATTCTAACCACACGATGGGCCGTGCGGAAGTAGACCCCGACGCCTATCTGCCTGAAGCCGACCACGTTACCGATAGGCACGTTGGTGATGTTAGGAATAACGTGCTTGGACGTGGAGATAGAAGCTTTACGGATAAAGGCCGCGAGGTCGCAGCTCCCTCCCCTTTAGATGTTGTTGTCGACGAGCAGCAGCCTCATACCCGTGAGGTGCGAGAAATTGCCGAAAGTAGCGGAGTGTATGTCTTCCAAATTATTTGCAGTTAGCTACCTCACTTACGAACCAATATTCATAGTTCCGAGAATGACTCTACGTTAAACGCCAACCCTCAGAACGAAGTAATGACATGTTTCTTTTTATACGTCGAATCCTACTGAGATCTTGTAATTAGTCGAACATATCGTCTGCCCATGAACACGGCGACGTTGGGAACGCTCCCGGGTCGAGGAATCACCACGACGTCACGCCATTGAGGGATTCAGACGCTGACAGTTTATCCCCCCCAGAGAGACTGGCCACCACGGGAACTGATGGGTAGGCATAATGTCCTTTCCCCATCCATCCATCCCGCTCACCATTCATCGTAATCAGGAATAGGAAGGTATTTAGCCGGCTTCTGAATTTCCGAAACAAAGTACTCCTCTGCCTGCATTTCAAACGAATATTACTGAGTACTGGAACTAGCAGAAAGAGGTAGCCGCGTACATGAAAAAGGCCGGGAAGATTTTCAAGGTAAAAACTGAAGACCTTAAGGAGGACGATGTCATTATTGCGTGAGGATCGTCCCCTTCCTTCTGAACGAATGTGCCTGATACTACAGTCGTAGCATCATGGGACCTACTGGTGCTGGGAAGAGTTCCGTGAGTCGCGAAAATTTTGTCAGTGAAGTCCCTCAATGAAACGGGTACGATAGTTCATCAACATGGCGACCGGAAATGTCACTGGGGTAGGGCACGATCTAGAATCGTGTACCAACTCCATCGATATCCTCAAATTCCAATGCATTGAGCGGAGCATGCAGGACATCATCTTCGTGGACACACCCGGGTTCGATGATACCCATAAATCGGACGTAGAAATCCTCGAGATGATTGCTGGTTGGCTGAAGCAAACGTGAGTCTTGCCCTTATCTCTGTTGCCTTTTGCCAACGATATCGATATCAGGTACGAGCAAAACGTTAAACTGGCCGGCATCCTCTATTTCCATCGAATAACGGACAATAGAATGGCCGGTACTCCACTGAAGAACCTTCATATGTTCGAGAAGCTGTGCGGCAAGGACGCGCTGCAGAACATCATCCTGACGACGACGATGTGGGACGAGGTCGACGAAGCAACGGGAGAGCAGAGGGAGAAAGAGCTCGAGCGGCATTACTGGAAGACGATGATCAGCCAAGGATCCAAAACGATGCGCCATAAGAACACCGACAAGTCTGCTTGGGACATCATCGACAGCATCGTCGTTGGTCACAATGAGCGGTATGCCGTCGAGTTGCAGAAGGAGCTGGTTGATTTGGAGAAAGAACTTCCGGAGACGGGCGCCGGGAAGGAACTCTTCAATAAGCTCCAGGCCCTGGTGAAGCGGCAGCAGGATACTTTACATCGCCTTCGGGATTCGATGAAGAAGCACGACGACGAAACCGTTCTGAATGCCTTGAAGGAGGAGTACGAAGAACTTCGACTGCAGACGGAGGCAACGGTCAAGGAAATGGAAGTGCTGAAGATACCCATTGGGAAGCGCTTACGCCGCCTCTTCACTTCGACTCTGGGATTCTTCAAACTCCTCAAGAAATGAGTCGACGGTGTCGGTGGATTCATATTGTACCAAACCTGTACCTTTATCGCCTTACACTTGTACCGCTGGGATCGAAATGCCATCCGATGGCTAAGATTGTCCCTGCTGTCCCTTTGATTGAATGTACATCGAGAACTATGTACTGCATTACTCCTCCAAGATGCGGTGTGAGGGTGTCGGACGTAACTATCTATGAGAACGGCCACGTGACATGATACTTCTGACCCCACCCGAAGCAAACAGCTTGCTCAGCAACACCTTCACGAGTGACATTGCAAAAATACGCCTAGGTCTGTGGTGGATTTCCTTGCTTCGTCCAGGCCGCCATGCTAAACGCGTCGCTACTCTTACGCAAGCTTCACCTTCAAAAAGGAAGTTGCCAAATTCACTGTAGCTCTTCCGATGGACCGTCAGTATCCAGCGATTACACACGGACTGATGTGAGCAACGGTAGCTTTCATTTACGTTAGAGGTAGGTATTCTTCATACCTCCTCCCCATTAAACTAACATAACGCTATCAACTTACGAAGCGGGTCGTAACTCAGTCAGCTGAATCGTTTGCCCACCAGATTTATCCAGAGACGGTATGTAGATGTCCTCCGCGTTGCTGTAGGTAGTATTATTTAACATTCTCTTACGGGTCAACCCGCGCCACCCTGACGGTCAACCACCTTTAGCTTTCGTCTCCTCAGCTTCTGTTCGATACGGAACACGCACATAGCTACGGAGGATAGTCTACTTGACCCCGCCTACGATCAAGTTCGTACTGTTCTCGCAGCTCTATTTGACCGCCATCGTCTAAATCATTACGTTCGCAGAGAACGGGCCTCAGACGCCTGTGATCAAGTGAATGAATAATATTAATGTACGTATGCGATTTGTGTATATGCGCGTTCCTCATCCTTCTATCCTCGTCCTTCTATCTTCGTTGCAGCTCCACCACGGCGAGATATTAACGCGCGAGGTGTCGCGCGAGCATGTATTCCAGCGGCTCGTCGCAAGTCGCTGATTCTAGCCCGGCGATGCAGGAACGGATGTATTCGTCGGCTTCAGCCTCCTCGGCAGTTTCAGTTTCTAACAGAGTAACATGATACTGGTGTCCTAGCCGCTGGTCCTTGCCGCGGGCTCCGTCAATACCAACTTCGTGATGATTGAGGTCCAAATCAATTGGGGCTCTCACTACATAATATACGCGAAGAATGGGCCATACAATACGGGAGCATGTTTCCACCCGCGCGCATACAACCCATAGGAAGTCGCCTTGCTTCCTGTATGTCCACGGCCTCGCGACTCTCGTCTCAGATGTCAGCGCAATTTCAATTTCTTATTTTTGCCTAGAGCACTCCTGTTGTTCGCTGGTATGTACGGATGATCGAGCGAGCTTGACTTACGACTTACGACTTACGACTTACGGAAGGTGGGGTCTGGGCGCCGCGGAAGCTTCCTCCATTCTGCGAACCTACGAACAAGGTATCTCTTTGAGATCCTGCAGAACGCTCTCGGCATCCACCACGATTCCACCCCACAACCCATAACCATAACGAATGAGCGCACGAGCAAACCCCGAATCACGTCCCGTCCCAAAATCGGGGTGAGCGATGTGGGACGGATATCGCACGAAGGCGCGGCCAAGAACCTCCTTGCGCCGAGCCACCTACCCGTATACTGTATACTGTATACTGTATGTATAACTCGAGTCAAATTGGCTTGCCGTTCGAAATCCTCTAATATACGTACGTCCTTCTATTTCTATTTCTATTGACTAACTTTTACTTTTACTTCTACTTTTACTTTTACTTTTACTTTTACTTCTACTTTTACTTTTCGTATGTACACAGATCGCGATGAAATACACGCCTCGCCGCCCTCCGAGGCTCTGGACTCAACTGGCTCGACGTCCCATGTCCCATGGCCCAACCGCCACTTACCAAAACGCGCCTTGGCCTGCCGAGCCTCGCCTATGACTAGTGACTATCCCGCTGCAGTATAAATACCGCACGTCCGTCTCTGCCAGTTCCCCAGTCCACTGCAATCTCCTTCTAGTCGACTATCACAGACAGCACCTTTGCGTTCACTCCCAGCGAACCTCCACGCACACACACAATGTTCTCCATCCGCATCGCCGCCGTTGTCCTCGCAGCCTCTGCCCTCCTTGCGGCCGCCAGCCCGATCGCCAACACGGAGACCCCTGTGGTAAGCCGTGCCCACTCCGCGCCGACGTACACGCGCCCAGCTCTGACGCCCCCTCCCCCCCCCATTATAGAACCAGTGCGGCTCCGGCTCCATCCAGTGCTGCGAATCCGTCCAGTCCGCTGTCAGTCTCTCCACCTCGTACCTTGTACCTTACTGCCCATCTTACTAACCAACCAAACACCAAACACCAAACACCATCCACACAGTCGGCTGCACAAGCCGCCGGGATCTTGGGTCCCTTGGACATCCTCACCAATCTGCAGGGCCTGGTCGGGTCGCACTGCAGCCCCCTCGCGGCCGTCGGCGTCTCGGGGACGAGCTGCTCGTCGCAGACGGTCTGCTGCAAAGACGTTAGCAAAGTACGTTTAATTTCTCGATAAAGATCCCCCCCCGGCGCTCGAGGCTGATGCTGAATCGCAGAGTGGGCTGGTCAACCTGGGCTGCTCGCCCATTAACCTCAACCTCTAAATGCGCCGAGCCTCGCAAGCGCTGACTCGGAGCCGCCTTCGCCTTGTGCTTGTGCTTGTGCTTGTGTACCGTTGCGTAGATTTTATTGGGTGTTGGTGGCAGGATTTGTCTGTGCTTCGTAATATTGCGCCCACGCTTTACTTGCTCAATGCTATAACATGTCTGTTTTATCTGGTTTGAGTTGTTTTGCCCTATTCAAGTCGTAAACGCGTGCCCTCGACCCTCTAGCCGACTGGTGTGAGGTGGCGGTGGGAGCATCATATCGTTTCGAAGCCACGCGGCGTATGTTTGCGGTCCACATTGCATCCTGCTGCCCACCCCCCGTGGACGATTATAAACAGCCGTCCGCAGTCCTGCCTGCCTGCCAATCACCAACCGTGCTTATTCGAATATCTACCCCGGCCCCCCCTCATCACCATCACTACCCCCACTATCACTACCCCCACTTTACGTTCAACGCCGTGTCCGAGGACTGCAAGCAATACGATGCCAAGGAACGGGAATACAGTCGTCTTGTGAGACTCAACGTCTGAACGGCGTCAATAACCCAATGACCTTTTCCGCAGAGTTTTGGGCGCGTCGGGGTCGGGCAAGAGCCTGGTGAGCAAGGCCACGTTCGTGATCGCGATCGTGCTGCTCAAACATGTCTGAATATGTCTGAATGCAAAATCAAAATCAAATCCACCCCTCAACCCCTAAAGCTCGTGCGGGCGGCAACAGGCGATACGACGGTCGCAGTCGGCGCAGAGGGCACGACGGAGCCGGTCACGCGGACCGTGAAAGCGAGTAAAATGACAACGCGACCGGGCGTAGTGTTCGTCGATACCCCGGCACCGGCGGACGGCCGCTTAGACGCGGGGCTGCTCAAGGAGATTTCGAGCGAGTTGGGGCGGCAGTTGAGGTACGTACTCGGAGATTCTCGAGGTGTCTTTTGATTAATTTGATTGTTTATATCATATCGTATCGTAACGCGGGCAGGGGCGATGGGCGGATAGGATGCGTCGTTTACTGCCTGGGGCAAACGCGGCCGCTGCGTCGTCAGGATGTAGAGAACGGGCTGAGCGATGTGTCGCGTCTGACAGCGAAACACCCGAAACTAGACGGTGCGGCGCTGGTGTTTGCGGCGCTGCAGCAGGACGAGGAGGAGGAGGAGGAGGAGGAGGAGGAGGAGGAGGAGGAGGAGGAGGAGGAGGAGGAGGAGGAGGAGGAGGAGGAGGAGGAGGAAACGATATCCGTGGGGAGTATCGTGAAGGAACGGGGCCTCAAGGTGCGCCTCGTCAGCGAGACACCGTGCACGCGGCTGGGCGCCTTGAAGAGTCTCGTATTGGAGAAGTGCGATGAGAGGTAAACGTTTAAATTCAAATTGTCATGTTGCTCCTCCTTATGATGATGGCGCTGACATCATGCCTAGCAGCGAGTTGGACACATCGCCGGCGTCGGTGAGCAGCCTTCTTTTGCAGTGCAAGCGTTCCCTGACTGTGTCATGGATGCCCCTAGAATTCGAACAGATGTTGGGGTCGGGTCCACTGGCCTTGGTCCACGAACCGAGGGACTAGTGGTATGTAAGATACGCCGCCTTTACGCGTTACGCCCCAATCGCATATGCATCGGGGTAATGGTATGTTGCTGCTGGCTGCAACGCAACGATGTATCTGCCTATTCTATATGGTCGGACTGATACTGTACAGCTGAGAGTGTGATACATCACCGGCACCAATTATTCTACGCACGCCCCCGAGCTGTCGGCGCAGGCCTCATGAGGTGTCTCAGATTGGCGATCAGTGGTCGAAAAGTGACATCACTGCATGCGATGGGCTAGGCGTGGTCGATATCTGCAGCGTCGAGCGTCACGGTGTGCAGCTGGGGGATCATATACATAAGCACCCTCAGTGACGAGGTATTCGTAATTCGTATCACAAACGCGGCCGCAGCGTTCCAAATGGATATTTGAATATTTGAATGCTTGAATGGTCGCGTTTTAATGGAGATGGAGCACCGAGACGTAGACCATGCCTGGGACACGAGCAGCAGATCAGCAACTACACTACGAACGCGGCTGAGGCGAACAGAAGGGCAGGGAGAGATCCGGTTGCAAATTACATTTACTCCCGTCATCCAGTCCCCTCGTAGAGGAAGCCGAGCACACAAAAGACAAAAGACAAAAGACCGGATCGATCATTTCGTCATCCCGCCACCCCGTCTTCCGGGCAGCGCTCTCACGCAAGCAACATAAACCAGAGCTGACCGCTGACCGCTAAGAGCTGAACTCGGTTACTCGGTTACTGCAGCTTTGCGATACGCGGCTGTCGGGAGTCTGGACGAAATGGGATGCGTGCTTGGCCATGAGACTGTCGGGGTAGAGTTGCTTGGTTTCGTCATAGTCATAGTCATAGTCATAGTCATAGAAGAGGAAGAGGAAGGGGAGGGGGGCATAGCAGAGAGCAGAGTGATGAGGACGAACCTATGAGCGGTAATAGAATTGATGGCGCGAGCACGAGGGCAAGACCTCCTGCAACTCCCCCTCCAAGCTTCAATATTCAATCCCCAATCCAGCCCAGCGGTCGGGGGCGTCGGCACCCCCGTCCACGCAGCCCCCTTGCGGTCCTAATATTTGTGGGAAAGCAGGCCCGGCATCGCACTGAAGTCGTGGTTTCGTTGGAAGTTGGAACCTGCAAGGCATGTGCATGAAAGGTGAAAGGTGAAAGTTGAGAGTTGATGTTGAAAGTTGAAAGTTGAAAGTTGAACGTGGAAAGTTGAAAGTTGTCGTTGAAATTTGAAAGTTGAATGTTGAATCGCGGGCATGGGAGACTGGGAGTCTGACTCTGAAGGAAAATCTGGATTCTGGACCACGTGGACATGGTACGGTACAAGCGCTTGCGCATGCGCATGAAATTTGAAACCTTGTCTCAGTCTGAAACTTCGTCGACCATTCAATATTCAACGGCTGAACCACCTGCAACTGCCCTTCATCTCGAACGACGAATCCGCGTCCAAGCACCGGCTCTTCCTCCACCCCCGAACCCCCGGAGCACTGGGGCTCGATGCCTGATATCTCGATGCTTGAAATCTTGATGCTTGATGCTCGATGCTCGATGCTCCGGTATCCCGCTCTCTACTACTTCACTACTTACTACTCCGGAGTCCGGAGCCCTGCAGCATATCGTCACAGGCATAGCTATCGACGCCCGAAACCATCGAGACCATCGAGACGGTTGATACCTCAACGTTGATATATGATACCCCAAGGCCTCAACGGGCACCGCCTTTGCTCCTAGCTCCTAGCACTCCCCCCAAACGCCAAACGCCAAACGCCGCCCACGGCGCCCTCTCAACGTTCAACCAGCAACCGGAACTACGTACGCATGCATAGCTCCTGGCCCTCTTGCCTGGCGTATAAAGGGACACCACTTCCTTAGTGATTGATTCCGCTAACCAGGCTGGTCCCGGTCAAACACACACACAACACAACACGACACGACGCGACGATCGCGCTCACGCTCACGCTTACGAGTATCTAGTATCTACCTGTCTCGGGCAGCTGCTGGATTTTACGACCTCACGACTTGAGCTTCTTCACGCTCACCTCTGACTTTGACTTTGACGCGCCGCAGTCACGCTCCTTCATCGCCCGCGATCTCCTCCAATATCTGACATCTGCGGAGCCCTCTACCCACGCACGACGTGAAACTCGAGGCTGCCGTGCGCTGTCTGCCTATACCTATATAACTACGACCCCGAAGTCTGCTTCCTCTTGCCCACCCACCGGTATCTAGCGTCCCTCCACCACTTCTTTGCACAAAACACCCGCATACCACGGGCAACTCACAACCTCACAACGCAGACACCAAGATGTCCACCGTATTCTTACCGTCCAACGGTTCTATGGTGCTCCCCCCCACCAACCGCTCGTACGGCTTCCCCGTCCCCGTGCAGCACGCGGCCTACCCAGCGACGCATACCATGATGCCGGGAATGATGCCGGGCATGGCTCCCATGCAGGGCATGCGGCCTGTGTATGGGTCCGCCGTGGGAGTGCCCGCTGTAGTGCCCCCGTATGCGTATGGCGGTTCCTACGCAGGCTCCTCGTATGTGGGGGCCCCGTCCACCGTTGTGATGCCCGCCACGCAGTACCACGCCGGGCTGCCCGTGCAGATGATGCCCGCGCCCGGGTACACGTACGGCGCATCCCCGTACTACGGCGCGCCGCCGCGCCAGCCCACGACGATCATCATCCCGAGTCCGAGTTCGTCGAGGAGGCACAGGAGATCGAGTTCATCGCATTCGTCGCGCTCGCACGGCCGGTCGAGGAGCAGGGATTATTATTAGGCGATTTAGAGGCGGAAAGCGGAAAGAGATTTGGAGGACGGGGTGCGGCCCAGATCGTCGATGACTTTTGACACCGTCACGCAGCGTTGACGATAACGCGGTGTATGTATGTTTGAAGAATAGTCTTTGTCTTTTTCATTGTTGATGTGAACGTAGTTTTCGCTACGGTTGCTGTGTTTGGCTAGCCCTGTTCCTGTACGACGAGACACGATATTTCACGAGTAATTCTTTTCTACAAAAGATCTGAAATGCTGTGTGGTCGTATACGGGGCATGAGCTGCTCAGCTATGGCGCCTCCCCTACTAGCCCAACGATCCCTACCAGCCCAGCGATCAACTTGCAACTTGCTAGGCAACATGCATATGCGAGACGTCGGTATCATGTCAGCTATAATCCGCACAAAGGGTGTGACGTGGACGACTTACATCTCTCTCTCTCTCTCTCTTACCGCTACTATCTCTTACCACCACCATCTCTCCCTCTCCCACCCCAACACCCCACCTCCACCACCTCGTTCACCGCCACCTCCACCACCATCTCGTTCATCGAGTTCCTGAGTAGCCTCGACCTGTCGGCGTACCGCCTGAGACTGTCCGCAGATACAACAGATACAACAGATACAACAGCGCCCGGCGAAGTTGCGATTATTCTGACTAGCGCCATGAAGAGGGAAGAGGTGCGATGGAGAGGGAAGAGGTGCGATCCAGCCATCATCCATGTTTGGCGCCCTATATGCGGTGCGCCCGATAATGATAAGTAACGGATGTCCTGAGTTATGATAGTGACCCGCAGCGTCGATATCACGAAAGCGTCGATATTCTGAATGCGTCGATGCGAAATGAGACCAGCACGAGAACTACTGTTGAATATCTAGACAAGGTGCGGTGCTTGGGGTTGAAGATGGAAGATGGAAGTTGGAAGAAAGAGGTACCATGCGTTCGTGTTTCTGTTCGTGTTCGTGTTCGTTAGTATTAATCGCCCTGTATGCGCCCAACACTGAATGGGATGAATGCCCAACGATCGCCCGGACGCCAAGGGACACGAAGGAGGGAAGGAGGGTATCGGCGTCGTTGCCGTCGTATATGTGCATGTGCATGTGCATGGAGGGACCATGAGAAGTAGCGGACAGTATGGGTTGGTGCGGAGAGCATGTGCATGCTGGGGAAACGGGGGAAACGGGGGGGAAGTGCCGCGGAAGTCCAAGTGAGTCGTCGTTACGGGCTGCAGAAGACAAGTGCAGACTTGCTTTGGGGCCGTAGTACCGTCCTTTGACATAACGCCTGAGCGCTGAGCTTGAGCCTCAGAACGCTGTGGCTTACGGCGGGAAGGTAGCAAAATGGTAATGGGAACCAGGAGAAGCGATGAAGGGACAAAAGTCATTCATGATAGCGGTGGTGCGTCGGTCCGTCTTCCACAGGCAAGAAGAGTAGCGGCATTCGCGGCCTGCTTCGTACGTAGACCTTTGACATTCGACTACTCCTCTAGGTTGCATATGGTCGTCCTTGGTGGGAGAGGTCCGAAGTGAGCTGAATACTTATGGTCGCCAACCTTCCAAATTGGCCATCACAAGCCCTGTCAGGTCGCCATCATCCCTAGCGCATTGAGTCGGCGACTGAAATATGCCTTGGCGTGCCTTCTGATTGGTGTCGGGGATTCAAAGTCGAAACCGTGAGTCGGTTGATATCATTGTTCCGAAATTCGCTGGGAGCGTTTTCCGATCTTGCTCCCTTTCCCCCACATCGACGCTCCCGCCTTTTCGCTTGGGATACGCACACGGTGTTGGGCGACACGAAAAGCGTATGCAAACTGCCGACAGTCAACGAGACCGCTGCTCACATTTTCGCTTTGATCAGATTCTTTAACACCACACGCTCTTTTCACGACAATCTCTAAAATTTACATATGGCAGACTTCGCCCATCTTCACTTTGGCCTTCCAGCGGCTCCTTTCAGGCATGGTTCGATAGCGAAGAGATGGGCAAAGAGGGCTCCGAGCGCAAGTGAGTATATCTCCAATATCTTGGCCGTGCATTACCTACCAAACCTTCAAAGGCTGCATGACCGGTGGTTTCATGACCTCGCCCACTCAAGGGCAATCCTTCTCTTTTCCTGGAACTGATCACCTCACCGTATCATGGGATTCTTCATGCCTCACCGCCGAGCTTCTTGATATCTATCTCTATGCCTTTTCCACCCACAATAACACTGATTCTACCCAAACCAACGCCGACTCTACTCGAATCCACCTGTATACATCCGTTCCCAATGCTTTGTCTTCCTACAGCGCCCCCGTCAAACCAAAGTGGTGGAACGCAACTGCCGTGCCCAACACATCTGTCTCGCTCCAGCTTCTCATCCTGCCCAAAGGCGATCCTATCTTCATGAACTCGCTTCCAGCAGGCCCCGTCTTCGCCGCGACATATGTACCGCCTGCCGATGGATCCGTGCCACCAGAGGCCGACTGGAAGATCCAAGATCTCGACGGTGGAGTATCCGACTTCGCTGTCGATAACAATCCCGATGGCACTGTTAAACCTGTTGTTGAGCCCAAGAAGGGGCTGTCAGCCGGCTCGAAAGCTGCTGCAGCCCTCGTCCCGCTCCTCTTCGTTATCTTCGCCGGCATCGGCTATTACGTGTGGAGGAAGAGAAAGGCGAGCAGAGACGAGAGGAAACGATTTAGCGAGATGGTTGATAAGCGGATGAGCGTGATCAGCCGGGATTGGACTAGCATGAGTGCTAAGGGAGGCATGGAGGGTATCCGTGCGTCTTTGTACGGCGAGAAGGGCATGAACGACGCGATGAGGAACAGCGTCTATGGGGGCGAGGAGATGAGGCACAGCGTCATCGCAGGAGGGCAAGCTGGTATCGGTGCCAACGCCAGGTTCAACGCAGAAGCTGTAGCCAACCCTGCCCTAGCTGAATACCAGTCGCACTTGCGCCCCGGCGTGCGGGCTTCTACGTACTCGAACGGCGATAGGAAATCGCGTGTTTCCTTCGCGGACGGAACCCGACCCTCTGTGGACAGAAAGTCACGGATCTCCTTTGCTGATACCACTCGCCCGTCCATGGATCGAACCTCCCGATATGGCACCGGCAGAGCGAGCCGTGCGTTCCACACTGCCTTCACGGTCGACGTTCCATCGCAGCAGCGAGGATTGGGCTCCGCATCGCCCGTCTCGCATTTGACTACTGCGTCCAACGCCGCATCGAACGGGCACTCGAAGAAGAGCCTGGATTTCCCGAATCCGTACAGCGGCGATGACTACAGCGAGGAGGGAAGCGCGTTGGGAGAGGGTTCTGGGAGCATGTCGCCTACCCAGACGCAGGGCCCGACGAGCTTGAGCGTGGAGGATATCAGGAGGAGGATCGGGGGTACGAGTACGAATGCGGGGTCTTCGGCGAGTAAGGAGGAGGACGACGCGATGGTTCCTGCGCTGAGACGTACGTTGTTTTTCGTTTTTGTTTTGGTGGTGTGAGATGTGTGATTGATTGACTTGACCGTCGGGTCGTGTAGTCATGCGCAAAGGCTCGAAGCAGGCCTCGCCCACGACTGGCGCGGCTGCGTCCGACGAAGGCAGCGATGAACTCCTGTTTTCGCCAAGCCAGTTCCAGTTCGATGCGAACGCGAACGCGAATGCCAATACGAATAACGTCGTTGTCGTTACTGTCCCGCCCCCCGCGCATGGCGGCGGCGCCTCCAGCGGGTTTGTGTCCCCGAGGTCGCCGGGCCCGGTGGGGATGATGCCCTCGATGAGCAGTATGGCTGCGGCCCCGGATTCGGTGATGTCCCCCGATGCGCTTCTGCGTGCTTATGCTGAACGCCGCGCCACGTCGTCGCACGCGTCTTCGTCTTCCACCCCCGTCAACGCCGTCAACGGCATGCGCACTGCCAATAATACGCCGGCGCCGGCGCCGCTGGTCATATCTCCTCCCATCTCTCCTCCCATCTCGGCCAGTGCGAGCACCAGCACCCCGTACAGCCTTTCGGCGCCGGTAACGACCGATTATAATTACAATTACAATTACGGCAATTACGGTTACGGCAATTACGCCGCGGCGAATGGTGTGAGGACGCTGTATTCTCCTGCTGGGAGTGCGGGCGGGGGCGGGGGCGGGAGTGGGGGCAGGGAGAGCGTGTATAGCGTCGGCGGGAACGAGGAAGATGCGTACGGTGGGCATGTATAGTGGGCATGTATAGGCGTAGGCGTAGGCTTAGGCGGAGGCGGAGGCTTGCGGTCCGCCTCGCCGCCTCGAAGGACCCAACTCTCTGCTTTCGCCTCTTGCGTCTTCGGTTCTTTACTTTTCACTTTTGGATGGGTTTTTTCTGCTTTTTGCTTTTCGATGGGTTTTTTCTGCTTTTCGACAGTTATTAATTGTGCAGAGTGCGGAGGTGGCTGAGGCACTGGTGTTTGAGCCTACTGCGTGGATACTGGGCACTGGGCTACTGGGCTTTGTTTGCTGGTTGCTGGTTGTCTAGCTGGTTGTGATGGCTATGCTTTCACTTCTCACTCGCGTTCTCTATTCTCTGTTCTCTATTGTTACCCTCACCCTCCTGTGTGTATTATGTCTGAATCTTCCGATCCCTCTGCGAATCCCTCTCCTTCTCCCCCTCCCTCTCCTTCTCCCTCGACCTCTCCCGTTCATTCTGCCGCGCCCGGGTACTGCTAGTACCAAGTACCAAGTACCAAGTGCTATACCCTATCTCCTACCTCCATGTCGTCTTCTCGTCTTCTCGTCTCACCGTCTCGTCGTCGAACCGGCGAACCGGCGATGCGTACCTACGTATCTACGTATTTATGTTGATTTATATTGTGATTTATTTTCCGTTATATATCCTCTCCTTCGATATCCTTCGATATCCTTCCTCCTTCGATATCCTCCGCCTCGTAGCCCTCGTCGCATTTCACCTGCTCCGACGTGCTGTTTCCTCTTTCTTTGATACTTTGACACTTTGCGATACGCGACACGCGATACGCGACACATTGAATGTGAATGTGAATATGAGGAGTCTGTTTGTGGTTTTTTTTGAGCGTTGGGTAGTTGGGTAGTTGGTATTGGTAATATGAGGAGAGGAGAGGGGAGGGGAGGGGAGGGGAGGGGAGGGGAGGAGTTGTGATCTTTGTATGTACTAGTGTGATATATACCCTTTGATGATAAATACTTAGCATTCAATATTCAGGAGTTGAATGTTTGAACGATTATCGATTATCGATTAGGTTGATGATGTTAAGGACTGGGCCCAGTGTAAGAAGTAAGAAGGGGTCGTGGTAGGTCTAGCTAGACTTCACGCGTTACGCCTCATTCTCCATTCTCCATGCTCCAAGTGTTCCGCATGAACGCGTCTCCATCTCGCTAATCCCTTCTCGAAAACCGTGTTGTTCACCCCTTCGGGGACCAGGCAGAACGTTACGCCTAAGACATAAGACATAAGACGTGGGTTTAGGTTTAGGTTTAGAGAGCAGCTTTGGAGCCGGATCCGGTGGGGACTCGGACTCGGACTCGGACTGGGTGAGAGAGAGAGACGTAGAGACGTGCCTAGGTTCTCCACCTCCCGATTGCGAGGCTCGTCGTCGTAGAAGAGCTGTGTAGGCCCACGAATACATGTTTGCGGTTTGCGCGGAACAACAGAGGGGGGGAGAGGGTGGGGGGAGAGGGGGGTGGGGGGCTGCACGTACACGTACCATCTCAGAGTAGGGCAAACCAGTCTTCGCATGCAGCTTGCGAAAGTGGGTAAGCTTCGAGCCTGTGGTGTCGTTTCAAGTTTGGGAGGCAATTGAATACGATGCATTTGACAAAAGCAAAAGTTTAGACGGCGGGTCCTTGAAATTTTGCGCCCAGATGTTCTGGTCGTACGTACATACCTGGGTAGATCTCCAACTGATCGAAGAACTTGATCGCAGGCTGCGCGGTGGGCGAATTGGCATCGTTCCCGTCTGCTGTGGTGGTGGTGGTGGTGGTGGTGGTGGTGGTGGTGGTGGTACCAGGCGCAGGCGGCGGGACGAGAAGAAGCGACAGTGCTTGCCGTGCGCTAAGTTCACATATTCAGAATCGTCAAAAACAAAAAACAGATATGATTCAATCATCGCCGAGCGAATGAGTAAGGGAGGTGAATACCGACGTACAGGGCAGGCGCATGTGTCCTAGAACATGCAGCAATCACAACTCCCTCCCCCTTCAGCCGATGCAGGATCCCCGGAACCTGCGTGTAGAAACATATCGTGTCGTTGTACCTGCCAATAAAATACCATTGTAGAAACTCGAGGCATATTGATGGACCGTTGCGGACATACCGATCCAACACCTCGTTCATGGTGTCTTGATTCCTATGCAGCGGGCCTAATCACATTCAAGAGCCCTTGTCAATCCCGAGGGCTGTTTTGTCTTTCTGTCGAACGATCACATATACTTCTGCGTACCTGAGATATGCGTATCAATCCATAGATCCCATAGAGTATAGCTGTTATTTGGCCATCTCTCAGCAAAATACTCTTAGGCATAGGGTACGACTCACTCTAAATCAAACGCAACAAGTTTTGGAAACCTAAGGGGAGTTGACATGTGCCTCAAAAGCCTCCTCCACGCTGACTACTGTTAGGCCGTACAAGCTTTGAAGTAAGAGAATAAGGGAAGCTGCGAGCCGCTGGAACCGGCTTCCCACGTGGGCAGACCGCGGAGTACTTAAGAGCTCAATGAGCATCCGATGTCCAGTAGATGCGTCAGAGGAATATAGAATACATGAATAGTGTCTTATTTGAATTCAGGCAGCGTCTAATCTTATCCGCCCGACGCTCACATACTCATTCTCAGGACCATGGCTTCCCATGACGCAGAGTTGGATCTCCTTGGCTGTCCAAGTACCTAGATTGACCTTGACGAGCTCATCACGCGCAAGTCTATGTAGGGTGTTCCTTGCGGGAGGCTCATTAGTATCCGTTTGCTGTTGGATGTCGCCAGCCGGGGAGACACCAGCGTGCGAGGACGTGTTGAGCTGGGTGTGGGACGATGGTGGTGCTGCTGAGGACACAACCGAGATGTCTTTGAGTGCATTTGAGCGGAGTATAGCATCGTATGCGAACGGCATTCGAGCCCTCGGTCTGCGGTAACTGGTGTTTACCAGTGTGCAGTGGAGCTGATCAATGTCAGTCTCGGCATTGACTGAAAAGCGGAATACTGTTTACCTTCAAGGGACGCGTGTCGACGATGAATCCTCTTTCTCTGAACACCTGATGGATAAGGTCTTGCAAGAAGTCGGTAATCAGCATCACATCGAAGGAGTGTCTAAGTACTCACCTGTTACACGTACAAGCCTTGCCACGTCTCCACTCATTGTCGGAGGAAATTCTTTCCCCTTCCCCTTCCCTCTTGTGATGGAAGCTACGTCTGGACCGACCCATAAGACATTGCCCCCGCCTTCTTTCTCTGGTTTCAGTATGCCCAGTGTATCCAATGAAATGCGAAGTGGGAGTAATTTCTGGGATGACGGTCCACCATCGGCATCGGCACTCTCGTTCAAGATCTGCAAGATATCTGCTTTGAGTGAGTTTAACAACTCTAATGCCGCAGAAACTGTAAGTTCTGATTGGTCATTCAAAGCCATCACGCCCAATGTAAAGTGCAGTCTGCGTGGATCGACGACGATGGTGCTGTCCAATCCAGCAATAGCAGGTACGCCATTGAGAAGGGCGTCAGTAAAGGATGAAATCTGTTTACGAAGAATTGGGTGGGTGCCCTAATACTATTTCAATATCATCGTGATCACAACGGGGTAAATGGTCGCACCAATGGGATGGCAAGAACTCGAATAGACGTGAGTAGATAATACATCGTAGAGAAAAGGCGCACAGACAATGCGTAGGTCGCGCCAGGGCAACTTTGTCACTGTTCCGGGTGCCTTCTCGACCCCTACCCCTTCTGTTGGTCCCCCTCCGAGTTTCAGGCTGCCCTTGCGCTATATTCCTTTCTCTTTCATACGCATCCCATCCTTCAAATCTCGGTAAATACTAACCTTGTTCGCCCGTTTGTGCTCGACTGCTTTCGTGGCCCGCACCTCTCGGGCCCCGACCACCCACGTGCAGGTTTCCTCGTCCGAGGCTAGGATGAGGGTTTGCAGTGGGTGTAGAGCTCATAAAGGAAAAAGATGATGAAACGAACGATGCTTGCAGAAGGGATTGTCGTATCGCTGTCATCGGGCACATATAGTGCCTTCAAGCTTCACGTGTCAGCACCTGACTGTAGGCTTATGACACTCGATCATGATCGGGGGCTCGACACTGGTCTTTTATGTTCGTTCACCACGCCGCTGGCCGCCTCAGAATGAAGAATGCTTACGGAGTGCAGCAAGGTGGTATCGAGGGTCCGTAGTGCCCCATCGCGCAGGGTAGCAACGTGATGGCCAAGTCGTGATAATGGAGCGGACCCTTCGACCAGATGTAGAAGTTCTTTCCAGGTTGTATCCTTGGCTATTGAAGGACGCCCGACACGGCGCCAATCGCCTGCTCGTGTGAATGAACAGGGCGATGTGAGCTTTCGTTCATCCCAACAGCTTTCTTCTGGCTTGCCTACTTTCTCCATCTCCTCGTCACCGGGTACAAAATTCTACGCCGGTTAAAGGTGAGTTTGTCGACCTCATCATACCCGAGCACTATGACCGGAAAATAGATGAAAGACTAATGGCGACAAGCTACAGCCACCAATATTTCCACTGTCGCGCCTCGCTTAACCATGCCCGTTCTACCAGAGAGCTCAAATTTAGGCCAGCCACAGCCAGGCTGTTGCCATCTTCCCGGGAGAAGAAACATATGTCTCAGTATGGACGGCTTTTTCAACCCCTCAAAGCACAAGGCTAGTTTCAGTGCTCTCTACAGCTGGATTTCCCTCTTACTTTACGTTCGTTGCAGAATTCGAACATCAACGAGCTTCACAATCACATCGTACAGGACAGCTCACAAGTATCCCAATGCTTCTCGAGCGGAGCTCCAAGGAATCCCTCTGTTTACCACAGCATTGAAATGACAATGGCCCGGTACAGTAGCTCCTGACTTCCCCCTTTCAAGATCTATCATCTCATATCGCACTTGGCCAGGAATTTCGAACGGACTCTCCTCGAGGCATATGCGTGGCTATGCACGACATATATACCGGGGGACAGAATATTCCTCTTCGGTAAGGACACGTTTTCTATGCCATTTACCAGCTCCAATCTCTTGCGACAGGCTTCTCGCGTGGCGCATATGGGGTCCGCATTATTGCAGATATGATTGAACGAGTGAGTAGTGCTTATTTTCTAGTATAATAAATCCTGAAAGTCGCTGCCACAGGTCGGCCTTCTGTATAACGAAAATATAAACTTAACCCAGTCGTAAGTATGCTTCCGTGGATGGATATTTATTTGATGTGCGTCTAGTGTCTTTAAGACGTATATGTGTACAAGAGGTACTCGATCGGCTGATGGCCTCAAGCACGCGATGGAACTCAAGTGCAAGATAGTAAAAAGTGATTTATCCCATGCGGAAGTCAAGGTGCACTTTGTTGGAGTATGGTGAGTGGAGCGCAGCTTCATAGTCCTTGAACTCATTTTTTCAATCCTTTCAGGGATACAACTTCATTTGGTGTTGTCGGATTTGGCTCAGGCGCTCCAGAGACCGTCAAGGGGATGAAGCATATATGCCACATTCGGCATGCACTAGCGCTTGACGAGAAACGAGTTTCGTACCGACAGGCATCTACTGCGGAGTCTGATCTTCCAGAGGGCACCGAAAAGAAATATTCTGGAGGTAATATCAAGGAGGTGTGGTTCGAGGGCTCTCATTCGGATTTGTATGTCATTTCAGGACACCCTATATTTTTGACATTGATGTCGGTATTCCAGAGGCGATGGGAGCAAATTAAATCTAGGTTCCCGCCGCTTCAGTCCAGCCCTACGGTGGATGTTGTATGAAGCACTGAAGCACGGCTTACGGCTACATCCTTTCTCGGGCGAATGTGCGTCGTTCAGGGCAACGCAATCGCCCCGAACAGGGATGTGGCAACCCCTTAGGACATTACCGCTTCCCCGGCCCTCAAATGCGAATGGGAAGTCTAGGCGGCAGTGAGTTTGTTCTTACTAACTCGCGATATAGGCTGATCGCATTCATTCAATCAAGACCACCTCACGGCGCAGCTCGCGTGATTCAGAGGTGGCAGCGTATACATGGATCTGTCCTGGAGGCCATAAAGACGGGTACGTATCGGCCGGTGGCACAGTTTGAAGACGGCACCACTTGGGATAATGTAGATCACATAGGAGCGATTACGGAAATTGACTTCCTCACTTCGGCATTAGCTACCTTCGCATCAATTTCTACGACACACTCACTCAATCAATCGCTCACTCCTCAACTCCCGGGTACTCACATTGGCCTCATTACCTCGACATCTGATCCGTTGGCACACTTACCGTCAGCAGATGACTGCATTCCACAACCACCCTCCTCGTCCTTGACACCGTCTAGTTCTCTCAGCTCCCTCATTGGCATCTATCTGTCATCCTCGACGTTTCCACCCTCTCGTCCCTTGACATCTTCTAGTTCTCTCGTGGGTGTCCATCTACCCTCATCGACGCCCCCGCGGTCACCCTCTCCATCTTTGTCTTCTTCCAGTTCAACTAGTTCTCTCGTTGGTCTCTATTTTCCCTCGTCGGCGTATCCGCAATCATACTCTCAGTCTTTCTCGCCTTCTACCTCTTTCAGCTCCCTCGTGGGCCTCTATATCAACCCCTCATCGATGTCATATCATGTTGCTCCCCTTTCGCTTCCCTGTTCTCCACCACTTCATATCGCCATCGAAGTCAACCAAATCTCCATTCTGTCCGGTACCAACTCCATGCCTCCGGGCGATGTTATAGCTACAGACACAGAGATTCGTACCATCAACATCAATTACAATGTGGTATTTACAGGTGACAGTTTCAACGGTCCCATATACGGAGGAAACATCGGCGGAAGGAACAATGTGAATCAAAGTGAGCATTCTTCGCGTTTATATTATGATAAGGCTAATATTTGGCCTACTAATTCAGTCATCATGTAATGCCATATTGTCCGAGGTGACGACAGCACTCTTGCATATTCCAAGTCAGCAGCATGCTGGAAAAGGGTTTGGCGAGGATATAGGTATACTTACTACGAGTAAGTGCCCAAAGGTAACTCCCGCGATTACCACTCATCATCAGTTACATGGAAGGTTAGTGAAAAGTATGCAACTATATTCCGCAGATTCTGATCTGAGATATCACAGTAGACGAAGCCCACCCAGACCTTTATGCAGAGCAAAGCAGTTTCAACTGTCGTGTACCCTTTCCGCACCCCGAAGGGGGGAGGGGGAACACTGTACTGGTGTTGGGGATGGATATTTCAACTACCTACTTTCTTTGGGATCTCGATGCCTGCTAATGAGCGCCTCACCGTAATTGCGTACAACTCGTGGTCAAGGCTGCTGTTGTTTTTGAATCTATGTGATATACCCATCAATGCCAGCTATAGCTTATCACAGACAACCAGGCATTGATTCACGATTCACGAGCGTAGCAAACAATGGATGATTCCGATAGTAGCGTCCCCCCTCAGAGAGGAGGTACAAAGAGTAGCGTATAAAAATGCATATTAGACTCGTACTGTAATTCACAGCCCCTTCCACACAATAGATATTGAATGAACACCCTCCACTCCGAAAATGTAGGATACACCGCGGTCTGTACCCAAATCATGACTTTTGCTGTTCCTGCTGTCCTGCCAGAGTCGGTTCGCCTGCGAGATTCTTATCATCCACCGCATTCTGTTTATCCCCAAGATGCCAATTTGGCATAGCAAGCGCTATGAAGATGGGGAACACGCTGAGAACAGTTGCAACGATGAGCATTGTCTCCATCACATCGCTGTACGCTGATTTCAGTATAACATAGACATTAGTAGGTCATGGAGCTGGCGGATTGACAGACGACATACCTGCTATAACGCCCTCGCGAACGGGGTGTCCCCGAGGGAACGAGGCAGCGTAGACTATGGAACCAAAGAGCTGTTGCCTATCCGCCTCCGGAAGGAAGGGTAGGTACTGCGAGATCTTCCCTGGCATTGTGTTTGTCCAAATAGCGCCGGCTAACACGGACGGGGATGGTTGGTGAGAAGGGTGGAGACGAAACGGACATCATAGGACATACCAATAGCACTTCCTACAGCACCTCCGATCTCGGTGATTAGCAGCACCACTGCAGTGACCATAGCTACATCGACATGGGGAACAGAGGCTTGGGCGCCGACTTGCAGAGAGACTGCGGCGAAGCCACCTCCGATACCCTGGAGGATTTGGGTCCATACAATTTCGGCGTCGGAGGCATTGGCGCCGCGAGAATGAATCATGAGGCCGACACCACTGGAGGAAAACAGAGGAAAACGGAGGGTGTGAGCAAGAAAGCCTAGCCTCTGAGTATGGGGATATATGAACTCACACAAGGCGGATGCAGAGCCCCACGACGAGGACGTACTACCAGAAGTGAAGAAATCAGTAAAAGATCCATCTAGATAGAATATCGGCTCACTTTATAACGGTGTATGAAGCGCATAGCAAACCCGGCGCAGATCCCGAAGAAAGTGAGTGCCACGGTCTGGGTTTGGGAGAAGTACGTCGCGTGGAGGAGAGGCCTACGCGCGCGGTAGCATTAAGGTAGAGTAACAAGGAAAGGATGCAGGGAGGACTGACCATGGCTTGACGACGATGACGAACGAAAAGAGGTAGGTGAACGTGAGGTAGAACGAGACCTGCAGCATGCGGCGTCAGTGTCCAGATGCCGTATCTGCGGCGAGGTCATACGCACAAAATCAAAGAACCCAATTAACGATGCCCCTACAACACTCCTATTCTTCAGGAGTCTTGCTGGCACAACGGGATACTTCGCAAGCTTCCAGTCGTACATGAAGAATACCGGAATGAGGACGCCTCCGATGACGATCATGGCGATCATCGAAGCTATGGGGATATAAGTGAGTTCAGACTTATTCTTGGATTTCCCTATCGAGTAAGGCATCTAATGTATGGACACAACGTACCATTCTTCCAATGCCCCTTCGCATTCTCCGACAGCGTAAGGGGGAGCAGGATCAGAGCCACTGAGGTGCCGAGGAGGGCAAGTCCAATAATATCGAGCTGAGCGGCCATACGCCTAACACGCATATACCATTTCATGTCTGCTGTTTGCGTGTTCTTTTCAATAAGGCCTTGTTTTCGAGCTTTCCACTCTGCCCATAGGAGGGTCACAATGAGGGGGGACAGAGCGGCCGGGACGAGGATCGCGAACATCCCGTCTGCATACGGAATCAATCAAGACCAGTCACACCATACAAGAGTATTAACACTCACAGCCCCATCTCCACCCAGAGTTCTGTAGGATGTTCGTCGAGATGTTTGACCCAACGAAGGCGTTGATGATGAAGGGCGTAGACATCAAAGCAGATACAAGGCCACGCCATTTGAGGGTTGTGATGTCGGCGATGATGACTTGGGTGAGGAGTTGTAGTCCCCTGTTCACCATACGCGTGCGTGCGTGAGTGGTGGCAATCAAACGCACGGAGGTAAGTGACTCACGTGTAACCGCTATTGATTGATGAGATGCAAAGGCCGAGATCAGTCAGTTACGTTACACATTGCTAGAATTGAATGGGGTTCCATTGATCGAAGTGGATGAGACTCACATGGCATATATAACAATTCCTGCAGCGATAGCACCGACGTTTTGCGCAGACGCTATGACAATGTACCCTGCGGGCGATGAGTTCCGCGATCCAAGTAGCAATAAAGGAGTACTCACCGATGACGTAGAACAGCACTTCGTTCGTCGCCCAACGAAGAGTAGGAATCAGTATATTTGTCCGAAAGGGGGACGAAGCGAGCAATGGGTAACTCACGGACGAAAACATATGCAGTCCCACGCGAGCTGACATCGGCTATCCTGGCGATTACAGGCTTTCCCACCGCGACTGTCAAGGATGAGCGTAAGCGAAGGCTGTTGCGTAGCAAGTGAAGGGCGATGTGGGGCGGGCGACGTAGAGAGGCGAAGAGGGGGGAAGGGAAATTCGGGGGCAAGATTAGAATACGCACCGATGACCGCTTGCGCTACCTGGATCGAGCTGATGAGACTATGGTGCCCGAATCCTGAGGTCGCAAAGCTTAGGTAGTTGTACGTGGTAGTGCCATCGAGAGAGTAGATGTACGCCGCGAGACCAAGACTATTTATGTCAGGTAAGTTTCGTTCGCTTGGGTGTAGACGGTGTTAGAGAAGGAGAGGCGTACCTGATGAAGAGAGCCCATTTCGAATAGCGTCCAAAGACCCTGTGGATAGCCTCCACCTTGCGCACCCCGCGATGAGCTTCGTCTTCATCTTCGTACGAGGGCGAGGTGCGCGGAATGTCGCGATCCAAGCTGTAGTTGCTGGACTTGTCCTTCTCTCCCTGGGGTGATGATGACATCGTCAGTCTCAGCGGCGCAAATTTCGCGACTTCTAAAGAAAGAAGGGGAGTGGGAGGAAGCGAAAACACACCTCGTGTGATCTGGCCCGCGTCTTTTTAAAGACTCGTATTCATGGTATTCATGGGGCGACCGAGGCAGGTGCGCCATATGGTTGCGCGTGTGTCCGGATCATCTGATAAGATTGCCAAGTGCATCTTATCAGATAGTATAACCGGAAAATTGATCTTATCAAGGGTCGCATTTGCCTCTACGCCCCGTTATTGGTGGATGTTGGAGGCGCAATGGAGTCTAGTCCGATACTGACCGAAGGAAAGGTTGGAAGCGGGTTCGGCCTGGTGAGATACGTATGCTGGTTGGTCGGGAGCTGCTGGGAGTGGCTTTCGTAACCCACCGAAGGCACGCCATGGAATCACCTGCGTGGACCGATGAAACCACTGTCGCGATCGTGTAGCGTGTGCAGCGCGGTAAGATGTACATCCGTTCAGACTAACATCGGCATCCGGGTCCAGGAACGACGTTGCGAGGATGGAAGGAATCTAAAGTTAGCTGCACATATGGTGGCTATCTGACTAACGAAGTTTTCTGGTCGCGTCATGCTCGTATCATTGCAAGTCGCAAAAAAGGCAGGAGGAGCTAAGTCTTCCGCTGCATTAGTCTGCCTCGGCTTTGCTGGCATAATACGTAGGCACTGAAATGTCCCGAAGTCATTTATCACAATGTCATTTTACAAGAGCACACCGGTTTGAATCAAGTACAGGTCATTATGCCAATAGTCATGCTACACCTCGATCTCTCTTACGCCATCCTTGTCCACGACTTTGACGGTGTATTTGCTCGGACTGACGATTAGACGCTTGGCGACTTCGTCTATGCAGCGCTTGAGCGTCGCTATCCCCTCTTCGAGTGAGGCGTCCGGGTTATGATACCTGGAGGCGGGATTGGTAAGTCGACCGCAAACACCGTCCCCGACTAGCACCACTCACCGATCCAACAAACTCAGTGCAAAATAGCTCCCATACCCATGTGCGCCGAATGGCACCTCCGACATCGTGCCCAAGTAGTCTATCCAATAGAGATGGGGCTCCTTCGCCGGGACGTCGTACCCTCCGAGTAGCAAGTTGACCGAGTACGGGTGGCGCGAGCGGAGAGACTCTGCGAGGGATCTGCGCACCCAGGACGCGGCTGCTGATGGACTCAGCGAGTAGTTGTGCCGAATGTTGTACAGGCGGATGTTGCGCTCGACATATTCTGCAAATTGAAGAGTGTCGCCTGCGATGATACGCATATCAACGGGCGTTCAAGGCGATGTACATCAGGTACGTACCTGGTTCGCCAGAGTGAGCCATGAGGAGATGGGGTCCGAGTGCTTTGACTTTATCTTCGTCGATCTTCATCTTGACGATGGACCGCGCGGCGGTGGTATCCGAGGCGATGATAACGTAGCCTTTGCCGGTGAGCGCAAACGATGTCTCCATTGCAGTCGATGTGGTGGACGATGTTGAGACGCGCGTCCGAGACGACGCGTCGGGGATGATGATTTGGAGCTCCGACATGTTAGCGCCAAACATACTAAGCGCTGATCTCAAAACTACAACTTCGTTGACGACGTTCGTGTTGCGAGCATTGAACGCGGGACTACCATGCGCCGGAACTCTGGGGACAAGTCTTTGAACTCCTCATCTTCAACATCCCCATTCCTGCCTCTTTTCCCACCCAATTCCACGACATTGTCAATCCGATAGCCTACCGATCCATTGTCATTTCCTTCATATCATTGCCTGCGTCTGTACGGAATCTCGAAGTAATATACTGACTTTCATACTGTAGATATAATCAAAACAGCCCTTTTTATGCCCGACCATTGTGGACCATTTGAACAAAAAAGCGCCACATTACACATCTTCGTCTTCTCGTCCGTGAAGTGTGCAGCAAGCCTTGAATTCATACTAAGTACCGTGCAGAAGGCTCTGGATGCATCCGTTAGATATCATGTATGTTTTGCTCCATTCCCTGTCAGCTTTGATATGTTTTGCGTAATTAATGGTCTCGAGCACACTCTAGAGCCTGAGACGAGTGCATTATCGCAGACCATTCTGGTGCATGGAACGCCTTGAACGTCTCGAAATGTACATCACACTCCCTCCCCGGTCCAAGATGACCTCCCATGCCTTCGTCACCTCAGTGCCTCTTCCATAAGAATAGCGAGGACCATCAGAGTTCCTGGATCAACAATACAGCTGACGCTCATAAGTTCTAACACGTCGCACCGTAGCGTACAAAGTGAGTATGACTTAGATCTGTTTCCTGAACATATCCTGTAAATACGAACTCTCCACATCTTCCCGATTACGATTTTCGAAGGTTTGTCGTAGGACGTCTTCGCCAACGGGCTCAAGATGTCGAAAGCTCGGTGATGCGGCCTTTACTTCGCTACCATCTTCGAACGCACGATCACCAAAATCCGCTTCCATTTTCCCGTCCCCATGCCCCATCGTATCCGCGTCTTGAGGTATCATTCGTCCGTTGTGCGTGTGCTTTAGGGTGCTTAATTCAATTTGCACGCGCATGGGATCATGGAGTTGTGAAGTTGTGCTTGTAGCATGGGATTTGATGAAATGGCTCTCAGGATGGAATAACGCTTTGATCGCACTAACGAGTGCCTATGTAGTACCAACAAGATCAATCAATAATGAGGCCGAAATAGACACAACGACTGACCGGGTCTGTGGCTGCAAGAATTGCATATGCAAGCGAACGTCCTCCGTATAAGAAGTCACCTAAGGGAATTGAGAGTGCGATGAAAAGGTTGGGGCGTAGGGAACATACTGAGTAGCAAGATCCTGTAGTCTGTTGTAGAATGTACACCGTTGGTGACTGTGGCGTGGATGACACACATTACGCTGGTGAGGTTAATTGCGCAGGATACCAAAGGATACATCGCTAAGAAGAAAACAGTCGGGCTGGACATTGCTAGAACTTTACCCGAAGAGATTTTGGCTTACCTATTCTTGCAAGGACGTTCTTGTATTTGTTGGCGATGATAGCGTTGTGGGGTTGAGAACGCAATCTCTGACTTCCGGTGCTCACAGTCGTAATCACGCCCTTCGTTCGTTTCTAGCGGAGGCGGCGTTCAATCGACCGTTAGGTTCATAACAGAAGGTTGTTGCGTACTCGATGTTTAACCATGTAGGCGAAGACGCTAACGGAGCAGACCACCTCCCCAAGGCAAGTCAACACGGTCCAAACGAGCTGTGTCCCAACCTATCTCTGCGTCAGAGTATTTCCCATGACATACATGTTCGAGCGGCTTACTTGCCAGGCCAAGCGTTCTTTCTGATTTGCGTTCGAATACCAGCAATCTCGGACAAGCGGATCCCAACTACGAAGAGGGTCAAGTCGTTGCTGGTGCTGACAAAGGGACGGCTATAGACTCGGGGCTCACCCGTATTGCCCAGTAGCGTACGCTGGGATGGTGAGGCAGAGACTAATGGCCAATGAGCCAAGGGCGTAGAATTTTTCCATGCGTTGCCCATTCACTCGGTGAACGACGACAAGCCTGCCAGCTTCTGTTATTATGAACGATCCGTCAAAAAGACAGTGACGACTGTACTGTAAGTTGAGCGCAATGCTGAACGTCAAAAAACACGCAAGCTCCAGGGTGAACTGTATTGTTATTCAGTGAGATATCGCCTTATCCAAAGAACTTCTGGTGACCTACTTGAAGAATCCAGATGGTAAATCCGCAAGTCCAGGTCGGCCCAGTGAAGGAGCCACCGACAGCATTTACGATGCCAAAAGCCAAGCTAATCAAACGGTCAGAAAGCTATTTCCCCCAATTCTTCGTAGGTTCTCAATGCCGCTTCTTACTTGGTAGCGAGCGCGTACACCACAATTCGAAAGCTGACTCGATCTAGATGGCGACGGGTATTGCGATTGAGGGAGACAAGTCCAATGACGAGGAGCACCACGAAGCAGGAGCATGCTCCAACAACGGATGTGACCATCCATAGTTGGTTTCTAGAAAAAAAGTCAACAACTGTCGGTTTAATGGAAATAATACTCACGAAACTTTGGCCATTTCGTCAGTGAATTCAAACTCGGTAGCCATGTTTGAACGGAGTAAAAATGTTGAGCGCTCCAGAACTGTAATGTGCAAGCCTTGTATTTATTAGCTCCAGGAAAAGCTCATAAATAACATACCTTTAGAAGCTATTACTCCGCATACTGAGCCACGTCGGAGTGCGTGTTACAATGAACTCGTGCCGAATGATAGACTCGTATAATTGGATTTGGATGGAGTAATGATTGATTCAAACCTTCGATATCACTCCCAATGTTTGCGACCATCTTAGCATCAGGTTCTACGGCATGGAGCTTTGTATTGTCTCTGGGAGAGCTTGGACCATGGAGATAGGTCCTGGGAGTCGCGACGGCGGTCCACATGTGCACATACCCCACGTGGGAAAGGCGCGTTGTACAAGGCAAATTGCGATATCCTTTTTTGATCCCACTCTACCACCGAGTTCCATGGCCTGATCCTTATTTATATCTTGAGCCATGATAGTGAGCGCCAGCCTCGTTCTGCATCAACTATGTCTGATCAACCACATAGCGACCTCAAGATAGATGGCCTCAGCGCCGTCTCCGTGGTGTCGCGAACAGACGAAACATTGGAGAACGGCGACCTGGGCGCGATCTTCTCGAAGCAGAGGGCACTAGAAAATGGGCACGAGATACGCTACCGTAGCTGCTCATGGCAGAAGGTACGGCTGTCTTTCTGTCTTCGACATCTAGTAATTAATGTCTTTAGACTGCTGCATTACTATTCAGCGAGTACATTTGCCTCGCGATCTTGTCATTTCCTTGGTACATTCGCGAATGAAGGCTACTCTGTTAAACAATATCTGACTGCTTTCAGGTCTTTCTCGATCTTGGGGATGGTTCCGGGTGTTATAGTCACGGTGGCAGTAGCAGCAGTGGTACGTCTCCCTGGTTCTACACAGACGGAACGGGCACTCATTTCGTCGGATTCCAGGTACAATACACGTCTCTCATCCTTTGGCGCTTCTGCTTGGCGCACCCCGAAGTTAGAGACGTGTGTGATATCGGTCAAATCCTATTTGGGGGATCCAAGTTCGGCTACTACTTCACAGCCGTCATGTTCATTCTCAATAACACCTTCATCCAAGGTAGTTTTCCCGATCTTCAATTATCTGCCCTTGCTAATTGTGATTATGCCTAGCCCTCCACTGTATCGTCGGAGCCTTACTGCTGAACACCCTGTCTGGTTCGGCTCTCTGTACGGTCGCATTTAGCGCGATCACGGCTATCACTTGTTGTCTTGTGTCCCTTCCACGGACGCTCAGCCAGCTTAGTATACTGGGAGTGTTCAGCGCAGTCACTATGGGCATCGCCGTATTGCTTGCCATCGTCTTTTCTGGGACTCAGTCAGAACCATTTGGTTTCACAGGGGAGGCCCCTATTGTCACTGCCTTCCCTGTTGCGGGAACGACATACGTCGCAGGTACGCCGCATCCTCGAGCTGACACGTCTTAAAGCAACTTCACGGCTCTTGCTAGGGATGTCGGCCTTCTTGAATATCGCGTACACGTTCATAGGCCAGATAACCCTCCCGTCCGTACGACCTGTCTCGCGCTCATCATTAAACGAAATACTCATGGAGTACCACTCCTTTGTAGTTCATCGCCGAAATGGAGGATCCAAGGGATTTTCCCAAGGGTGAGTGTATAACGTGTTGATACGCGAAAGCTCGTGGCTAACAACGCTCTGCAGCATTGTGGGCAGTAACAATCTGCGAGATCATCGTATTCACGCTCTGTGGCGCTCTCATGTATCATTTCGTCGGGAACCAGTACATGACCGCCCCTGCGTTCGGCTCACTTCAGCCAACACTGAAAAAAATCGCATTCTGCTTCGCGATCCCGACCATCGTATATCTCGGGTCCTTATACTCGGTACGTGTCTTTCTGCTCGCCCTCACCTCGATTCACCTTAGTCGTTGGTTGTTCAGAGCGTCTCGGCGCGCTTCGTGTTCTTCCGCCTTTTCAAAAACTCCGAACATCGACATTCGAACACAGCCGTTGGCTGGATTGCATGGACTTCGATCATCTCCGTGACATGGGTGTTCGCATTTATCATAGCTGAAATTATCCCGTTTTTCTCGGATATGCTGAGTCTTATGAGCTCGTTATTTGGTGCGTCTCTTCTAGCTACAGGTAGATGGTCCCACTGATTATGGCGAATAGATGGATGGTTTGGGTATGCACTACGTCAGGACACCACTGGGATCGTCTCTGATTGTGAACTAGGTTCATCTACTGGGGTTTAGCATACCTCACTCTTCACCCGCCCGGCGCTAGGTGGAAAGGTCTGTCACGCACGGTTGAGACGCTGTTCAACTACTGCCTCATTATCTTCGGGGTATACGTACTGAGTGCCGGAACATATGTGAGTTCGACTCTCTCTTTCTTGTTTATGATTTGTATCGATATTGATGATTGTGCGTAGGTCTCTGTCCAGTCGATTATAAATAGCTACAGAGCGAACGCCGTCGGCGGTGTATTTACGTGCGCCTCGAACGCATTATAGCCTTCCCCTGGTCTTCCGGGTCCCCTTTGTGTTGTATTCAATGGTGCAAACGAGCTCGCGACGATACAGCTTAATTCGGCGCTGGTCGATGTACTCTACGCGTTCTGATGGCGTATTTCTGTAAGAGTTCGTTTCGTTTCACGCTAAGTTCAATTGAAGGCGAAGGGCAATCGGTGGAGTTGAAACTGTCACCACAAGGCGGTCCTACTTCAGTCAAAGAAATCAAGCACCAGGCCACCAAGCGAACCGCTCGCCCCAGCACAGCACGTTTAACTCGCCGACCACAACTAAGCAAATTCAAGAGATCCTAGATCGAAGAAGGCGCCACTTGCCTTCGAAATGGTGCAATGTTGATTCTCCAGCGCTCGATCGTAGCCCTTATTTCGATCGTCGAGTACACTTTCCCTCCTAGATGGGCGATACCCCTGGGTGAGGCTGACAACGGATGCGGCTAGCGATCGACGGAAGCAAATACTTGGGCCACTCCCTCTCTCCTCCACAACCCACTTTTTCTTTCAGCGATGTCTCCCAAACCCTCGACTAAGCGAGCATTATCACAAATACCATCGCCGACAACTATGCATAATACCAAGAAACCGCGCCTAGTCGCCGTTTCCAGGGCGGGTAGGCAAGATATTCCAGGAGAGGGGCGTTGGAAGGACTGGCCCGCTCCCGCCGAAGATCTGAAGGCAGCCAGAACGTTTATGAAGCAATGGTGGGCTCACATGCATATTCTTGGTGTCAACATGCTGAAAAGATTCCAGCGCAGAACGTAGACTGCCGACTATCATCGTTCCGGACAAGGACGCAGACGGATGTTAGTAGTTAATGCACGGACAGTCCTTGCTGATGCTTACACGTTCCCCATAGTGTCGTCGGGACTAATCTTATATCGCACTCTCAACGGCCTTGGGCTCCCTCCTGAATCAATTCATGTGCACTTCATCGCAAAGGGAACCAACGTGTTCTCCGCATCTGAAAGGTGGGCTCTTACTACCCTATCATGCGTACGTTCTTAGCTGTGTCCACGCTGATAGGGCGCGACTGGAGTGCCTAGCAATCGCCATTAGTGGTGGCGGCGAATTGGATAGTACGTCAAACGAAGTGCGAGTTATATATGTCGACCAAGGAAGTCGTGGTGGTCCGCCGTTACTTCAGCCCCTTCTCGACGAAGGCCGCGCTATGGTCCGGACTATGGTTGTAGACCATCATCAGAGTGACGACTTCCCCGAAGGTTCACAGGTACGGTCTCGCGTCCACTGTTGATATGGTCATTGGATAGAATCGCATTATAGGTCCTGACGGCTTGCAAATCACCCCCAATCTGTACCTCATCCTTGCTAACCTATCTCATGTGCTATCCGTTGGAGAGCAGCATTCCCGAATCGTATGCCCTTCGCTCACTCCTTCTTAACTCACTGTATGATGGTTGATTGCTAGTTGCGCATGGTTAGCCCTGTTGGGAATCTTCGGCGACCTAGGTCCAAGTGAAATCAAGTTCGGCGATGTGGAGGGTCATTGGCCAGTGAGCGAGGAGATGCTGAGGCTAGGAGCCACTATCAAAGTCGTAAAGAAGAAGGCTTTGAGTGACTCCGTTTCGTTGTTGAATGCTCGTGAGTGGGGACTCTAGTATCCATTGCCGTATCCTCAGTACCATTCACAGCCCGGAGGACGCCGGAGTTCAATGGTGAGTAGGCATCGTTGAAGAGAGTTCTTATATGCTGATTACCGAGCCCCCAGTTCAATCCGCCTGGGATGTACGCTATTGTTGTACCACCCTCAAGCATCATCGATGCTGACGACACTGTTATAGGCTCTCCTCAGTGCTGACGGCCCGACAACGATAATAAACAATACTGAGCTCCGCAGATTGCGGTTTCGTATCAATGAAGAAGTTGAACGATGCAGTCGTGCTGCTCCTCAATTCTCCAAAGACGGATGTGTTGCTTTGCTAAGGATTGATAGCCGGTATCAAGGTGTGTACCCGTTTCCTGATCCGTCGCCCTCCTGAGTATGACCATGTTCACACGTACGTAGTTCATCCTGTTGTAGCGATACGTTGGGCCTCTAGATTGAAAGGGAAGGACCTGAAAATGATAATGGTACGTTCAATAGAACCCGTAATATGCCCTTTAATTCGTCGCTCGCAGGTCGTCAATCCATCACACCACCCCGACCCTAATCTTGTTTCGTTTTCCTGTAGGATTCCTGCAAGCCTTCGTAAAGTTGCAGAGACAGCGCAGCCAGATCTTCAGCAACTCCTTAAAGACTACGGTGCGAAAGTGGATGATGTGTTTATGGCCCGTGTAGGGGACGATTATGCGAGGGGACATAAGCAGGCGACGGGGGGAATCATACCGAGGGCTGAATTCGAGTTGTTGGTCTCAAAGGGCATGGAGGTCGCGGCAAGAGCGGTCAGGAGGGTTGATGAAGCCTCGGTGGATGGTCAGCGAAAGATCAAGGACTTCTTCAGTAAGGGATAGTATTCGAGCCTGTCCTTGTATCCGCCACTTGACATTTCATCTAATTCTCACAAAAGTGCTCCTAGACTAAGCGGAGACCTTCGACATGCCAAATTGGAGAGGGAAATCCTTGGATGACCCTCGCTTCCTCTAAATTGTCGAGGGACGTTGAGGACAAGAAATTCACGTCCATTCGCCCCACGCACAGTGCGATAAATCAGGCAATGTGTCAAAGCTCGCGGCAATTTTCTTGACAGAGTCGGTTGCGGTCAGACCGTGTTCCGCGAAACGTCGCCTACTGTCCAAGCCCTCGATTCAGCGACGGCAGGAGATAGCGTGTGTGCAACGTCATCGAAATACTCAAGAATTAACAACCCTGCCTAAAGCGACCAATATCATACATTCCTTGCCTGCCTGGACCGACGCCACTCAGCAAGCGAATAGGGAACGCGTCTCGTCAGGAACAAAGCACAGTGTTCATTTGACGCCTACGTCCATGAAAGGGTAGAACATCCGTTGTATTAGATGCTTTAGTGGTCTTCGTCGGCCCTTGCCTCCGATTGGTGGGTTGCGAATGGATCCCTGCGGCTATCTCCAGTCGATGCCTGTCGGTGATGTGGTATAGCTCTGCGAGTGGGGTCGGGACGTTAGGTCCATCATTCAGCGCTCAGCTTCTGCTCTTCGCGTCTCGGAACGTTCAGACTCGACTATGGAACACAACGCGAAGCTCTTGGTATCACACATTGGCTCCTGTAGGTTTCTTGCAATCTGGAACTCCCTGACCGTCCATTTACTTCTTCTATTTTCTAACTGTCACTGATGTGATTCGCTCGTGTCAAATATACAGGGAGTCATCTAGGCGTCTGGCCCTGCTCATTGCGGTCGATAGTTCGTAACGGCCTGTCGTTCGATTCGTCTTCCGCATAGACCAAGATACTTCGCGTCAGCGAGTATCCCCCGTTGGATGCCTGGCGCCACTCTTGGTGGATTGCATACAAGTGTATATTGCTTTTGTGCTCTCAGCGCCCGCTCACCCTTCTCAAGCTCTAGCCGAGGATTGGCTGCGGTACTTCCACGGTCGCTCTACACTCTACGACCTTTCATCTAGCCCAATTGGGCCCATACAAGAGTCAATCGTATAAGAGACATACACTCTCGTCCACTATTCTTCACTCGAACACATCACAGCAGTTCAAGTATCACCAACATTCAACATGATGTTCTCAAAGCCTGCCGTCCTCGCTACCACTGCTCTTGCTACCTTTGCGGCTGCCACACCGCTCGTGGCCCGCACCGAGCCCACTTGCTCTTCCACTGAGATCAAGTGCTGCGAGAACGTTGGGACTGCGGCCGTTGTCAGCAGCGTCCTCACGCCCATCCTCGCCTCGAACGGCCTTGGGACTTTGCTTTCCCTCCTCGGTCTCAACGCCGTTGTCGCCCTCGTCTTTGGCGGTGTCGATGTCGTCCTCGGTCTCACCTGCAGTGGCATCGATGTCGGTGGTAGCTGGTAAGCTCTAGAAACGTTCATCCCAGAACAATAGACTCATTGTTTCCTGTCTAGCAATGCTCAAACCGTGTGCTGCGAGAACGTCCAATTCAGTGAGCCCACACCGCGTTCAGTCCTGTCCTTGTTCTCTCCAATGCTGACATCCATTCCAGACGGGTTGATCAACGTCGGTTGTGTTGCCATTGACATCTTGTAAAATATTGCGGTCGCAGATCGCGGTCGCTTGTACTGCGTTCATGTATGTAATTTCGAAGTTCCAGCGCCTTTGTCTTCGCGTGTATCGTCCTGGAAGTATGTTTACAAATCCCTCACAACTATATCAGCGAGTTCGAATTGATAAGCAGAGAGAATAGATGCAGAGTTTCTTATTGAACCGGGATCCTGGTCTGTTCATCCTCTATCTAGCCTTGATGCGGGAACTCTCGGCAGACGTTTGGGCCATTCGGATTTTAGTTGTACATGGTCTCACGATTATCGACGTCACCTGAGGCCTTGAGCTTGAGCTTGAGTCAGGACGCGCCACTAGATCTCCGAATTCTGCCACACATATAATCCCCAAGGCCTCAAATTTGGCCAATCATCAGATCAGCAATGTCGTCCGAAACACTGAAAGGAAAACTTGCGCTCATCACAGGCTGCACGTAAGCCCCGACTGTCCGATCCGTCTGAGCCTACCATCTGACCATTTGACTGTTCCTTCTTCCCCGTTGTGCACGCTAGCGGGGGAATCGGCCGCGCGACCTCACTTGCCCTCGCTCGGCTTGGGTGCTCCATCGCGATCCACTATCACTCTGCCGAGGCCAAGGCCGCCGCCTTAGCAGATGAGCTGAAGGCCGCCGGCGCGCAGGTCGACGCCAAAGCGTTTCAAGCGGATCTCAGCAAGATCGACGACGTCAGAAGGCTCCACGCCGACGTCGTGGCGCAGATGGGCCGCCCTGACATATTGTTCAACAACGCCGGGATTACCGGGCCTAGGATCGGGCCCAGGGGAAATATAGAGGATGTGAGCATCGAGGAGTTCGAGCGTACGTGGACGACGAACACGGGGCAGGCATTCCTTGTGCGTTGCTGATTTAGTCCCTCAGATGCTCTGTGCTAACGGCGAAAGGACAGCTCACTCAACTATGCGTGCCACACATGGCGCAGCAGGGATTTGGACGGGTTATATTTTGTTCTAGGTATGTACGGGGTTTGATTTGGTAGCATTCGCAGAGGACCAACCTCCTCACTCCACTGATATGTATAGTGTCGCAGCAGGTATGTGTTCATCTGCCATGGTGGATATATCGCAACTCACTCATGGATGCTCGCCATGATAAAGCCACAGGAGGCGTAATTGGGCCGCAGTACGCTTCCTCCAAGTCGGCTCTGCATGGATTGATGCATTGGGTCGCTTCCCGATACGCGAAGGACGGAATCGTACGTCCAGGCTGCACACTATCCGATTATTTTAGGTCACTGATTGCGACCAATTCATTATGCAGACATGCAACGCAGTCGCTCCTGCTCTGATAATCGGTGCGCTATCCAGAGATACCTTGTGGATAGCCCACAACGGATATCTGCTAACATATCTCCATCTAGGAACCGAGATGATGGCGAATCCTCCTGACGAACATCGGGTGCGCGGGCTTACCTGTCTATGAAGTTGACCCACATTGACATGACATGGCTAATCCTTGATCAGAAATTGATCCCCGTCAATCGTTTCGGCGTGCCAGAGGAGGTCGCCTCGTGTGTGGAGATGCTGGTCACGAATGCGTACATGACGAACAAGGTGGGCAATCTCTCGCACGTCTTCACTGCCGCGCACCCTTTCACCTCCATCAAATATTAGATCATCGTCATGGATGGCGGGATGACGGCGTCGACTTTCTGAGGCAGGCACAATGGCCAGGCTGTCGAATGGTAAGTCTAGAGCTGTGGCATCGAAGTGGTAGATTGACCGCATAGTCTGTAGAATGCGAGCTACGACTCCGTCTCGTCCAAAGCGAACGTCGGCCGAAATGTAAACCAAGTCCTTGACGCTGCTTCGTTGTACATTTGATCTCGTATATCAGCATTAGTTGTCGGAGCCACATCGAGTTGAAACCGCCAGGCGCGATGCGAACCCGACTTACTGCTTAGTACTTAGTTGTGGATCGGGTGATCGTCTCGGCCGATCGACCTAGGAAATCACGCCGTGCCGATGCAAATGCAATGCCCCTGATCTTGACTGCCTGATCTGGACTACTGACTACCAATCTTTGCAATCGTACGATGAAGGCGGTTCCGATTCGCATTCGTACAGTTTACAGAACTTTACACAAGAGTGAAAGGATTTACGCAACTCCGTTCAAGATATCAACGGCTTGCTTGCCCTGGCCGATATTGACATAATCCAAGAGAACGAAGTTCGGTGCCCTTCCAGCAGCGAATTGCGCGCAGCCATTGGCGTGATTCACAATGCTATAAAACTAGATCAGTGTGTTTTGTAATAGATGGCTGGTAGAGACGTACGACGTGACACCGTTGGTTACTGGCGCGTCTACTGGGTCGCTGACGAGCACCCCATCTCCGATTGGAAGGATGTTGACGTTGAGGGAGTGGTTGATCATGTACATGTGGTCCTGGGTGGAGAGGGGCCCCTGGATGCGGTCGACGCGGCAAGGGAAAGAAGCGTCTGTCTGAGAGAAAGGCGTTTCCCAAATCTGTGTGGATAACCAAGCTGTGAGGAATGGCGAAGAGGGGGAGATGATGATGAGGGAGCGTACCATAGGGAATTCTGGCAGGATAAAGTTGCCGCTTCCTTGCCCGTCGGCACCAGCGTCGAGGAACACGACAACGCGTTTGCCAGAGTCGATTAGCTGGCCGAGCGTGGGCCAATCCGACGCCTTCATCGGGATGGAAGGGGGGACAAACGCAAGAGGTGTAATACCTAGTATGCCATGGATGTGCGTATGCGCATATACACAGATTAAGTAGGTTGGAGTGCGTTTTATGAGAATCCCAGAAAAAATCGGTTCAGGGAAGAGGCGTACCGGCGTTATCAAAGGCGGGCTTCCATATGTTTGGGATGGAGACGCCCTCGGGGTTGGTGAATATGAGGGTGAGGACTTCGTTCGGGTTTGCGTCGAGGAAGGTTTTGACTTTTTTGAGGTAGTTTTCGACGGTTCCGCCATCAAAGAGGATCTAGGGGTATCAGGGGAGGATTTCAGGGAGCCATGACGGCGGTTCAGTACCAGTACTCACGCAACCTGTGTGAAATATTGAGTTTGGCCTAGTGACGCGACGCGACAATGGCTTGGATACGTACTGGTATGGCAGAAGTGCAGAGCCCCATTGCGCCTTGAAAGGTAGATTCATTGATGGTTCCAAACTATGTCAAGAATGTCAAGGCGCGACTGACATATGAGCCTGAGCTTGCAGGAGCCGAACTCCCAGCCCTAGTTGGGTGGGTATGTCGACCTCTTGGTCGCGAGCAACTGTCGCGAGTTTCAGCGGGGTGATTCGGCGGGGTGGCAATGAAGGACTCACGAACGATGGGATCAGTGGTAAATGCAAATGAATCATGCGAGCCGAAAAAGGTGACATTGCCGAAGCTCCTATCGCACAACTCAGCGTGTCCATTGCATACTGTCGCTCTTGAAGAGTCCCGGAACACGATGAGTAGGTGTCAAAGGAGAAGGTACAAGGACGCACCGTTTTGCCGACGGGCTAGCTAATGCTAGAGTCAATGAAGCTACGATGAAGAGCCAGGGAAGCATTATAGTCAGAGTGAGGCTGACTGCTGGGTCTCTCCGAAGGCGAGTGGGTGGGATCAGGCGGCTGGCTTCATACAGGTGACGATTCTCTCATTTATCTACCCCTCCGCCAGAAGCGTGATCCATGCGATCGAAGAAGGCTGCTTCGTGATGTAGGCAGTGGTGCACGTTGGTCGGTTTCCCTCGCGATGATGGTCACCATGTGTTGTGAATCTGAAGCGATGGAATTATATATTGATACGTTCGTTGTATCGCTGCCGCCTTCCGTCGGCGAGCAGCGTGGCGTCGTGCCTTGTTTGATTAGGCGAAGACGGCGAGGTAGATTGAGGCGTTGCCAGTGTAAGCTGCACATGCAGTCTGATCATCTGACGGAACCATTTCCTCACGTGGTGTGAACGCTCCGCGAATCGGGCAATCGAGCCTAATCGAGAGCGACCAAGTACAAGAATCATCGTAAAGCGTTTTTGAGTGGTGACGTTCGCCACGGTGAAATTCCTCCTGTGCTTCGCAGCTCAAGCGCTCAGGCCTGAGGCCTTGAGGCCACGCCATCAAGGTGTTGGATTTCAGCAATCTTGGTGGTACAGGGGTATAGGGGTACACGTGACTACTGTAGTATCGTTTCGCGCATGTATTCTTTTATTTATTGATGCGTTTGCAGGAGTCCCAGCCAAACGCAATATGTTCTTGTTCACTCGTGTGAACTCATCGGCTTATTTCAACACAAGTGGCTTACAAGAAGTACAACTGGGCTGCTCTGGGCTAGAAACGGCCATGTGCATAGTCGTGGTTCTCTGCCGTTATGTCGTACCCACGTCAGTCTGACTCTGCAGACCCACGTCTTCGGCGCCAAGCGCACCTTTGGCTCACACAGTCGTATTCTTGTTGTGTTCGCGATTGGATCCCATTGGGCGCGTTCCTCGACCATCGATCATCCCCCACGGAAAATCCTTTCACTGATATACTTGCAGCTCAAACTCACCTTGTTATGATGGTTGATCATGCATCTGTCTTGCAGCCAAGAAAATAACATGCCATAACGCGTCTTCTAAATGATGCATCTCACGGCTGTACTATGTCGTCGCCGGACATTTAATGCTGGGGCCGTCGTCCGACCTGCAGCCCTGGCCACTCTACCCCACTATTGCCCTGCGTGCGGAGCTATGGACACACAACTCACCGCAAGCGAACTGCAGATCCAAAAGTACGCCACCAGCGCTCGCTGTGGCCCCTTTGCACGGACTGACCTCGGTGTATAGCAATGTCAAGAGCTATCTCTCCCTTGCTGCAGTTAGTAAGCCCTGCGAGCTTAGTCGAGAGGCTCTGGCTGACTCGATCTCATGTATATAGCGATCCTCTACTACGATTACTGGTTGACTCTGCCGTTGGAGATTGAGCGCTACTGGGCCCTGGAAGGATTCACAACCGCTCGGTTTCTCTTCTACCTAAACAGATATACTTCGCTTTTCGCCCACGTCCCGGTCATCGTAGCCTACTTTTGGACCGACGACCCCTTCAATAAAGTCGATGTAAGTTTGCTGCGGTCCCCTCTTCTCATACCATCAACTAACCTAAGCAATCAGATGTACGTGCTACCATTGCAGCATCGCACTCATAGCGGGCATATGGCTCATGCGCTGATGTCTTAGCTGCCACCACTTCCACTCTTTCCATTCGTACTATATCGTAGCTGCGCAACTCATCATCGGCCGTACGTGATCGTTTCTGCGCTCGCGGCTCAAGCTAAAGACGATTTATAGTGATTTTGACTATCCGAACACACGCTTTATACGCCCATAACAGGAGGTTCCTCTATATTATGTGCCCCATCATCGCAGGTCTGGTGGCACTCGGTAGCGTACGTCTCCGTCTCTCAGGGCTCGGAGGCACCTGAGGCGCTAATTCACCGTATTTCATCCAGTGGGCTATCGCCTCATCCGATGACGGGCACTCTAATCCGGATGCGCTGCAGGTGCAAGCGTGGCCCCGCATCGGGTGCATAGAAAGCTTGACGCATACTGGGTACGTCCGCTGTTGCATTTAGCATTATTTTATCCCAATGAATGAATAACGCTCAATCAACATCCACTGAATCCCCACAGCGGCATCCGTACGTACTCCCCCGACTAGTAATCATAGCGAATCGACGCCTGATATCCTTGCCGAATGATATTAGATCTAGCGATCGCTTGGGCGTGCTTGCTCGTGTTCGACATCTCCATCTACGTCCTCACCCTGCGCAAGGCCTTCGGGTCGCACCGCGTCCCCGGGACGTCGCTCGTCCAAATCATCCTGCGCGATGGTACGTACCTCTATTTCCATCCCTATTTCTTTGCGCGGCCATGCGCATAGCTTAAATGAAAACATCCCGGATCGTGATAGCCTCCGTATACATCGCGTATGTCATTCTGCCATGAATATCATGAGTGTGCTCTGGTTGACCCGTGGTTTATGAATACTAGAGTCATCTTGGTGATAAACATGTCAATCGTGTTGACGCTCGCAGTGCGTGCCTCCCCGGACGTTCTTATACTTATACGCTTTCTGACCCCCCATGTGTGACAGCTAGCACCGGTCCGTTCTCCTCCTCAGCTTCACCCAGGTAACTGCTGATATACGATATACGATACTACGTACGCTATGATATAGGCTGCGCTCAAGGGCGTCAGCACGACGTTTAGCAGCTGGTACGTCCATATTTATATTTACCTCTTACCTCTTCCTCGTTGTTGGGTTGTTGGGGCCGCCGCCCTAGACCTTACACCTTACACCTGATCGACCCGATAAATCAACTCGATTTCGATTTGATATTTGGTTCTGATTTCGATTTTGATTTTGGTTTCGATTTTGGTTAGCGTCGCATCCGTCATCGTATCGCGGCTGCTGTTCAACCTGCGCGACCCCGCGCTGCTGGGCATGGCATCCACAACCGTCATGAAGAGCGAGATCCAATTCGCGGGTCCCGCCGGAGGTAGGAGGCCCAACACCAACGCGTGCGTGCGCACTGGGCTCAGTGATGATACCACCGCGTCGAGTGTGTAGGGAGAGATAATTAATAAGTAACGAAGAAGAGTATTGTACCAATCACGGAGTAATTGTAATCTCAAACCATTGTACCTATACTGTTGGATTGGAATCCAGTTTGGGGAATTCATCCACCGTCTCCTATCGTCTCCTATAGCGCTTATCATATTGAATTCAAAATCTGATAAGGAAGCGATCAAAATTGCAAAATGCTTCCGGGCGCCAGCAGAATCGCCGAAAGCGCTGATGACGCTTTCGCGTTGCCAAGGGCGCAGCTTCGACCATCTTCATAACCGACCGCCCACCTACAAGCCGGCTTTCGACTTGCCTTGCCTTTTTTCTGGCTTCTCTTCGCGCGGAGTTGACCTTCCCGCTTCTCACCGCTGTGGGCGACTGCACAGTTGATTCCTTGACGACGAACAGCTGGAGGAGGTGGTGGTGCAAGGATGAATATCGGGGCCAGGTATCTGCTGCTGGTCGTGGGCGCTGTGGTGCGTTCCCTCGACGTTCAATTGCTGGACGCAGAGTAACCGGGAAGCCATCTAGGTTTGTATACATTATATTATCAGTTTCACACATGAAGAGTACGGCCGAATGACATCCATAAACAACATCGCTTCCCATTTCAAATCCAACGCCCCAGCCGTGCCAGACACCATCGATACGGGGGACGTTCGCGTACCCGTTCAGAACGACCTGCCCTCTCCGCCGAAGCCCACTCCAAACCCCCCGCGGCCACCCGAACCCGCAGCACCCGCAGCCCCACCGCGCGCGAACGCGACGCTGCTCATCCTCGCAAAATACGCCGATGTGGACACCCTCGTGCCGACTATCCGTGATATAGAGGATAGATTCAACAAGCACCACAACTACCCCTACGTGATCCTCAATCCCGAAGCAGAGTTTGGTGATGACTTTAAGAAGTGAGTGCTAGAACCGCTGGTGTCAGCGTGTTCTGACAGGGTGCCCGGTGTAGGCGTATCTCGGTGTTGACGAAAGCAAAAATAGAGTATGGCGTCGTCCCGAAGGAGCTTTGGGACCAACCAGAGTGGATAGACAAGGAGAAGGCGGATAAGACGAGGGAGCAAATGGACAAGGATGGCATCGTTTTTGGAGGTACGCACGCGTCTGACTTGCTGGTGGTATTGGTTGAATTCACGGCGCTTGCTGTCTCCGAAAATAGGGAGTCTTTATCATCGTAACCTGTGGCGCTTCAGAGCAGGGGTATGTCCTCCGCTGCGTCGGATATTCGCGCTGGCTCATTCACTTGGCCTGTAGTTTTTCTTCAAGCACCCCCTCCTTCAACAATATCGATGGTACTGGTGGATTGAGTTTGTTCGCAGTTTTTTCCTATTCAACCAGTCAACTGACGGCCGACTAGCCCCGGCACCCGTTATCACTGCAACATGGGCGACCCCTTCCTTTTCATGGAGCAAAACAACAAGACGTTTGGCTTCACGATGACCTTGTACGAATTCGGGTCTACAATCCCAACGTTATGGGGCCATGTTAGAGGTACGAATCAGCAATTCCTACTCTTTGGCGTGGTCTTCTCACTCTTCATGCCAGATTACATGGGGAAACATCCGGAGTACGTTGCAAAGGACAATGCGATGGATTATCTGAGTGATAATGGCGGGGAGACCTACAATCGATGCCACTGTGCGTTCCTTTCTTCAGCCGTTGACCGCGTGTGCCTCACGACCTAACTATAGTCTGGAGCAACTTCCAAATCGCTGATATGGACATGTGGCGGGGCGAGGCATATCAGTCCTTCTTCGATTACCTAGACAAAAAGGGCGGTTTCTACTATGAGGTACGATTAGCCCCGTTCTCTGCCGATACCACTCTCCTCACCGTACCACGCAGCGCTGGGCCGACGCACCAATCCACAGCATCGGAGCCGCGCTCTTCTCGCAAAAAGACCAGATCCATTTCTTCGACAATATAGGGTACGAAAACAACCCATATATACATTGCACGCAGAACGCGACGCTTTGGGAGACGTCCAAGTGCGGGTGCGATCCAAAGCGGAATTTTGGTGAGGCCCACTCCCCGTTTTTCGTGCGTGGCTTGAACTTACGAACACTGCTCCAATTATAGACTATGACGGCTACTCGTGTATGAAACAGTGGGAGAGGATCCATAAATAGACTACAGCTCGTATCATGGTGTATCGCCGTTGAATACTGAATGACCAAGGCTGCTTAGCGTCAATATGTCAAATTAACTATGGCCGTTGGGTTGCTTCTGTCGGGCACGTCGATAATAGTCTGTAGACATGACAGGCCGCTGGCGGTTTGCGAGGAATGCGGTTTGTGTGATATTCTTCCTTGTCGTTCGGTCAGCGCCCGTCTAGACCTACCAGTCATGCTACCTCGTCGGTTCGTTCGTCGTTTCGCGCTTATGTAACATAATGTGGGTGTGGCAACCGTCGATACGAGCACTCACGTTGAGACCACCATCTTCCGAACTATTGCGTCCCCTGCGGGCCACCCAAAGCTAACCCATCATCCGTCTCGATCATGGACGGAGGAATCTTGTGAGTACAGCAGAGTCAAGTTGAAATTCCAAGACCAGAGTGCTGAAGCTTTGATGCGGGTGAAGCCCACACTACGACTGTTACGTCAAAGGTACCCGTTTGATTGGTGTTCAGTTGAGCTGCATGGTGGATTAACCAGCACTTGATGATTTCTAGCCGTTCGCGTCAACTTTGATTCCAGTTGGAGCTTGGGCTCGACCGCCTCTTTCAATAAACATGACTTTTGGGGCTGGTCAGAGTTGTTTAGGATGGAAGGATGCCCTAAGGTACTACAATGGAGGCCACACCAACCTGTGTAAGTGTCAAACTGTGTGGTTTTTATCTATGAGTTGCTATCGTCGAATGGCGCAGGTTGTTGCCGATGGCGAGTACCATCATCATAGCGTACACTAAAGGCAGATGCCATCGCACCGACATAGTAACAGATCTGGTTGATGTTCACCAGTTGGCTGAACAAGCGGGGTATCGACAAGGGGAGGCTCACTTCGAGATTCAACATTCATTCTCATTTGGGAGAAGCACGACCTGGGTTGTCATGCGCAAGGTAAGCATGGGAGTACTATCGTCCTATGTCGGCGGACACTTGATTTATTTAGCTTCAATTCTACATCGTTGTGCCCTGGAACCTGAGTGTCAGCCTCGAATTTGCTGATAGCGAAGACTGTTTTCGGTTTATTCATCGTGATACGGTACGTAAGGAATATAGGACTCTGCCTCTCGTCGGCTCTGATACTTTCATCCTAGAGTATATTGCCTAACCGAAGCATCGGCTCTAGAACCGGCTCCACTAAGAGGGCCAGCAGGGGTATTTCTAGTACGAAGACGGATGAATCACTGAAGGAGGGCGGGCGAACCGTCATTGAAGACATTTTGCATGCTATTATCCCTGTCGCTTCTAAGCATTACTCTGGTACGCTTAGGCTATCAATATGCAATTGCCTTCTAACCAACATATCATATAGCACAGTTGGATGCCGTACAGCGTGGTCTTTCTTGCTCCCGTTTCCTGGAGGAGTTTTCAGGACCTGAAGCACAATTAATACGTCGTCGAGCTTCTAACCCCTTCGTGAATCATGCTCGTCCATGCTATCTCACGTTGCACCTTGAAGTATACACCCTCCACCATAGCGATGCCTTGGCATTCATCAACCGCGTTAATTGGGACGTATCGACAATCGCTCCCACAATTTCATCTAGTCCTTTCCGATCTGTCAGTAATCTCCGCCTCAACTTCCCCGCAAGCACTTCTCAAGCTCAAGATCGCAGCGATGATTCAGATTCCTCCCAACCCACTCGCAACGACCTCACGATCAACATCTCAGCGAACGAAATTTCGCTTTTGACTGGCACGAACTCTGTATCTGCCGGGAATTCCTGCACTATCACTAGCGATCATCGCATTGTAAACATTAATTATATTATGGGCGATGTTTACTGGGGCCCTATCAACGGCGGTAATGTTGGAGGCAGAAATAATGTAAACTTCAGTGCGTATCAATTATTCACTGCTGGTCTATACGATTTACGTTGATGTTTAGTCCATACATGAGCACTTGTTGGATCGTCTGCACTGCTAGCTTATCGCTAGACTTCGTTCGTTCTCGTAATTTAATCCATTGCATACTCATCGTTGTGATACTGTTTTCTCTAACGTGCCCATCACTTGCAATACTCAATAGGAGACGACCGTAGCAAGGAACGATTGTGGAGTAGCCGCGACAGAAATCAATCCCACTCTACCGTCCAACCGTCTGAGCCATTAGTAGAACCGATAATCTCCTGGTACTGGGTGACTGGGGTTTGCCTTGATTTTCCACAAATCCCATATTCACCCCACGCATAGAAAAGTGACCGCTATCTTTCAAGATCTCACTCTAGAGAAGACCATCAGATGTCCGCATCCGGCAACTTACATTCAGTATGCTGGCAGCAGGACTTACAAGGAGGCCATGCGTGACGCTGACACCCGCGAAGACATATTTGAAGCGGAGCACGAAATGTATATTTCGTTAAAAGCCAAAAAAGGATCGTCGAAATGCCTACGACTCCCCTCTCCCCTCCTGGGTACGCGTCGAAATGACCAAGGAAGTTGAGTATCCCACAGTCGATCAGCCGTCGTGAAAACATCTTATTGGTGAGCCTTCAAGCTTTGCAAGACCATGATTAAGGCGACGACTCTACCTGCAAACGGAGGTCAATCATAGCTCACGCCCCCGATTGAACTAGTCCCCTCCGATTCTCAGCATATCTACCGTTACCGTCGTAGCCTCTTCAGCGAAGGAAAGGAAGGAAAGGCGCGAACCAAATGCATACATCCTCTTCATCAACGCCCAAAAGGCTCCTTGTCACATGGCGCAGCGCGCTACAGTAATTGAAGCAGGCTAGGTGATATCCAGAACTTGATGTGGCTGCACGCAACATGGATTTTATTGAATAAACTTCGCGGGAAACAGCGTAGACTCTATTTTGGCCGCGGGTGTGGACGCTGACACGATAGTCGACTTTCTACAACAAGGATAGACTGGGGAGGAGCGATGTGGGTGAAGGTAAGCAACCACTACGCTCCTCATCTATAAGCCTCAACTAAGCCTTTGCATCGCCAATGGCACTCGTGTGGTCTGCACCATGTCGCGTCATCCATGCTCGTGGCATTTTGGCTCGCTGGTCAGAATCGTTGGCTCTGTGACCATGGGTGCTACTGGGTTGCTACTGGGTCTACATGGAGAAGAATCAAGCCGTACACACTATTTGCGGACCCACGTCATCATGCAAGAGCCCAACTTCGGCGCTCCTCGATCAGATATCGTCTCGCGTACTGCCTCCCACTCTCCCTCCTCTAATCCAAGTTGAGTAGGCGTACAGAATCCATCATCGTCTCGAGTTGTTGACATGGGCTGCGACGCTGAGTGCTCGTACGGCAAGCGTAGGGTATGTAGGCTAGGGTGCGATGGGCTAGGGAACTTGAATCCGCCAAGCATCGACCCACGAAGCTCCAGATGCCTCAACGACGCTTGTCGCATAACGAACTCCCATGGCACCGACACATCATCACAAACCAACGTCTTTAACGAGATCGAGGCAGTCGAAGCCCTGTGGATCGCAGCGAAATCTACGCCGCGGTTCTGTGAAAGTGAAGACGCCTGTATATTGAGGTACGTGAGATTCGTGAGCTTGGGAAGGATCTCGTTTAGATCGAGGTAGAAGGGCGTGTATCTTCCGAAGCTGGTCTGTATGCTGACGGTGAAATGTGTGGTTATTTTCTGGAGGTGGGGCTTTGATTTGATCGCGATGCGGAAGCCGGGGAGCGCGCCGCGACTTCCATGCAAGGGGCTTCGCACGATGAACGAGACGGAAGTGTAGAGCGCCCGTTCGGCGTAGTGCGAGAGGGAGTGGGAGAGGACGAGGCAGTTGAGGAGAGTGGGCTTGTCGTCGATGTTATCGATGATGAGAATCACCAGCTCGATAGGGAGCTCGATCGTGCTAGTTCGCAGTGCCATGGGCGTACGAAGTGGAGGTCAGTAGGTGGCATGGCCACTCTTTTACTCTTTATAATTTACTCGACGTAAGCTCCATGCAGACTTAAGCTAAGCCGATTCTTTGCCTATCGCTGCATCAGATCGATTCCGCGAATATGCATTCATAACGACTCGCTCCTCGAGGCTCGAGGCTTGGAGTTATGAAATCTCCGACTATCCGACGAGGTAGTACGTCACGGACTCTGCTTCGCTTCAGGCGTCCTCCGGGTAGATCGGTGCATCTTCGAAGGGCGCAACGTGTATATCCTGAAGCTGAAGGTCTAATACCTCGTACATGGCGAATTCATGACCCTGCGCCATTCCACTGCTTGGAGTCCCATTATACCTCGTCTTGCAGGAATCGAGTTGAACAAACACCTCAAAGGTTACTCAAACGACGGCTCTTCCAACGGATGGAGAACTTTATATATGAACGAAGGAATCGCGAACGGGTTTGGTATCGAGAAATGGGGTGCGTAGTGAACGTCCCGAGGCCAGAATTCAGAACTTTAACTCGGGTAAGTAGCGATATATCTGTACGCAGAGGGATGCGAAGGCTTGGGTGCGTGTAGATCACTCCTGTTGCTCGTTGATCATTCCTCTACTACGACGCAGCAGGCCTCACTTCAGCGAGCCCTAGATCGAGGAAAGCACCTGTGCTAGCGAGTTACTCACCAGGAAGTCCAGCGTAGGCGTGGCGAGCCGCGAGCGCTGGGTCTGCCGCCGTGACTGGGACAATATGACTTGGGAACACGAGTGGCCGCGAGCCGTGTCCGTGAGAGTCCGTGAATTGCTACCATATGCGCATTCAACACAAGGCGGTAGGAGGAGTTCAGAACCCGAGGCGACGATTGCCTTGGGCCACACGACGAGTGTGTGGCAGGGCGGATATGTGAACGAAGAGTAATCTCGTAACCATTTGTTAGCGATAGCGATATGGGCTTGTAGGTGACCATTGGCTTGAGCCACATAGTGGGTGCGTAGAAGGGCGGGCACCTTATAAAGGGTGATCTCGTAGGCATTCTGCGATAGATTCGTGTCGATTTTCGATAGCAATGGTAGGTTATCTGCCTCGACCTCTGCAGAATCGTGAGCTCATAGTCGTGCATGTATTCTTAAAAGCCGAGCGCACCTGGCAGTGCGCGGACGGAAGCCCAAGGAATGCAAGAAGTCGAGCACGAGTAGGGTGTACGTCGAGGGAGCTAAGCGGCGAAGACATCAATCGTAATCAAAGGGCGACCCCGCGATCAAGTCCGGGATGGAAGTGGGATACCACGGCACATACAGCCTCCGCACTGTCTCCTTGCCTCATGCATGTCAGCAACCTGAATAGATCAAACCTTACCTAGGTGCGCTATGGAGGATCGAGGCTGCGCACCACAAAAGCAAGAATCTTGATGGCAATGAACGTCAAAGGTCTCGAGTCCTCCGCCGACCAAGCAGCCGTACACTTGGACGCTCCGCCTCAACGCCGCGCAATTGGGACTTCGAGACATGAGAGTTGAGGGAACAATGATGGTTTCGCATTGGGTGTATTCAATTAAAACGACATCACGCGAGTTTTCTGAGTGCATAACTATAGTGTCAGAACGGATGGAACAAGGGGTGAGATTCTTCTTCTTCGAAGAGGGTGTTTCGAGGCGGGTATGACGGGAAGGGGGGGCTAGGCGGCTGTAAGTACATCACTCTCAGCGGTAAATCAGTGTAGTCGGATATGAATACGGCGGGTTAACCGGGAGCAGGACCCATCATCTCATCATTAATCAGAAATCGGAGAACACAGAACTTCATACTCGAAGATTGCCCTAATCTGACTTGACACGGATTGAGTTCCCTGAATAATTTGCAGACTCGCAAATCGACGGAATTTACGGAATGATGTAATCAGTGCTCCAATCAGAAAGACTCATTGCTCGGTGGCCGTTGCTAATTGTGTTTGCGTCAAAGTTAGAGCTACGAGGAGTAATAGAAAACCCGGACATACGAGGTGATGGAGACGAACCCCCCTTCTTCCAGATAAATCCATGCGGGCACACAATGAGTGCCCTCGTTCGATATACATAGGTTATCACACACCTATGGTTGACCCATGGTCCAATTTGTTACAACGAGCTAAGTGCGGCTGCATCGCTGCTAATTTTTACATTTCAAGTTTCACATCAACCATCAGCTTCTATATCTCTCCTGGAAGTTTCGTATCGTATGGTCTCCCAGCGTAGCGCCCTAGGGGTCATATCTCCGAACCACAAGTCTCGAAACATCAGCCTATATACTTTGCACAATCACCCCACAAGCGTCCTTTTAAATTGATATTAGGGCTTGCCATGATCATCAGACTCATACGGACTAGAAGTAGGGCCACAAAGTTGAGTCGATCCGTAGATATCGCGACGCCGAACGGGAGGCCTCCTCGAGGTGCCACGTGAAACGTCCGGACTTACTGGCGCCAAATGGATAATGGCATCGCGGTTGGTCACGATCGTCGGACGGGGACGTACTTACTTTCAAGAAAGCATTGAGCGATAATCGCACTTCCGTAGGGTAAAAGATTTGGCTTGGGACTGACTCTAGAACATCCAGAATGGTAGGGCTCTAGACATGTGGATGTTCGTCGATGCCGAATCTAGGAAATACAATTAAATTAACATGGCATTCACAATCTCTTAGACAACTACAGCACGGTGGGTATACATTGTACGACGTTTATTGACTTTTTTAAGCGCGAGAAAGCTTGGAATTCGAACTTTCTTTTCCATCGGTATCGTCTTCAACTTGCGTCGTAATGTCTACCTTGATGCGTCGCATGGGCATACTTCCAATAGTTTGCACTGGCTCTGACCTCGAGTATTCCGATGTGACGGCGCTGTTGTTGATCGCACGAAGCTTTATCCTAATGGTGATGGCGTTGAAGGTAATACCCTGCAGGTGTTTGAGAATCGCGTCATCGAGGCTATCAATTATAAATCAGACTTACCACCGTGGGCGTGACAAGCTCCAGTAATATGTATTGGGCATTGACGCTGCGCGAGTAAAGCGCAAGTAGTAAAATCTCGACAATAAGCTGGAGAGCCGCCGATTCGATCAGGATGCGAACAATCGGGAGTAGTGCGTTTTCCGTCTTATATTTCGCAGACTTGGTTGATGTTCGCCAGATGCGGAACGCCATGAGACCCGTCGTGATCACGTTCTGGACGACGGCGATAGAATAGAATGCTTGAATCCACGAGTTCAGCCGGTTGGTAAACACGGACTGGGTTGGATCGACTTGAACAAACAGCGCGCAGACCGTATACCCGGATACTGATTTGGGTGTAAGCGCTAGACCCGGATCGGCTGCTGCCGCCTACATACCTAAACTGCCGACCATAAGCATGAGCGGGAGCACGATGACCCGCCAGTCGCTATTCCACAAGATGAAGCATCTGTATATCTAAAGAAAGGAGAGTCGTCAGCATATCTGCGCAAAAAAAAACGATGAGTCTTACTCCGGCTGCATTACCCAAGATTTCTTGGGTCGCGTAGAGAGTGTCTTTCAGAACATGATCCCACCTCCTCAGATTACCAATATACCCAACGGCACCGCCTCGATCGCCGACGTGTACAGCAAATCCTTGGAGGAGACGATAGCCATTCATTGCTAGGTGCCATGTTGATATGAAGAACATAACGCAGGAGATGCCGACCATGACCTTCAACCGGAGCTCGCTCAGCGAGACCGCGATGGACATAAAGGGGCCATGCTTACCCGGCTATGGACGTCGCTTCGATGTCCACTACCGAAGGTGAACAGCATTGTGCCACAAAATAGGCAAAGGAAGAATCCTATAGGTTATTACGATGAGTTTACGTGCCAGCATATTGGTCGGTCCTTCTGACCATAAGCAAGAGACTGAAGAAACCATAAGTCAGTGCGACACTAGAATAGAGAGAGAGATAGGTACCTCTAACCACGCCGCAAGTAGGAATGTCTTGTCTAGCGGTAGCTGGGCCATGGCCAACAGAGATAATAAGAAGGGAAGGGGGATTTTCGGACGCCTATAGTTCACCACATGTGCTGTATAAGTAGATCGGGGATATCAATCCAGAACCAGAACTACTTGTACCGGTGGGAAGGTCCTGCTTTTGCTATGGCCTCAATTATCAGAATTCGCATATATGGTAAAACTAAATCTGGCCCCGCGGCGAGACTCACCAGGACGTTTGGAAGTATCAAGAAGTGATGAGGCTATATCGGATAGATCTTTGGAGCCACCAACTGGTCGCTTAGAGTATTGATGCTGATGAAAAACCACTGCCAAGTTTGATGCGCGAGCGATTCGTCCATCGTGCACGGCGTTTGTCAGAACGGTTGTGTTTGTTCCACACTGTCACCGCCAAAAGTTGGTGGAGCGCGAGAAAGGAGTAAATCTTCAAGTTCCCACAGTCCTCCAACCGTGAGAGAAGCGTTGGGGGACACCCATGCGCACTGTCACGGCTACCACTGCTTGCCTGTAGCTACGATACCGTGTGGCCCAGGGAACTCGAAGCTTGCAAGTGAATTGGCGCTAAATCAATTTAGAGCGCAGCGCTTCTACCCGTCCACTTTGTCCAAACTTTACCATTTTCCCCGGCGTATTTCAATCATCACTATTTATCATGATCTGGTGAACATAACGTTTGTTCCAAAATTACCCGGAGCAATCTGATTTACCTTTCCAAGATTAACATGGAGGCATCTCGAGTTTTCTATGGCCATCAACGCTCAATCAAACGGTGTCTAAGGTGGCTCTTCGACATAGCTTTTGTAAGTCGGATTAATGACTAAAACTGGTCTCTATTGCAAGGCTAGATCAATCCAAAATATGCGAACAGTGTAAGACCAGCGTATGCTGCTCTGAGTGGCACAATCGCCTATTTCTGAGTAACCGTTAATTTACTCCCACCTCGCGACTGATGAACATACGACAGCCTGCCATGGTGGTTTCTCGAGGTACTGATATCGATCATCGCGCCCTCGCGGGGCGCGTATCATCAAGATGGTTTCACCACCGCCATTACGGGTACAGCATTTCATCCACGGCGTAAACCCAGACCTCCGATGGATGCTTTGCGTCCACTTCGAGGAGTATCGAGATCCCTTCAACGAGTATTTCATAGTAAATGGGAAGCGAGGTCTGACCTCACTCCCTCATCGTCGTTTTAGGCATTGTAAGTCTCGTTTTTTTTGCTCAGAGAATGAAGCATTGACGATCAACGCAGATGCTGGCTATAATCCTTGTCTTCGTGACATCTATTGTCATTGTTATACGTTCATTCATCCTCCGAAAAAACTTGACCGACAGCAAGGGCAACCCTCTCCCTCCGGGCCCACCCCTGCGCTACGCTTTTCTGCGCCGATACCCCGAGAAGCCGCTGTACAAATGGGCCAAGAAATATGGGCCAATATACTCAGTATGGATGGGCGAACAACTATTCGTCGTCATCAACGACGCAGCTGTTGCTCGTGACCTACTCGTTGTCCACGGTTCCAATTTTTCTAGCCGTTGGTCCTACTTCATGAAGAACCAGACCATTCTAGGCGGGGGAGCAATCACCGCTTCGCCGTACAACGATACATGGTACATCTACTGACTGCCAAGACATTGTTGAGGGCTGATGATTACCTTAGGAGAAAGCATAGAAAAATCGCAATGTGGCTCCTAAACTCGAAGGCTGTGGATACATACGCAGGCACCATCGATTATGAGGCCCACATGCTTGTTCGATCTCTCTATGAAGCATCTTTGGATGGCGGATCAGCCGTCGACCCCGCCTACTTCGCCGGTCGCTTCGCGCTAAAGTACGTTACAACGTTGAACAAGGCTCGCATACTCACTCACCGCATGTACAGCAACATGCTCACTCTTGCTTTCGGTATACGAACTGTGTCGGCCTCTGAGCCCTTGGTCGCTGAGGCTATTCGTCTAGGCATGGAGTTCATGCAGCTCACCGGTACAGCACATGCACACCAAATAAACGGACATACTGACATTTGTCGGACGCTCTAGGCCCTTGGACTAATATGATCGACTTCATCAAGATTCTACAATGGCTTCCCACCCCTTCGCGAGCAAGTGCTCGTAAACTTCACAGTGACTTCCTCGATGTATACGGTGCGATGATAAACCAAGTCAAAGACCGAATAGATGCAGGCGAAGAGGTACCAGACTGCCTGGTCAAGACACTCTTACAATGCCAACACGAAGAAGAGCTTAGCTGGAAGGATATGTGTTTCATCGTCATCGCGTTCACGACTGGCGGGGTTCACTCTGTTAGTATTTTTGCCTACTTCCAGCTGACCTACTCAAAAAAGTTGCAGACATCGGGAATTATAGAATGGTTCTTGGCGTTAATGCCATCCCACCCTCACATTCAAGCTAAAGCGTGCGAGGAACTCGATCGGGTTGTCGGTCGGCACGCTTGGCCTACGGCAAGTGACGAAATGAAGCTTCCCTATTGCAGGGCGATAATCAAGGAGGTGAGTATTCGACTCATTTCGGCCCCCGCGATCCAGTTTAATGAACCCTCATGGTACCTATTCAGGTTCTTCGCGTTCACGCTCCCTTCTGGATGGGAACGCCTCACTGTTCCGACGAAGATTTCGTGTACAATGGGTACTATATCCCCAAGAATACCACCATGGTTCTGAACGTTTACGCCCTTCACCATAATGAAGATCGCTACCCGGAATCGTACGTTCCTACGTCGAGTTGTCAAACCCTTTCTGACGGGCGGCGTTATAGCTCTACTTTCAACCCAGATCGTTATCTGGGTGATGAGCTCAGTTCCTCCGAGTCGGCGAAGCAATCAAATGTACTCCTTCGAGATCATTGGGCTTTCGGTGCGGGGTACGTTGTCTCACGTCAACTGTAATAGCCAGTGTCGCTCAATGAATGGTTTCTCAGACGTCGCCTCTGCCCGGGCATGATTATGGCCGAACGTGAACTATGGATGGCTTTGTCTCGGCTTTTGTGGGCCTTCCGTTTCGAAGAGGTCCCGGGAGAACCCATCAGCCTTGATGAGTACGAGGGACTTTCTGGACGTACCCCTTTGCCGTTCAGAGTGAGATTGCAACCCAGGCATGGGAATGTTCGTGACATTCTTTTGGAGAGGGACGAAGTGTCCATCACCGTGTTTTAGCCCTCGGTTTTCTCGGCGCTTCCGTTTCGGCCTTTATACGTTATGCTAGACAAGCGTAGATATATTTATGTCCCTCAGGTACTCTCGTGCTCAACCAGGGTTACACAACGTGCGCTGATCTATAATTTTACGCTGAGACTGATGAAAGTATGGTAAATGTATTCAGATTACTTTCTCCGGTACTTTTCGGCTCAATATTGGAAAAGTATTGATCATAAATTTCCTTATTTGGCAATTTCCGCTCAATACTTTCCTAATACCAAGCCAGAAAGTACTAGAGAAAATAAACAGTTTACTTTCACCTTATTTTTACCGATTCTAGCTTAAATATATGGATCAGTGCACGGTGTGTTATTTATTTCCATTGCAAAAAAACCATCCTCGGAAGCATATCATTGAAGGGCTTCTTAGGTTGGTATGAATTCTTTAGTCTACTCCACCAACTCGATGGATCGGTGTTGCGTATCACTGCCTTATCCCCAAAGTCCTTCGCAAAAGATATGTCCATTGTCGCCGCTCGTGATCGTAACTTTGCCAGGCTTCGCGGACGCCGTGGTTAGCGACTGATGGCAACAACTAGCCAAGGTGAGCACGAGAAGCGGTTGGGTTTCTACATCAATCTCGCGGACGGAAATGATATATCCCACGAGAAGGCTACGATGTGCATTTTCATGTGCTCTGGTCGCAACGTTCTGATACGCTTACATGCATGATTCCGAGTTAGATTGCAAGTATTGTCCGTGCGCACCGGTGTTCCAAGTAAAGAATCAAATCATGATGCATTTGCCCCTCAAACCCACATCACCCACATCATTCTAGCCAGAAACGACTACTTGAGCTTAAGGGTAGATTGCTCAAATAGCCCCGCCGTCGAGTGTGTCAGCCCATTAACACACTCCTCCATTCGCCACCAAGAAAACTGAAATATGACCACCCCAAACCCTCGTGTAATCTTTGCCAAAATCCCTGAAGCTGCGCAGGGACTAGCAGGTCTACCGCTTCCTGGGGAGCATCTCGTTTACGACAACTCACCTGTTATCGATCTCGAAAATGTACCACTCAATGGAGGATTCCTGACGAAGATGCTGGTCTTGAGGTCGGTTTTCGTGGTGCCCATACGATCCCAGAGACCGTCTAACAGTCGACATCGCGCTTTAGCCCAGAACCTGCTCTTCGCGAACGGATGAGAGATCCTAAGCTTCAAAGCTACACCACACCTTTCATTCTTGGCGCTCCGTACGAGACAGTTCTATTATACACGATGCCGTGGCTCATAGAGTTATAGTGTCATCGGGTTCGGTATCGTCGTCGTTCTACGTTCTGAGAAGGAGGGTATCAAAGTTGGCGATTACATGTATGGACAAACGCCATGGGAGGTGTATACCGTACAGCCGTACATCGAGGGTACGGAGACACTCGTACAAAATCGTCAATTCCGTGGCTTACAGCTTTTGGATACACAGGTCGTATTGACTACAAGGAATCTGATTGGCCACCCGCGACCTTCGACATGGACTCTCTTGCACTCCAAGTTGTTCCGAATCCTGGGGGGGCATTCCCGCTGACGAGGTACGCGAGTTTGCTGGGAACGCCCGGATTGTCTGCCTTTGTCGGGTTTGAAGGCTTGGCTGAAGCCGCACCAGTGAGTAGCTATCTAGAAGGGAAGGCGATAGACCGTGCTCACATACTTCAAGGGGAAAACGATCTTCGTCTCTGCTGGAGCGTCTGGTGTTGGCAGGTGCGTAGCTTTCATCCGTAGTTGCACCCGAGACTAAATACCTCCTTAGCATGGTCGTCCAGCTTTCTAAATTGAGAGGGTGAGCCATCGTGTGATGCACGAGCAGGGACACCAACTTACCAATTCACCATTTCCCAGGATGAAAGTCATTGCTTCTGCCGGCACCGATGAGAAGGTGGAATACCTGAAGTCCCTGGGAGTAGATGTGGCGTTCAACTACAAGAAGGAAGGCTACAGCTCCTTCCTTGCGAAGAACAAGCCTTTCCAAGTCTACTGGGTACGTTATACGACGGTTTAAGTAGCTGTCGTGAGGTTGCTCACACGCCGCCAAGGATAACGTCGGGGGAGAAGCTCTTGAAGCTGCCATTGAACACATCGAGCCATTCTCTCACATCGTCGTGAGTAATCCGCTCTTCCATTGGATTACATAGGCACGATATTAATGGATACGCCGTCAAGTGCTGCGGTTCACTTGGAGACTACCAACGTGCTCCAGAAGAACGCTACGGAATCAAGGTTAGTCAGCTTGGTGCTAGTACAATTTCCCGTGTCCGTTACTCACCATCCTGCGGCTTCAGAACACTACCCTCATCTTCAAGAGACGTCTCACGATCCGAGGATTCCTCGTCCCAGACTTGATTCCTAAGTTTGCCGGCAAGTTCTTCGCGGAAATACCAGCCCTCGTCGCCCAAGGAAAGCTGAAGAGCCAGGAGTCTATCATCGAGGGCCTGGAGAATGCTCCAGACGCCTTCTTAAGGATGCTAAAAGGCGGAGAAAGCGTCGGCAAAGTCGTCGTGCTTGTTTCCAAAGAGTGAGGTTAAGTCGTATGAATGTATCTATGTATTGTATCGTCCGGAGCCCAGTCGCTAATCACTATAGCTTTGTTGGGAAGGGTACGGATCTGTCTGCGGAGCGTGAGTTTCAACATGAACGAACGCACAGAGATTGGACACAGGAAGCAGATGCGAATGAACAACTGAGAAGGATGGCCATGTCTGAGGTACGTAGATGAGAGTGGGTCTCGTGAATAGAACCAAAGTTGCGACGAGTATGTTAACAAAACCCATGGACCTAGTAGTATGATATAGTCCAGAGGGGCGATCGCTATGAGGAGGTCGAATGTCCGTGGTGACCCAAACAAGGAGTAAAGCAGGCACGAAGACAGAGTAGGCATTCCAGATCAGACGTGGACTCGGGGTTACAGACAATGTAGTACACGCCGCCGAAGCAGTAATGCTCATAAACGACCTGATCGTAGTGATGGGGGTGGTGATCGCAGTGATGGGGGTGAGTGTCGTTCATAGACACGTCCAAGTCGCCGATAATCGATATCCTCGAAGACTTCAGATCATCCGCCCCATCTCCGAAGATAGATTGATATCAAATGATAAAGGCGTGATAGCCGCTGCGGAAAGCTCAGTCGAGACAACTGGGGCTAATACTCCGGCTTCAAGCGGTGCACGGAGCCAGAACGCCTAAAGCCACAGATCTGGGGAGACGATGGGTTACACGAGGGAGCCGAATAAAGAGTAGGGTTATTCGATGGTGCGTCGATGACTTTCGCTATATTATAAGCCAAATGATTCAGTCGCTGGCGATGCAAACGTAGTAGTGTCCGCTACGATGCGAGAGACTACTCATTCCGGGGGTTTCCGCACGATAGAATCAGAGTTATTCCACTCTCTCTGACGATCTATCAGTCACTGTGTGCTCTCTGCGAGTTGGATGCTACGTACCCATTTCCTCAGCTAACTCAACACCTCTACATTGGCCCTGCTTTGCTGGCCCCGCAAATCTGGGACCATCAGAGCTCGAGAGTCGAAGAACTTGAGCACGACATCTTCGCTAGCTTGCTATGCTGGAATACATTCAGACGAAATGTTGCTATACGTCTGAGCGATTCGGAGTAGATTGGCCGTGCATCGTTCCGTCGAGGTGCCAGTCTACGCCGCCCATGACCATCACGATAATGTCGGTTGAAAGCGAAGAGACCGCGTTGAAACTCGGAAAGGTCGACCGGTCACAAGCTGTCACACCACTCGCACGGTCACGCCACTTTACTAGGTTGAACTGCACCATCATGCATCTTTCGTCGAATTCGACCACATCAACACTGAGCTCGTCGACCACAGTTTAATTGCGGCAGTAGTTCGATAGCGCTTGTCCCGTTCGTCAAGGCACAAACTTGCTTGATAACTTCAACGACAATTGGAATCTCGTATCAGAGAGCGTCGGATGAGTTTGGGAGCCTGGCGAGAATGTTCTTTCATATCTCGTGCATTTCATCGCCTCCCCCTTTGCCACCATCATTAGCAGATTCAGGATTGAAAGCAGTATCTATCATGATGATGGCGAAATCGTTGTGGTGATCATGGAACAAGGCTCCCCCTGTTACTCTCAGGGAGTAATTCCCTGTGGTGCATGATGTATGAGGTTACATTGAAGATACAACACTGATTGTATGCAGAGACAGCAATCGAATGGTGTTGTATATATTGCCTGGGGTGTGGTAGAGGGGCCCATGCACTGATGATTCGGCCTCCTAAGGCTGAGGCGGAGTCAAAGCCTATCAGTGAGCCAGAGACTGCGGTACTACTGTGCTTCATGAGCATGGTGAGCGGGGTCTACCATTGGTATTCATATGGACTAAGCATCAAATGAGAAATGCCGTCAGAACTGAATACGGAAGGTTGGATACGCACTGACGTTCATGTTATTGACCCCACCAATATTACTACTGGTGATAGCACCGAAGTAGGCATCACCTGAGATAAAATTGATGTTAACACTGACAGTGCGGGCGTTGGGGAAGTTGACGCGGATATTGCGATGCTCGCTAGTGATTGTAACAGAATTCCCGGCAGCGACGGAGTTTGTGGCTGTCAAGCCTTGTATGCCGCTTGCCGCAACGGTGAAAGCCAGCGCCCCTGAGTTCCGTGAGTCGCAGTTATCTTCAGATGGCGTGGAGGGGAAGTTGAGGTGAAGGTTGCTGAGATTTCCGAAAGAACAGGCGCCAGATGGACACGCGGAGGGGATGTTGGTTGCACTCCACTCAAAGCTGTGGATGTATGCCGCACTGAGCTCGTAAGTCCAAGTCAAGACAGAGAGATGCAATATGAGATAGCATTGGCAAGCAGGGTCCCCTCCGTGGGGTGTACTAGTAGAAGTCGAGTGATGTATCAACGTCAACTTCGACTTGGGTTCAGTGAATTCCTCTTCGAATTCGGATCGTGAAAGGCCACGTTGAATCGCAATCGTCTGCGCTGTAGAAATAGTCAGGGGGTGCTCATGGGTTGACCGGGAAAGTATACCGTGACGATGGTCGAACGTGAAGGGAGCAACAGTTTGGCATACATCGTCGATGATTGTATGTCGATCATCCCGAGCTACTGACCTATCTGTATCTGTGATGTATCTTCTACTTCCGACGTCTCGATTTTGTAGTTTAGTCTTAGCGCGGAGTCAATGTCAGTGGAAGAGTGAATCCTATACAATGCACATACCATATCTTGTTGAATAAAGCGGATACAATCATCACTACTAGCGAATCCCAGAGTGATGGTTTGATTGAACTTCGCGCTGCAATACCATTGTTGCTAAGTCATCTCAAAATCACTACATGTACAAGTGGTAAGCATCGTGCTTACCCTGCGCACAACGACCTGGCAAGTACTTGTCCCAAACGAGAATATGCGTGTGATCTCGATATGTGCCTCCTGCTGTCGATACTCCGCTTCCCTAGCCATCTCGTCGACATCATCCCATGCCATCACAATGTCATTACGTTCACATGCATCGTTACTATATCCAATCACGACGTTGCTCTGCGTATATCTGTGGGACTTGGTAGTATCCCGTAGCTAGATACCAGACGGTAGGATGCCTACTTAGGTTGATGCGGCTTCCATTGTAGCACCGCCGGGCAGTTTTCCTCCCTGAACAGCTCTTGCCAACCGCGTAAGTCCAGTTCCTTGAACCAGACGATTGATCCGGGGCTCCAACTAGAATCGAGCTGGACATGAACAGCTATAATTTGTGTTGCACTAGTCAACACTACGGCTGTACAGCCTAAAGGAACTCCGGCCAGACGGTCACCTTCGAGGTAAAACCTGTAACGCGTTCTTCCACCATGTCTACGTTTCAGTTCTCCGGCACTTAGGAAGGATTAGAGCCCCGGGCTCTTTACTCACTGGATTCCTTTTTCGTAGTCTATAGGCATGATTGGGAGGGAAGCAGACTGTGCGAAGAGGCTCTGGGGAGGTCAAGGCCCAACCGACGAGTCTTTTTGGCTACTACTCTTAAGTACTCGCCTTGAACCTTGATGCACCATAAGTGTGGCACGGGATATCATTCTTCTCTGGATCCCTTGTTGCCATTGATGGGGTGATGTATACAGCTCCGTACGTGGTATGGGACCCCTGAGAGACCCCTGGGTTCGAACTTCACAGTCAAGGTGGTCCTCAAGCCAAGGCCACGCCCGTAACCTTTGTCGAGCATACAGCAAAGTCACCGAACATTCACCGATGATGTATATAAGCGCACCCAATTCGCGAACCCGTTGTAACTCATGGTGACCACAGCCTCGTTCTTAACGAGGAACAAAGGCTACAGCTCTATCTTTAGCCTGACAAGTAAGTGTCAATCGTATGAAGAGATTATCTGATATACAAGCAGCCGAATGTGAATTAAGACGTCAAGCCGTGGACTTGAGTGTCTGGATGTGCACAGTCTGAGTGCCCAAAGTCCTGCGAGTGAGGTTGCGCTTCAGTGGTCGCTGGCGCGGTAAGGAATCCTGGTCAATTGACTCGGTATAGCCATCGCATGCCGAGTTGATTTCCATGGTTCCGCGTGCAGTAGATCTTCAGAAGAATCCCGTCCACCTATAATAACCAGCCGCACAGGTATTTGTGCAGCTTACGCACCCTTCGTCTCGACGAGAAGTCATCAGGTCCTCGTATCTGCGCAAGTCCCTGGCGTAAGGGCGATAGATGAAGCCTACTCATCGGACGAGCGTTCCGCATGATTATCCAGTTTGGAGTATAGACTGACCTGTGTGAACCACCTTGTCTTTCAGAGAAAGATCTGCAGCGCCCATACCTGCTCCTCGGTGGAGTTCATGGTGGGCAAGCCGTAGAGCAAGCCGAAGAAATGGACTTAAATGAAGAGGTGTCTTCAAGCTCAGGAGTTGACACAGACACCGATGATAGAGAGTCAAGGAGTGAACCAATGTCAAATGTAGTTCAGTTGGAGGGCAAACGATCGGATAAACTCCGGTTGTATGGGCGCTATACTTAGAAGTGAGTGAAGCGGTGTCGTCGCGCGTTCGAACGCTATGTTCACGACTTTGACATCGATGAACTCGACTGTGTGCGAGATACTTCATCTAAGAGACCAAATCTGTGCTCAAACTAACGATCCCAGAGGCGTATCAGCACTCCCAAAGAGATCCTCCTAGCCATTGTGGGCCGGCGCCGCCAAGGTGAGCACTACGAAGGCACTGTTCCCCTCCTCTCTCCCGCCAATTCTACGCCGTCAGCATGCCTCTCATCTACAAGAGGACTTTGATACCCCTCTCATACCAAAAGAAATCCCGGCATTTGCATGCCTATCGCGCAGCATCGCGACGAATCCAGGTGTCCGATTCACCACCACCTTGATACACAATCGCGTCCTAGTCGCTTCAAAATTGTCCAACGTAGTGCCGATAGAGTGCAGGGGAACATGTGGCGCATATCTATCAAATCTCCGACTCCTACACGTTCCCCTCTCCCCTGTAGCCCGTCGAATCCGCAGACGTTCCTCCTGCTCCCACTCAACGTACCAGCCCAGATCAGCCATGCGTGGATCGCAGCGCACATCTGCCCGACCTCTCACCGTTCCTCTCCCTATCACACTTCTCATTCGAGTATCTCTATTTACGCCAAATCAAACCGTCTACCACCGTACTCATGCACACGTCCATCCAGCCCGACAACACAAAGTTATCAGCCGCCGCGCTGTTTCCTAGCCTTCGATACCTCGAAGCACCGATGGACGACTTGCTGTTATCTGTAGATGCCCCGCCGCCGTTGGTGGACCTCGCCGTGGCTGGACGTGTCAGTAGCTATCATCTCCTCAATGCCGCGTCCAACGTACTCCCCTTACCTTTCCATCGCTGCATACGCCCCCTTGGAGGCGTCGATATTCTCTCCCGCAGTAACGTCTCTGCTAAGTGGGAAGAATATATTCCTTTGAACGCACGATCGGTAACGTAACTACTTACTGCTTCCATCACCGCAACACCGCCTCCTCACCGCACCTCTTACAGACGCCTCCACATCTAACCGTCCAAAACCTCTACCGATTCTCTGCAACCAAGCTCAAATACCTTCGCCTCCTGTATTACCACCGAATACGCCGAAATCCCATCTACGCTGCCTCGGAATTGCTCAGCATGATGGAGGGTGGATAGTAGCATAGCACATTGCCGGCTCTTGACCTAGGCGATGGAGAGAAGTACAGGCGGGCGGTGGGAGGCCCCCGCCCTTCGATGGACCCTCCCAGTTGTAGCCGTGAATATGATGTCGATTACGGCACGACCGCTCGGAGATGGGAGCATTGGTGGGAGCAGCTAAGGTGGATCTATGCGCGTACGGTATCAACATTCGTTGCGACTCGTAAGGGCGTCAAGTACGAGAATACTCTGCCAGTTCGATTGTCCAGTGCAATACCACCTCCGCCAACCCGAGACATAGGAGCGTGCATCCCGAGCAGGCGTCCTAAGCACTTGACTGCTTAACGGCCTATCCCCGATCACCCAGCCCAACCCCATAACCAGCGCTCCCAGCGCGCACGCCGTCATCTCAGCAGCTGAGGCTCCGTTGAAGTCCGTAGCGCCGCCCTGGGTAGCTAGCTGTATTCGTCCCACTCCCCGCCCCGCCCCCACTTGTAGCCGACCCTCCCAAAGAGCCAGCAGGCGCCGTGGCTGTCGGCGAAGAGACTGTGATGCCGAACACGGACGTCGGGGGGATGGAGAGGATCGTTCCGCTCCCTGAAGCCGTAGCAGGCATGGATCCAGAGGGAGGGGCGGAAGAAGCAGACGAGGTGGAAGAAGCAGACGAGGTGGAAGAGGCAGACGAGGTGGAAGAGGCGAAAGAGGAAGTGGGGGATATTTCGGGGCCGATGGAGAAGGGCGGGGAGACCGCGAATTCGTTGTTGATGTTGCCCACGTCTGTCGCGCGGAGGGTGTAGCCGTCTCTGTGAATGTGAAAGGGGAGGGGTTGATGCATGATGGTTAGGGTGAGAACGAGAGGACAAGGCTTAGAATGGAACAGGAACGGCGCGGGCAAGAATAGCCTTGTATGTGCATTTTCGAATCAGGAACAAGGAGATAGAGGCAAATATGGAATAAGGCACGACCGTATAGATGACCAGCCGTGTTTGGGGCACGCTCGAGCAAGGGAGACCCGAAAGCAGAGACAACGCGCTTGGTGATGTGAGAGTGTGAAATACGAACAGCAGGGCCATTACTGCCGTTGTGAGAATGAGCATGAGAAGTGATCTTCACAGCTCCACGATCTACGACGTTGCAGAGAGAGCCGACGGATGGTAAGTGGAAGAGCATAGATCCTAAGGGCGGCGAGCATACAAACACTGCGCTCACGCCAACGGTGTCCAAGCCGAGAACGGTGAAGGATGAAAGGAGTCTATGCGCGAAACAAGGATAAAACAAACAAACAAACGTAGTGGAAAGCGTACGAACTGAGCAGGGACGACGGGGAGCGTGACGTTTGCGCCGCCGTCTGCGGGGCGCTGGTTGTTGAGGATGGCGAAGTCAGAGCGGAAAGTGGGGTGGTGGAGGAAGACCGAGAAAGTTGCGAAGCGGGAGCTACGTTGGGGGCAAAGGGTCAGTAGAACTGAAGAGGCGGCGAGAGATGGGGAAGAGCAGGTGGCAATGAGCGAGGATACTCACGCATCATCAGCCTCGTTAATCCATGTGATCCTCACATCCCCTTGCGAATGAGCATTCTCGAGAGGCTCGATCTGGAGGGCAGCGGCTGAGGCTGCAAGAAACGCAAGCGTGCTACAGAGATTCAGAATGCGTTTATCAGAAATAGTGATGAAGGAGAAGATAGAAGGAAGGGGGCAGAAGAGAGAGGAGAGAGAGGCGAGTAAGTCACATAAATGGAAGCACTGGCTAGCGAGGTAGTTGTTGAGGACGAGGTAGAGTCGTTGTAAGACGGGGCAAGTCCTCGGGCTGCTTAACGACTTCCACCACAGATGACGCAATACTGGCCACCCCATCTACCCGCCAAGGTCCTGACGTCGCCGGCCAAGAAACGAGAGCATATTTACATTACTCGCTACGCTTCGGCGAACGTTGCAAGCATTATAGGGTGAACGTGTGTCGAGCGAGTGTAAGGACTCGAAGCCTGGCTTTATAAGATGGAGAACGCATGTCAAGTGAAAGCTCAGGAATGTCCCAGAAGCAAACGTGAAACAAAGCGACGCGGCATGGGGGATATGGGAAAAGAAAAGCAATTCGACTCAGGGTGCAATTAGGAGATAGGAGTGCATGGGGTGTTTTTGACCGTGGTTGATTGCAAGCAAGCCTACTAGTCGAGATTTGAACCCATGATATCTTAAGATTGACAAACACTTATTTGATATACACCCACCCCATTTCCCTAAACTTACATGCCGATATGGAGGACGCACTGCAGCGAAGGAACTGTATCCTCTCATAAATCACCCTCATATGTACCGATTCCCCGTTTCCCTGTTTATCTTCTCTCCATTCCAGTAATTCGCCCGGAGGATCCCTCGGCGGGATCGGGCGCAACAAGACACCATAATGATCCCCAGTAAATGAGTGCATGCCAAGCGACGCGAACACAATGTTATTGTCCTTTTGGTCTGGTTCGGATGTCAGTGTCAACGAAGAGGTAGACGTTAATGCAGAAGTAGGTGCGGTCGTGGTTGTGGTCGTGGTCGTGGCCGCGGGCGGCCACGGATGGAGGCTGAGCATGATACGCATCACGCCGTCCGCGTCGAACGAAATGGACGGGTCGGGCAGGGTTTCAGGCGGGACATACTGTAGATCCCCGATACCGTAATTCCTACTGTGCGCATAATACCCGTACACCCGCTCATTGGCGAACATCTTGTAGTCTGCGGCGAGCATCGAGTTATGCGGCGACGCGGCTGATCCTCTCCCTCGCGTGCGTTTATGGGCCCCGGGGTGCGGGTCGTCCCAGATGAGGAGCCGCCGATCGTGCCCTCGGGTGAGGCACTCGGCTTGAAGGCGGTAAAAGGCGCGGCTGAAGCCCTCGCCGTATGCCACCGGGATGTCGATGTCGAGGGCGGAGAACAGAGCGTATACTCTGTCCTCGGGGCGGGTGGTGTCGCGATAGCGCATCGCGTGGAACAGGGAGAGGGCTTGATGGACGCCTGGCTCGTAGACCGTACGGTGCTGATGCCCAGGAGTTGCTGACGGAAGAAAAAAGCAACCGTAAGCAGAAGCACCCGGAGACGTAAGGAGCTGGACAATGGACAACGCGTACCTGTGGCACTCGGATTCGAGTTCACGATACCCTCTCGAAAAGCGCTCAGGTTTGACTCCGCGTCGCTGAGGAGAGTCCAGTCCTTCGCGAAGCACTCCATACGTGGGGGGGCGAGGAGTTCCGGGAGGGTCCACCCCCTTGCACACCAGGGATCCCCCGTAATCGATGCCATCGAGCTCTCGGATGAGCGAGTTGAAAGGTACACCGCACAGACGTACGCACGGCGGTACCATCCAAACATCTGGTGGATCGATTCACTTCTCTCCGCTTCACTTATGCAGATGCTGTCCATCCACAAGTACCGACACCCCCAGCGCGATTCGACAACCTCCCGAAAGCCCGCAAGTTTCTTGAACCCCTTCTTCTCAGCCGCCTGAACGCGCGATGGGACCGCCGGTTTCTCTGAGCCCCTGGAGACTCTCGACGCGATTTTAGTGTATAGGGCGAGTTTATGAGCAGCAGCAGGGATATGCATTTCGTCGTTGAAGTCGGCGAAGCACAGCTCCTCCTCGGGCGGGTCTTCCCAGCGATGCGACAGGATCGCATACTGGCCAAGCAACTCGATCTGTTCGAGGACCATGTGGGTGGGGATGGATGTATGTGCCCTGTTTGCGGCGATTAGATCGCGAACGGCTGAGAGGATGGCGGGAATAGGGACATGGTAGGATGGATTGTCGGCATTGTAGCGAGCGAGCTTGCAGTGAAGGCACGATATGAAATTGCCGCCCTCTGCATCGTCGCCCTCTCCTACCAGCACGCCTCCGGCCTTCATCATCGCGGAATACACATACGGCCGCACCCCCTCCGCCCTCCTGCTCAACCACTCTTGCTCGCGCATATCACCTGCATACGGACGCTCCAACTTGGCACGTTCATCCACGACGTACGCAGAATAAATCATATTCGCTATCGTCCCCATGAGCGCCGTGCACGTCAGCGGGCATGCAGTCCAGGTCTTCAGGGAGCCGGAGATGTTGCTCGCGAGCTCGGCGCGTGTGATGGTGCGGTTTGTGCGGGTGTCGAAGACGTGGAAGGGGCATCGGGCGGCGTAGGCTGAGATGTAGCGATCGTACCTGATATTGCGAAGGAGGAATGCATGTATGGATGAGATGCGGGCGGCGTGGATACGGCGATGGACTCACTGGATGGATACCCAAAAGCAACCCAACATCAGCTCCGCATCCACAACACGGTAAAGGTCAAGACTGTCTCACCTCATCCTGAGAGATGGTGTACGGGAGTCAGGAGCGAGATCACAGACTGGTAAGAAGCCACGTACTCGAACGGCATCCCAATCCACTCCATGCTGCTCAACTGTATCTCCCGTTCGAGCTAGCTTGTCTTGCTGTTTCCGGCGTTTCGCTAGGCCCAAGGATTTGCTGACACCCATCACCAGGTCGGTTCCCAGGCAAGCTTCAGTGGACTGAGAATAGATTTAATACTGTGCGTGGGGTTCAGACGGACCTGGGTAGGTGGCAACTTCTGGCGCTAGATCATGGCCGTCAGCGCTTCGGTTTCTTTATGTAAGTCAATTGAGATCTGACTGTTGGAGCAGATTTTCGCTCGCCAAAAGCTTCTTTGTTCATTTCATGTCGTCGTCGATTCTGTAAGTCGTGTTGCTGCAGCTGTACTGAAGCTAGGCGTAGAACTAAGCTCACCAACTCCTGAAGCTCACCTTTGCAGCTCCCAAACGAGATCCTGACGGCCATCGTAAATGAGTTAGACAACTTGAACACGCCCAAGACAGTGTGCGCACTCCTCCTCGTATCCCGCCGTTTCCGGGACATCACAATACGCCACATCTACAAAGAAATGGATATATCATTCTTCCATCGCAAACAACTTCCGACACTCATGTTCCTATCGCGGAACATCTCGTCGAACCCTGGTGTGCAGTTCACCACCTCCTTTATATTCGAATACCTCACGATGCTGTCCTCGACCAGCGACAGCGTGCAGGCGAACATCGAGCTTATTCTCCCGCACCTGGTGAACGTCGGCCGTCTACACATTACCTTCTGGCCTGTCGGTGTCTTCGACCCCCGTGCACTGCGCTTGCTCCCTCCCAGCGCCCGGCTCTCCCACCTCTGCGTGGATCGCAGCACCGAGTTGACGCATCTCTCGCCGTTCCTCACCCGGTCCCACCCCTCACTCGAGACCCTGATCATACGCACAGCGAATCCACGCGCGGTCCCTTGCCAACCCATCCAACCCACCGACGAGAAGTTATCAGCGAGAACGTTGTTTCCTAACCTCCGATCCCTCTCCGCGCCAATTGAGGACCTCCTGCTGTTCACGGATATTCCGAATTCGCTGGTGAACCTTTCTGTTGCCGGACACGGCCCATATTATCCCGTCGGCGACGAGGTCGAGTATGTCCTCCAGAACTTCAAGGGATTGCGTACGCTGTCCGTAGACGAGACCTACTTCTACGACGTACTAGTGCTTTTGCTACGCGGTCTTCCCAACCTCGAGTACCTCTCCTTGGATGGCGCATCGGTACGTCCACCACCGCATCAAAGTCACTGGTTCTTACTCATGCACCTCAATGTATCTTAGATGCCACCAGGTGCAAATGCCAACAAGCTATCTCTGTTCTCTTCGACCAAGTTGAGATATATCCGCCTCGCGTATACTTCGCAGGATCCGCTCGACATGGCCACCATATTCTTCAGCATTGTGGACACACTATTGGTATTTGACATTGATCGTGGAACGAACTATGCGCGGGTGTGTAGGGATCCGATGGACAAATTTATAGTCAACTCTGGTACTGTTTCCGATTCGAAATGGACGCAATGGTGGGAGCAGGCGGTCCCAGAGGTCGAGAGCGTTGGTAAGCTGAGTTTGTTATCCTCCGTAGTTCAAGGCTGAGCCGTCGTTCGTCCTGGAAATCAAAGAGCGTGGGATATTCGAGGATGCCATCTAATGCTCTAGGAAAAGGTATTGGGATACTCTGTAAGTCCTACAGTGGAATCCGTAAAGATCTAACCCAGTAGAGCTTAGATGAGACTGGGTAGGTGAAGGTAAGACGTACTCCAACTTTTGACGGTAGATCATGTTTCTGTCGAAAGTGGGCGTCGGCGCTTCTCTAGCGTATTTCTCACACCTATGTCTGAATTGACTTGAACCTGTCAACTACTAAGCACAGAAAAGGACCATAGAACCCAGTATACCCTACTCTGTATTCCTTGTAGATTGTGGCGTGCGGCAGAGAGGAGGACCATCTTCAAGGGCAAGTAACTGTCACGGACAAGTTCTTCCTTCCAATAACACGTCGGCCAACCACACTCCAACCACGCCCACGAACTCAAAAGCGACCTAGGAGGGGTAACTGAGTGATTCTTTTTTTTACCCTTCGACAAGTGTCGGCATGAAGACAGGATCTGCTACCTCCCGTCCGCTCAAAATCATGTGGCATTTGAGAGTCGAAAACGCTGAACGCCTGTGGTACATGATAATTTTCACAACGAGGAGTAACGGAAACGAGTCCAAAATACAGACATCTAGATGGTGGTACACCCTTGGGCTGACTGCAGTAGTTACACGGACAAGCAGGATGATGCGGGCGTAATGTAACTACTGGTGGACTGATATCAAGTAAAATGAGCAAAAACTGCGTGAAAGAAATGAGAGAGATTGAGTACACACCATGATTGATGTTATTGGAGCCCCCGACGTTGCTGCCGCTGATGGTACCGACGTAAGTATCGCCGGTGAGTGTGTGGATATAATTAATATTGACGGTGCGATATGTGCTATCAATTGTGAAGGAATTACCAGCAGATATAGAGTTTGTGCCAGTCAAGCCCACAATGTCGCGTGCAGAGATGGTTATGGTGAGATCACCTTGATCGGGTGAAGAGGCAGGATCATGGTCACGGTCTGCAGGTGCTGATGGGGGGAGGTTGAGGTGGAGATTGTTAAGATAATTGAAAGGATTGGAACGCGATGGAAAGGTAGGGGGTATAGTGGTTGCGCTCCAATCAACGCTTGCAATGAATCCCAGGTTTCCGACATAGATATCAACGTTGACACGGAGATGCAGTATAAGATAGCAACGCCGAGAATAGTTCTCGGTGGGGGAAGGTTGATATCGTAGTACTTGTCTCTCGGGTTGAGGATATTCGTCAATGAATTGGGAGCGCGAAAGGCCACGCTGAATAGCATTCATCTCTGCTGTATGAGAGTGTCAGAGGGCGCGTCACAATTAATAAACCATACTTGCCATGATAACGGCCGAAAGCAAATGGGGCGGTAGCATGGCGTATTTCATTCATGATCTCGTTCTTCTGATACCATGGATTGTTTGCTTCTTCTCCGTCATAGAAATGTAACCGTTCCAATTTATCCTCAGAGAGTGAAACTAAGGTCGATGGGGAATTATGGCAGACGTAGCCACTTACCAGGTCATGTGAAAGAAAGGAAAGGCAGGCATCGCTGCTGGCAAACTCAAGACTGACACTCAACTCCAAGCTTGTCTCGGGGTACCATTGAAACTACGGAAATTCAGGACCAACATGTGAGATCAGAGTAAGCGCTGTGCTTACCCTGTGCACTATGAACTGGGTAGTGCTTGTCCCAAATGAGAATGTGCGTTTGACCTTGATGTGAGCCTCCCTTTTTCGATCATATGCTGCTTGCCTAGCAAGCTGCAGGACATCATCTGGAGTTGATACTAAGTCGTTGCGTTCGTATCCACCTTTCGCAGACTCAATGACGATGTCGTTCCAATCCCGCCAACTCCTGGATGATTCAATAGCGTCACAAAGGCAGATACAATTTGAAATTGACGCTCACTGAGGTCGGCGTGGCTTCCATTGAAACTCCTTCGGACAGCTGTTCTTTCTATACAATAGACGTAACCTGCCGGTAAGTAACTTGTCAAACTCATGAAATGAGATGGTCGATCCGGGGCTCCAAGTGCAATCGAAGCGGACATGGATAGCTGATTTCGTCAAGTCCCAGTCAGAACCCTAGTGCAATGATCACCTTTTATGTATAACTCGTACTGTGTACTTAGATGGTGCCCACATGTCAGTGGTCTGGCCTTCAAATCTTTGACTCTATGCTCACTTGATTTCTTTATCTTCGTCCATCTGGAGGGGGAGAAATGGTTCTCATGAAGGGGTTGCTCTGAGATGGGTCTATTGCCTGGAAACCATGGTGACCATGCGATAGATCTCACGGATGTCGACCTCTTACGATTCCGTCATTGGGAATGATGTGGTTCTGTGCACAGTGATATAAGGATGTTGAAGCATGGATGGAAAGCCAGTACTGGCCATTTTCAATATTTTCAGCATCTACTGCTGGTGTCTGGAACACGCGGTTGCCACTGGTTGTCATACAGCTGCTACGAGTCTAACACTATTATGGTAACCTCACGGAAAGGGGTCTCGCATGGTATCTAATGGGTAATTTAGGTATTTAAGTACTATATTTACATGATGTATCCTGGATCGCGACGAGCACACATCATATTACTTCGATGTGATGTCCTCGTGCGACGATTTCAACACTCACCCATCTGCAATACATGATTCAAATCGCCTCATTACAGCCTACTTCGTCAACAGACATATGAACGTCGCGAAATAGGATCTTTGTGGCGCGAAATCTGTCGCCGAAAATCCAAGCATCCAATATAACAAACAAAGCGAACTGCTTGACTGCCGGGGAAAGTTAGACGGGGCCCACCGCCCAAGATCGCTTCACAGGGTGCATTTCAGAAGGTGGTCAGATACGATGGTCCCCAGCTCCCAGTGGAGGAACGGCGAGAGCTCCAGAGATTCGAGTGTAGCTAGAATTACTTCCTACGCAAACCAGAAACGGGGCTCCACGCGTCAAAAGAGACAGCCATGGGCCAATTGTAGCCTTGGGCAAAATGTTCCGCCCCCACGCAGTACCCTAGCCTTCCCTAGGATCTCGAACCGATTATCCTAGTCCAGTCGGTTAGTGAAGCGCGCCTCCGGGCCCGTCAAAGTCATGAAGAAAACACCTACATTGGATAGAACGAACCCCAACGGCGAATTCGGAGGAGTCGAGACATGTCAACTGAATAATAATCTGGTGTACATCATATTTGAATGGGGATGCGGCGTAGTAGAGACAGTGGCGAGCGTAAACCGCAAGAGGCAAGCGCTGAGAGGGAGCGGGGTTCGAGAATCCCAACCAATTGGTGTAGAGTAGATTCGTCTGCTACTTCTACTCATTGGACGAGCCTTTCCAACTCAACCCCCCGCAATTAGACTGAAGCGTAGGATGCAAGGACATAGAAAGCATGGAAGAGACTCTGGGAGGCGGCCAGAGAGCGCAGATCATGTGTAGTGTCGTATTACTGTAAAGAAGATTGTCGGGGGTGCCACACGACCAACGGGAATACGAAAGGCACCAGTAGTGACTCAAAGGAAAGATCGCGGCGCCCAAGGCTAGCCAAACGTTTGATGTCACCACTGACGACGATTGTTTGCCCCATCTGATGAAAAGCTCGACGTGCTGGAAGCCCCTCAGTCCAAACCGCCACTTTCACTTCAGCTTCAGCTTTAACTAGGTGACGCCTGGGTGCAACGAGCCTCTCTTTGGGGAGGCTCGGAATATCTGCATTGAGAGGCCGTAGAGACCCTCCATCCCCTGGCACTCGAGAATAAGGCCACCCAGACCCGCTGTGACAGACGCCTTCGAGCTCTAGTGGTAAGACAGAAGCTACGCCGGGACTTGTTGTCTGCAACGAGTAAACGAGTAAGAAGACGGATGTTCGGGCCGGCAACATCCGCGCTTAGTGCCTATGGCTTTGCAAATTGCCTTTCTGTCATTCCCCGTTCGGTCACCAACGTGCGTCCCCATCACATCTTCGCCAAAGGTGATCCGGAACTTGGGAACGACCAACAGGCGACATATCTATCATACTCCACGAATCGAACTGGCTTTCCAATACCACACCCGCCAAGCTCCTTGTAACTTACCAAAGCGCTTGCAGGCTCGCACATCTTCGTACCTAGGATGTGGCGTGAGGGGAATGGGATAGAGGGAGGCCGCGTGGAATGTGGATGTGAACGTTTGATTGTGCGTCGATGAGTCCGTCATCCCATGGTCTTACCCATACCTAACGCTCTTGCAGTAAGCTTGTCGGGGGCGTGTCTGTCTCAGTGGCACGAGCGTGTGCCACAAGCGCCACGATGCTCCTGGGCAACCGCCCAGCTCAAACCAATCTTCGCATGGATTGAGAAATTGCCGAAATCAACGCACCCTGGCCCTTAGCTGGGCTCCTCATTCAATCCAACTTGTCGTTGCCTGCTCGTCTAGAGCCTACCCTGCCTCGCTTTTCAACAGACTCTCTCAGTACGCGGACCTCGCGAATATCCTCTTCCACGTCCGCCCTGCTGGAAGCTCCCATTTTGCCCCATACCAGCAGATGCATGTGCATTTGCTACCCTTACTCACTCCCGCCAACCGATGTTACAGATGATGAATGTACGAACACCGGTCGCAACCCATCGTTTCTATTACTCGCCGAACCAGACCGCGTTCAGGCCGACGACATGGTGGAAGAGAGGAGGATAGGCAATCACCACGCCGTGTGCATTTTTCAAGGAGCAGAGAACACTAGAGAGCATCGGTTGATATCTGAGGAGACGCTTTGAAAGAGGAGGACGAGTTCTAGCGCGGGTCCACTCACGCGCTGTACCATCACCGGGGATCGTAGCAAAATCGGAAGGATATGTTGCGTCTATCTACTCTTCCATCTATGGGCCTCCAGCTCGACTCTGCTGCCCGCTTTATCCTCAATCGCGACGTCGCACTGGCTTTCGATACTGTGGAGGGAAAAGAATGAACTGGACGCACCATTTCCACAACTATCACCGCATCAGAAATGCCACGCCGCCGACAGCCAACAAGACCTGGCTGCCACTCGAGAAGTCCCCCCTCTCCGCGCAGCCTCTCATTGCTTCCGCTATTACCTCTCCCCGCCGCCACCATGGTGCTCCCGCTCCAGCACTTCAGCACACAGGTACTTGGAACTCCGGAACTAAGAAACCTGCGGCTGAGCGTGCTGAACCTGCGAGCGACAACATGAATGCCCGATGTGTATCTGAGTGCGTGTACAGAGGTGCTGTCTCCACAGTCTGCGGGTTGAGTGTAGCGACCTAGTTTATCACCAAGATGTTGACGTTGAACGCTTGAGTGTTCTACATCATTGTGAATCGGTGGATGGAGAGGTAGACAATGAGGGCGTTGAACCGGAAGAGGGGAAAGAATACTGGGGTGGTTCGGGGAATGAACTATTTTTCGCTCTGATTTCAAGCTCCGGTCTCCATCGGTCGTACATCCTGGATTCATCTTTTTATTACTCTACCCAGTATCCCCGTCTCCCTTACCACGCTATCCCCGCCACCATACACTAGATTTTAGATTATCGACACTTTAGCTTCATTGTGTTATGCACTATTCTGTTCACTGTTCTCTCGCCCTTCCTCCGCTTCTTCCTAACTTGTTCTCACAGCTTTTCCTCTTCTCTCCATGTCTTTGTACCGTCTCTCCTACTCATCATATAAATCTCATAGTTGTCTACCGCCAGAAGATCCACCCTAAACCCTTGTCATCGTCATCGTCACTTTGCGGCGCCTTCTCAGCCTCAAATTCCCCTTCAATAAATACGCCTTCAGGTCGTGTAGAGCGCATGTCTAAGTCAGCTTCCCCTTCATCCACAAGAATATGAGGTCGTCAACGTATCCACGAGTGGTCCTACATCCTGCTGGCGTACGAGTGGCTGTAGGGCCACAATATCACTCCCCTGGAAATGACTACTAACGCTTGAGTCAGATGTCCGGCTCTTATGGGTTCACGGCAGGAGCTCGGTGTGCACGTGGATCAGCACATGCTGGAGCACTCACGTCTCGCCACTTTACGCAGGTATCACAGCAACGGTGTTGTCGCTTCTCAGGCAAGGACGGCAATGCATGTTGATGACAAGCGGTAGATTGATGCTACACGGACAATTTAGAAATGCTTATGTATTTAGGAGGAAATGTCCTGCAGCTTTTGGATATCCTTCCAATGAGGACCTATGGCAATATCCTGTATGTCAAGAAAAATGGTTTTACAGGTCGTCATCACCATCAAGCACGGGTAGATCACTATAGTGTAGTTTCTGAACACGGGAGGAATCCAGAGGATGCGGGCAGCTGGCGAGCCTTGATTGCCCGCATGGTAAAGCCATTGTCCACGGCGAAAAGATGGACGAGGCGGGGGACATCTTTGTTTGTACAGGGCATCATTGGCGCGCAGGTAATTGCCATGTTCTTTGGATATGCAACTGAAGACCGTGGCAGAGAAGGCCGCTTGTCCTGCAGTTGCTGCCCTGTTGCAGCATCCCAGATGCGGATTGTCTTGTCGTATGACCCTGATACGATCTGCGCCCCATTAGGCGAGACCGCGACGGAATTGACCCCGTGTTCATGCCCAGTGAGCGCATCGCCGACCTGCTGCCTTGTTGCAGCATCCCAGATGCGGATTGTCTTGTCGTATGACCCTGAGACGATCTGCGCCCCGTCAGGCAAGACCGCGACGGAATTGACCCCGTGTTCATGCCCAGTGAGCGCATCGCCGACCTGCTGTCCTGTTGCAGCATCCCAGATGCGGATCGTCTTGTCGTATGACCCTGAGACGATCTGCGCCCCGTCAGGCAAGACCGCGACGGAATTGACCCCGTGTTCATGCCCAGTGAGCGCATCGCCGACCTGCTGTCTTGTTGCAGCATCCCAGATGCGGATTGTGTCGTCGTCTGACCCTGATACGATCTGCGGCCCGTCAGGCGAGAACACGACGGAATTGACCCTGTGTTCATGCCCAGTGAACACATCGCCGACCTGCTGTCCTGTTGCAGCATCCCAGATGCGGATTGTCTTGTCGTGTGACCCTGATACAATCTGCGCCCCGTCAGGCGAGAACGCGACGGAATTGACACTGCGTTGTGCAGCAATCACTTGGGGTTCTGTAGTTGGCCAGATCTTTTCACGCCCGTTGGTTATGGTTATGGGAATGCAAAATTGGTCTTCATAAAGTTGCCTGACCTTCGATGCTTCAGGCGAGAAAGTAAAGCCTAAGTAATACACCTGTGGCGCAGAGAGCATGTAGCCATCGCGAAATCGCTTCTCAAATTTGATGAAGTCCTCTAGGATTGAGACGAGCTCTCCAGGTGAGTGTAACTATTGATAATTAGTCAATGATGAACGGTGACGACGGAATACATCACACTCACTGACGCCCACTTCCGGAAGCGAGGCAGCATCCAGCCTGGCCCATCTTGCTGGCTTTTCATGCAGCTATGGACCTCGAGCCAATACAGAAAACGATTCTTGAGAAAAAATGAAAGAGCCGCTCTCAGGTGATTCAGTCCTTCAGCCCACGATTTCTGGGGATTGGTGGGGGTGACTTGCTTGTCAAGCTCGCCGAGGGATTTGTCCAGGTGATACGCAGCGCATCGACACGCATACTTCAGCTCAGGATCAAGTTTCTCGGCTCGCTCCTGAAGACCTTCGATTTCGCTGTTCAACGCGTATGATGTGTCAAAACCACACATGTTGAATCTGAGCTGGGCATTTGTAATGTCGAGACATGCCAGAGCCAGCAGTTCTTGATGGCGCGGCCCAATATCAACTGAGAAGTCAGATCCTTTAGGCGCCTTGACTTCGCCTTCTCCAGGCACCTTGACCGGCCCAACAAGGAAGTCGCGGAAGGACGTATGAAGGGGTAAAACGGGCACTTCGTTGGCGTCAAAGGTGCTCCCGCTAAGCAAAGAGCCGAGCAAGGGAAGTATTGACTCCAAGGCTGACTGCTCTTCGTGTGGCTGCAAGACCAACTCCGAGGCCAACTGCCTTTCGCGAGAAAGGGTGGCAGCAGCAAGCGGCAGTAAGGTGTTGCGGCGCTGCGGTGAGTGCACTAGGAAGATGGCTGCCATCAGGTGCTTGAACGCTTTCAATCGGAGGTCATTTTGTGAGTCAATGTATGCCTCCAGGACCTGCTCATATGTTCCATACAGGCTGTTGAAATCCCCAACTTCTAACTTCCTGATGAAGTGTTCCCTACTCACTTGTGAACCTGTTGTCAGCTCAGTACAGAGGAGAGCAGCACATTGGAACAGGCCCTCCGCCGCATCTGTGACACGGTTTACGAGCTTCGCAAGATCCGGCCATTGACCAAGTTTCCCATGAACGAAGATGCGGATGTCCTCAACAGTGAGCCATTGTTCATCATCAAGCGATATTCGCGCTATGGGTAATTGAGAGTTGAACCTCACAAGGATATCCGCATTTGGCCGGCAAGTGAAGAGAAAGCGGCAATGTTGCGGAAGGTCGGATGAAGACGAAATGATTTTGTGAAGAAGGTCAAGCAAGGGACGCAATTCCGAGCATTCGTCCAGAGCATCGATGACAAACAGGATGGGTCTACGGCTATCCGCATGCTTCAGCCCTTCAACCAATAGAACTTTTACTTGATCGTCAAGGGGAGAGCCCTTAACGTGCTCCATGTCGAGGGTACGCAAATAGCGAAGATAAAGGGGGTCACGCGACGCAAGGCCCCAGGCCCATGTAAGAAGAAGTTTATCGATGGAACGATTGGCCACTGATCGATTGAAAGCAAAAAAAGACACATTGGCAAGGGACAGCTGCTGTTTCTTGACGTTTCCGAGTGCTCGAGATACGGTGTGGATAATGGCCGACTTTCCCTTGCCAGCGACACCGTACAGCAGCAAGGCGCGCTGATCCCCCTTGAGAATGACCCACTTTTGAATATGTGTAAGAATGGCTTCGCGCGTGCCTTCGGCACAGGACTTCGAGTGGTCAAGCCCCGCATCGTCCGCGTGGGGAAGCGAATCCACGAACGAGTTATCCTCTACGTTTCGTCAGATACGGTCGTTTGGAACTGCATTGTACCCACCTATTTTGGTGACAATATGCAGTATGTCGCACAGCATTTCCTGCATATCCAGATCCCGATTCTGCTCAAGACGCTTCATGATGGTCCCAAGCTGCCCTTGAAGCTTCTTGATCTCTCCTTCTAGGTCCTGCAAGTTCGCAGCTGATAAAGACGATGAGCCATCACAAAGCTCCCTACAATGGAACACTGACCAATTTTGGTTGGCGACAGCAAAGCGACAAAGTAGAGGCATCGATACACTGCTGGAAACACGTATTGATAGACTCTAGTTTGGTTTGGGCGATGTTGGTCTAGCTTGCGGTTGTCCCAGTCTGCAACAAGCATGCAGGCGTCACCGACAGCTTGTAACAAGCCGGTAACGGATTCGCGGCACTTGACGTAACCGTCGCATTCCTGAACAGAGGAATTGGTGTCGATTTACGCAAATATGATTGAAGTCTTACTGAGGCAATTGCTTCCACTAGCCCTATGATGACTTTACCAACCGGAGTCGTAAGCTGCGTTTCGTGGATAAGTCGTCGAATGTGCGAAAATGGAAACGGGCTACCTCTAACAATGCTTTCCCAACTCCGATGAAACGCTTAACATTGGCGAAGGTTGCGAGAAAGATAGAGTTGATGGGAGGGAGATCACCAATGCTCGAGAGCTTGCGGTCGAACTTGGAGTGAGTGGTACGCTTGAAAGTCATAACGGGGGCCTCTTTCAAGGAGCACAACAACTCGGGAGACGTCCAGGAGACTTTGACTATCGAGATGGTCAGCATATATAGCCGAAATATATGTAAGGTACAAACCATCACCATCCAGGGAGCCCAATGGCACCTTCGTCTGAGCAAGTAGTTTCTCTTCATGCTTGTCGGTCACATAGAGCCTGATTTCAACATTCGTCGTAGGGTTAGAAAAGCTGCGCAATATCAGAGCAGCCACACATCCGAAATGGCAGAACCTACAAGATCATGGGTGGGTTTTCCATCGGTTTTGCTTTCTTCTTCTTCACGAGATTTGCAAAGCTATCCAGCCTGATAAGATTCGCGAAGACGCATAAACAGAGTACGGACTCTCACCAATTCGTAGATAGCTTTGGCGTAGCCTCCGTATCCCTCTTTGCAGTCTCTTTGTGCAACGAATCGATTGGGTATCCCGCATCTTCAAAACCCTCGATGAACACGATGGCGCGCACCGGGTACTGGGACTTGAACACCTTGAATGTTGTTTTTGAGAGGCCTATTAAACCTCGGCATCCAACGTCTTGAAGAAAGTGGTGAACAGTAGTCTTGGGCGAGACGGAGGGACTCACAGGTTACTGCAGTGTAAGCAAACTCAGTGTCGCTCTGCGACGTCGCCATCTTTCGAGTCGTGGTCGATGAGAACAACGAGGCAAGCGTCTCTTTTGAACGGACATGCGCACCATTGCATGACATACGTGGGACCCAGCTATGAATAAGAATTGATGGGGACACGATGGA